TATGAATATTCCTTGATCGGAAGAAATTTAAATGGGTGGTGATGAATGGTTTGCTTGCGAATTCCCGTTATACCATCCTGGTTTCTCAACAGCTGCAGAAAGGACAGTTGGGATGTGCCATTCTGTAAAGTGATGAGCCAGAACCCTCTGGAGTGGTCTACATGTCTGGTTGGTAGAGTGGGCTAAAGTCTTTAGCAAAGGCAGTTACAGCCCTAACCAAGATTTTTCCTTCTTTGCCCCCACTTCCTTGCTCCCTTGGGTAGTAGAACAGTATATAGAAAGCCGTATCCAGTCTTCCATTTGTAGAGAAGACAAACACATGCCAGACAAAGTGGCAACAATCAAGGAGAACCCATCCAGACTATCCCGCACCAAAGAGAAAGGCTGTCACAGTGGACCTGAGCAGGAGGGTGGGGAATGGCATAAACAGGGCCAGTCCATTCCTGGAAAAGAAAATTAAAGCAGCACAGTATGCCAAAAATAAAATCACCATGTGTAAGAAACATCAAGAGTGTGCCTTATAAGTGCTATGCACCGTAAAATAACTTAAATAATGAAGTATTCGAAAACAAAATGGGCTAAATGGAGTTAAGACATTTGAGTGGCCTCAAGATATAAAATGAGAAAGAACAAGGAGTAAAGTAGATGTGACTTAACATAAACTTTGTCTTAGAACAAAGTCTTGATATAATTAGAGTGAGTGCAGAAGAAAAGGACAAAGATTAAGGCAATTAGACAGAACTTGAACAATAGGGAGGACAAATAAAGATCATCCAGTATACTATAAGAACATGTTTTTGACATGGGAAATCTGATCAACGAACAGAAATAATATTCATAATAAAAATTTCACATAAAGTTAAGGAAGAATCAACAGATTCTACTAATTGATACAACATATCTTGTTCCAGGAAAAATTTATGCAGAAAGAATGATGCGTACCAAGACAGATCATGGTTAAGGAATCAAAGGTCAAGAATAAGTAAAAGAATTAGGAATTCAGGAAACAAAATAAATGCTCCATGGGGTGGAAGAGTCAGGCTGCAAACTTCTCCATAGCAGAATTGAGTGACAGAAGATGGTGGAGCTATAGCTACAAAGTTCTGAGTAAAAGAAATTGATATTCAAGAATATTATACCATACAGTTTAACAATAAAAACAGCAGGCAGATGTTCTTAGACATGAAAGCCCTGAGCAGTTATATACTGAAAGAGGCTGGGTGTGGTGGCTCACACCTGTAATCCTAGCACTTTGGGTGGCCAAGGCGGGCATATCACCTGAGGTCAGCAGTTCGAGACCAGCCTGGCCAACATGTGTTGGAAACATGTGATGTGAAACATGTGTGAGCCACTGGCAACCAGGGCCCAGGAAATTTAAGAAAAACATTGAATATGGAACATTCTCTTTTTATCCGGAAATCAGACTGCTTCAAAATTCAAATGATAAAGTATAGTTATAGTTATAAATCTGTTTGGTACTTTTAATTTGTTTTAAAGATGTTTTAGATCATGTTATGAGATGACAAGGCCAGTAAAACATAGGAACTTTAAAAAGTTTGCAAGCATGCAGAGTTTTTTTGTTTTGTTTTGTCTTTTGGTTTTTCGAGACTTGAGTCTTTCTCTGTTGTGCAGACTGCTGCGCAGTGGAGTGATTTTGGCTCACTGCAACCTCTGCTTCCCAGGTTCAAGCGATTCTCCTGCCTCATGTTCCGGAGTAGCTGGGACTACAGCCGCGCACCACCATGCCCGGCTAATTTTTGTGTATTTTGTAGAGACGGGGTTTCATCTTGTTGGACAGGCTGGTCTCAAACTCCTGACCTCAAGTGATCCACCTGCCTCGGCCTCCCAAAGTCTTGGGATTACAGGCTTAAGCCACTGCATCCAGCCCTACAGAGATTTCTTTATATGAAAATTAGGTGTTTTTTTTTTTTTTTTTAAATATATACCACATTTTATTTACCTATTTTCATCAGCTGATGGGTATTTGGATCATTTTTACTTTTTGACAATTATGAATAATTCTGCTATAAACATCCATGTGCAAGTTTTCTTGTGGACATGTATTTTCCTTTTTGTTGGTAAGATACCTAGGAATGGAATTGCTAGGTCATATGGTAATATAGTCATATTTAACTATTTGAGAAACTACCAGATCGTTTTCAAAGTGGCTGTGCCATTCTACTGGTGTTAGGTTTTTTGTTTTTTTTTTGAGACGGAGTCTTGCCCCATCGACAGGCTGGAGTGCAGTGATTCGATCTCAGCTCACTGCAGCCACTGCCTCCTGAGTTCAAGTGATTCTCCTGCCTCAACCTCCCAAGTAGCTGGAACTACAGGCACGTGCCACCACGCCCAGCTAATTTATGTATTTTCCATAGAGACTAATTTTTGTATTTTCATGTTGGCCAATATGGTCTCTATCTCTTGACCTTGTGACCTGCCCGCCGTGACCTCCCAAAGTGCTGGGATTACAGTGGTGGGCCACCTCACCTGGCCTGGTGTTAGTTTTAAAAGGCAAATATAATAATTTAAATTGCAGATTTCATGCTTCGTTCTACCAGAACTCCTAATATAAAATTGTATTTAGATGGTCTTATGAGATGACTACAATGGATTTTTGTAGTTTATTCAAATTTCAGAGGTTTTACACATTAAATTATATATTTACGACTGAGTAGGTTTGTTCTTCTAAAAGGATTGGCAGGCTGAAATGGGAAGTAGTCTGATTGCTAGATAGAAAAAGAGCATTCCATACTTATTGTTTTGTTAATTGTCCTGTTTTTTGGCTTTCTTAGTTTCTTCTCCAGCGCTGGGTATGCTTCACCTTCTAGCTTTGATAAATCTCAGAGGCAGAGTTGCTGGAAATGAAATGTAATACTTGAAAATTATGCTTTTTGTAGGTCATGTTCTAGCCGAGGGGGTACTGAGGGCTGAACTCCAGCCAAGGCTTTACTTGGGTAGATTACCTCTGGGCCTTGGTGGAGGATGAACCTTTTGATTATAATAACTTTGTCGTAAGCTTTGAAAGGTAGTGTGAGTTTTCCAACTTTGTTTTTTTCCAAGATTGTTTGGTTGTTTGTAATCCTGTGAGATTCCATATGAATTTTATGATGAGTTTTTCTGTTTCTGCAAAAAAAAAAACCCACGCAATTTTATTTAATAGAGATAACATAGAATCCATAGATTGCTTTGTGTAGTATTGCCATTTTCATGACGTTGTCTTCCAATATAAGAACTTGAGATTTCTTACCACGTATTAACTCTTTTTTTGTTTGAGCAATGTTTTGTGGTTTTCAGTGTTGAAAGCAGTAAGCCTCCTTGGTCAAATTTACTCCTAGCTATGTTCTTTTCGGTGCTCTTATAAATGGTATTATTTTTTAAGTTTCTTGTTTGGATTGTTTAATGTTAGTATATAGAATACAAACAAATTTTGTGTGTTGATTTTGTATCCTGCAACTTTGATGTATTTATTTGTTAGCTCTAATAGTTTTTTTCTTTTGCAAATTATTTAGGGTGCTACATATGAGATGATGTTGTCTTGAATAAAAATGCGTATTTCTTTTTAATTTGGATACCTTTTATTTCTTTTTCTTTCCTAGTGCTCTGGCAGTAATTTCGAATACCATATTGAATATAAATGGTGAATGCAGTCATCTTTGTCTTGTTCCTGAAATTTCCCACCCCACCATTTTTTTGTGACATCACTCTGAATTTTAAGATAATGGGATTCTATGTGTTGGATGAGATTTAAAATTTTGAAGTGCAATAATTTTATAGAATTTAGCATTTAGGCCAGGTGAGGTGGCTCACGCCTATAATCTCAGCACTTTGGGAGGCTGAGGCAGGTAGATTGCTTGAACTCAGAAGTTCGAGACCAGCCTAGGGAACGTAACAAGACCTCGTCTCTACAAAAATTAGCCAGGCATGGTGACACACGCCTGTCATCCCAGCCACACGCCTGTCATTCCAGCCACACAGGAGGCTGAGGCAGGATAATTGCTTGAATCTGGGAGGTGGAGATTGCTGTGAACTGAGATGAAACCACTGTACTCCAGCCTGAAAACAGAGGTACACTGGGTTTCAAAAAAAATAATTTCGCATTCATTTCATTGTCTGTCCTCAATATGAAACCTAGTGATTCTGTTTTCATTGAAATACTGCTTTGTAAAGCATTAGTTTACAGGTTGGCCATGAGATACAATATCACCTCTGTTAATACCTGGTAGAAAATGAAAAGCCAAATTAAGAGCACTCATGAGCAGGACTCATTTCCTGTAAAGAAATAAAAGACTCTGATCTTCAAGTCATGTATTTACATGTTTTGGGGGCCAGGATGATGTTTTAGAAGCAATGTTGGATTTCTCTTCAAGAAAGTTGTCATTAAGACTGAATGGTACCTCATAACTGAAGTCATTTCTCTTTCTCTGTAGCAATAGCTGGGGGATTTTTATTTCCTGCTTGTTTTTATTATTGGTTGAAAAATGGTGGCTCTTCTGGTTTATATTATCCCAAATTTAATATGGCATTTTAATATTTAAAAATATTAGTTTATAGATATTCTTCAGCAACTAAATTTTCTGCAAATCTTTTGTTTCATCTTTCACTTCCGGATTAGTTTTTAACCCTCCCCCCAAAACTTTCTTTTTTTTGAGACCGAGTCTCGCACTGTCACCCGGGCTGGAGGGCAGCAGTGCAATTTTGGCTCACTGCAACCTCTTTCTCCCAGGTTCAAGTGATCCTCCTGCCTCAACCTCCTGAGTAGCTAGGATTACAGGTGCTGCCACCATGCCAGCTAATCAAACCTTTTTTAAAAAATTAAAAAGTTTAATGGTACTGTAGTGAGGTATATATTCTTCTGGGGTGGGAACAGAAGGGGTACGGGTTCATTTTGAACATAAGCATGACTTTTTCGTTGATTATTTCAAAGTCTAACCAGGGATGTTAGCAGGGAGCTGTATATCACTTACAAATTTTCAAGTGTTTATTTTCTTTGTATGTATTAGGCCTCAAGAAAGGAGAACTGGTTATGAACAGTTTCATCCAGGCCCATCCCCAGTGGATCATGATTCACTGGAATCGAAACGACCACGTCTGGAACAGGTTTCTGATTCCCATTTTCAGCGTGTCAGTGCTGCGGTTTTGCCTTTAGTGCACCCATTGCCAGAAGGGCTGAGGTCTTCTGCAGATGCTAAGAAGGTAAGTGTTTGTTCTCTTACCCTGTAGTGTTATAAGTTTCTAATGTTTATTTAGTTATATTCACTCATAGCACCTCAAAGTCCAATTATTCCAGGCTCTAAAGGTTAGTGCTATGGAAAAGTAAAAGTTTTGTTAAAACTAGAAACCAAAGACTTAGTGCTCCAGACTGCTAAGGTGAGCACTTTAGCCTTTTTGGTAAGTGAAAACAATCCAAAAAGACTACTCCCGTGAAGAAGAATTTCTATCGAATAATGCTCAAGCACTTTTTTTACTGGCTTGCTGGCTGTAAAATGTGTTCAGAGGTACTCAAGACTACTAGTTTTGTTAAATCTTAATTAAATTTTAAATAAGCCTCTTAAATTTAGTAGCAGTTTATTAACTGCTGTATGGGAAAAAACACATCTAGGTAAGGTTAAATTGTGCTTGTAAGTTTTATACAAAATAAAATTGTTCCTAATTTATATAAGTAATGCATACTTGTAGAAAGCTTGGAAAATAAACAGAAAAAAGTTAGCTGTAATCCTGTAACTTGGAGATAATGAGCCTCCCCCAGTTTTATTGCGGAATAAGAATTGTATATATTTATGATGATATTGATACAGTGTGATATTTTGATATTATACATTGGGAAACATATCAAGTTAATTAACATATTCATCACCTCACATAGTTTTTTTTGGTGGTAAGAACATTTAAAATCCACTCTCTTAGCAATTTTTAAGTATATGGTACATATTATTGGCTATAATCACCATGCTGTATAGAGATAAGAAGTTTTAATATTTAGCTATATTTTGTGATATTTGAAACAATGAGAGTTCTATTAAGATCAAACCATTTTTATCTTTTGTGAAATGTTTGCTTATGTATTATGTTCTTGTTTTGTTGATATGTTTGCCTTTTACAATTGTCTGCTTTGCTTATTATTAAATCTGCAGATTAGGAAGTGTGTGATACTTAGTAGATACCGAATAAATCTTTGTTGTAGAAAGAATAAACTAATATTAAAAACTCTTAACAGTAAATTGTTAACCTTTTTACTAACATATTAATATTTTTCCCAGTGTCTTTTTGTTTCAGTTTTTTTAAGCATACTGAAGTTTTAAATTTTTTTTTACTGTCATCAAATCTTTTTTTATAATGTTTACTAACCTTTATGTCTAATTGCTCTTTCTTCTCTGATATCAGATAAGTAAGTACCCACAAATATTCTTTGAGTTTTCATGCAATGAAGAGTGATTTAAAAGATAGTAAATATTTCTACAATTTTTTCATATAGTTCAGCCAAAATGAAGTGGTGTGTGTATGTGTGTATGTATATATGTGTGTGTGTATACACACACACACACACACAAAGCAAATATGTCAAAATGTTAACCACTGGTGAATCTAGATGAAGGATAAATAAGTGTTCATTATACTGTTCCTTCAATTTGTAAGTAAGTTTGAAATTTTTCAAAATAGTTAAGTTGGGTGGGGAAAAACTCTGTGCCATAAGCTAGAAATTAGTTAAGCTTCTAGGTGTTTTGTGACTCACCTTATCATGTGAAATATCTTTATCATATAGTAGTCTGTGGAGTTTATAAGAAATGTTTTGTTGCTGCATTAAAAAAAAAAAAGCAAATAAAGGTCATCTTCTGTGGCTTAATATATTACCACAAATGTAATTTATTTATAAATATAGATTTTTTTTTAGCAGAAAAATATCTTAACTTATTCATTAAAATGGAACATGTTGCATTGTAGTGTGACCCATTTCCATGTTACAGTTGAGAAACTGGATGTTAAAAAAAATTAAAGTGACCTAGGTAGAACCTCCTGAGTAGGAATTAGCTCAGGACCCCTGACTCTAGTTCTGCTTTTTTCCCCCTAAAGTGTAAACCATGACTACTACTACTAATACTTCTGTCTCCCTCTCCACATTCTCTCCCAACTGCCCACCTCCAGAAGTAAGGATTTAAAAAGAACTAACATTTGTTCATTTTTTTTTTTTTAATGTTAAGCCTAGGCATATCATTTATAGAAGAGTTAAATAAGCTTGAAAGAAAAAAATACCTACGGTTTTACCACTTAAAAATCATTAACATTTTCATGTTGATTCTTCTCTATTTGTATGTATGTTATTTTAATTTTAATTTTATTTAATTTTATGGGTTTTTCTTTGCTGCTCCTTATGGAACAGAGCTAACCCATAGGCAGTGTGTCCAGAGTCAGCCTGTATAAATATTTTAATGTGGTCTTCACTGTATACATTCCGTTTAACTTTACTTTTGCTTAAATATATGATTAGCTGGTGGCTCACTCCTGTAATCCCAGCGCTTTGGGCGGCTGAGGTGAGTGGATCGCGAGGTCAAGAGATCGAGATCATCCTCGTCAACATGGTGAAACCCCGTCTCCACTAAAAATACAAAAAATTAGCTGGGCATGGTGGCGTGTGCCTGTAGTCCCAGCGACTCAGGAGGCTGAGGGAGGAGAATTGCCTGAACCCAGGAGGCAGAGGTTGCAGTGAGCCGAGATTGCGCCATTGCACTCCAGCCTGGGTAATGAGCAAAACTGCATCTCAAAAAAAAAGAAAAAAAAAATTATATGATTAGCTTCTTTTTGTACCAATAAGTTTACAAGTGTATTGTTAGTGGCTACTTAGTATTCTGCATATGAATATAAAGTTATGTATTTAATCAGTCATCATACATTTAGGTTACCTGTTTGTTCAAATGTACAGTGTTGTGACATGTATTCTTGTTTTTGTTTTTGTTTTTTTGAGATGGAGTCTCACTTTGTTGCCCAGGCTTGAGTGTAGTGGTGTGATCTTGGCTCACTGCAGTGTATGCCTCTCAGGTTCAAGCGATTCTCCTGCCTCAGCCTCCCGAGTAACTGGGACTACAGGCACATGCCACCGTGTTTGGCTAATTTTTGTATTTTTAGTGGCAACAGTGTTTCACCATGTTGGCCAGGCTGGTGTTGAACTCTTGACCTCAGGTGATCTGCCTGCCTCAGCCTCCCAAAGTGCTGGGATTACAGGCGTAAGCCACTACACATGGCCCATGCATTGTTTAGACTGATTTTTTTGTATACATTCTTACTTATTTCCAGAAGGTAGATTTCTTACAGTATAATTAATTACAGACCAGAGTTGATTTTTAAGGCTTTCGGTGCGTATTTCCAATTGTCCTGCAAAAGATTGGGCCATTTCTTAACTCCTGACAGCAGTGTATAAAGGTACCTACTTCTTATGTATCCCTGATGGCACCACATATTTATGGTTTAAAAAAAGATTGTTAATTTGATGAATGATGGTTTTTTTTTTTTTTTTTTTTTTGAGACAGAGTCTTGCTCTGTTGTCAGGTGCCAGGCTGGAGTGCAGTGGCGCGATCTCAGCTCACTGCAACCTCCACCTCTGGGTTCAAGCAATTCTCCTGCCTCAGCCTCCTGAGTAGCTGGGACTACAGGCATGCACCACCATGCCCAGCTAGCTAATTTTGTATTTTAGTAGAGACGGGATTTCACCATGTTAGCCAGGATGGTCGTGATCTCTTGACCTTCTGATCTGCCTGCCTCGGCCTCCCAAAGTGCTGGGATTACAGGCGTGAGCCACTGCACCTGGCTGAATGATGGTTTTTAACTTGCACTTGTTAGTAAAATTTAACATTTTTTCGTGTTATTAGTTATGCAACTTTCCTGTTTTGTAAATTGCTTTTTCATGTATGTTGCCCATTTTTCTGTTGGTTTATTTTATATTGAGTTGTTAGAGTGCCAGCTTTGCAAATGGTTTTTCTATTTCATTTGCCTTTTAAATTTGTTATTATTGTTTTGAGAAGCAGATGATTGTGTCTTTTTTGTGTGTGTGTGTGTTTTTTTTTTTTTTTAAGATGGAGTCTCGCTCTGTCGCCAGGGTGGAGTGCAGTGGCATGATCTCAGCTTGCTGGGCTCAACGTCTGCTTCTTGGGTTCAAGCGATTCTCCCACCTCAGCCTCCAAAATAGCTGGGACAGGCGTGCCCCACCATGTCCAGCTAATTTTTGTATTTTTAGTAGACATGGGGTTTCCGCATGATGGCCAGGATGGTCTCGATCTCCTGATCTCATGATTTGCCCGCTTTGGCCTCCCAAAGTGCTGGGATTACAGGCGTGAGCCACCACGCCTGACCAATTGTGTTTTATTTGTTTTTTTTTTTCCCAATTGTGTTTTAAAATTTTGATCCATCAATCTCCCTCTCTCTCTCTCTTTTTTTTTTTTGAGATGGAGTTTCGCTGTTGTTACCCAGATTGGAGTGCAATGGCATGATCTCGGCTCATCGCAACCTCCGCCTTCTGGGTTCAAGCAATTCTCCTGCCTCAGCCTTCCGAATAGCCGGGACTACAGGAGTGCACCACCATGCCTTGCTAATTTTTGTATTTTTAGTAGAGACGGGGTTTCACCTTGTTGACCAGGGTGGTCTCAATCTCTTGACCTTGTGATCCACCCGCCTTGGCCTCCCAAAGTGCTGGGATTATAAGGCGTGAGCCACTGTGCCCGGCCTCGTTTTTTTTTTTTTTTTTTTTTAAATGTATGTATCTTATATCTTCTGCTTTTGGCTTTCCTGAAGCTAAAATAATGTGAATCTTTTTTTTTTTTTAAGCTTGAGGCTTTTTGTGATTTGCTAATGAGCCTCTTATAAATGTTTGCTATTACTTGGCTTTTTTTTTTTTTTTTTTTTTTTTTTTTGTGGGTTTGGGTTGTTTGTAAATATTTAACATTTAGAAAGGCAGCCGGTGGAAAATGTTGATTTGTAATATTATCTGGGCATGCATCAGAATCACCTGAGGAGCATTTTTGTAGCCTACTGAATCAAAATACATTACATATGTTTCTGTAACACAAATTTGGTCATATGCATACAGTGGGAAAATGGTACTAATGTAACATGAAAGTCCTGGTGAGTCACCAAAGAGTTTTCTTTTCTTTTTTATTGAGATGGAGTCTGTTACTGTTGCCTGGGCTGGAGTGCAGTGGCATAATCTTGGCTCACTGCAACCTCTGCCTCTGGGGTTCAAGCAATTCTCCTGCCTTAGCCTCCTGAGTAGCTGGGATTGCAGGTATGAGCCACAATGCCCAGCTAATTTTGTATTTTTAGTAGAGATGGGGTTTCTTCATGTTGGTCAGGCTGGTTTCGATCTCCTGACCTCGTGATCCTCCCTCCTCAGCCTCTCAAAGTGCTGGGATTACAGATGTGAGCCACCACACCCGCCCAAGATTTTTCTTTATGCATTAATGTTTCAGAGTTCTCAGGAGCATGCTGTCTCATCGTGAAAGCAAAAGGCATCACAACACATGAAGACTTAATAATATTTGAACATTCTGTATTTAGTTTTCATTTAGTGCAGATAGTAGCTCGTTTAGTGAATTTAAGAACTATTGTGCTTTTCATGGTGTTAGTGAATATTCGAGCATTGAAAAGACAGTGTGAAGACAAATTTTCCTGTATTTTTTTAATGTTGATAAAGGAGGGAGGGGAAGAAAAAAATGTTGATAAAGGTGATTATACGCCAAATCTGATTTTTTATTAAAATGAAACATACTGGTTTATTTTGGAAGCCAGTGACCTCAACGATTTACATCTTAAGAGAGGAATCTGTAGGGCGTAAGGCAGCCAAAGACTGACAGTATGCCAGATGCAATTGATACTGGAGCTTTAACTGTATGAAGTGTATTAGAATTGTTATTGATTTTTGTTGGTGCTTTCCTTACAGAATTGTACAGGTTTTAGGGGATAGCCATAATCTTATTTTGCCAGAAAACTTCTTAGATTCAGTGTATACTGTTACAGAATATAAGGCTTTTCATCAGTCTGTATTAGCTGAAATACCTGTATTAAGGTGTTTTGAAGTAACTGTCCAGTTATCTCCTATATGCATTCTTGGCTCAGACCTACTGACTTTTCACAGTTCCTTAATCATTATTTAATACATTTTAGGATTCTGTAATCCTGTGAATTACACTTCTTATAGGTTTCTCATAGTCTAAGAGAAACTAGTGCCTTAATCTAAATTTATGTGTTGTAATATTGCTTATATCTTTTTTTCCCAACCTCACGTCCTCCTCCCAATATTGCTCATATCTTAACAGCAAACTGGAAATTAATAGGGTGTGTGTGTATGTGCTTTGGAGGGTAGTGGATTTTGGGTGGAGGGGCTTTCATTCTGCTTCTTCTCGCTGCTGATTTGGAGGTACAATGGGATGCTTTTGGCTATAGAAATGTTACAATACTGTAGTGTGGTCTGTATGAAAGCAGGCCCAGAGACAGTAGCAGCTGAAGTTCCTAGGTCACTTCTCTGAGTTGTGTGTGTACCTGAGTTTTTGTTTGGAAAACCTGAGAACTTTTTGATAGGAACTCTTGGCCATATTATAGTTGTTAAGTTACGTGGTCACACAGGTTTTACCTGGAATGATACTATTTCCCAGCCACTTGTTCAGACTTTTTGAGGAGCCATTGCAAGGAAATGGCTAAGAAATTGGTATCTTTGTTATGATTGTACCATTTACCCAGAAATTCTCTACGTGTCAGTACTTGTGACACTAGAGGCTGATCAACACCCACTTACTTCACTTTGTATAGCTTTTAGGGTCTTCAAAATAGTAAATGGTATATCAAACTATAAAAGTGAGGTGTAAATTTGCATGTATGTGAATATGAAAGTTACTACTAAAAGAGTACACATGGCTCTGCTGTGGTTTAAAACTGACTTTTTCATTTAAGGCAATCTGGACTCTATTTGAAATAAATTGTTTTTCTTGGTTTTATTCTCTAAAGGATCCAGCATTCGGAGGCAAACATGACGCTCCATCCTCTCCAATTTCGGGGCAACCATGTGGAGATGATCAAAATGCTTCACCTTCAAAACTTTCAAAGGAAGAGTTAATACAGAGTATGGATCGTGTAGATCGAGAAATTGCAAAAGTAGAACAGCAGATCCTTAAACTGAAAAAGAAACAAGTAAATGCCTTTGCTTAATATATTCTAAGAATGTATGTTTGTCTTCCTACAGGAGATAATTTTGAGTTTTCCATATTTTGAAACTTAATATAAAAGGAATCATGCCTTATATATTCTATGACTTGCTGTTTTTTGCTATTATTGTGGTTTTCTTACATTCATTCATTTTCCCTGCTGCACTGTCTGATTATATAATTGTAGAGAGTGAAATTGTTTGTCCATTCTATTTTTGATGTTCTTTTTTTCTATTCCATATAATGTTACTGGTTTTTAGTTCACATGTAGAGATTTTCTAGGGCATGTACCTAGGAATTGCAGTGCTTGGCCCAAGATTATACACAGTGAACTATTTAATAGATGATGCCAAATTTGCTAAGAAGTAATACCATTTTACATTCCCACTGGCAGCTTATGTGAGTACTGGTTTGTGCACATTCTTGCCTTTACTTGATACAGTTTTTAAAGTTGGATACGAAATGGTTTTCATTGTGGTTTCAATTTGTATTTCCCTGATTAGGGAGGAGACTGAGCTTATTTTCATTTGTTTATCAGTTATTTGAGTTCCTTATGTCCATTGTTTAAGTCTTTCATCTATATTCTCCTATTTTGTCATTAAAATTTTTAGGATTTCCTGAAGTCTCTTGTCAGATATGTGTATAGCAGATATTGCCTAGTTTGTGGTTTGTCATTTCACTTTTAGCCTAGTATTCACTCTCAGTGTATTTTTTTGGATTTGGAGTCTCACTCTGTCACCCAGGCTGGGGTACAGTGGCACGATCTCGGCTCACTGCAACCTCTGCCTCCCAGGTTCAAGCAATTCTCCTGCCTCAGCCTCCCGAGTAGCTGGGACTACAGGTGCATGTCACCATGCCCAGCTTTAAGTGCTTTTAATATATTCGTAAAGTTGTGCAGCTATCGCCACTCTCTAATTCCAGAATATTTTTATCATTTCAAAAAGAAAATCCAGTAGTTACTCCCCATTTCCCCCTTTCCCCAGCCCCTGGCAACCACTAGTGTGTTCTCTGTCTCTATGGATTTGCCTGTGCTGAATATCAGAAAAAATAGAATTATATGTGATCTTTTGTGTTTGGCTACATTTATTTAGCATGTGGTCCCAATTCATCCATGTTGAATCTTGTCTCAGCACTTCATTACTTTTTATGCCTGAATTCCGTTGCATGAGTATACTATGTTTTGTTTATCATTAATTAGTTGATGGATATTTTGAGTTGTGTTCATTTTTTGAGTATGATTAATAATGTAATGTGATGAAAGTCATGTCTCATTTTCCTGTGGACATATTTTTACAATTTTCTTTTATCTAGGAGTGGACATATGGTGAATCTATGTTTAAATTTTTGAAAAACTTCAAAACTGTTTTCCAAAGCCTCTGTACCATTTTACATTCTCAAGAGCAGTGTTATGGAGGTTCCATTTTTTCCTACCTCCTTGCCAGCATCTGCTGTTTTCCTTTTCAAAAAAATATAGCCATCCTTGTAGATGTGAAGTGGTATCTAGTTGTGGTTTTCACTTGCATGTCCTTAATGACTAATGATGTTGAATGAGCATCTTTTCATGTGCTGATTGGCCATTCGTATATCTTTTATAGAGAAATGTTTATTTAGACTGTTTGCTCATTATTTAATTGGGTTGTCTTTTTATTCTAAGAATTCTTTTTTTCCTTTATCCTCTGAAATCTAGGTGGATGTTCTAAGAATTCTTTATATATTCTAGGTATTAGTCCATCATCAGGTATATGACTTACTAGATATTCTCTCTCATTTTGTGGGTTCTTTTCACTTTTCTGATAGTATCATTTGATAGACAAAAGTTTTGTTTTTTTTGTTTTTTCTTTTGAGTTGGAGTCTTGCTCTGTTGCTAGGCTGGAGCGCAGTGGCGCAATCTTGTGCCTCCCGGCTTCAGGTAATTCTGCTTCAGCCTCCCAAGTAGCTGGGACTACAGGCATGTGCCACCACACCCAGCTAATTTTTGTATTTTTAGTAGAGATGGGGTTTCACCATGTTGGCCAGGCTGGTCTGTATCTTCTGACCTTGTGATCCGCCTGCCTTGATCTCCCAAAGTCCTAGGTAATGTACAGAAGTTTTGAATTTTTATGAAGTTCAGTTTGTTTTTTCTTTTGTCACTCTTGCATTTGGTGTTATATTTAAGAGCCATTGCTTGATTCATGGTCACAGATTTATATCTGTGTTTTCTTCTACAAATTTTATAGGCCTCTTATATTTGGGTCTTTGATCCTGATAGTTTTTTTTTGCTGAACTGAATTTGTTTAGGTTTTATATGAAACCCCCCCTGGGATTATTAAGGTAGTTTTACTGTATTATTTTTAAAAGTTTTATAGTTTTGCTTCTTATCTGATTCTTAATCCATTGGAAGCTACATGTTGCATAGTCAGTATTCATTTATATTTATCCACGTTTGTCTTGACTTCTTACTTGCTCACTATTTCTTCTTGCAACTCAAGTCTTCCATCTAGGGGAACACCCTTCTACTGAAGAACATCTCTTAGAATTTCCCTTAGTGAAGGTCTTTTAGTTGGCAAATTCAGTATTTGTTTGGTTTTTATGACTTAAATCTTATTTGTGGCCTGTTTATTAAAAGACATATTAGCCGGGCATGGTGGCTCGTGCCTGTAATCCCAGCACTTTGGGAGGCAGAGGTGGACGGATCATGAGGTCAGGAGATCGAGACTATCCTGGTTAACATGGTGAAACCCTGTCTCTACTAAAAATACAAAAAATTAGCTGGGCGTGGTGGCGCATACCTGTAGTCCCAGCTACTCAGGAGGCTGAGACAGGAGAATCACTTGAACCTGAGAAGCGGAGGTTACAGTGAGCTGAGATTGTGCCACTGCACTCCAGTCTGGGTGACAGAGTGAAACTCCGTCTTAAAAAAAAATTAATTTGGTATGTGATTATTTTTTCTTAGTACATTGTCTTCTCACTTCCATTTTTAAGACATTAGCTGTTGTTCTAAATCCGTATTCTTTCATGGATAGTGTGAATTTTCCCTCTGGTTGTTTTCAATACATTATTTTCCTTGGGGTTCCATTATTTTTATGATGATGCTTTTAGGTGTTTTTTCCCCCCCTTTTAAATCTATCCAACTTGAGCTTCCTGAATTTGAAGGGTAGAGTTTTTTCGTCACTTTGGGAACATTCCGAGCCATTATCTATTTTTAAAAAACCTTTCTAACATTTTCTTTCTCTACTTAGGAAATTCCTGTTAGTTGTAGCATCTTACCACTCTTGTCTTCCATGTCTCTTAATTGTTTCTCTTTCTCATTTTTTACCTCTTTGGGCTTCATTCTGAGCAGTTTCTTCAGACTGTCTTCTAGTTTACATTTTCCTTTTTAATTATATGTAATCTGTCAAATCTGTCTTCAATTTCAACAATTATGTTTTTATTTCTGGAATTTCTATTTGGCTCCTTTTCAAATCTGCCTGGTCAGTTTTTAAAATGCTTCTTTGCTTTCATTTAATCATATTAAATTTTTATTATATGCCCAACAGTTCTAGTTAAGTCTTTATTGGTTTGATTTTGCTGAGTCTCTTTTCTTTTCTTTCTTCTGGCTTTAGTTTTTTTACTTGTATAATGGTAATAATCTAGTAATAACAACAACTAAATCACATGATTGTTTTATAAATTGAGATAATGAATATATTGCATACTATCTGGTGCATAGTAAATGTACATGCAATACATTATAATTAGAAATAATGAAATATAATGTATGATTATTATGAAATGTACCAGAGCTACAAATTTAATGAGAGATATATAAAAGACAACTAGAGAAAACAAAGAAGCCTGCCCTAGCTGGATGGAAACATTAGTAATAATGTTGTGTGTTCATCTTGCACTAAATCATGTCTCATACAAGTACAATAAAATTCCAACTAAATTTATTTTTGAAGCATGGCAAGTACATTGTAAAGTTAATGTAAATGAACAGACAGGGCCAGGCGTGGTGGTTCAATGCCTGTAATCCCAGCACTTTGGGAGGCGGAGGCTGGCTGGATCATCTGAGGTCAGGAGTTCAAGACCAGCCTGGCCATCATGGTGAAACCCTGTCTCTACTAAAAAGACAAAAAGTTTGCCTGGTGTGGTGGCAGGTGCCAGTAATTCCGAGGACAAACAAACAAACAGGTGAGGGGAGAGAGAGAGAGAGTGTTTGCTTTTAGCCTTTGAGGTATAATGTTTTTGTCCCAAGGCTTTTTGGGTACTACAAAGTGTGATTTGTTTATTCCTTAACAAGGATTATACAAGAAGGCCCTCTAAGCCTGAATGAAAGGGCATCATTGAAGAACCCTTTATCAAAAGAAGGATTTAAGAATTTCAAATATCTTTCTTTTGCTTATACAGATAACAGACTGCAAGAGTGCTTGTAATTCCAAAGTGGAAGTGTTCCTAGCAGTTTAGACTCTCTTGGTGGATTTTTTTTTTATTTTTAATTTTTTTTCCAGTTGGGCAGCCTCCTGAGCCACAGTAGGCTCAGAGACTCCCTCTTGGTGGATTTTTATGCTTTCATTTGGGCATGATCTGATTTATAGGACTGGGAGCTTTGACTATCAGTCTTATTTAGCAGTATAGATAATTTTTTCCTATAGGCTATATACTAGACTTAACCTTGATTTGCCTTTACCTAATTTTTCTTTTATCATCTTAGGCAGTGGACATATGCTATATTTATTCATGTGGATTTTTTGTTTTTTGAGATGGAGTTTTGTTCCCACCATTCAGGCTGGAGTGCAGTGGCATGATCTCAGCGCACCCCAACATCCCCCTGCCTGGCTCAAGTGATTCACCAGTCTCAGCACCCCTCCACCCTCAGCAGCTGGGATTGCAGGCATGCGCCACCACGCCCAGCCAGTTTTGTATTTTTAGTAGAGATGGGGTTTCTCCATGATGATCAGGCTGGTCCCAAATTCCCGACCCCAGGTGATCCACCTGCCTCGGCTTCCCAAAATGCTGGGACCATAGCAGTGCGCCACTGTACCTGGCCTCATGTGGATATTTTTAAAGCAGTTACTAGGTATCAGGCACTGGCACTGGTTTGGGTGTTGAAAAAAAGCAGACAAGTCCCTGCTTGCTTCACTAGTAATACTTGGTAATATATACGTTTATAGTTGTAATATGCTTTATAATATATATATATATATAAAGTCATTTAGTCTTTTCAAAAAGCTGAATGATAGTAGTATTATTACCCCTACTTTATGAATAGTTTAGTGGTTTGCTTAAGATTGACCTACAGATCCAGAAAGGGTCCTAGGATCACACCACCTGTAAAGGGTGACCCTGAGTCTCAAACCCAGGCAAGCTAATAAAGATAGCGTTTTGCTTTATACTTGCACACAGCAACAGTCTGTATTTTTGTAGTTTTGTTGAGTGCCCTTTGGCTGGAGCACTGTAACACATGAAGGTTAGGTGTTGAGGGTGGCATGATGCTGTGCTGAGCTGAGGATTAACCCCTGAACTCCTTTCTACCATATTCTGCCCACCAGACAGTAATGTACACTGTGTATCTATAACATAGAAAAATGTTTTTTCAGTACTGTCAAAGGTCATTGTGATAGAGGTATATAGAGTACCTTCATTAAATTTAACTTATTGTTTTACTTTAGGTTAATCTGAATTAAAATCTTAAAGAATGCTTCCTCTTAGTTTCTTTTTTTTTTTTTTTAAACTCTGTCTTATGAAAATTTGTGTTGTGAAATAAATCTGATTAATTTTCTTTGAGCTCTTGGTCCATGAGATCCTTGTGGATTAATTGGTTGTCCTACAGAATCTGTAAGCAAAGCTTAGTGGCCAGTGTTACCTCCAGTGGTTAATCACTGGTGGGGTGGTGCGCAGCACATGTTTGACTCTTTCTTTCTGGATCTCTTAGCAACAACTTGAAGAAGAGGCAGCTAAACCTCCCGAGCCTGAGAAGCCCGTGTCCCCTCCTCCTGTGGAGCAGAAACATCGCAGTATTGTCCAAATTATTTATGATGAGAATCGGGTAAGCTCATACCATCTCTGGCAGCATAGGCCTTTAAACCCACTTGACTTTGCCCTTTTTAGTTTTGAATGTGTTCTGGTATAATTTTTATTAAAAGCTGGTTTCTCTTATGATTTTTAATGTTCATAAGCTTTGGCTGACTGAGCTTGGTGTTTTTTTTTCTTATCAATTGAAAGAAAAGTTTACATTTCTGCCTTAAATTATGTAATATTTCATTTTACATTATATATTACATAAATATTTAATCAGTAAAACTTTGTCAGTTGAGTCTCCTTTTATATGAATACTGACATGCAAGTTGGGTAGCATATAATGTAAAACAACCATTCTGTAATTTTTCCCTTAATAAAGAATGTTTAATGCTGACTACTGATAACATTTCAGTAAAGAAAGGTCATTGCGTGTGGAAATGAAGTTTCTTGTCAGCATTAGTTCACAGTTGATAGTTGGGTTATGGTTTGAACTTGTTAAAAAGTTCAAGGCTGGGCATGGTGGCTTACGCCTGTAATCCCAGTGCTTTGGGAGGCTGAGGTGTGTTGATCACCTGAGGTCAGGAGTTTGAGACCAGCCTGGCCAACATGGTGAAACCTTGTTTTCTCCTAAAAATACAAAAATTAGCCAGGCATGGTAGTGTGCCCTTGTAGTCCCAGCTACTCGGGAAGCTGAGACGGGGAAATCACTTGAACCCAGGAGGTGGAGGCTGTTGTGAGCTGAGATCTCACCATTCACTCTGGCCTGGACAACACAGCAAAACTTGGTCAAAAAGAAAAACCAAATTCAAAGTAAACGTTGACCTTTAGATAGACTTTGCTTTTTTAGGTTTACTTTCATACTCTTAATTAAAAATATCCATGGATTCAGAACAACCAGGCATGAATTCTGTGAATCATTTTTGTAATAACAAAGTTAGTTTTGGCCAGAACATGGCCCAGGAACTAGCAGTTAAAAGGAAACTGATTTTACCTCAATATGAAGAAAACGTTTCAACAGAGCTGTCTAACAGTGGGCTTTCAGAAGTCCACAGTGCAAAAAACGATAATATGCTTTATTCTGTGTGTGATAGAATAGGCTTTTAGCTAAAGGTGATCATCAGGTAAAAGTTAGGATTGTTGTTTAGATTTGTTTGCTCTGTAGTGAGTGAATTCATTTGTCAGTCTATCTTACATAGTCTGTAACTTTATAGTAGCCCAGAGCCTAAAGGAAATTGACCTTAAGTAAAGCAATTGTGGATTAACAAATATTTATTCACATGTACCCCTGAACTTAAAATAAAAGCTGAATAAATAAATAAACATTTATAGAAATGACCTTGGATTCAGATATACATGTAGCAGGTAGATAACTGAGAGTCATTAGAAACATACTTATGCTAATGATAAGTGTCATGAGCAGGTAAAAATATGGGCAATTAATATTATTTTCTTGGCTAAGTTTAACACTGGTCCAGTTTATTGTATGGCCACAAGAGTCTACATGAAGATAAATCCAGTAAAGGAACGGCTGGAGGTGACCATGCCTAAGATGGGGGCTGTGGCCCAGGATATACAGTTGCTCCATTATTTAAGAAAAGCCCAAAATATGGGATTTTATGTAAAATCTATGATTTGTTTAAAAAAAAAAATCTTCCGCATAGCTGCAAAATACTTTTGTGGGCCCATGGGCTCCATGGCCAGTTTGTGACTGTGACCTCTGAGATAAAGTAAATAGGGATTAGCAGTGATAACAATGGAGATTTGATAGTTTTTTTTACATTTTATAAAATGTGTGTTTTTTTTTTTTTTTAGTATGAATTTTTCAAATAAATTGGATTTGGTGATAATTACTAATTGATTTAATTTCTTAATGAGCCTTGTCTTACAATATTAGTTCTGTGGTTGCTTCACCGGGAAATCAGTATGATGTTTCTTGGTGCACATTAGCAAAACTTGAAAACTCCTTTTACACCTTTTCTTTCTCTATTAACATTTACACATTTGGTTTGTTGTTCATTCTATGAAGAAAACGAAATCTGAAATCTGTTTTAATATTAGACTTCTACAGCGAAGATTGTTTTTAACTCACAGCAACTATAGAAGTCATCTTTCTTTTCCTTTTTTTCTCTTCTTTTTCTTTCATTTTTCTTCTTCTGCCTCTTCTCTTCTCTTCTCCCTTTCCCTCCTCTCCTCCCTCTCTTTTCTTTTTCGTTTTCTTTCTTTTTTTTTTTTTTTTCTAAGACAGAGTTTGGCTTGGTCTCTGAGGCTGGAGTGCTGCGGCGCAATCTCGGCTCACTGCAACCTCCACCTCCCAGGTTGAAGCAATTCTCCTGCCTCAGCCTCCGAGTAACTGGGATTACAGATGTGGGCCACCACACCCAGCTAACTTTTGTATTTTTGGTAGAGACAGGGTTTCATCATGTTGACCAGGCTGGTATTGAACTCCTGGGCTCAAGTGATCCACTTGCCTTGGTCTCCCAAAATGCTACTGTGTCTGGCCTCTTTTCTTTTATTCCTTCTTTTCTTTCTAACAGACAAGGTCTCACTATGTTGCTCAGGCTGGTATTGAACTCCTGGCTTCAAGCAGTCCTCCTGCCCCAGCCTCCCAAAGTATTGAGATTACAGGTGTGAGCCCCCATGCCTGGCTTCATCTTTTCTTTTTTATGTATGTTTTATGCATGTACCTGTGCAGTTTCAGAATTGTAATAGGGGGCTCCCAGAGGGGAGTAGGAGAGTACAGTGGGCCTAGATCCCAGGCTTTCTCATATGTACTCCCCAAGGCTTTTTCTGTCCCACTATGCTCTTTTGAAAGGCCCTCCCTGCCTCTTTAGCTTTTTTAAATGAATGAGCTTATCTGTTTCAGCACTATAGGCAAGGAGTAATGGGGTAATGACAAAAGTATACCTCCCTCTTATTTCTTGTGTGGCAGCAGTCTACACTAGCTGGAATTAAGCCAAGTGTGGCTTAAGAGATAGACCATTTCTTTTCTTTAGAAAGTTAGTGGGAGTGAGAAAAAACTGCCCTAAAGTGTTAATTTAAAAGTGGACTTCCTGAGAAAAGTTGACTTGCATCATAGTTAAATTTCAGACTAAGTTTGTTTAGTCTCTAAACAGACTATTTTTAACAGTTCAATTTGATATTACTCTATCAATTGTAAGTTCCAAAAATATTTATAAATGTTCTAATTTCAGAAGAATAATGCATCAAGAAAAGTGATTGTTGGACTCTACTAGAGAAATTTTCAGGAACATCTTGTTCATATATATATTATTATTGTTATTATTATTTTTGAGATGGAGCCTTGCTCTGTCCACCCAGGCTGGAGTGCAGTGACATGATCTTGGCTCAGTGCAACCTCTGCCTTCTGGGTTTAAGCGATTTTTCCTCCCTCAGCCTCCCAAGTAGCTGGGATGACAGGTGCGTGCCACCATGCCTGGCTAATTTTTGTATTTTTAGTAGAGAGAGGGTTTTGCCATGTTGGCATGTTGGTCTCAAGCTCCTGACTTTGAGTGATCCGCCTGCCTCAGCCTCCCAAAGTGCTGGGATTACAGGTGTGAGCCTCCGCGACCTGCCTTGTTTATATTTTGATTGGTAGATTTGCAAGAGAATGTGACATCAGAAGAAGGAAAAGGGTGATAGTAGGAAGTATATTCTGTGCCAGTGCCTCTGGTCACCTAGGCCAGCGTCCTAGGAATTAGCCAATTCTATCTCTTTGCCATTTCATGTATGTTCAGGTAATCAGTGAAGAGTATCAGTCCTACCTAAATATTGGTCTGGTTGGTCTTTGTCTTCTTTCTCTACCTTTATTGTTAGCTTAATTTGAGCCTTCATCTCCCACATAGTTATTGAGTCTCCTTCTTCAGTCTGTTTCTTTCTAACCCATCTTTAATATTTTCATCCCATCACATGATTCTCCAAATAGAACCTTTTGATGATTTCCCACTTTCTACAGAATAGCCCAAACTTTTACTGGTGTTTACATGCTTATCCATCTGGCCCTTGCCCAATACTCTTTTCTTAGTAATACCCCACCGGAAGAGGTTTTGGATGTTTCTTTGTTAGTAGTACCTTTACCCTGCTATGTTGCCCCTGCCGTCTGGTGGCCCCATGTTTTGTCTTTTCTGCCAGGCACACTCGTACCTCAAGCCCCAGCTCAAGTATCATTTTCTCTAGGAAGGCTTTCAAGACCCCTCATCTTCCTATGGTGGGAAGGCTTATCTTTTTCATTGTTTTCTTAGTGTCTAGCAAGTGCTTGGCACGTAGAACATACTGAACATATGTTTGAAGAATTATTTACTTCTGTCTGTAGACTTAGAATGAAAATTATAATATGAACATATGAGAGTTTTAAGTTAAAATTTTTGTTGCCAAAGTATTGGTAGGTTAATCTTAGCAAGGGAAGATTTCTGCTAGGTAACACTTTGGTCTAGATTATTTTACTTTTGAAAATAGCAACTGGGTGCTGTGGCTCACACCTGTAATCCCAGAGCTTTGGGAGGCTGAGGTGGGGGGATTATTTGAGCCCAGGAAGTTGAGGCTGCAGCGAGCTGTGATCATGCCATTGTGTTCTAGCCTGGGTCACAGAGTAAGACCCTGTCTCAAAAATAAAAAAAATAAAAAAGGAAATAGCAGGTTACAAATATATATAATTCAGCATTTTTTCACTATTGAGTACCCTGAATAACAAATGAGCGGTTTTCTTTGTTGTTCAGCTGTTACTAAGGATTCCTTGTAACTAGAAAATTACCTCATTAAAACCTTTTCTTCAAAGAGATCAATGTGGCTTACCACAGTAAAGAGTGGCCATTTTATGGTATTTTATTGCTTTAAATTTCTGTTAAAGATGGTATGAGTTAAAATATGTAGAATGTTTGGGGGATTTATTTCTAATAGTGAATTTTCACTCCCTCTCTTTAGATTCTTGATATAATTATTAGATTTTAAAAACTTAACAATTCTTAGCTGTGCCTGGTGGCTCATGCCTGTAATCCCAGCACTTTTGGAGGCTAAGGCGGGTGAATCAGAGGTCAAGAGATTGAGACCAGTCTAGTCAATTTGGTGAAATCCTGTCTCTACTAAAAATATAAAAATTAGCTGGGCGGGTGGTGCATGCCTGTAGTCCCAGCTATTTGGGAGGCTGAGGCAGGAGGATTGCTTGAACCTGGGAGGCGGAGGTTGCGGTAAGCCAAGATCACGCCATTGCGCTCCAGCCTGGGCATCAAGAGTAAAACTTCATCTCAAAAAATTCTTCAGGCATTGCTTTCAATGTAAATGTTAAGTTTTGACTGAATTTGGTGAGGAAAGCTATGAAAATAAAATTTAAGAGTTTCTATCATTGTAACTACAAATTAAGAAAAAATAAAAAACAGTTGGAGCGTGTTTCAGCCTATCATATAGAAGAACGATATTTGGAAATAAGGATAAGTTCATCTGTAGATTAGTCTTAGATAAATATTTTTTAAATAGTGATTTTGCACTTAGGTAATGTAATTTTTAATTATATGATACAACAATGTCTTTGTCTCTAGAAAAAAGCAGAAGAAGCTCATAAAATTTTTGAAGGTCTTGGCCCAAAAGTTGAACTGGTAAGTAAGAAATTAATTTTTTCATTTCCAGTGATATTTCCTTTTGGTAGTAGTTTTTCTTGGGATAAGATGGAATATGATCCATTTATTTTGGGATAAGAGAGATGTAGCTGAGCAGAGTTTGAGATGAAGTTTAGAGTAATGGTGAGTGAATTTGGTTACCTTTGCAGACTTTTGTTGAAGCATTATCTTGAGCATATTTTTACTTGAGCAGCTATTTAATCATTCCAGGTAGAATGAGAATTAAGAACAGAATTAGAAAGCTCTTTGAATTTTACTGTTAAAATAGTGGCAATGCTTAATCCTCCTTTGAAATTAAAAGTTAATCCGCCTTTGAAATTAAAATTCTGTGCATAAATATACTTATTATGGGAAACTGCATTTATAAACTGTCTTATGGGAGTGGCATTATTAGGAGATGGAATTAACAGTTACTTTAAGGAATCTAAAAGTTTAAGGTTTTGGTAGGGCATGTTATTGTATAGATCCATTAGTACTTTACCTGTGCGTACATTAAAATTTTGTTTCTTTGTCTCTTCATAGACATATGTACAACATTTTATGCATAAATATTTGATTTCTTTTATAGCCACTCTATAACCAGCCATCAGATACCAAGGTGTACCATGAAAACATCAAGACGTAAGTATTGATCATCTTTGGAGTTCTTCAATTAAAGACCATATATTCTATAAAGAAACCATTTTTATGTTATCTGCTGACAGAATTATAATATAGTGTAGGTGTGTTTTAGATTTGTGTAATTTGCCGTTGTTTTACTATGTTATCTTCCTCTGGCTTCTTGGGGGTTGGGGTAACAGCTTTGAGTTTCCGAGGCCAAAAAATGAAATAAATTGTTGCATAAAACTAGCTGGTTTTATAATCTGCTAGTAAAAAAGGTGGATACTTAACATTGAAATGGCTTACCTTGAGGCTTGAATTTTTTGCCTCCTGTTTTGTCTTTTTTTCAGTGGAGTACCTGCAAGGCGCATGATGAAGTAAGATAATGAAGCTTTTTCATTTAAGACTAGTGATGACACCGTCCCCCACCAAGCCACATCTGCCATTGCAAAGTAGAAGTGCCACGGATCATTTTATCATTATTCAAAATCCTATTCTAGGGAAATCCCTTCCATGACTCTTGCTAATGACGGTATTTGTAGACCCTTCTGCCATTTAATGTCCTGGTGCCTTGGAAGTGCTCAGTCACCTCATGTGGGTGAGGAGGCTGCTCCAGAATATAGTTTGCTTAGCCTTGCTCATCCTAGTACCAGGCCTTTATGGATGCAGATTTTGGAATAAGAAAATAAGTGAAAAGAAAATCTGATTTCTTGATCTGATTGAAATAAGAAAGGAAGCTAGATAGGTATCTTTTTAAAAAAAATTATACTTTAAGAGAATTTTAGGTGAATTCTTAGTTTGTGACAAAAATGTGATATTTCTACTTTATATGTTTTATTAAGTATAACCAGATCATTATAATTATTTACTAGTATTGTTGCTAATGAGCACATTGCTATTTATTATATATATACACACACATATATATATATATATATATACTTTTTAAAAAAATTTCTTACTGAGAGTATGTGCAATTATTGACTACTTTGCAGAACTGGTGGCAAATATAATTTGCATGGTAGTATGCATGAAAACAACTGAATTTGAATAATTTTAACTTTTGTTAAATAAGTGGTTCGTAATAAAAGTTAATGTATTTGTGAATTTTTCTGTGAGATGCTATTATGATCTTGAGAACCCTTAGAAGTAAATCAGTCAAAACTCACACAATAATATACCCTGTTTGGAACTGCTTAGCTGTTGTAACATTTTTAAAGAGGAGAAGAGCAGATAAGACTTAGTTTGCTACTTTTAATGACTTCCCCCCCCCCCCCCCCCCAAAGCCTCAGTTATGTTTATGTTCTGTCCTGTTTCTCCTAATACAATCTGGAGAGCAGTTCTGTCTGATTTATTTCATGTCATCTACATTGCCTATTTAGTGCTCAGCACACTGTCCTGAGATGGATTACTGACTGGCTGACTTCATTTAAATTTCTAGGAAACATTTAAGATTGTATTTGTTGATTGTCATTTGCTTTTGAGTAACGTATAATTATCATTAGAGCAAACTGAGTATATGGTAATGATTCCCTGTACAACACCTTTTGAAATATTTGCTCAGCTGCATGCATCTGTATTAGTCATTCAGTAGCTGTTCTTTCATCACCATCATTTGCTTTGTATGAAATAGCAAATGTACATTTTAACAATTCTTTTCATCTCTTGGCTACTTTTTCATATAGCCAGCTCCTGATTGTCCATGCTTACTTGAGTGGAACCAGTGTCACTGTTAGTCCAGAGTGGCAGATAATCCACAAAATTACTTCTGCTTGCCTTGGCTTTGTATTTATATTTGAATAATCAGCTTGAAATCCTTTCTGGAAGTAGGTGGGGTATAAATATTTATATTTGAACCTGCATGTCATTGTTTTTGAAGGTCGCAATGCTTCCAATTTAAAAAGTGATTAAGATGTATTAGAAATCTTGCTCTTTTATCACATTGCCCTCCATTACTTCTTAGAGTTGATTGTGTCATTTCTGTGACTGAAGAAAATCTCTGTTTAAAGCAGAAGTCATCTGTCTCTACATATGTGGTTATACATTATCCTCATAGAAGGGAGGTTAGCACCTAACCTGATGTGGGGAGGTAACTCTAAAAGCGTTTCCTTCTCTTCTACCTCTCATCCTCCAAGACTAAGATGTTTATCAGAGTTGTTAAGAAGGATAAGTAACTGTAATTTTAATTTGAAAATATTTGCCTTATAATTGGATTTGCTAATTGAAAGTTAACTGTTTTATATAAAGTCTTACTGTAGAATGAGAGGAACTTTAGTGAGTTCTACTTTTGGCAAAAATTATAAAGTCTTATTTTGCAGGGTGAAAAAAATAGGATTAACTTTGTTTACATTATAAATTCTTAAGTGATTTTTGCCTGTGTTCCAGTGTCTTGGGAAAAAAGCAAATACATTATTAAATTGTGCTTTTTCTTAATGTCATGCAACCATATTTTTCTCTTCTAGAAACCAGGTGATGAGGAAAAAACTCATTTTATTTTTTAAAAGAAGAAATCATGCAAGAAAACAAAGGGTGAGGTCCTATCCTTGTTAACTGAAATTTGTACAGCTTTCCCATTCATGCTCATTTAGGTATTCACTTTCCCACTATTAATGAGAATGGTCCTTGACTCCATTTGAGGATAAGTGTTGATTTAGAAAGTAACCATATATATGACTAAAATCTAATTCTAGTAACATTTTGATACCATAATTTACATGTAATATCATTATCAAGTTAATTTCATTGGTCACCTATCTAGAACATTTTCATCTAGTCAAAATAAAGAAAATGGTGAGTAGTTTAAAAAATATGAAAGATAGATAATTTAGTTTCTTAAGCCTCAAACAATTCTGGGTAAGTTGCAGTCATGCTGATTAGATATTATTGTTCTTTATTTTATTAGAAACTGGGTCAGCTAGGGTTCAGCTTTTTCAAATTCAAATAGTTTTCCATATTTTGTTATATGACTTGCAGTCCAAAAGTTTTGTGGTTATATAGTCTTCATGGTAATTAAATTATAGAAAATATAATGCCAGTGATTTTTTTTTATAATATGTTTATACTGATTTTACAGATTTACAATTAGCAATAAATTTATAGTTTAACTGTTAATACATTTAAATTCAAGTGTCTGTTAAGTAAATCCTGCTCTTTAAATCTACATCAAAAATGAACTTTGTGGCTTAAGTATAATGACTTGACAGTTTAATGTGTTGTAAAGGTCAAGAGTAAGCCGCTTTTATTTGGTGGAAAATGTCTAATGTTCTAATTTGCCAGTCTGTTCCTTCAGATACTATCTTAAATTACGGTCTTAAATTTTTTTTTTTTTTCTTTTGCCAAGAACATATAAATATCAAGTAAGAAGTTAGCTCATGTATTTTTTTTTTTTTCCTTTCCAAGTAATTTTGTTGTAATTGTGGTACTTGCTAGATTAGCTCACTGGTGATGCAAACACTATAAGGTTTGTGTGTTCACCAATTAGCTTAAATATTGCTTGGCTGGGTACTCTGTCCCATATATTCTGTGAAGGTGAGCAAGGTAGCCATATGGTTTTAGTAGTTTTAGGGGGAGCCTAAGGTGATGGGAGTCAGACAGGTCAACAGGTTGTCATAGTATTGGATCACACCATGGCCGTGGACTATAGATGACTGAGGAGAACACCTAAAGCAGATAGGAATTATGAGGGGAAATTTCATGGGAAAACCAGTTCTCTGCAAACTTGTATACACAGAGGGAGCTGCGTAAGTGAATGTCTGGGAGCTGGAAGGAATGTGGACTGAGCTGGCAGTGTGAGAAATGAGGCTACTGAGGCAATCCAGAGCCAGGTTGTATACTGTCCTGGAGGTTGCATAATGTTTGGGTTTTTGTTGTAAGAATTTGCATTTGGCTACAATATTAAGAATGCATGGTGTAACTTGATCAAGACAGTTGCAGGCGGGGGAAAAAAAAAGAATTCATGGGAGCTATTGTTTTGATCTAGAAGAGGGATGGTGTTGGCCTGGATTGTGAGGGTAATAGTAGAAATGGAGAAAAGGTGAAGGACACAGAAGACATATAGGAGTAATTGAGAAGTGGGAGTGGGGTGTGGTATGGAATTTGAGAATGATAATATTCTCCAGTGCTACTTTCTTGAGATCACTGTGTTAGCAGTTTTTCATGAGCCCTTCTTCACTTTCCTCTATCCATATATCATCAGATACGTTGACAGTTCTTTGTCCATAATGGAGGGTTCTTCAGTCTTTTCTTCTCTATTTAGAAAACGGTATCATAGTTCATTTCTCTAAAAGCATTAATTCTCAATTTCATGTAGTTCACTGGATTTTCTTTTTTTTTTTTTTTTTTTTTTTTTTTGAGACAGAGTCTTGCCCTGTTGCTCAGGGTAGAGTGCAGTGGTGCCATTTTGTCTCACTGCAACCTCCACACCCTGGGTTCAAGCAATTCTCCTGCCTCAGCCTCCCAAGTAGCTGAGACTGTAGGTGTCTGCCACCACAACCAACTAATTTTTGTGTTTTTAGTAGAGACGGGGTTTCACCATATTGGCTAGGCTGGTCTATCTTTTGACCTTGTGATCTGCCCGCCTCGGCCTCCCAAAGTGCTGGAATTATAGGCATCAGCCATTGTGTCCAGCCTGGATATCTTTTTATAATAAAGTATAACCAACCAATTTCTGCCTTTTTCATATTGTCAAAAATGTTTATTACATACTGTTATTTATAATAGCTAAAAATGATGATCAACCAGAACCTTCAACAATAAAACAGTTAAAGTGTGCATGTTTTCTTTCGCAGATTGGAAGGATAAACAAAATGTTCATATGGTTGCCTTTGGGTAATTGGTCAGATTATGAACTATTTACATGTTTGTATTTTTAATTTTCCATTTTTGGGGACAATAATGACATAATGTTTTAAGCAAAATAAAAGTAACTGGTCAGCTAATATCAGTAGTAGATTGTCAAGTACTTTATAAATATGCATAACCTTACTGTTAAATAAAAAATCCAGCCAAACTGTGCTCTGTGTGTTGACCTTAGTAGGAAACGGAGCTACCTTTTTTCTCTCCTCTTTCAGCTTTTCATTCACAATTGAATCATAAGCCAAATGTACTTCTGACTTAACCTTAAGAAGTAGCATTTATTTTAAAGGATTAGGTTTGTCAGAATCAGAGTTCAGTTTAATTATTATTAATTTGCTACGGATATTTAATAGGAACAAAAAATCTGCCAGCGTTATGATCAGCTCATGGAGGCATGGGAGAAAAAAGTGGACAGAATAGAAAATAATCCTCGGAGGAAAGCTAAAGAAAGCAAAACAAGGGAATACTATGAAAAGCAGTTTCCAGAAATTCGAAAACAAAGAGAACAGCAAGAAAGATTTCAGCGGTAAGTAGTTTGATGTTTAATGACTGTGATATTTTCCTTCAAATATTTATTGTTTCTTATAACTGATCATGAAGAAAGTTTATAAAGAACTTTTATGTTGTGGACACACAGAGGGGAACAACACCTACTGGGGCATATCAGAGTGTGGAGGGTGGAGGATGGAAGGAAGGAGAGGATCAGGAAAAATAACTAGTGGATACTAGGCTTAATACCAGAGTGATGAAATAATCTGTACAACAAATCCACGTGACCCAAGTTTACCTGTGTAACAAACCTTCGCTTGTACCCACGAACTTAAAAGTTAAAAGAACTTTTATGTTGTGACGAAAACTTTATTATCAACCAGTAAAGATTATGTCATCGTAAATTTGATTTTTATATTATCCTCTTGAATCTAAATATAAGTGAATATTTTGAAATTAATTCTGAACTAAATTAAGTTTAGTTCCTAAAAATATTAAATAGCTTTGAAATGATAGTTAATAAGAACAGACATGAATATCCTTTATACCTTCATTACCAACATAATCAAACTATATTCAGTTGATGGTCAATTAAGAAATTCTTTGACTTTGGTAGATTCTGATTTGTTTTACTTTTAGTGAAAAGGTATTTTACAAAATTGTTAAAAGCTTTAGTTTTCTTCTTTATTGTCTCATGTTAAGAGTCATGTAAAAAAAAAAAAAAAAGTCACGGAAGCCCCTTAACTCACAATTAAATTTTTGTAAAGGATGTTTCTTGAGTTTTTTCTCTCCATTTAAAAATGTTTTATGTATTTTTCTAAGTCTACTACAGGGCATACAAACACTGCTATTCGAAATGGAAATGGCATCCAATAACTATGGTTTTTCAAAAGTTTTCTATAACTAGTTCTACCATTTAAATTTGAACATATAACCTTCAAATCTCAATCATAGCATTTAAATTGTTTTTAATAGGTGACACAAGCATATTATTATTTTTTAAATAAGTTAAATTTTTTTGAGATGGAGTCTCACACTGTGCCCAGGCTGTAGAGCAGTGGCAGGACCTTGGCTCACTGCAATCTCTGCCTCCTGGTTTCAAGCAGTTCTCCTGCCTCAGCCTCCCGAGGAGCTGGGACTATAGGTGTGTGCCACCATGCTCAGCTAATTTTTTTTGTATTTTTAGTAGAGATGGGGTTTTACCATGTTGGCCAGGATGGTCTTGATCTCCTGACCTCGTGAACTACCTGCCTCGGCCTCCCAAAGTGCTGAGGTTACAGGCATGAGCCACCACGCCCGGCCAGTTTTTTTTTTTTTTTTAAGCTGGAGTCTTGCTCTGTCATCCAGGCTGGAGTGTAGTGTTGTGATCTCGGCTCACTGCAACCTCCACCTCCAGGTTCAAGTGATTCTCCTACCTCAGCCTCTTGAGTATCTGGGATTACAGGTGCGTGCCACCAGGCCCAGCTATTTGTTTTATTTTTAGTAGAAACAGGGTTTTACCATGTTGGTCAGGCTGGTCTTGAACTCTTGACCTTGTGATCTGCCTGCCTCAGCCTCCCAAAGTGCTGGGATTATGGGCGTGAGCCACTGTGCCCAGCCCTAGCATATTATTTAAAAGTAGATACTCAATAGTATTTTATGTTTCTTCTCTTAAATTGGTTAAAAAGTTCCATTCAGAAAAGTAATATATAGTTAATTTAATTGGTATGTCTTCTTTATAAAAGGCCTTTAAATATATTTTAATTTCTCCCTCATGTTTAGAGTTGGACAAAGGGGAGCTGGTCTTTCAGCCACCATTGCTAGGAGTGAGCATGAGATTTCTGAAATTATTGATGGGCTCTCTGAGCAGGAGGTAAGAAAATTAATTTAATTCAAGTTAATTTGTTAATTATTAAAGCATTTTAACTCTAGACTAGGAGTTAAGGGTTTTGTATGTGAATGTGGAAACTTTATTAGGTGTTAGACTGTTTCAAGGATTTGAGGCCTCTGTTGAAGGGTTTTTAAACGAGGCAGTCACAGTCATACTGGAATTTTACAAAGATGTCTTTGGCAGCAGGGAGACCTAGAGAGAGGTGAGGAGGCTGTTGTGATAAAAATAAGGATCTGAGTCAGGGCAACAGTGGTAGGGATGTATAGGAAAGTATAATAGAAAGGTGTGGGAGATGAGAAAAAGGGGGAACAGAATATGACTCCCTGGTTTCTAGGTTAGAAGACTAAGCTGATGGTGCCATTTCCTAAAGTAGCAAAGGAGCATGCATTTTTATGTTCTTCAAAGGGTGCTATCTAGCAGGTGAACCTGGGAGAGGTTGAACTGGGGATGGTTAGATACCAGAGTCATCTGTATGCAGGTGACATAGTCCCAGGCAATCATGGTAACATGAAGTCAAAGAGGCAGGTAAGTGAGATTATAGAGATTAAGTTTATATATGGAAGAGATTTATCTATGAAGAAGAAGGCCATTTCACTAATTTTTAAGGTGAAGGTACACTTTTGTAGTGAGTGGCGTTACTTTGTTTTTCAGGCATTTCTTTGCCTGTGTAAGGAGCAGAATTAATAAAATTATGAAACAAGTAGTAGACACCAAGGTATACATTTGAAGAAGAATTTATCTCCAGACCCAACAGAAATATTTCCTCCCTTATGAAGCTTTCTTACTCACTTTCCCAAAACAGAAATAATCAATATCTAGTTAGTGTCAGTTTACATTTATTTCTGTTGTGTTTATCTTTCTGTTTAATAAATATTTATGATCAGCTAAAGTGTCATCTTCATGAGTGCGATTATTATACCTTTGGATCAGGCTGTCTTTGAGTCCCTGGTGCCTAATGTTTAGTTGTATATTAATACGGAAATGCAGAGTAAGAATAAATTTCCATTTCTGTCATTGAGTTTTCTTAGCCATGTCAAACTCTCAAGATTGTTCTGAAAGCCACCTACCATTGACCGAGTTTTGCTAGTTTTGATTTTTTTATATGACTTTTCTTAAACCTCATCTCAAAATTCTGAGAGGATTTTGTAGAGATGGGGTCTCACTACACTACCCAGATTGGTCTTGAACTCCTGGGATCAAGCAGTCCTCCTGCCTTGGACTCCAAAAGTGCTGGGATTATAAGCATGAGCCACTGTGCCCAGCAATTTTTCATTTCTTTTGTAGCAATATATTCAAAACTTTAAAATATAACCACTTATTCTATATTGGTTTAAGAATTACCTCTAAAGTACATGATTGAAATCACATTCAGCCCTTGGAATACATAGCCATTATTTCTACAATGACGATTAAATCTTTGTTAAATTTCTTTATTCACTCTTTGACCAATTCCATTAGGAAACATCTGTAAGCATCTAAAATTAGTTTGTGTATTGATGTCATTTCAGTCTAATGTGTCTGAAACACTACAGTGTTCAAACTGATTCAGTGTGTCTCATAAAATTAGAGACTTTGTAAGGACTTGACTATTAGGCAGTGTCCACTTTTATGAGGAAGATTTTTAGGGCACCTTTTCTTATATTTGGGTAAATACTTGTAATTTGGGTAAACATTTTTAAATGGAAGCTTGTGCTTATAAATTTTGTCAGTTAAACTTTGGGAAAAATAAGTTCTACATGTATAACAAAGTTTTAATTGAAACAAGCTTTATTTCTAAGAATAACAGCCTTAAATTTTCAATGGAAAGATTATGTAAAATTAAGAAGCATTTAATAGTAAAATGAGTTTAATTTAAAATCGATGACTTAGATTTTGATGCCTGTTGGCTTATTTTTCTATTTATTGTTCTCTAATACGATGGTAAGAATTGTTGTCTAAAATGATGTTGAGGTTTTACAAAATGAGACTATATGATCGTTAAATGCTCCATAAGGTCACCTCTTCAGTGAACTTGACATTACCTTTTATCTTCCAGGTTTAAATTTTATTATGTTAAGCATCAGCTTAGTTTAAAAAAAGAATGCTTCTCAAAGGAGTGGATTATTTAAAAAATGATATGGATATTCTCTGCCTCTGTAATTCATAAAGTGAATGTTTATTGGATATATGAGTAATTACTATATGTTAGATGCCGTGGTATACACTGTTACTGTCATTAAACTGTATACATGGTTTTTTAGTATATATTGAGAACATTGGTCCATGGCCCTCCTTAATTTCTAGTTTACATTTTATTCTAAGTAAATTGTATTTTTTTTCCAGAATAATGAGAAACAAATGCGGCAGCTCTCTGTGATTCCACCTATGATGTTTGATGCAGAACAAAGACGAGTCAAGTTCATTAATATGAATGGGCTTATGGAGGACCCTATGAAAGTTTATAAAGATAGGCAGTTTATGAATGTTTGGACTGACCATGAAAAGGAGATCTTTAAGGACAAGTAATTTATATTTTTAATTATTTTCTATAGACTTCTACATAACGTAGTAAAAAGTATTTGGTATTTACTTGTAAAGTGAACTGTTTTCACAAAAACTTGGCCCCATTTTGGCATTTGAATAGATTGTGAAAAGTAGAGAATATTGATCTTCCTATAAGTTTGTAGGTGGGAAAAGAGGTAACAGATAAGAACTGGGGTTATGGAGTCATGTTAAGAGTGGTTCCCAAGCTTAAGTGCTGTCAGAACTTTCAGGGGAGCTTTTATAAGGTACAGATTTCTGTGCGTTACCATAGACCAATTCAATCATTTCCTGGTATACGGTGCCCAGAAATCTGTGCCCTTTAAAAGTCTCCAGTGATTCTGCAGTTGTTCCTCAGATTGGCAGTTAGAAAGCCCTGGGAATTAGTCTATACACAGTATTTCTTTTCTTTTTTTTTTTTTGAGACAGTCTTGCTCTGTTGCTTAAGCTGGAGTCCAGTGTTGTGATCTTGGCTCACTGCAACCTCGGCCACCCGAGTTCAAACAATTCTCTTGCCTCAGCCTCTGGAGTAGGTGGGACAACAGACGTGCCACCATCCCGGCTAGTTTTTGTATTTTATTTTATTTTTGAGACCGAGTCTTGCTCTGTCACCCAGGCTGGAGTGTAGTGGCGTGATCTTGGCTCAGTGCAACTTCTGCCTCCTGGTTTAAGCAGTTCTCCTGCCTCAGCCTCCTGAGTAGCTAGGATTACGGGTGCGTCACACCACGCCCAGCTAATTATTTTGTATTTTTAGCAGAGACGGGGTTTCACCGTGTTAGCCAGGATGGTCTCAATCTCCTGACCTTGTGATCCACCCACCTTGGCTTCCCAAAGTGCTGGGATTACAGGCATGAGCCACTGTGCTCGGCCTAATTTTTGTATTTTTAGTAGAGATGGAGTTCTGCCATATTGGTCAGGTTGGTCTTGAACTGCTACCTCAAGTGATCCTCCTGCCTTGGCATCCCAAAGTGTTGAGATTACAGGTGTGAGCCACCACGCCCAGCCTGTACATAGTATTTCTTCTCCCAAGTTTTCTTTTTTAGTTGTTGAAATGTTTGTGTGTGAGTGTGTTTTTGTTTTCATTTTTACTCAGATTTATCCAGCATCCAAAAAACTTTGGACTAATTGCATCCTATTTGGAGAGGAAGGTAAGATGTGGTTTTCATTGGGAATCTTTGTAAGTTTGTGATGTTTGTTACTTTGAAATTCTTGTACCCTAACACACACAGAAGTAGTTAAGTAGAACCGATTTTAAAAAGGCTGTGAAGCATCTCATGTGATTAATATAGTGATAATTACAATTATAATAGAAATCTTAGAACACAGAACTAAATGGTTAATGAAAGATGACCTGATTTTTATTTCCCTAAAAACACTAGATTACAATGCTTTTTGAACCTCATTACATTTCTAATTAAAATATTAGTCTTGTGCTCATTTCAGCAGCGCATATACTAAAATTGGAACAATACAGAAATTAGCATGGCCCCTGCGCAAGGATGACAAGCAGATTTGTGAATCATTCCATATTTAATAAATATAAAGTTGATGTTAATGTTTTTGAACAAAATAAAGACATTTTAAAAATTTACACATATGTAGTCTGAAGGGGAATTTACTTGTTAATAAGAAAATATTTGAATGTTTCTGATAGTTCCTGGCATCTTTCACATAATTTGGATTAACAACTGTAACTGTCCATTGAAATAGTATATATATAATGTAAATAGTTCTAGACCCTAGATATGCCTTAAAATGCCAGCCATGTGTGTTCTTTAATTTGTACTTTGAGAATACCAGAGATTTTCCTTGAAAGTAATATTAAATTAAAAAAATTTTTTTATTGGATCTTCAAAAGTAATTGTTTTATTTCTTACAGAGTGTTCCTGATTGTGTTTTATATTATTATTTAACAAAGAAAAATGAGAATTATAAAGCTCTAGTCAGAAGAAATTATGGGAAACGCAGAGGCAGAAACCAGGTGTGTTTTCTTAATATATGGAAGATGTTTCAGGGTTGGTGGAAATAGGCAAGTGAAAAGTGTTACAACAGAAGTCCCGCCCCAAGTGTGTTGTTTAAACATTGATGTTTCTGTTAAATTAATGAGGATGTTATAATTATTTTGAAGTGTTTTGCATACATATATTTAATGTATATCTTGTATTTCAAATATATTTTAATTTTCTAGTGTGATAAAACTAATTAGAAAGGTTTTATACCCTTCTGTCATCTGAGTCATGCATTTCAGTGTCAGCAGTAATCATGTAATTAAATATGAAGCCCTTAATACTTTACCTAATATACCATCTTTAGCCAGTCTGTTTATCTGAGGAGGGGTCAGGTAGAGTAAAAGAGAGAAATACAACATGGTAACTTGATAAAGGAGAGTTCTTTTTAAAAACCTGGAACCTGATTTTGTTTTATATTAACTTCATTTGTGGAGTTTAGATAGTTTAATTTCTAAAAAGCAGTTTTTCTGGCTGGGTGTGGTGGCTCACGCCTGTAATCCCAACACTTTGGGAGGCTAGGGCCAGAGTATTGCCTGAGCCCAGGAGTTCAAAACCAGCCTACACAACATAGTGAGAACCATCTGTCTTTACAAAATAACAGAAAAAACTAGCCGGGCATGATGGTGCGCACCTATAGTCCTAGATACCTAGGAGGCCGAGGTGGGAGGATGGCTTGAGCCTGGGAAATTGAGGCTTCAGTGAGCCGTGATTGTGCCACTGCACCCCAGCCTAGGTGACAGAGCAAGACTGCTATCTCCGAAAAGTAAAAAAAGACACTTTTCCTAAAGGTAGTTTTCCACAAGTATAAAACTGAAAAAGGGTAGTTTTTACAGTTGCAATTCAGTACTTTCAGAATGGTTTTCTCCAAAGTAACTGATCAGCAGCTGCCATAGCTCACAGATGCTTGCCAGTGAGGCTGCTGAGCTACTGCAGTCACCACAGCTAATATGGAGGGTCTTGCTGTCCACACCTAGGTAGATATTACAATAAGGACTTATATGCATGAGCTCCAACATTGCAACTGTTCATTAGCATTATTAAGTCTCTTCTGGTTTTCCCACTCAGCCACCCTTTTATTGGGATGGGGTCTTACTCCCTTTGTTCGTTTGATAGCCCCTGCTTACCAGATATAGGTTATTAACCTAGTTCTCTTGTTATTCACGGCTATAACCTTTTTATGTTTTCTGGGTCATTATTTCCCACAGAACACTACCACCCCACATGATGTGATTACCTGTTCTTTGGAAACAGTATTTCTTGTTTAAAAAAGTATAGAGAGTGTTTCATGAGTCAACTGTGTAAAATGCTGCTAGAGGTTGAGTAAGCCAAGGTGCTGTAGACATGGATTTTCGGTGGATTAGTGAGGGGGTGGAAACACAGTTACACAGAGTTGAAGAAGATATAGAAGGTGAGGAAGTGGCCACAAGTGCAACCTTGTTTTTAAAATTTGTTTTATAAAGTGGAATAGTGAAATGGATCGGCAGGGCTAATGAGGATCAGAGAAGGGAGGAAAAAGGGCATGCTTGAATACTGACAGGTGCAATACCATAAGACAAAGGATGGATGCTTGCCAGGCTTCATAAAGATGTACAGGCAGAAAAGGGATAAATTGAGTATTGACAGTGAGATAGGAAGCACTATTCTACCAGAGAGAATAATATTGCCAGGATTTTCTTCCTGTTTCCCCTAAAGAACGTAGATGATAGGGACCATCTATGTTTTAAACAAGTTTTAGCTGCAAATATTTAACAGTGTTTATTCCTCATTACAAAATAGTATTTATAACTTTATCTTTAGAAATTTTATATGTTACTGTTGAAAATGTTCAGTCCTATATTAATGTAAGGGGATAAGGTAATACTTACACAGTGTACATTTCCTTTGCCAGATTGCAGCCAGTTGCCCATGAGGCTCTAGCAGGAAGTTGTGGGGCAGGGATATTTGTTATTCTGAAACAGTTGTTTCTGTCCTAAAGTTGTCTGGGAGACAGTTTCCTTCCTTTCTGTGGCACACTGATCCTTATTAAGATCCAGCCATATCCGTGTTTTCTTCTGTACATTCTTGTTGCGTGTTTCAAAGTACCTATCTCAGAATGTAGTTGCAGATCTGAGACTTGCCATGTGCACCCTCACCTTGACCTGAGCCTTAGGTTGCTTTCCCCCCAGGTAGGCTCAGTTTGGGTTGGTCAGCACTTTTGGTAGGCTAGCCCTGCCCTTATTAGCTTTTAAGTTATTACTTTGAAGATTTTTTTTCTATTTTGTTTTATTTTTTACTTTGAAGATTTTTCTTCCAGTTTTACATTTCTCTGTTTCAATGGGAATTTGGGAGAGGTGTGAGCTAAATGATTAATTTAGACCATCATGTCACTCCACCAAATTTATCATTGTTCCTTAATTGTTTGTATACTCATTCCATTTATTTGTGTCAAAATAGAGGGACAGCTTTTCAGAAATTAGGTGGTGTTAGTTTAAGGGTTCTCTGTATAAAACTCAATGTTTTTAGAGCTAATAGCAGGTGAGAAAAGAAGTCCCTGGGGTTTTCAGCAAAAGAGTGATGCCAGATTTCAGTTGTGACATGCTTAGTCTGGCTGCTGTGTTGACAACAGTTTGTAAGGAGACAAGAAGAAGCAGAGAGACCACTTAGGAGGTTATTTTAATAATCCCAATGGTTTGGACTAAGCTGTAATGAGGAGGTGGGGAGAATGGATTTGTTTCTGGATGTACTTTTGAAGGTAAAACCAAAAGATTTTGCTGATGGATTGATTGTGGGGATGAGGGAAGGACAGTAATTAAGAAAAACACCAAGTTTTGACCTGTGGAGTTGCCATTTGCTGTGATAGACATGACTGAAGGAGGAGCAGGTTTTGAGGGGAAGTTTGGACATGGCTGAATTTGAAATGCCTATTAGGTATCTAAACAGAGATGCAAATGAGATGTCCAAGTAAAGCAGGTAGTTAGACGTATTAAGTCTGGAGGATAGGAAAAAGATCTGGGTTAAAGATAGACAATTTGCTATATAGAAAAAAGTTTAGAAATATTTCTTTTTAAAAACAGAATTGAGTTACAAGGTTAAGATTTTCAAAATTTTATGTATCAACTCTCTTGTTGATATGGAGATGGTGGATACAGAGATCCAACTAATTTGAAAATCACTTTACTTCTCTGCCATGCAACCAAGCTATGGTCAGGAGGATTACCTCAGGTAATCTCACAGGGATTATGGCATATTTACTTAAAAGATTCTTTAGAGTTCTGCTGAAGTTTATGTTAGATCTTGTCAATTTGCATTTGATTGCTCTCCCTATCCCCTACTCCCAGCGTCCTATTTATAGGAAGCAATTTTTATCAGCAGATAAATATATAGTTTGCGGCTGGGTGTGGTGGCTCATGCCTGTAATCCCAACACTTTGTGAGTCCGAGGCCGGTGAATCACTTAAGATCAGAAGTTCAAGACCAGCCTAGGCAACATGCTGAAACCCATCTCTACTAAAAATGCAAAAATTAGCTGAGAGAGGTGGTGCACGCCTGTAACCCCAGCTATTCTGGAAGCTGAGGTGGGAGAATTGAGAATCTCTTAAGCTTGGGAGGCAAAGGTTACAGTGAGCCTAGATCATGCCACTGTACTTGCATCTGGGTGACAGAGCAAGACCCTATCTGGAAAGAAAAAAAAAGAGAGAGAGAAGGGAGGGGAGAAAGAGAGAGAAAAAAGAGTAGTGAGCCGAGCTTGCGCCACTGCACTCCAGCCTGGGTGACATAGTGAGACTCTGTGTCACAATAAAAATAAAATAAAATAAATACACTTAACTTTTACTTTTTTAATTTGAATTTTTATTTTGTTTTACACGTGCTCTTGAATATTCATTTATGGTGAATAGCTTGTTGTTTGATAGACATGTTTCATGTTATATTAACTCCTGGAGAGAAATAAACTTGTTTTATTGACTCTCAAGTGTTGGGCTTAAAGAAGGGGGAAAAAGGAAAAACCTGAACAAGGAGCCACTGAGAATATTTGCTTTGGCATAGGGAACTTTTAAAAGGGTTTTCCTTGAAGGTATGGACCTCTTTTGCTCCAGCCACCCTGCAGAGTTGAGGGATGTAACTTATAACCTTCATCCTAGATCCTGTGGATTGATTGGCACTTCTCTTTACAGATTTACCAGAAACAAAAGTAGTTCCAACCATCTCTTGTTTAAATTGGAGGTAATCTCTTACTCTCTTGGATATCAGTGGCAGTTGTGATAGGTCTTTACCCATATTGCACAAAGGTGAGGTCCCCCAGTTGCTGCTAACTGCTCTTCCTCCCCACTCCCCACTGCCTGGTCAGTATACAGAGTGATGAGAGGTTCTGCTGGACAGGTGCCACACACTTCTCTAGACTCGAATCCAGCAACTCTATCCATTGCTTTGGATCATTTCCACACTTTATGCAGAGCCAGGAGCTGTTTCCTTCTTTACACTGATTGGTTTAAGCAGGTGCTGCAGTTGTTTCTTAGTCCCTAGCACCAGGAAACGGGGAGTGAAGTTATCTGTTGGCTGGATTTTAGACAGCAGGGAATGTGTGGGATTACTTTGAAGCTCTGGTCGGCATTAGAAGCAGAAAAGTATTGGGGAAATAAGGTTACCCAAGTCTAAGGGAATACTGAACCTTTTTCCTTACATTCTGCGGAGTTGACATCGCCCCATCATAAATCTTAGGCTATAAACAATTATCCGGGTTACACAGCTCACTTGCTAGGCAAAAGGCATGATTTGTTCTTACTATGCCATCTTACTGGTTCAGAGTGGCACATGGATGCTACATTGGTTGCAGGGTTAGGTTATTAGCATTTAAACAGGTCTTATGACCAATACAGTATCTTAGGGAGTCAGAGCTGAATAAAACTTGCCCGATTGTAAAGCAGGCCTACTCATGGTTTGAAAGGTTAAATTTTAAAATCTCCCTGGTTTATGAGTTTTCTGTAGCAATGAATACCCAGAAGAAAGAGAAACTGACAGCCAGGGTGAGAAATTAGGAAGGTTGGATAAAGCAAGCAAAGGAATCATGGTATTGAAATGATTTACCAAGTAGAATAGTCAGTGCAGTTCTCACTGGACTGAAAATTTGATAGAATAAGGGGTCAAAGGTTACGATGAAGACAAAGCAGGATCAGCCACAATGAAGATGTGCAATGGGTGGTTGTAGTTGGAGAGAAGACTTTCTGATTTCAGGATCTGTAAGGCAAAGCAATGCCCATTGCTGATGAGGCAGTTGTGATTTTGCTTGTAGGGAGTTTAATGGGCATGACCTAAAAGTATTTTAACTGTGAGATGTAATGTTGAGTGGCAAGTGTTAGAAAAGCCATTGACATGTGTTTTGAAATCTGAAAAATAATGTCAAGGCGCAATGAGCCATGTGATGCCATCACTTATATGTTCTAGGAAATATTTAAGAAGTCATTCCGTAACACCAAAAGAGAATGTTGTCAGAGGGAGATTTTATGAAACATGAAAAAGGAATTATTTTTAAAATATCACGGTTCAGCAGTGTTCTGGAAGTGGACCAAGAAGGATTCATTTTCTTCTTTCCTTCCCCCTTGGATTAGAAGGAGGCATAATGTGGGACTTGTTTTGTGGAGGCAAATAAGGCCTTTGTTAACTTAGGGGAAAAGAAAAGAAAAAAATATATATATCTATATATAATTTATATATATATGATAAACTGATTTATATATATATAAATTTTTATATATATATACCTATGATAAACTTTATTAGACACAGTAAAGAATTAACAGTAACAAATAATACAGAGGTATTATAATATACTGTAATAGAAGTTGCTTGAATGTGATCTTTTTTCAAATATTTTACTGTACTGCTGTCACCTATTTTCGTACTGCAGTTGACTGCAGGTAACTTAAACCACAGAAAACGAAACTCTGATATGGTGGGGACTACTATAGTAGCAGTCAGTGCATACTTATTTTCACTTGTTTCTTTTCGAGTCACAGGGCTTTTGCAAATGAGACAAAGGGTTTCTAATCTGACTGCCCAGCTTAGAAATATTTAAGCATTTTACTTCTGTTCACTGTATTATATTTTTAATATTTTTCCAAATTACTTCAGTCTTAGTAATGACCATAGCTGTCTACTATTCTATTAAGTAGACATTCTCTCAAAAGTATAGCTGCATGAAGATGTTTCTTATACCATTATTGATTGTTATGAAAAAGTTGGAAACATACTACATATCTAATACATGATAAATTATGTATTGGTTATCAAATTTGAAGGTAGAATTGGAATGCCTGAGTGACAGATTAGATGTGGAGGTTGCCAAAAAAAGGGAACCAACCCCAGATTTCTAAGTGAAATCTTAACATTTTCACTTTCTCATGGGTCCAAATGCTATGAGCATGTGTGTGTGTGTGTGTGTGTGTGTGTGTGTGTGTGTGTGTAAGACCCTTTAAGTAGTGCATATAGAATACATTAAAAACCACTAGCCTGGTTTCTAACACATGATCACCAGTTACATTTTAAATGACTAACAATCATTTAAAAGTTGTTTAGATAGACATAATTTATCGTAATATAAGGAGCTATTTCTGTTGCCTTCCAATTTTACAAATGATGGTTCATTCTAGCAGCAAATTGCCCGACCCTCACAAGAAGAAAAAGTAGAAGAAAAAGAAGAGGATAAAGCAGAAAAAACAGAAAAAAAAGAAGAAGAAAAGAAAGATGAAGAAGAAAAAGATGAAAAAGAAGACTCTAAGTGAGTTAAATAATTATATGATAAATGATTAAATATAATTTTTGTAGCTTTAGGGAGTACAAGTACAGTTGTCACATGGATATATTACATAGTAGTGAAGTCTGTGCTTTTAGTTTACTATTGCCTGAATAGTGTACATTATACCTACCAGGTAATTTCTCATCCCTCACCCACCCCCTCACATCCTCTCACCTGTTTGAATCTCCAGTGTCTACTATTCCACTCTTTATGTATATCCATGTGTCCACATTATTTGGCTCCCACTTAAAAGTGAGAATGTAATAATTGACCTTCTGTTTCTGAGGTATTTCACTTAAGATAATAGCCTTTAGTTCTATCCATGTTGCGCAGAAGTATAGTTATTTTTAAATAATGAAATTTAATCTGCTGAAATTTTATTTTATTTATTTTTGAGACAGAGTCTTACTCTTACCCAGGCTGGGGTGCAGTGGTTCGATCTCAGCTCACTGCAACCTCTACCTTCAGCTGCCCAAGTAGCTGGGATTACAGGCATGTGCCACCATGCCCAGCCAATTTTGTATTTTTAGTAGAGATGGATTTTACCATGTTACCCGACCTGATCTAGAACTCCTGACCTCAGGTGATCCACCTGCCTCTGCCTCCAAAGTGCTGGGATTACAGGTGTGACCCACTGTGCCTGGCTGAAATTAGATACATCTAATAGTTACATGATTAAGTTGATGTGATTAAGGAATAGAATATTATAGTATTAAGTAACTTTTGACTTAATGAACTTATATACAAGTCATGAGTTACTATTACTTTTCAGAAGGGATGGATTATAGTAACATATACATTTCCCCCAGTATATATTGAATATAATTTAATCATTATCAGGATCTTCTTTTGAGCTTCAGATAGTATGTATTGGATAGTGTAAAAATGCCAAGAAAGGAAGTTTTCATTTTATATTTTATATTCCATCTTTATTGACTTTATTTATATAAAATGGAGTCTTTGGTTTGTTTGTTGTTGTTTTGTTGTTGTTGTTGCTGTTTTCCTGGTTACAAAAATAATTCTTATACATTATAGAAAAATAGGAAAAGAAAGAAAAATAAAATAAAAATTAACCTATGGCCGGGTGCGGTGGCTCACACCTGTAATCCCAGCACTTTGGAAGGCTGAGGCGGACGGATCATGAGGTCAGGAGTTTGAGACCAGCCTGACCAACATGGTGAAACCCCGTCTTTACTGAAATACAAAAAATTAGCTGGGTGTGGTGGCAGGCACCTGTAATCCCAGCTACTCAGGAGACTGAGAGAGGAGAATTGCTTGAACCCGGGACGTGGAGGTTGCAGTGAGCTGAGATCGCGCCACTTCACTCCAGCCTGGGCGACAGAGTGAGACTCTGTCTCAAAAAGAAAAAAAAAAAAAAGAAAATTAACCTATGATTCTGCCACTCAGAGACGGTTATTGTTGATGCTTTTGTGTATATACAGGGGTGAGGTAGGGGTAGGGACACAACAGTTGGTTTGGTTGTTTTTCCCCCAAGAACTAGCTTTATAATTTACATGGAACAAAATTCGCCAGTTTGAAATGTGTTCATTGATGTGTTTGACAAGCATATGCACTTGCGTACCTATTATCACAGTTGTGATGTAGAATGTTTCCATCACCCCGAACAGTTCCCATATGCTCCTTTGCAGTCAGTTTCTCTTTCCTTATTCCCAACCTCAGGCAGTCACAGATCTGTTTTGCTTTCTTTAGAATTACATAAAAATGAAGTCATACGGTATGTCATCTTCTTTGTAGCTTTTTTACTTAGCATGAATGCCTTTGAAATTCATTTAGATTGTTGAATATATCAGTAGTTTATTCTTTTTTAATGTTTAATATGTTATTTCTTTAGTCTTTGTGGAAATACTTAAGGTTTACCTAGTTTTGTGGCAGCTGAAGTAGCTAGTCACTTGCCATGGTTTTAAAAGAGACAGATATTCCTGTCATTGTAATTTTATACTTTATGAAGATACCCATAAGGGAACATATTTTTTTCTTTTAGTTTAGGTTAGACATTTATTATGGCATGTAGCCAGCGGTTCTTCTCACATAGGACTCTATCATATCTGGATTTTATTTTTTTGTTAAAATTTCTAAATTATTTAACAAGCTTTCATGTATTATCTATGTGAGCTAAGTCTTAAGGAGAATGTGAAAATACATAAGATATATACTATTCCCAGGTAGTTCATGATTTAGTAGGGGAAAACTAGGTAAAGTACAAGTGTTACTTTAAGAAATAAAAGCCTGGCAGTAAGAAATCAGCAGACAACCAGTTAAGTGCTTTGGCAGATTAAAAAGAGGTCAAGCTACTTCTCTCTGGATAATTTGGAGGACTTTATGCAGAGGCTAGTGGTTACTGTGGGTAGGGTAGAGGGAATCGCATGAATAGCTATGCTGCTTTGAGAAGTGGCAGATAATGATTTCATTAGACTTAACATAGTGTGCATCGAGAAGGGAAGTGGAAGGTGCATTGGAGTTAGATTATGTAGAGCTTTAATGAAAGCCAAAAGTGTTAGACTACCTTCAGGTGGCTATGCTGTGTGTCTGTTTGGGAATAGAAAGGGATTAGAATAGATGGAGTGGTTTACTGCCAAAGCTGTCCTGCTAGAATACTGATCCATTGACAAGGTAGAATGAACAGTAGAGGTATAAATCAGGGAAGCCGGTATGAAAGGCCAGGATTGGGGTACTAAGGTATTGAATAAGTGTAGTGGTAGCAGGAATAGAGATGGTAGAATTAGTGAGAGAGAGGCATTTCTGAGATGAAATAACCAAAACTTGGCATTAGATCACATGTAGGAAGTATAGGAAAAGGGAGAGAGCTAAAGATGATATCTAATCTGTAAACCTGAATGATGATGAGCAAGGTAGTAGCGTTAACAATAGATGATTAGAGAATGAGGTAGAGCAAGGAGCAGAGGTGAGGATGAATATGATTTTGGGTATATTCAGTTTCTATTGATGGGAAATCCAGGCGGCCCTTCTAGCAGGTAGTTGGGAAGACAACCCCTCCAGTCGGGAGCTGGGGGGTGAGTCCAAAGGAAAGATTGGGAGTCTTCCCAGTAGAACTCATGAGAATGAGTAACCCCATGTTGCTCTAAGGCTCCAGGGGAAATTCTATATAAAAGGGTGGGAGGAGCCCAGCACAGTGGCTCACTCCTGTAATCACAGCTAAGCTGGGCGAATTGCTTTAGCGCAGGAGTTCATGACCATCCTGGGCAACATGGTGACACCTCGTCTCTACAAAAAATAAAAATTTAGCCAGTTACGGTGGCACGTGTCTGTAATCCCAGCTACTTGGAAAGCTGAGGTGGGAGGCTTATCTGAGCCTAGGAGATTGAGGCTGTAGTAAGCCATGTTTGCGCCGCTGCTCTCCAGCCTGGGTGACAGAGTGAGACACTTTCTCAAAAAAAAAAAAAAAAACCCAAAAGAAAGAATGGGAGGAGAAAGGTCCTTCTGGTGATACCCAGAAGGAGAGCCAGAATAACAGCGGGGATATTTCAAAAGCTAAGTTTAAAGTGATATAAGAAGAATTATCCGCAGCATCAGTTGCGACAAAACGGCTGTTGTAGGGAAAATTGAGAAGAGGTCATTTGATTTTGCAGTTTCCAAGTCATTGGTGAGTTTTCAGAAAACATCTTTTAACAGGAGGCTGCAGAACAGAAGCCAGCTTTATGAGGGAATAAGTAAGTAAAGAGAAAGGGCTATTTGGTAACTTCAATTTAGGGCTGAAGGGGAGAGAATTATTTTTGGAAAAAAAAATCTTCCATTAATCAAGAATAATTGAGTCTTTGAATATTCCCATCTATCCATTCATTTGCAAAAATGTACATCGAATAAGTTATCTTAAATATAACAATCATGGAAGGTAAATAGTACAGAGAATGGTCTTCTAGTATTACATGTAGTACCACTGCTATTAATAGGAACTACTATTTTTCTACATGCTTGAGATGATGGTATGCACTTTACATCCTGAGAGAGTTTTAGCAAACTTATTTGATGCTGACTGTGTTCCAGGCACTTTATTTAACTCCTTTAATTCTGGCAGCAGTCCTATGAAATAAACTCTTTTTTTCATTGTATAGATGAGGAAACTGAGGCCCATGGAGGTGAGGCAGGAAGCTTGTCCAAGGTCATCACATGGCTAGTAAATCATAAGTGTGGTATAACCCCAGGCAGCCTGGCTCCAGAGGCCCTTCCTAAGCATTAACCATTACTGCCCAATTTGTACATAATTAGTATCAGGCATGATTTAGAGTATTGAGTCTGGTTTTATAAAACAATGTTGTGGATTATCGTGATGATCATCTGTTTTAACTTCATACATGAGGCAACCTAGAGCAAAGGCAAAGAAAACCCCAGAATTCCTGCCTTTTGGTATAGCCTATTGCCTTTGGATTGCAGGTCTAGAGGTTTTCTGCTGTCATTTGTTACTGTCTCATGGAATAGTTCTGGTTTCTAAATCAGTTGGTTTGAAATGTATTTAAATTTTAAGTCCATTAACATTTACAATAGGTCTTATAAAATATCTTAATTTCAGCCAGTTAGAACTCTTAAAAACTATGGTATGGCAGAATTGTCGATAAGTTTTTTTTTTTTTTTTTTTTTTTTTTTTTTTTTTTTTGAGACGAAATTTTGCTCTTGTTACCCAGGCTGGAGTGCAATGGCGCAATCTTGGCTCACTGCAACCTCTGCCTCCTGGGTTCAGGCAATTCTGCCTCAGCCTCCCGAGTAGCTGGGACTACAGGCGCATACTCCCACACACAGCTAATTTTTTGTATTTTTAGTAGAGACAGGGTTTCACCATGTTGACCAGGATGGTCTCAATCTCTTGACCTCGTTATCTGCCCACCTCGGCCTCCCAAAGTGCTGGGATTACAGGCTTGAGCCACTGCATCTGGCTAAGTTTTTTTTTTTTTTTTTTTTTTTTTAAAGTAACTGAGAGATTAGGCAGTATTATTCAATTTATGATTAAATGATATCCAAAACCAAAACCTTCTTTGATGTATGTATACTTTTGAAACACAGTTTTCGTTTGCTTTTGTGTCCAGAGAAAATACCAAGGAAAAGGACAAGATGGATGGTACAGCAGAAGAAACTGAGGAAAGAGAGCAAGCCACACCCCGGGGGCGAAAGACTGCCAACAGTCAGGGCCGCCGCAAGGGCCGGATCACCAGGTCCATGACAAACGAAGCCGCAGCTGCTAGTGCTGCAGCCGCAGCGGCCACTGAAGAGCCCCCACCACCTCTGCCACCGCCACCAGAACCCAGTGAGTGGAAGAGATTGGCATAAACAGACCATGATTTTGTTTGGGATTCTGTTTCACTGCTAGGATAGGGTAGGAGGGACTTATAGTACTGACAACCTAGAAACAATCCTGAAGTGTGGTCTTTAAATTTTTTAAACTTTCAATATCAAAATCATTTCAAAAAGAATATCATCCACAGTCTTTCCTCCCCACTAGAGCTGTTTTTCTTTTTTACTTAGTTGTTATGCTAGTATGCATGTTACCGTGTCTTCTGATATTTTAATGTGGTATATACCATAAATACTTTATAATTTCTAAGTAATTTTTGTTTTTTTAATGGCTGTGTAATATGGAGACATGATTTATTCAACCATTCTCTTATTGCTGAATGATTAGGCTGTCTGTTCTCTTCCCTGCTTTTAAGCCAATGTATATAGCAGTATAATAAAAAAACTTTATTCACATAGTATTTTCTTTATGTTAAATTATTTTTCATGGAATAAATTCTTGAGCAAAGGAATACTGGATCTAATAGTCCAAGCATCTTTGTCTCTAAGGATTGTCTCATTCGTTTATAAAAGGACTACATTAATGATAGAGTACCACTGTTAATGATTCAGAGGTACCATTGTTACTTTAACATGAAATATGAAAGAAAATGAAGTTGAAGGAATGGTAAGAATGAGGTAGGGGCACTAACGAGATAGGAGGAGGAAAGAGAGGCTGGGGCAGGTCATGATGGGCCTTGTTAGAACTGTATTCTGCTTTAAGAAGTGGAGAACTTGCAGAGATTTTTAAATAGAGGAATGCTGTGATCAGATTTGTGTCTTGGAAAGTTAACTGGTAGCAATTGTGGAGGTCAGGTTAGACAGAATAAGGGCTGGAGGCAGAGGGCCCAGTCATGGGACTGCAGTGGCTTAAGCAAGGAGGGGATGCGTTCAGAGTTGCTCCATGTCATTGGGTATGAGTGGTAAATGGGAGGCAGGATTCAAAAATTAGTTTATCAGTCTAAGATGCCTGTTAAAAACTTGAGCGAGTGAATGGTATAATTATAAATTGAGAAAGAGAATATGGCAGGAGCTCATATCAGGCTTGATGCTCTCAGGTTTTGTTTTGTTTTTTTTCCCCCTGAAGCAAAAGATAATGTATTCAGTTCATGATCCATCTTTACCCACTGGATATCAGACACTTGGGGATGAACTAAAGGGTCTCTAGGAGTTAGGACAAGATGGAGGCTCAGAGGAGGGAAGAGGAAATTGTGCTTGGACAGGAAAGAGGAGGGTTGCCTGTTCCTTTGACACTGCAGGAGAGGAGTGTCTACTAAGTGGAAGTGGAGATATATTAAGTGGGAAGCTACTGGGTCCAAAAATAAGCTAAAGTTGTTAAAAAAAATGTAAACATGGAGAGAACTTTTAAGAACATTAAGAAAGATCATAATATTGAGAAGTGTTGACTTGTTTCTTCTAGTTTGGTAATGGAGAGGTTGATATTATCCTATGTCTGTAGTTTCTTTCACCAAATGCTTTATTCAGTCTTTTATATCAGATAAAGAGGTTATATAATTATATGATTGGTCTGAATGAAGGATTTACCTTTTTCTCTGCCTGATTGGCTTCTCTCTTTATTTCAGTATCTACAGAGCCTGTGGAGACCTCTCGATGGACAGAAGAAGAAATGGAAGTTGCAAAAAAAGGTAAATTGTCATTGTTCCGGTTTTTCAGTTTTTTTTTTTTTTAAAGAGTTATTAGTAATGAGTAAGATGGAACTAATTTTTTTAACTGGAAAAAAATTTTCTTTCAGAAAGGTAAATAAGACTTAGAAGTGACTTTAAGAGTTCATTTTGCTAGTATAGTATCCAATTACATACCCCCATTGTGCCTTGTTTAAGATGCCCAGTTTTGAGGGATTTAAGATTGTTTTTACTGTTTTATTTTGAGTGTACTTTAATTAAAGAGCAAGAAGGTTATTGTCACTTTCTTAGAATAATTATGATGATATGCTATTGAAATTGTTTTGGAATGAATTTTGACATGAAGTCTATATTTCTTTTACTTAAAAGTTGTATTTAATAGAATAGGATGGTAAACACTTTTGTCAATTTGCATTTGGTAAGTCGTTTAATCATAAATCACTAGCAAATTGCTCTGTGATTCAGAGGGAAGAGCATGAAGTTTGTAACCAAGCCAATGAAGGTTTGAATCCTATGTCTGCCACTTGCATAGTTTTGTGGCCTTCCTCTTACTCTGACACTTTATGGACCTTGTGTTTTTCTGTCATTGCTTGTTAATGCAGTATAATTTGAAATTGAGCTAAAATTTCTAATAGGATAAGTAATTGGTAATTTTGAGAAAGATTAGCTAATTTTTTGGTGGTTAAATATTTTTCTTGTAGATCATAGACTGATCTTTTTCAGGTAGATGTACCTGCATATAACTATTTGGCCACTACTCTTCTTCCCTTATTCATGTATCAGGCAGGATTTGGAAATGATCTTCTAATTTTCATTATTTAAGGGTGCTACTTGTGTGAACCTTGAAAAACTGATGTTTTCCTGTAAGTCATTAAATTTATACTGGAAATTCCTGCTTGGGTATACCTGTATACCTGATTGGGTACACCTGCTTGGGTGTACCTGGGACTAAAGGTGGACAGCACCAGGACACACTAATTTTTGTATTTTTAGTAGAGACAGGGTTTCACCATATTGGCCTGCATGGTCTTGATCTCTTGACCTTGTGATCCCCCCACCGCGGCTTCCCAAAGTGCTGGGATTACAGGCGTGAGCCACCACACCCAGCCAGATTTATTTTTTCAATTGGTTATTATTTTTCTGATGGGATTGCTTGATTGTGAATTGACTGAGGAGAAATATGAATTATAAGTGGAGTCATATATATCTTTAATTTGTGTTCATTTATATGTGATTACCTTATTTACTCGATGTATTGTCTTCAGAGATCCAGATGTACCTAATCATTTAGTTTGCAAGTATTTGAGCTATTACTAATGTGTCTAACATTGTCCTAGCCCTGTGGGAGATATATAAGAAAGATAAGATTTAGCCCTTCTATTAATGAATATATTAAGAATTTTTTTTTTTGGGTGGGGTGGGGTGGGCAGGGCACATGGAAGGGCATATGTTTTAAAATTGAGGGGAAAAATATAGAACTGTAAATGAGTTGCGTCAATAAGTATTTTTATAAATATCAAAGTATATATAATATGCAATTTAAAGCACACTTTTAAGTATTATGGTTGTGAATAAAATGATTAAGTTTATTTATTATTTCTCTTGTTTGCTTTATCAGGTGACTGTTCAATTAACATTTCGTTTGTTTTTAAAATGCAGGTCTAGTAGAACATGGTCGTAATTGGGCAGCAATTGCTAAAATGGTGGGAACAAAAAGTGAAGCTCAATGTAAAAACTTCTATTTTAACTATAAAAGGCGACACAATCTTGACAACCTCTTACAGCAACACAAACAGAAAGTGAGTATATCAGGGGTGGTGAATCTTTTACTTATTACTGGTTTTTACTTAGAGTAGTGGTGTTGTTGTTTGAGATGGAGTTTCACTTTGTCACCCAGGTTGGAATGCAGTGCTGCAGTGTCAGCTCACTGCAAACTCCACTTCCCAGGTTCAAGCGATTTCCTCCCTCAGCCTCCTGAGTAGCTGGGACTACAGGTGCCCGCCACCACACCCAGCTAATTTTTGTATTTTTAGTAGAGACGAGGTTTCAACAGGTTGACCAGGCTGGTCTCGAACTCTTGACCTCAGGTGATCTACCAGCCTTGGCTTCCCAAAGTGCTGGGATTACAGGCGTGAGTCACTGCACCTTGTCTTGTTTTTTTCCAAAGCTTCAGGGATTGATTTTTAAGAGAAACCTTTTTGTGTCTTATATTTTTAAGTAACTTACATGTAACAGGTGTGCTAGATTTTTGGTATAGGCTGTTTCTATTTATTGCTCAAGGAGTAAAGTGTCTCTTGGTATTCCTAACAGTCCAAAGAGGCCCATCATGACCTGCCCCATCTTAACTTTCTTACTCCAAAGTTTCTATTTGTAGTAAAGGGAATTAAATACTCTCAACTACTATAGGCTGGATTTGAAAACTATAAACATTTTGGAGGTTGAATTGAAAACTTTAGGCTGGATGCAGTGGCTCACACCTGTAATCCCAGGACTTTGGGAGGCCAAGGTGGGAGGACCAAGAGGTCAACAGATCGAGACCATCCTGGCCAATATGGTGAAACACTGTCTCTACTAAAAATAGAAAAATCAGTGCTGTCTTCAGCAGCACATATACTAAAAATACAAAAATTAGCTGGGTGTGGTGGCACGTGCCTGTAGTCCCAGCTACTCAGGAGGCTGAGGGAGGAGACTCGCTTGAACTTGGGAGGCAGAGGTTGCAGTAAGCCAAGATCTCATCACTGCACTCCAGCCTCGATGACAGAACGAGACTCTGTCTCAAAAAAAAAAAGCCTTTGGAGGCCAAGGCAGGCAGATCTCAAGGTCAGCCTCACCAACATGGTGAAACCCTGTCTCTGCTGAAAAGTCAAAAATTAACTGGGCATACTGGTGCGTGCCTGTAATCCCAGCTAGTCAGGAGGCTCAGGCAGGAGAATCGCTTGAACACAGGGGGCAGTTGTTCCAGTGAGCCAAGATTGCGCTACTGTACTCCAGCCTGGGTGACAGAGCGAGACTGCATCTCAAAAAAAAAAAAAGAGAGAACTTTCGTTGGAGGTCTGTTGATAATATCAAGTGAATTGATTTGGTATATTAGACATTTTTTCAGAGAGAAGATTCCATGGTATAAATATTAATAACCAAGGAGCATAACATATTGGAAATTCCTTAAGAAGAAAGTTCCAGTGTAGTGGTTGTCAAAGGCCATTGAGCCTTTTGATGATTCCATAAGGTCAAGACCGTTTTCTTAAAAATTTCTATCAAATATGATTTACTTTTTTTCATTATGTGACATTTGCATTTATGGTGTCAAAGCTGTGGTAGATAAACTTGCTGATGCTTTAGTGTAAATCTTGGCATGGAACCAAACCAGTGTATTTTTCATCTCCGAGCACTTGCAGTTTTTTCTTAAAATGTCATTTAAGAATGTCCTTGATGATGCAATAAAAGTTAGTTTTATTAAATCTCATCCCTAAGTATGTCTTTTTATACTTAGTGTCATGTAATGGGAAGTAAACATAAAATTCTTCTGCTCTATACTAAAATATAATGGTTCTCTCAAGGAGAAACACTTTGGCAATTGTTTGAGTTCTAAGCTGCACTAGCCTTCCCTTTATCATGAAATGTCATTTTAGACTGAAAGAATGACAGACAAACTATGTTTTCAGACTGGTATATTTGGCAGACATTTTCTTGAAAACTAATGAATGAGCCTGTCTTTCAAAGAAAATAACTGTTAATGTTTGTTGCCACTTTAAAATATTTGAGCTTTCAAGCGAAACAATGAGAATTTTGGAAAATATGTTTCTCTAACCATGAGCTTCACACTTCATTACAGATTTTCTGATGGGATCAGTGGTAATAATAGCAAGTGTGATAGTTGTTACTGTGTGATGAAATTTTTTCTCAATTTGAAAAACTTGCTTAACTCAGTACTTTCCAAATGGCTATTTCATGATGTTGTAATGTGATATGGTTTGGCTGTGTCCCCACCCAAATCTCATCTTGAATTGTAGCTCCCACAATTACTATGCATTGTGGAAGGGATCCAGTGGGAGATAACTGAATCATGGGGGCAGGTCTTTTCTCCTGCTGTTCTCATAATAGTGAATAAGTCTCTTGAGATCTGATGGTTTATAAAGAGGAGCTTCCCTGCACAAGCTCTGTTTTTTTGCCTGCTGCTATCTATGTAAGATGTTACTTGTTCCTCCTTTCCTTCTGCTATGATTGTGAGGCCTCCCCAGCCATGTGGTACTGTAAGTCTTTTAAGCCTTTTTTTTTCTTCCCAGTGTCAGGTATGTCTTTATTAGCAGTGTGAAAACAGACTAATACAATAAATTGGTACCAGTAGTGTCAGCGTTGCTGAAAAGATACCTGAAAATGTGGAAGCAACTTTGGAACTGGGTAACAGGCAGAGGTTGGAACAGTTTGGAGGGCTCAGAAGAAGACAGGAAAATGTGGAAACGTTTGGAACTTCCTAGAGACTTGTTGAATGGCTTTGACAAAAATGCTAATAGTGATAAGAACAATAAGGTCCAGGCTGCAGTGGTCTCAGATGGAAATGAGGAACTTTTTGGGAACTGGATCAAAGGTGACTCTTGTTATGTTTTAGCAAAGAGACTGGCAGAATTTTGCCCCTGCCCTAGAGATTTGCATAACTTTGTACTTGAGAGAGATGATTTAGGGTATCTGGCAGAAGACATTTCTAAGCAGCAAAGCATTCTAGAAGTGGCTTGGGTGCCATTAAATGCATTCAATTTTATAAGGGAAGCAGAGCATAAAAGTTTGGAAAATTTGCAGCCTGACAATGTGATAGAAAAGAAAATCCAATTTCTGAGGAGGAATGCACGCCTGCTGCAGAAATTTGTGTCCATAATGAGGAGCTGAATGTTAATTTCCAAGACAATGGGGAAAATTTCTGCAGGGCATGTCAGAGGTCTTTATGGAAGCCCCTCCCATCACAGGCCTATAGGCTGAGGAGGAAAAAGTGCTTTCATGCCCTGGGCTCAGGATGCCCCTGCTATTTGCAGCCTCAGGACTTGGTGCCTTGCATCCCAGTCACTCTAGCCATGGCTGAAAGGGGCCAAAGTATAGCGTAGGCCATGACTTCAGAGGGTGCAAGCCCCAAGCCTTGGCAACTTCTATGTGGTGTTGAGCCTGTAGGAGAAGGCCCTTGACACAGAAGTCAAGAATTGAGATTTGGGAACCTCTGCCTAGATTTCAGAGGATGTATGAATATACCTGGATATCCAGGCAGAAGTTTGCTGCAGGGGTGGGGCACTCATGGAGAAACTCTGCTAGGGCAGTGCAGAAGGGAAATGTGGGATTGGAACCCCCACACAGAGTCCCTAGTAGGGCATCACCTAATGGAGCTGTGAGATGAGGGCCGCCATCCTCCAGACCCCAGAATGGTAGATGCACCTATAGCTCACCAAAAGTGAGCTGGAAAAGCCACAGACACTCAACCCCAGCCTGTGAAAACACCCAGGAGGAAGGCTGTACCCTGCAAAGCCACAGGGTCAGAGTGGCCCAGGACCATGGGAACCCACCTCTTGCATAAGCATGACCTGGATGTGAGACATGGAGTCAAAGGAGATCATTTTGGAGCTTTAAGATTTGATTGCCCTGCTGGATTTCAGACTTGAATGGGCCCTGTAGCCCCTTTGTTTTGGCCAATTTCTTCTTTTTGGAATGGCTGTATTTACCCAATGTCTGTGTCCCCATTGTATCTAGGAAGTTACTATCCTCCTTCTACTTTTATAGGCTCATAGACGGAAGGGACTTCCCTTGTCTCAGATGAGATTTTGGCTGTGGACTTTGGGTTAATGCTGAAATAAGACTTTGGGGGACTGTTGGGAAGGCATGGTTTGATTTGAAATATAAGGACATGAGATTTGGGAGGGGGCCAAATGATGTGGTTTGGCTGTGTCCCCACTGAAATCACATCTTGAATTGTGGCTCCCATAATTCCCATGTGTTATAGGAGGGACCCAGTGGGAGATAATTGAATCGTGTGGCAGGTCTTTCTTATGCTGTTTTTGTGATAGTAAATAAGTCTTACAAGACCTGTTGGTTTTATAAAGAGGAGTTACCCTGCACAAGCTCTTTTTTTTTTTTTTTTGCCTACTGCAATCATGTAAGACGTTATTTGCTCCTCCTTGCCTTTTGCCATGATTGTGAGGCCTCCCTAGCCATGTGGAACTGTAAGTTCGTTAAACCTCTTTTTCTTCCCAGTCTTGAGTATGTCTTTATCAGCAGCATGAAAATGGACTAATACATAATGGATCATGCATTGATAAAAGATTGGTAATTATTTTTAATATACCAAAATGTAAGATAGATTATAGATTTTAACAGAGTATAAAGGCTTCCTTGATAGGGTATCAGATTTCATATTGTAACTAACCTATAAGAAGTGACACTTGCTGAGTTTTGATACAGTATCAAAAAATAATATCTGTAAGTATCTGAAAAATCTGTTAAAATACTCTTCCCTTTTCCAACTACCTATCTGTGTGAGGCTACATTGTTTGTATATACTTCAACCAAAATATTAGATGACTTAATCTAATCTACAGATTAGATCATATGTGGGTGCACTTTTGGGAATTCTGCTGTTTCTGTTAGATCAGACGTGGAAGAGATTTCCAGAAAGGAAAGGTTTTGCCACTTTTTTAGTAAGTCATTTTTTGTTTTGGAAAATGGTTACTTTTTGTTAAAAGTAAGTTCTTTGTGGGTTTATATTGCTTTTAATGAATTAAAAATTTAAAGTTTTCTTAGTTTTAATTTCTGATATAATAAATATCTATCTGGCTGTCTGTCTATATTTCTCTCATAAAGAAAAGCTCTTTCTTTAGCTGGGCACAGTGGCTTATGTCTGTAATAACAGCACGTTGGGAGGCTGAGGCGGGCAGATCACTAGGTCAAGAGATGGAGATCATCCTCTGGCCAACATGGTGAAACCTTGTCTCTACTAAAAATAGGAAAATTATCTGGGCGTGGTAGTGTGTGCCTGTAATCCCAGCCACTCAGGAGGCTGAGGTAGTATAATCATGAGAACCACTTGAACCCGGGAGATGGAGGTTGCAGTGAGTTGAGATTCTGCCATTGCACTCCAGCCTGGCAACAGAGCAAGACTCGATCTCAAAAAGAAAAAGAAAAGTTCTTTGTGGCTTTTAATACTAAGAGTGTTGATCCTTAGACCAAAAATTTGAGAATTACTAAAGTGTGATCGTGAAGCTACTAAGATTTGAATTTATTAAGAGGATACAAAGCATAACATTGACTAATTTAAAAGGGTATATACAAAGGGACTTTCAGGTTAATAAGAAAGTGAGAGTTAAAAATATGCTATAGCAACCAAAAGATGAAAAAAGTCTACTGACAAGATAAAGACCTGACTTCACGAGGTAACATTCAAAATGTTTTGAGACAAAATGAAGTAAAGAGTGAATCAGATATGTTTTTAAAATATAAATGTTATATTAGTCATGGTCCTTCTGAGAAACAAAACTTAACAGGATGTGCGCATGCATATATATATATAAGAGAGAGAGAGAGAGATTGAGATTTAAGGAACTGGCTCACATGATTGTGGAGGGTTGGTGAGCCCACTGTCTGATAGGATAGGCTGGTTCACTGGAGACTCTGGGAAGAGTTGCAGTTAGACTCCAAAGGCAGTTTTCCTGGTAGAATACCTTCTTACTCCAGGAATCCAGTCTTTGTTCCATTAAGCTTTTTAATTGATTGGAAGAGGCCCACCCACATTATGGGGGGTAATCTGTTTTTCTCAGAGTCCACTGATTTAAATTTAAATGTTAATACCATCTAAAAGAAAAATCTGCACAGAAACTTCCATAATAAGATTCCACCAGATATCTGGGTACTATGGCCCAGCCAAGTTAACACATAAAATCAACCACCACAAACATCTTTCCTCTAATTATTTTGATCACAATTAAAATAATAGGGACAGCAGACTTCAAGTGTTTATCTAGAATGTTTTATCTTTTAAAAATAGATCTCAAGAAAACATGCAAAATGTCTAATATCTATCAAATCTCAGTAGTAAATACATGGGTGTTTTCTTTCTTTTTTTTGAGACGGAGTCTCACTCTGTCTCCCAGGTCGAAGTGGAGTGGCGTGATCTTGACTCACTGCAGCCTCTGCCTCCTGGTTTCAAAGGATACTCCTGCCTCAGCCTTCCCAGTAGCTGGGATTACAGGCGTGCACCACCACGCCAGACTAATTTTTGTATTTTTAGTAGATACAAGTTTTCACCATGTTGGCCAGGCTGGTCTCGAATTCCTGGCCTCAAGTGATCTGCCCACCTTGGCCTCCCAAAGTGCTGGGATTATAGGAGTGAGCCACTGGGCCTGGCCATGAGCCACTGCACCTGGCATGTTTCTCTATGTTTGACTATCATATATTAAAGAAAATACTTGACGACATAGTGGATTATTGCATGTGAACAGAAGGTTGTTGTAGTAGTGTAAAAAGTTGTCTCTTCCTTAGTTACCAGTTAAAGGACCAAACAGAATGGGTTGATATTGGCAAGAGAGGGACATACACTGGGCACATATATAATAACATCATCCATATATAATCATATATATAATAATATTCCATATATATAATATCAGCTGGGCACAGTCAGTCACGCCTGTAATCTCAGCACTTTGGGAGGCCAAGATGGGAGGATTGATTGAGGCCAGAGGTTCCACACTAGTCTGGGCAACAAAGCAAGACCTTATATTCAAAAACAAACAACAGTAGCTATTATCTAATCTGTTGAAATTCATGGAATCTTCTGAAAGTTTTTAAAAAAAGGTGTAGCCTGTGTGTCTCTGGGATTCTTTTGCATTCCTACTGGAGACATAGAAATAAATATTTTAGCCTTCAGAATTTCAACTAATTCTCTAAGTATGATATTAGAAAATGATTTTTTAACTTGAGTTAATTAATATTTTAGGCTGGATCCTAAATACCATCCTCATAAGAATGTTGAGTAGACGTATGGGTAATTTTTAACAGAGCAATGATATATTTTCCTCTCCTGAAGAATCTCACTGGGAGAAGCTGACAGCTGATATGAAGTGAAATGTAGGCTCTGTAAGGGGCACAGAACAGAGGACCACCAGGGCTGGGACTTCCAGAACCCTGGGTCTGCAAACAGAGAAGATATTAAGGCTTCTTTTTAGTACCATGAAGTTATGAGTATAATGTAAAAAGCTAATGTCTTACATTTAAACGTGTATACAAGTCCTCTTGTGGATATGAGACCCCAGTAGAAGAATGAGCAATTTTCCAATAAACATAGTTTGCAGAAGGTAGCATACTATTTTTTAGAAAAAGGAATTATTAAAAATTTTTTTTTTTTTTTTTTTCTGAGACAGGTTCTCACTGTGTCACCCAGCCTGGAGTTCAGTGGTATGATCATGGCTCACTGCAGCTTCAGCCTCTTGGGTTCAAGTGATCTTCCTGCCTCAGTCTCTTGTGTAGCTGGGACTTCAGGAGAGTACCAGCACACACAGCTAATTTTTAAATATTGTTTATAGGATCAAGGGTCTGACTTTCTTGCCCAGGCTTCTTGCAAACTCCTGGGTTCAAGCAGTCCTCTCACAGTACTGGGATTACAGGCATGAGCCACTGTGCTTGGCTGAATTTGTCCTTTTTTACAGTAAAATAAATTGGGCCAGGCATGGTGGTGACTCATGCCTGCAATCCCAACACTTTGGGAGGCTGAGGCTGGCAGATTGCCTGAGCTCAGGAGTTTGTGACCAGCCTGGGCAACACGGTGAAACCCTGTCTCTCCTAAAATACAAAAAATTAGCCAGGCGTAGCGGCATGTGCCTGTAGTCCTAGCTACTTGGGAGGCTGAGGCAGGAGACTTGCTTGAACCCAGGAGGCAGAGGTTGCAGTGAGCCAAGATTGCACCACTGCACTCCAGCCTGGGTGTCAGAGCACCACTCTGTCTCAAAAAAAAAAAAATAAGAAATTGAGTGGTTAAAAGAAATTCAGTAGTAATACCAATGATGAATTGTTGCCTATAAAATTGCATAATTCTTAATGCTAGTGAAGGAAATTTCTTACAGCATTATTTATACCATAAGTTGAAAATTACTGAAATGCCTTAAAATAGGAAAATTTTAATTATATGTCAATATAAAATGTATGTCCACATTATATCAACATAATGTTTTCATGGGATCATTAATAAAAATAATTTTGAAGAATTTGTAACAGATATGTTCAGCTCATGGCTACATTATGTTAAGAAAGTAGAATATGTAACTACATAGGGCTTTCCTGGTTGTGTTTACGTGTACACATAAATATTTATATTCATGTATATGCATCTGAAAGATTGAAAGGAAATGTACCAGTATACTTAGAATCTCTTACTATTGGAATAATGAGTAGTGATTTTTGTAGTGTTATGTCTTCTACATTTAAAGGTGGTATATGTTATCTTTAGAAAATAAATATATATATTGTTTTTATTAGAAAGATACATTATCTAGAGTGAGTGAAAAGCATAGAGAGATGTGATTTTTGGCTATTTCTACATGTATAGTGGTGAATAGTTCCAAAAATGGGTTAGATGTAACTTTTGATCTGTTTGATAAAGGTGAGCCGTATACACAAAATTTGGCCAGTTAGTGATTACGCAGAGATATTTGTCTGCACTTTAACCAGAACTGTTTTGAAATGTGTGACCTCCTTGTCTGGTATGTGTGTGTTTATTAGTGTTCTATGTTACTTCAGAAATGAATTATTTGTTTTTCCTTTTTAGTTATTTAAATCAAATAATACTCTTTACTCCTTTAGGCTTCACGAAAACCTCGTGAAGAGCGAGATGTGTCTCAGTGTGAAAGTGTTGCTTCCACCGTTTCTGCTCAAGAGGATGAAGATATTGAAGCCTCCAATGAAGAAGAAAATCCAGAAGACAGCGAAGGTATCTCAAAATTTTAAGTTTAGTTGTGACATCTGCTATCCTGAATAAATAATTTTTAGTCATTTGACTCTGTAGGAATATTGCTTCATTGAGGAAACAATGTGCCAGTGTTTTCATGGTGAGGAGACTTCAAACTTGAACATAATGTTTTTATTCATTTAATCACAAATATTTATTTAGCACCTAAGATGGTCCAGAAGATCTTGGAAATGGCAGTCCTGCTTCAGACATCAAGTGCCAACATCAATAAAATATCTGTGTATCTATGTCATTGCCACATTTATTTGTTCAATTAGTTAGTATCATCAGTTATGTTTCTCTTTATTGCCTTGAGTTTGATTTATTTTCCTATTTTTACAAAGATTTGTATGTACTATATTAATGTTTTTATGTAAAAATAATTAATGACCCTAGAAGCAACAATAGAAAAAAAAAATCAACCCACGAAAACTAAGGAAATTTAAGAAATAATGTCTCTTTGTCATTTAAACAAATTAATGACAAGTTCATGAAAAAATATTTTCTTGATTATTTTGGTTTAAAAAAAAGATATCTAATTTATTTCAGTTTATACTCTGATTAAAGTTTCTGTGGATTTTTTTGTAAATTGACTGCTTCTGATGTGGGGATTTTTATAATGCTTTTAGTAGCTGTTCATATATATTAAACATGTTCCTGTTTTGTATATGCAGATAATTTTTTCCTTCTCATTTCCCTTTTGTTTTGCTTTTAAATTACCTTTGCTTAAACTTTGTGTAATTAGAGTTGTATTATCTTTTCCTTTGTAGGGTCTTTATTTTATATGAGCTTTAAAAGTTCTACATTCTCCAGGTTTATTAATACTAGATTTTGGGTTTTTTTCCTATAGATTATTCTTGTTGGCTTTAAACTAAACTTGTGTTGAAATGGGTTTTGGCTTTGAACAACCCCTAATCCTAAGCTTTTTTTGGGAGGGTTTGTGAAAAATGAGGTGGTCTTTAGTAAGAGTATTAGAGCAGGCTCATCCTAGGGTAAGGTAAGAGCGCTGCAAACAATGAAGGTAGTTTTCTGTGTTTACGGCACTTCCAGAGAGGTGGTCAGAGTCTCTTGGTTTTAATGGGTTTGTTTCTGGTGGCTAGTATTCCCTGGGGTTATAAATGTTAATGAAGCCTGGAGGTTAATAAACCTCCTCAGGCTGCCATAACAAAATACCACAGATTGGGTGGCTTCAACAACTGAAAAGAATTTTCTCACAGTTGTGAAGGCTGTACGTCCAAGATCAAGGGGCTGGCACAGTTGCTTTCTGATGAGGGCTGTCTTCCTGGCTTGCAGATGGCCAGCCACCTCCTTACTTTGTCCTTACATGGCCTTTCCTTTGTGTGTGCCCATTCCTGGTGTATCTTCCTCATATGAAGACAGCTCCTACTGGATTAGACCCCGCCCCCCCATTATGACCTCATTTAACCTTAACCACCTCCTTCAAGGCCTTGTCTCCAAATAAAGTTACATTGTGGGTTAGGGCGTCAACCTGAGAATTTTGATGGGGAGGGGCACAATTCAGTCCATAACAAAGCCCAAGTCCATTATTAATATGTCCATCTGATCAAGGATAGGGTGGCACTATCACATCTGCTCAATCATCTAGAAGAGTTTCCTCTTAAGAGGAAATGAATTTCCCAGTAGAATTTTAGGATTTCTCCTCCTTTTGACTTAACTTCGTTTGGAAAGTGTCAAGACAAGAACATAAATGCAGTTTATGTGACTTATGATCTCATACTTATTCCTAATCTTAATGAGACACTTCAGATGCACTGTTTATTGTGTGGCAAGTCTCTTGCTGATTAAAGAATGAAGGTAGCTGCTGAAGGGAGGTTTCCTGTGTCTGTTTCCTAAAACACATCTGACTCTGTATCTTTCATGATTAGAAGAATTAAATTAGAGAAACCAGGACTTCACTAAAATTTGGATTTGCTCTTGTTCTCTTTTTCTACATCATTCTTAAAGGTTTTTTTTTTTTTTCCTGTATCTTTAGAAAAAAAAATACTCATGTTTGGCTGTTGCTTAGTGAAACATTATGCCTTGGAAATCTTCCTACTCTTTTGTGGCTTGGAAGAAGAAAATTGGAAAATGCTTATGTCAAATGATATCATCTGCTGTATAATCACCAACATGTCTTCTAAAATTTTGAAGATAAATGCCTTGTTAGTTTGCCCTTGGATTTGGGGCTTTCTACCACTATCTAAATAGAAAAGAAGGTTAAGTCAGGCTTTTTGTTAGCTTTTCATTGCTTTAGTAGGATCTTTCAATAACAGTAATGGCTGCCATATATTAAAACCTTGTTACATGTGAGGTACTGTTCTGAGTTATTTGCTTGTCTGTCTTTTGCTTTATTTTGGAAACTTGAACTCTCATCTGGATTCCAGGCTCATATATCTAATCATGTACTCAGTATTTCCATTTGGATTCCTAAGAGCCATCTCATAGTTAACATCCAAAGCAAACTCTTGTGTGTCTACCACCACAAGCTGCTTTTCCCTCTAGTCTTTCCCTATATCAATAAATTTGCTTTTCTTTAGTCTCTTTAGAATTGGAATCTTATCTCGATAGCTCCTATCCTGCTTCTGAGGAGCCCTCATTGCAGTAGTTTTTTGATTAGTTTCTTGCTGCTTTTGTTCCATTCTATTTATTTATTTTTACAGATGAGGTCTCGCTCTGTCACCAAGGCTGGAGTGCAGCGGCTCGATTGTGGCTCACTGCAGCCTCTAACTCCTAGGCTTAAGTGATTTTCCCACCCTCATCTTCCCAAGTAACTGGGACCATAGGCATGCACCACCATACCTAATGTACTTTTTTTACTTTTTGTAGAGACAAGGTCCATTCTGTTTTTTTCTTCCATAGCAGCTCAAGTAGTTCTTATAATGTAAATCAAATCTTGTTTCTTCTCTAGTACAAATTCTGTAATACTTTCCCATCTCAGTAAGAATAAAGACCCAAGGCCTTACTGTGATTTATGAGGCTCTGCATGAACTGACTTTGTACCTTTGTACCTCTGTGAACTTTCTGCCAATCTTTTTTGTTTGCCTTCTCTGCTCCAACCATACTGTCCTCTTTGCTGTTCCTGGGCAAACCAACCCCTACTTCAGGAGTCTTTGTGCTTTCTAATCCCTCTACCTGAAATGCTCTTCCCCACCATGTGCCCATAGCTCATTCTCTCATTTCCTTGAGTCCTCTGTTCAGATACCACTTTATTCTATAAAACCTCCTCACCTACTTCTTTCTCAGTTTTGTTTTTTAGTCACTGCACTGATCACCACCTGATATATCACTTTGTTTGTTTGTTTTGAGACAGGGCCTCACTTTGTCACCCAGTGCTGAAGTATAGTTGTATAAACACAGCTCACTGCAAGCCTTGACCTCTTGGGCTCAAGTGATTCTGTTGCCTCAGCCTCCCGATAACTGGGATTACAGGTGTATGCCACCATGCCTCGCTAATTTTTAAATGTTTTTGTAGAGATGAGGTCTTACTATGTGGCCCAGGTTGGTCTTGAACACTTGGCCTCAGGCAATCCTCCTGCCTTAGCTTCCCGAAGTGCTGGGATTATAGGCGTGAGTCACCACTCCCAGCCTATATCACATATTTACTGTTTATTGTCTATTTCACACTAGAAGGTTGGCTCCATGAGAGCATCTGCTTAGATTTTTTTAAATCACTCTGTCCCCAGTACCTCAAACAGCTCCCTGCACATACATAGTTCACACTTCATCATATTTGAATGAATAAAATAATGAATTTGTAGAAGTTTTTTTATATTGCTGTAATATAAAATTAAAAAATAATTTTTTTCCCCAAATGGTTGTTTAGGGTCTCACAATCATTCATGCACTTTATAATCCAGCCAATATTTGAGTTACTGTGTGCCAGGCTATTACTTAAGTGATAGTCAAAATATATGATCTCTGTTCTTACAGAGTTTATAGCCTAGTGGAAGAAATGACCAGAAATCATTCTAATAAATAAATCATTCTAGTAAATAAATATAATTGTAACTGTAACTAGTACATGTGGTATCAGAACTATGTTAGCAAAATACAACTTTGTTAAGGAAGCCATGGAAGGCTTTCTTTTCTTTCTTTTTTTTTTTTTTTTGAGTTGGAGTTTCACTCTTGTTGCCCAGCCTAGAGTACAATGGCATGATCTTGCCTCACTGCAGTCTCCATCTCCCAGATTCAAGTGATTCTCCTGCCTCAGCCTCCCAAGTAGCTGGGAACACAGGCATGCCACACCTGGCTAATTTTGTATTTTTAGTTGAGACAGAGTTTCACTATGTTGGTCAGGCTGTTCTTGAACTCCCCACCTTACCCTCCCAAAGTCCTGGTATTACAGACTTGAGCCACTCACCCAGCCCATAGAAGGCTTTTTAAGCACGTGATATTTGAGCTGATCATCTAAGAAAAAGTAGGTGAAAGAATTTTTCAGTAAGGGTGAATGGCGTGTACAAAGTCACTGTTGTAGAAGATGCATGAGGCATTGAAAAAGCTAAAGGCCAATGTGACTTGAATTCAGAGATCTTTGTGCAAGCCAGAGAGGTTGGTGGGGGCCCACTGGGCAAGGCCTTGCAGGCCATACCAGCAATTTTGGAACTTCATCCTAACAGTAATAGGAGTCCATCAAAAATTCATGTGAGACAGAGTGGAGAGTGAGTTATTATAGTAAAATTTGGCTTTAAGATAACTCTGACTTTGTTGTAGAGAATGTTCTGAAGTTGAATGAAGAGAGTTGGTTTTGGACTAGAGTGCTAGCTGTGAAGTTGAATGGGATTGGATTAATTCAAGAGAAATTTTTACAGAGAAAATCAGTGAGCCTTGTCAAAGCAGGATATGGGGTAAATGAGAGCAGGGTTTAAAAGATGACTTTTTGGCCTCTGGTTTGTTTAATTGGATAGTAAACACTAGAAAAGAATCTGATTTGGGAGTGTTTATTACATACAGCTCTAGTACAGGACATATTGAATTTGTGATGCCTTTGATATATCTAGATAAAGATGTCAAAAGCACTGAAAGTCTATTTATAGAATAATACAAACGATATGGGGAAAGATCTGTGTCTCAACATTAAATTAAAAATCTGTGACTAGAGCCTCTGTCCAGTATGGTAGCTGCTAGACACTTCTGGCTATTGAGCACTTGAAATTTGACTAGTTTAAGTTTAGATATGTAGACCGGGTGCAGTGGCTCATGCCTGTAATCCCAGCACTTTGGGAGGCCAAGGTGGGCGGATTACCAGAGGTCAGGAATTTAAGAACAGCCTAGGCAACATGGTGAAACGCTGTCTTTACTAAAAAATACAAAATAGCTGGGCGTGGTGCCAGGTGCCTATAACCCCAGCTACTCAGGAGGCTGAGGCACAAGAATCACTTGAACCCAGGACACACAAGCTGCAGTGAGCCAAGATAGCACCATTGCAATCCAGCCTGGTGACAGGGTGAGACTCTGTCTCCAAAAAAAAAAAAAAAAAAAAAAAAAAAAAAATTAGATATGCAGAATATGTAAAATACATACCAGATTTTGAAGACTTAGTACCAAAAAAAGGAAAAATAATCTTTTTATGAATTTTTTTTTTGATATTGATTACATGTTAAAATGACATTTCACACATTGGATTAATTAAATAAATTCTACAAAATTAGCTGGGTGTGGTGGCACATACCTATAATCCCAGCTACTCAGGAGGCTGAGGGAACAGAATTACTTGAACCTGGGAGGCGGAGGTTGCAGTGAGCTAGATTGTACCATTGCACTCTAGCCTGGGTAATCAGAGCAAAAGCCCATCTCCAAAAAATAAAATTAAAAAAATACATACATACATACATATATATATATAGTTTAAATTAATTTGACCCATTTCATACTTTTTAAGTGTGGTCATCAGAAAAATTAAAATTACAGATGTGATTACATTATATGCCTATTGGATAGAGCTGTTCTAGAGTGTCAGTTTAGCTGGGAAAAAGGAAATTCACAGAAAGAGGCTTCTGGAAATACACCAGAATGTCATCATTTATAGGAATTTTTTTGTTTAGGTTTATCTTTCTTTGTTTTTTACTTTCATATAAATTATTTTCAGACATTAAAAGCCTTTATGCTTTTAGTTTCAGAAGGTCAAGACAATTTGATCTTTCACTTCTATATTCTGTAGGAAACTTTAGCCTTCTCAATGGCTGTAAATACTCCACTGAGGTCATCAAAGGAGTAGAATTCATCCTAAACAACTACTTTCAAGCATGGTTTCTATCACCACCTGAAACATGTTCATTATCAGATTTTTATGCTGTATCATTATCTTTAAGGTGCAGAAAATAGTTCTGATACAGAAAGTGCTCCTTCTCCTTCACCAGTTGAAGCTGTGAAGCCCAGTGAGGACAGTCCTGAAAATGCTACTTCTCGAGGAAACACAGAACCTGCGACTGAGCTTGAGCCCACTACGGAAACTGCACCCAGTACATCTCCCTCCTCAGCAGTTCCAAGTAAAAAACCAGCTGAAGATGAAAGTGTGGAGACCCAGGTGAATGACAGCATCAGTGCTGAGGCAGCAGAGCAGGTGGACGTAGATCAGCAGGAGCACAGTGCCGAAGGGGGTTCTGTTCCTGATCCCCCACCCACTACCAAAGCCGATTCTGTGGATGTTGAAATCAGGGTGCCAGAAAACCATGCATCTAAAGTTGAAGGTGATAATACCAAAGAAAGAGACTTGGATAGAGCCAGTGAGAAGGTGGAACCTAGAGAGGAAGATTTGGTGGTAGCTCAGCAAATAAATGCCCAAAGGCCCGAGCCCCAGTCGGACAATGATTCCAGTGCCACGTGCAGTGCTGATGAGGATGTGGATGGAGAGCCAGAGAGGCAGAGGTGAGGCTCGTTCTCTTAAGTCCTACCCTGTGCTTACTTGGCTAGTTGCTGACTGAATCACAGGGTGGTATGGCTGTAGACATGGCTCCTATATAAATATTGGCAAGTTACAGGTAGTCTGTACGATTTTAATATTGGGCTGATACTATTCTGTTTAACCAGAAACAATTGTGTGATCATTTTAATGAAACAGATTATACATTTTTTCTACATCTGTCTTGTTATGTGTATTCTGTATGATAGCAAAAAAGGGAATTTCAACTAATAAAGTTGTGAATAAAGCACAGATAACTGTTGTGCCTAAGGAGGCAGCAGTGGGATGTGGTGATGCAGGTGGAGGCTAGAGCCATTAAGGAGCTCCTGCTGCTGTAAGGCAGTGCAGTCTCAAAACAAGGCCTACTAGCCCCTACTTGTTAGATAGAAGAAAATGCTGAAAAGAAAAACACGGTCAGTGTTCTGAAAATTTTCAGAAAGCATAATTTTAATGATAATTATGACCACTTTTTTGTATCATTTAAAATTTTAGATTGTTCATTTTTGAAATTTAAAATATCAGGTACAAAGCAGATTAATTTACAAGTTTTTTTTTTTTTTTTTTTTTTTGAGACGGAGTCTTAATCTGCTGCCCAGGCTAGAGTGCAGTGGTGCAATCTTGCTTGGCTCACTGCAGCCTCTGCCTCCTGAGTTCAAGTGTTTCTCCTGCCGCAGCCTCCCAAGCTGGCGGACACCATGCATGACCAATTTTTGTATTTTTCATAGAGATGGGGTTTCCCATGTTGGCAAGGCTAGTCTTGAACACCTGACCTCTGGTGGTCCGCCCACCTAAGCCTCCCAAAGTGCTGGGATTACAAGTGTGAGCCACTCTGTCTGGCAATTTACAAGTATTTGTAGTCATTAAAGGTTAATTAATTATACAAAAACAGTGCATCATATCTATGGTTTTTGTAAAAATCACAGTAAAAAGATACATAATTTACAGGTATAGTTACCTCTTTATTTAATGTATTTTATTTCCTGGTGTTTCCTTTTCCTTAAAATAAATTGAATCTCCTATAAATTTAGTAGAATGTTAAATTGGTACAAATTCTAGAAGTGAATTAGATTGAAACATCACTTAATCCAAACCCAATTAAACCTTGCCCTTTTTTTTCCTTTTTATTAAGAAAAAGGAGACAAACTACTCAACAGTTAGATAAATTATCTTCAGAGTTTAGCTTTCAGAGTTTGTCTTGGTGTCTGTATTTTCAGTTAATATCCGATATATTTTATATCTTACGTACTCCGTAATGAGATTTGTTACTAGAATAATATTGAGCAATATAATGCTTGATTTCTCAGAGTGTTTGTATAGTAGATGCTAGAATTTTCATCAACATGAATTGAAATAAAGTAGGCGTTCTGCTTAACTATTGATTTACCAGAAAATTTGACTGTCTTTTTCCTTCAGTTCAGAGTAATCTAGATTTTATTTTAATGGTGTCAGTCTTTAACTGCAGTAAACACAAATTGATTCAAGCTGTGTAGTCCTTTTTAAAGCATTCTTTAATTAAACATCTCATCTAAAATAAGGATTATCGGTGTTTTGTGCTGTTGGTTTTGGTAACTATACATGAAGGAAAAATTAAGACGGCAGTAATTTTAAATGTTAAACATCCTAAGAGATGAACATGACAGTAGTCTTGAAATTCAAAAATTCCTTGGAAAAATATGATGTTTTTTGACTGACACCCTAAAGTTCATACTGCTCCCAAATGATTGAAATAACACTTTCAATTTTGTATATCTTTAATATCTTCTTTATGTAGTATGTGAATTTTTAAAAATATATTCTAATTTTCTTACCAATTTATACATTTTTAAATGTTCACCTTTCCCCAGTGACCATGATAACATTGGGAAATATGACCAAACTCCTAAGACGTGACACTAGTATAAAATTGCCTCGAGTTTATATATTGGGCATCCTAATATATAGGATTATATATTGGGCATCCTAATATATACCTACCTTGACTGTAGGTATTGGAAATATCAGCCAGTGGAGTGTGAGATGCTAGGGACTATGGTGAACAGAGGCGGGTGTGCTCATGTGAGTGGGGCAGCAGCTGCTAGGTACACAGCAGTTTGCTGCTGTGGGTGGGTGCTGATCCCATGTTGTTGATTCTTTCCATTTTTTATGAGAAGCTGGAGTCTGGAATTTTGGATGACATTTTCAATTTAGAAATTGTAGCAGCTTATTCAAATATTTAAAAAAAACACTCTGTGATTCCCAATAAAATATCCTCTAACAGGTAACTAGTTTTTAACCCATGTTAGGAGGTTTATGGTAAATTAGGACTGAACAGTTTTAAATGGACTTTGTTCAGATTGTCTTTTTGATTAGATATAGACGATTCGTATAAATTTCAACCTGTAAGTCAGTATTAGTTTTTTTCTTTTCTTTTTAATATAAAATGCTTTGTAAATTTGCATGTTTTTCTTGTGCAGGTGCTATGGTAATCTTTTATCATTTCATTTTAGTACGTGTTCTGCTGAAGTGAGTACAATATTCAATTTCTTTATCTGGAAAATCAACTTTATAGGTTCCTTTTTCCTTAACTGTCCAAATATTTTATACAGGTTAATATATGTGTGTCCATATGTGCATGTGTATGTATGTATTAACTTACAAGAAATTATGGTGATTGTATGTTTGAGTCTTATATAAAAATGTATTCATTTATCTTTTTTTTAATTGACAATTGCAGAATGTTTCCTATGGACTCAAAGCCTTCACTGTTAAATCCCACTGGTTCTATACTAGTCTCATCCCCGTTAAAACCAAATCCACTGGACCTGCCACAGCTTCAGCATCGAGCTGCTGTTATCCCACCAATGGTAAGTTTTTATTGTGAGGAAGAAAACTGAAGTTGAAAAACAGAGACCTTTATAGAGATATTTCTTCTCTTCTTTAATTGGTTCTTGGAAAAAAAAATTGGGCTACAAAACATAACATGAAATTAATCATTGTAACTAATTCTAAGCATACGGTTCACTCTAGTGTTCAGTGTGTTAAGTATATTGACATTGTTGAGAAAATGATCCCCAAGACTTTTTCATCTTTCAAATGTGAAATTAATTAAACAACTCCTCTCTTCCTCCTCCTGCTAGCCACTGATAAGCACTGTTCTGCTTTCTGGTTCTGTGAATTTAACACATAGTTTAGATACCAAGGAAATATTTTGTACCACAACACTTACTATACCAAATGTGTGGTTATTTTCCTCACACTAATGAATTCTCCACCTTTTTGGACACCAGCTAGGTTCCTATAGTTTAGTTCAATTTGGGCACTGACTGCCCTGCACAATTGTCTAATACCACAAGTGTAAGGGCTCAGTACCACAGGCTACCCCCATTTCTGATGCCAGTTCTATCCAGGTTACTCACACTTCTGACTAGGCTCCAAATTGGAGATTCCTCCGACTCTCCCCTCAGGTTCCATAATCTGCTAGAATGCCTCAGAGACTTAGGAAAGTACTTTACTTATAATTACTTGTTCATTTTAAAGGATATAACTGAGAAACAGCCAAATGAAAGAGATGCATTGGGCAAGGTGTGCAGAAGGAGTGTGGAGCTTCTCCTCTCTTCCTCCTCCTGCTAGCCACTGATAAGCACTGTCACTCTCTCAACATCTCCACATGTTCACCAACCTGGAAACTCTTTAAACCCCATTGTTTGGGGTTTTTGTGAAGGCCACATCACGTAGGCGTGGTTGACTAAATCATTGGCCATTGGTGATGGGTACAGGAACCTTTAGCCCCTCTCCTCCCTCTGGAGGGTTGGAGGTGGGGTGAGCTAGGTGTAGCTGAAAGTTCCAGTCCTGGCCAGGCGCAGTGGCTCAAGCCTGTAATCCCAGCACTGTGGGAGACCGAGGCGGGTGGATCACGAGCTCAACAGATCGAGACCATCCTGGTCAACATGGTGAAGCCTCGTCTCTACTGAAAATACAAAAAATTAGCTGGGCATGGTGGCACGTGCTACTCAGGAGGCTGAGGCGGGAGAATTGCCTGAACCTCGGAGGCGGAGGTTGCAGTGAGCCGAGATCGTGCCATTGCACTCCAGACTGGGTAACGAGTAAAACTCCATCTCAAAAAAGAAAGTTCCAGTCCTTGCTGGGCATGTGATGCCCACCTGTATTCCCAGCTATTTGGGAGACTGAGGCAAGAGGATTGCAAGTTCAAGCCCAGCATGGGCAAAATGTTGAGAGAAATCCTACCATAAGCCCCAAAGAAGTTCCAGCCTCTTGCCTTGTGGTCGTTTGGGCTCCCAGCCCTTATTCTGAGGCCATCTAGATGCCCCCAGCCAGGAGTCATCTTGTTAGCATGCAAAAGACACTCTTACTGCTTTGAAAATTCTAAGATTTGAAACAAAGAAAAGTCTTTGGAAGAGAGACCAAATAATTTTTATTGTATCACACTATGTCATATAAATGAAATTATACAGTATTTGTCATTTTGTGATAGGCTCATTTCACTCAGTATAATGTCCTCTAAGTATATTTAGCACATCCCAGAATTTCTTTCTTTTTAAAGGCTTAGTGGTACTCCATTGTATCTGTACATCACATTTTATTCATTCATCCATTGATGGACATTTGGGTTGCTTCCACCTCTGCACTATTGTGACTAGTACCTCTGTGGTCAGTCCTTGATTTTAGTACCTTGGTTTTTCTTATATCCTCCTTTGCTGGGCTTGGGTTAGGGAGTGCTAAGACATATGGGTGAGAAGGGTAGGAAGATGCTGAGTCTAACTTTAAACTCTTATAGATAACCAAAATTTATATCCTTAGTGCATTGATTTTTCAAATGACTTGTGATGATTGATTGAAATGGTCATTTCCAGGTAAGAAAAAAAAATTATAATGCTCTAGCCATAAATATTAGTAAGTCCTGTTTTTGTTTGCCACCATAGCAATAAGGAGCCATAAAACTGTAGTAGCATTAAGCATATAATTAGGTTTTGAAAATTTAGAATGGAGATTATGGCTAGCTCTAGTATTCAATTTTAAGTGTAGTTTGTTTATTTTTATTTATTTATTTATTTGTTTTATTATTTTTAAATTTTTTTTTTTTTTTGAGACGGAGTTTCGCTCTCGTTACCCAGGCTGGAGTGCAATGGCACGATCTCGGCTCACTGCAACCTCCGCCTCCTGGGTTCAGGCAATTCTCCTGCCTCAGCCTCCTGAGTAGCTAGGATTACAGGCACACGCCACCATGCCCAGCTAATTTTTTGTGTTTTTAGTAGAGACAGGGTTTCACCATGTTGACCAGGATGGTCTCGATCGGTTGACCTCGTGATCCACCCGCCTCGGCCTCCCGAAGTGCTGGGATTACAGTCTTGAGCCACCGCGCCCGGAGTGTAGTTTATTTTTATATTTTACCTTAATTTACAGATTTCAAGTCATTTTTATTTACATTTTACCTTAACAATCTGTATAAATTTGACTCATTTTTGATACTAAATTCCAATCTTTGGGTATTGTTCTTTTCTTTAGTTATGTCCTCTTTATTCAAATATTTAAAGCTTTTGCTTTATTCAAATATGTATTTTCTGTCTTAAATAATAATTGGTAAAATGTAGTTAATTATGTTCTTATTATAAAAAGATCATTAAATATTTGTTCATTCATTGATTCATTCAAATGAACACTTATTGAGTGATTAGTTTAAGACAATGTTCTTCGTATTGTGGAGAATATAAACATGTATCTCCTCTTATTTTAAAAAACTAAATTTAGGGACTGGTCTGCATAATAAAGCAAAGAGGCTGGGTGTGGTGGCTTACGCCTGTAATCCCAGCACTATTGGGAGGCCGAGGCGGGTGGATTGCTTGATCGCAGGAGTTCCAAGACCAGCCCTGGCAACATGGTGAAACCCTGTTTCTATACACACACACACACACACACACACACACACACACACACACGAAAGTTAGCTCGGCATGGTGACATGCATCTGTGGTTGGGAGGTTGAGGTGGGAGGATTGCTTGAGCTTGAGAGTTTGAGGTTGTGGTGAGGTGAGTTGGTGCCAGTGCACTCTAGCCTAGGTAAAAAATCGAGACACTGTCTCAAAACAAAACAAAACAAAAGCATAAAAAAATTACCGCAAAGGTTAAAATTAATTAAAATGTGATGCTGTATTAGGTTAAAAATACTATGGATGTTTTGGAGAAGAGGGAGTATCTTCTTAATCAGCCTTAAAAAAGAAAGAAATTCTGGCACATGCTTAACGAAGACCCAGCATAAGAAATATTTTCGGGGGTCCAAAGTGGCTCCGGCCGGAGGTTGTGGCACTTGCGAAGGCGAGGTCATGAGTTGAAGGCTAACCTGAGCAACCTTATTAGCTCAAACTGATTGGCAAAAAAAAAAAAAAAAAAAAGAAATAATATTTTCATTGGATCAAAACAGCTCATTTGGCTTTATGGCAAAAGGAGGAGAAACCATATTTAAGTGTATGACAAAGCACAAAGGCAAGAAAGTTAGGGGTTTTAGGATCAGTGATGCTGGGGAAAAACTATGGAAGTCTTCAGTTACCAGATTCTAAAAAAGTCAGATCTCTAGGGCATACTAGTGATATCTGTTATTCATGAAGTATTTAATCACGGACTGTGTTCTGGGCAATTTTTTTTTTTAATACAAAAATTAACTCAAGATTTCTGGGCTATTTTTTTAAGTATTGGGTAAAACATCTTGGGTTCTTTTCTTCATAAAGTCAGAGAGACAGAAAAGTATCAATTTCAAACTGTGGTAAATACTGTGTACTGTGAAAGCAATGAACAGGCTGCAATGAGAAGGAAAATGGGGAGGGAATCACTATGTTTTATTGGATGGTTATGGATGACCTATCTTAAGAACAGTCCATATCTGTCCTAAGAGAATGGCTATGTGAATCAATTGGTTGTGGGAGAGGAGGAGATGGCAGTCAGGGATGGCTGCCAGGTTTCTGGCTAAAGCACCTGAGGTTCCATGTCTAAAATGTAGAACAACTGAAGAAGAAGAATGGAGTTTAGAAAATGGGAAGTTCCCTTCTTATTTTAAGTTCTGAGCTTCCTTGAGATATTCAAGTGAAGTTGTTAGGTAGGCCATTTTATATGAGTGTGGAACTTGGAGAAGGTGTCTTGAGGAAATAGAAAATTTGTGAATCATTAACAAATGGATGGCATTTAAATCAACATAAATGGATGTTATCTGCTGGGCACAGTGGCTCACACCTGTAATCCCAGCACTTTGGGAGGCTGAGACGAGCAGATCAGTTGAGGCTAGGAGTTTGAGACCAGCCTGGCCAACACGACGAAAACCCTTCTTTACCAAAAAATAGAAAAATTATCTGGATGTGGTGTTGGACACCTATAATCTCAACTACTTAGGAGCCCGAGGCAGGAGAATTGCTTAAACCTGGGAGGTGGAGGTTGCAGTGAGTCAAGATCGCACCACTGCACTGCAGCCTGGGCAACGATGAAATTGTGTCTCAAGAAAAAGAAAAAATACATAAATGGATGTGATCCCTGGTGAAAGAGAGATGAGGGATGGGACCTAGGGCCAAGCCACAAGGGACTTGGCTGCCATAAATTAGAATCAGACAGATGTGTTTTAATTTCTGATTTTTGATTTCTCTTATTACAGCTTGTGTGATTTATCTTGTGATCCGTTCTGAAAGAAAACTAGGTCTCACTGTGTTGCCCAGGCTGTAGTGCAATGGTGCGATCTTGGCCCTCTGCAACCTCTGCCTCTTGGGCTCAAGCTTTTCTCCTGTGTCAGCCTCCTGAGTAGCTTGGACTACAGGCGCACACCACCACACCCAGCTAAATTTTTGTATTTTTTGGTAGAGACAGGGTTTCACCATGTTGGTTAGGCTGGTCTTGAACTCCTGACCTCAGGTGATCTGTCCACCTCGGCCTTCCAGAGCACTGGGATTACAGGTGTGAGCCACTACTCCTGGCCTTAAACATTATTCTTGAAGATTACTTGGATTAAAAATTGATAAAATTAATTCAACCAGTAATATGACAGAAATAAGCATTACTTGTAACAGATGGCAGTTATCACAACATTGGTTGTTGGCATATTTAGATTTATTTTCTTCCTGTAGGTATCCTGCACCCCATGTAACATACCAATTGGAACCCCAGTGAGTGGCTATGCTCTCTACCAGCGACACATTAAAGCAATGCATGAGTCAGCACTCCTGGAGGAGCAGCGGCAGAGACAAGAACAGATAGATTTGGAATGCAGAAGTTCTACGAGTCCATGTGGCACATCCAAGAGTCCAAACAGAGAGTGGGAAGGTAGGTAAAGAGAGCTATCAGCACAGATAAGTTTTATGAAGGGAAACAAAGCTAAACCCAAAAGTAGTGTTCATTGTGCTTTGTAAGTTATCAGCTTCCCAGTTGATTGTTGTATTTGTCCCTAGGAGACACCGTTCCTTAAATTGACCTCAGTTAAGCTATGAAAAAAATGTTAGTGTTATTAACTGCTAAAGGATGCCAGTAATATTTTTAGTATCATTCTAGTTAATACGAATTTTCTAATATTCATCTTTATGCCGGAAGTCATTATAAATATAGTCATGCTTTATGTTCCATTCATCTGAATTTTCAGAGTAAGTGAGAATTGTTGTCCCGTCCTTGAAGCAAATCACCTTCGAATATTACACTGTAATATTCACATTCTCTGGTAGATGAGAGACACAACTTTGTATAGTGGATATTCCCAATCAGATGCTGGCTCAGCCTTCACCTTGGCATTTGCCAGCTGTGTGGCCACAGGCAAGTCACTTAACCTTTCATAGCTTTAGTTTTCTCATCTGTAAAACGAAAATAATAATGCACATCTACCTTGCTGGAGTTGTAAAGTTAAGGAGCATTTGGTATTGTTAAATAACACATCGCTCTGCACTATTTTATGTATAATGTAGTATGATATTACATACTAATTAGTGTATTAGTATTGCATATACACAGAATTAGTAGCTACTATGGAGGTACCTGTTTTCATTGTTACGTCACTGTTTTTATTTCAAGTGATAGATTTGAGTTGGTGCATTGCTGTGTTAGTTTCTTTTACTTTCTTTAAAAAATAGAAGAAAGGAGTGTTTTTAAGTTTTAATACATTCTTCTAACATGGTTAAACAATTGGCACATGTTTCTGGTTAAGAGTGAGTTAATAGTCTACTTATATGCTACAGTATGCTTAGAATGTAAGAATACTGAAATAGTCTGAGTGATTGAGAAGATTCTTTGTAGTACTTTATGTTGCTAAATAAGAGCTATTAGCTTTACAATGCTATGCATACCAAGGGCTATTTAATATAAAATAGGAACTGTGGTACTTAGCTAAATTATACAAGTAATGAGTTATTAGTTACCTAACACACTGAAACTCTTATAATAGTTTTAAGTGTAAACTCATTAATCTTTTAAACATAAATATTGTGTTAGGAAAAATGTGAACCAGAATGATAATATCCAGCAGGGAATATAATAAGTGCTAAATGAATATTTCCTTGAATGAAGGTAGAAATATTGATACTTTTTAGGCTTTTAATGTGTCGCATCTAGGGAATTCTTAATCCCTAATTCTGTAATTGACACAACAGGTACTCAGTAATTACACCTTAAAGGAATGAATTATAAATGAATGACATAACGGAGATACCTTTATCATATTTCACTGCAGGGTATTAATGGACTTATCGCAGGTGTTTGTCTTTTGAACATTCCAATTATGAGTAAATACATCAGTTTTATGAGAAAATGATACTTCAGAGGATAATTTAAAAGTCTTTGGACATATTCCTTAGATTAATGATTTAGGATAGATTTTGTGAAGAAGAAGTAAAATTAGAAAAATGACATTCAAATGGTATCATTTGTTGAACTTATGCCAAAGCATAACATTATTGTTAGTGATAGCTCAGTCCTTTTAATATGGATATCATATTATAATTCTAGAGCCTCAATATCTTTTCTTGGTCTGCTTTATAAAATAAGTTGTATTTGGGAACTAAAGAAACTGAACCAGGCTAGAGCCCAAAATTCTGAGACTCCAAACTGTGAATTGTGTTTCTCTGTTAGTCACATTAATGCACATGGTTTAGAACTCAGTGGTATCCTAATTTTTAATCATAATTCAGTCATTTTAAAACCAAATTGTAATTATACTTTTCATTAGTATGACATTAAGAATTTTATAGTTTGGCTGAAGGTGATCCTCTACAAAGTAGGGACAATTGGTTATGTTTTATCCAAAGGTTGTTTTGTTTTAGCTGAACTCCCTAGTATATTCATCCAGTAATTTGTTTAACAAGTACTGGAAGTCTCTCCTTGAGTTTATCCTCTAGTTCAGTGTATAGGATCATCTTTCAAATAACATTTAAATGTTTGCAGTTAAGATGCTTGTGTCTAGGATGTTTGACACAGTTTACATTTAACCTCATAGAACAGTTTATAGAATGTGAAGAATAATGGGAGTATGGATTTATGTATAAAATATCGCCAAATATTGGTACAGTTCACCTGAATTAGGGCCATGTTTTTTACTTTTACCTTCATGGTCTCATTTAGAAAGTAACAGGCAGCACTTGTTGTCCAACTATTTGGTTGTATTTATTTTCTCTTAATGTGAATCATATAAATAATTACTGTAGGTATCCCTGTTTTAAGTTGCTTAAAGCTTTTCCCATCTGTAGAAAAGGTTGAAGAAGACCTTAGAGAATTGTTTTCACTTACCAGTAACATTTACACGAGTTGACCTCTGCTTTACTGATAACTTTTAAGCCTCTTTTCTGCAGTGAAGGAACTCAAGCATATAGAGATCGAGTTAGAATTGAACTTCTAATGCAAATTTAACAAAATTATTCAATTAAAATAATATTGCTTCTATGAAACTGATCCTAGTTTGTTGCATGTTTATTTTGTTGCTTTTGCTGTTTTTCTTTTCCTGCTGTGGATTCATGGTGATTTAAATAGCTGTGTTTAGAACCATCCAAATTTCCATCATTTAAAAAAAACCACTACTGTGACTAATGGATTTTTTTTTTTGGCGTAGCTATAAACTTACTGGAAATGGTAAAATAGACATAGAATTTTTAATACATTATTATATTAAATTCTCTAGGAAGGAAGTGGTGATTTTCTTTGGGGGTTGGGTTATTTCATAAATCTGTTTACTCCGTATTAGGACACTTACTCTAATTCATTATATTAATATGTTAAAGGAGGAAAAAGTACCATCATCTTGATGGATACCCCAGAGACATCTGAAATTTGACACCCAGTCCTTTAGTGGGATGCTATTGCACTGTGGTTTAGAGCTAAGGGTCCAGAATTATAATGCTTTTAAAAAAAAAATCCCTGGTAGACCTTTATTGGGCAATGAGATGTGATTTTTCTGAGCCTCAGTTTCCTCATCTGTAAAATGGTGTTAATAATCACATTGGTCTTGAGGGCTAAATAGATAATTTATGTAACACACACTGCCCAACACTTGAATATCAGTTGCTATTTCTGTAAATGTTTTTGATTTTTAAAAGCCCCTTAGTAAATGATTACTAAACATAGTGTAGTAAGGAAATCAGAGGTTTAGGTATTTTAAGGGAAAAGACAAATTATTTACAGGGTAAGATTATTCACCTAGAAAGCCTAAAAAATCAGCTGAAAACTTATAAGAGCTAAAAGAAAGTTCATTAGGTTTCTCAGAAAAAATTATTAAACAGAAATCTGCATCTTTCCTATATGTCTACAGTAATCAGGTTTATTTTTATAAACCCATATCTTTGAAAGAGTTGGTTTTCTTACCAATATGACATATCTAAGAAAAATTTTCCACAAGCAATGTATGGACCTATCTGACAACAATTAGATTTCTCAACTAGAAAACTCATTATTATAAAATGTCAAGTCTCCTGTGTTTATTCATAAGTTTAATAAAAGTCTAACGAAAATTTCATGATTCTTTATTTTGGGAGGAAGTACTCAAAATGATTTTAAATTTAGATTTACCTGGAAAGATAAATGGATACAACTAGGTAATGAAAATAATAAAATGAGTGGGAATTTGTTCTGACAGACATTAAAATGCTACAGATCTAAGTGGTCAGGGTTACAAATGAGTTTTACTTTGTGTTTTTTTGATTTTCAAAAATTAAAGATGTTAATTTCATTTTATAAAGAAATTGTGTTTTAAAGTCTTAATATGACTGCATTTCTGACATGCCTTTAAATGTTTAAAGTTTCTTTATGCTTTATGTGGAGATAACTTACATGATAAGTAATTTTCATTAGAATTATTGTAGTTATATTCATGGTTTTATAAACTTAAATAGGATTTTTGGATTTGTTTGATCTGCATTTTTGGAAAGGCTTCCTTGGTTTCTTAATTAAATTTGTTTCTGTGACTATTATCAAGCAGTGAGCTTCAACGGGCTAATTATAAGAGTTGAAATCCTTACAAAGCTAATAACCTCCAGTCAGGCCAGATTTGAATGAACAGAATTGCTTGAAAATCTGATGTTTGCCTATTGTGATTGTTTCTTTTTTTTTTTTTTGCATGTGAAAACACTTGGTTTTCCTTAAGAGGAGAGAGAAGTTCTTGTTCTTTTAAAGGGAAAACTAGTAAATGAATTTTTTAGGATACACAGAAGATTTAGATTTATAGGATTTCTTAATTTCTCTGTGGGTGGATTTTGCCCCCAGGAATTTTAGACTTCAATATTAGTATATAGTCGGATCTGCCCCTGGATGGTGTGGGCTTGGTCCTTTCACACTTACTATTTTAATTTGGGGTTCTTCCCTTATTTTGATAACTTTAACTTTCATAGGAAAATCAGTCGCCTATATGCCTTATGCTGAGGTCAAACGTGCTCTAGAACAGGAAGCACAGATGCACAATACTGCAGCAAGGTCAGCCTCACCGTGTAGGCTTTCTCCAAGAGAAGTCAGTAAAGCCGCTCCACAGCCTGATATGAGTTCAGCCCGCTATAGTGTCCCGCCAGGTAAATATCACTCCTCTGTGCAGTGGCTGCTGGCCATCCACCCACAGGTGTCCCATGTGGGTGGTTCAATCTCATGAATGAACAGGACATGTCCTTGCTGTTTCAAAATAACTTCGTTTCTCTGCATTCCATCATCAATTGTATTTAGTTGAGTTCACTGGGCCACTGGGAAATTTGTGTTCACACATTTATACTGTGACATTGATTCACTCTTCTTTTAAGAAGAGTACATGAATTTGTAAAAGTCTTGATCTCCCCATCCTTAAAATTCAAGTGTTCTGTGAGAGCCAGACTCAGTAAATGTTTCTCAAAATATGCAAGATGCAAAAAGGATGTATAACTGGTTGTCAGTCATGTCTGCGTATTCTACGAAGTAGTGTTATCAGCTGTTCTTAAGAAGTACCCTAAGAGTGATGGCAAGAGGTAAACATTTTTGAAGACTGATGTTTGCCGTGCTAAGCAGAAATAGTTTGAAATGAGCATCAGCTTGAAAGCTCTGGTTTGACAGGGAGTTGACTATTTCAACCCCACAAATAGTATTTGTGACTTAAATATGTATACAGGCTTAAGTGAATGAGAAATTTAAATAGAAAATATTCATTGTTGATTTCATCTTGCATTTTTAATTTGTGATTTAAAAATTCAGGAATGACTAAGATAGGTAACATGTTGTAAACTAGGAAATGGACTATTTTAAAATCATTTTTCTTTCCTTTTAAAAGTCCTTCAGCCTGCTCCACATCAAGTGATAACTAATCTCCCTGAAGGTGTTCGGCTTCCAACAACTCGACCAACCAGGCCGCCGCCCCCTCTCATCCCATCATCCAAAACCACAGTGGCTTCAGAAAAACCATCATTTATAATGGGAGGCTCCATCTCACAGGTGAAATGACTTCTCTTTACAGTAGACTTCTTGTCGAATGTGACTTTGGTAAAACTTTTTCCTCCTTCTCGCACTGATCTGTCAGAGTACTGGTAAATAATAATCTGTCTGAATATGGAGCTTCAAGTATAGCAGCAGTCGCTATACTCTTGCCACAAGAGTTTTCAGTGGGTTGTGTACCCAGATTGAGTGGCCATGGCATAACACCCATTTAATTACACTTGGCATACCACCTGGTTTAATTTATGTCACTCTAAACTTACAAGTTTTAAACTTAGTTTCAAACAGTAGAATATTTGTTCACTAACCTATGGTAAAGGCTCTAAATATTAAATTGTAGGTGATTAGTATTATAGTTTATTCTGACTTTGGCCACTAAATCTTTTTTCTGGTTCATTACGTTTTTAAAAATTGAGATACAGTCCAGGCGCAGTGGCTCACGCCTATAATCCCAGCACTTTGGGAGGCCGAAGCAGGCAGATCACGAGGTCAAGAGATCAAGACCATCCTGGCCAACATGGTGAAACCCCGTCTCTACTAAAAAAAAATACAAAAATTAGCTGGAAGTGGTGGTGTGCGCCTGTAGTTCCAGCTATTCAGGAGGCTGAGGCAGGAGAATTGCTTGAACCCGGGAGGCGGAGGTTGCAGTGAGCCGAGATTGCGCCACTGTACTCCAGCCTGGTGCCTGGCGACACAGTGAGACTCTGTCTCAAAAAAAAAAAAAAAAAAAAATTGGCTGGGCGCGGTGGCTCAAGCCTGTGATCCCAGCACTTTGGGAGGCCGAGGCAGGTGGATCACGAGGTCAAGATATCGAGACCATCCTGGTCAACATGGTGAAATCCGTCTCTACTAAAAATACAAAAAAAAAAATGGGCATGGTGGTGCGTGCCTGTAATCCCAGCTACTCAGGAGGCTGAGGCAGGAGAATTGCCTGAACCCAGGAGGTGGAGGTTGTGATGAGCCGAGATCGCGCCATTGCACTCCAGCCTGGGTAACGAGCGAAACTCTGTCTCAAAAAAAAAAAAAAAAAAAAAAAAGAAAATTGAGATACAGTCTGGTCTTAACAGTTCCATCAGTTTTGACTAACATGTACATCAGTGATCACACCCCTGTCAAGTTACTGAAGGCCTTCCATCACTTCAAAAGTGTTCTCATGTTCCTTCCCAGACCATCTCCCCTCCCGCTGCCTGAAGCAACCACTGTTCTACTACCTGTTGTAGATTTGTCTTTGCTTTTCTAGAACTTCATATGAATGGAATCAAACCTGATGTACTCTTTTGTGTCTGTCTTCTTTAACTCAGCATAATGGTTTTAGGGAATTTATCCAGGGTTTTATGTAATCAGTAGTTTCTTCTTTTTTATTGCTGAATAATACCAGTTTGTTTATCCATTCTCCTGTTGATGAAAACCTAAGCTGTTTTCAGCAGCCGTGAATAAAGCTGGACATTCTTGTAATGGGTTATTTGTGAACATAGGTTTTATTTTTCTTGTACAATTACCTGGGAGTGGAATTACTAGGTTTATGTATATTTTATGCTTTTCCAGAGTGGTTCTACAATTTTATGCTGCCACTAGCAATATACGAGACTTGTGATTGCTCCATTTGCTTTTGTCAGTCTTGGTCATTTTAGTCGTACTTGGTGTGTAATAATATCTTACTGTGGTTGTATTTTTACATTTCTCTGACAACAAACAGTGTTGGGCACTTTTCATGTGCTTATTGGCCATTTGTACACCTAGGAAGTGACTATTTAAATCTGATATGTTTCTACTGGGTCTCTTTTGATATTGTGTTGTAGGTCTTTATTATGGTTGAAAGTTCTCTATTAGATATATATGTTACAAACATTTTCTGTTTTTTTGTTAATTTTCTTATTGGTGTTTTGATGAGCAGAACTTTCAAATTTTTATGTAGTCTAGATATATATTCACATTTTTTTCTCCTATGATTAGTTTTATTTTCGTAAGAAATCTTTGCCTGCTCCAAGGTTGTGAGAGATATTCACCTGTGTTTCTTTCTAAAAGCTTTATCGTTTTGGTTTTTATATTCAGGCCTGTGACCAGTCTCTAATTAGTTTTTGTGTATAGTATAAGGTCGGGTTTAACATTCGTCTCTATTTAAATATCTAGTTGAAAAATAACATCAGGCTGGGCGCGGTGGCTCAAGCCTATAATCCCAGCACTTTGGAAGGCTGAGGTGGGTGGATCACCTGAGGTCAGGAGTTCAAGACCAGCCTGACCAACAGGTGAAATCCCGTCTCTTAAAAAAAAAGAAAAGAAAATCAGTAGAAAAGTCTTTTACTCATTTGATTGCTTTAGTTCCTTTGTTAGAAATCATTTGACAGTATATATGTGTCTGTTTCTGCACTCTCTCCATGCTGTTCCACTGATTTACTGGTTCATCCTTTTGTCTTGATTACTACAGCTTTATTGTAAGTCCTGATATTATGTAGTATAAGTATTCAGTGTTTTTGTTTTTCAAGATTATTTTGACTATTTGATGTCATTTACATTTTCATGTAAGTTATATAATCAGCTTATCAATTTTTATCTCCCCCACTTTTTTGGTTCCCAAGTTTTATTCAAGAACTCATACAAAACATTCCAGATAAATGAGTTTTAACCCTCATCTTCCTTTTCTTCTTTGTCCTGGTTAATTTGGAAGTAACGCAATTCAAAATTCTCTTTGCTGTTAGCAGCTATGCACAACCAATTACATATCTTACTCTTCAGATAGTTTTTGGGTTGTGAGCTATTTCAGATACCTTTTGGAAAAAAGCACCTCAGAAGTTACAGTGCTTGTGTTCTCTTTTTCTTTGAGACAGAGTTTCACTCTCGTTACCCAGGCTGGAGTGCAATGGCACGATCTCGGCTCACCGCAACCTCCGCCTCCTGGGTTCAGGCAATTCTCCTGCCTCAGCCTCCTGAGTAGCTGGGATTACAGGCACACGTCACCATGCCCAGCTAATTTTTTGTATTTTTAGTAGAGATGGGGTTTCACCATGTTGACCAGGATGGTCTCGATCTGTTGACCTCGTGATCCACCCGCCTTGGCCTCCCAAAGTGCTGGGATTACAGGCATGAGCCACCGCGCCTGGCAGTGCTTGTGTTCTTGCTCCTTTCTGTGGTTACTACCTTTCCACCAAGATTCCCAGCAGTTCCATTCAGTTTAATTCTGTCTTAGAGAAACTGCTCACAATTAGTAGCATCCTGTCTTTTTTTTGCCCGCCCCCCCGCCCCGTACTTTGCCACAAGCTTTTTATGGGCACCTGGCAGCAGCAAAGGCAGGAAACAATCTGTTTGTCATTCTACCTAAAGAAAAATTCTACTGGGATTTGTTTTTCTCCCCTCCCTCCCCTCCTCCCCTTTATTTGTTTTATTTGCAGGAGGAGTTGAAACATGTTTTAAGGGAGATTTTTATTTTTACCCCCTAAACATGAATCATTTAAGTAAAACCAACTTAACTATATAAATGTAGCAAAGTAAGGGGAGAATAACACAAACTACCCAAGAGGCAAAGATTGTGGAGAAGAGGTGGGTGCAGTTGGCATATAACATATGCATAAATGCTTTATAATTTACCTGCTCAGTACTCCTCCCCGGAAGGCAAGCACAAGGACCCATTTTAAGAGGATATTTCCCCCAAACATCAGAGAATGCTTCAACTTATAGTTTAAGGTTTAAAAGACCAAAAACAAACAAACAAACAAAAAAACTAGCCAAAAAAACCCACAAACCACCCATCTGCTGGGATTTTTGTTGGGATTATATTAAATCTGTAGATCAATTTGGGGTAAAAATGGAAATCTTAACCTCAAATCTTCTAATCCATGAATTTATATATCTATTTATCTATATCTTTCAGCAGCGCTTTAAAGTTTTCACTTTAGAGATTTGTACATGTTTTGTTTGATTTATATTTGGCTATTTGATTCATTTAAATGTTTTTTCTTTTTGAGACAAGGTCTTGCTCTACAGTATTGCAGTCATAGCTCAGTGTGGCTTCCAACTTCTGGGCTCAAGTGATCCTCCCACCTCAGCCTTCCAAGTAGCTAGGAATGTTTTTTGTTTTCTTTTTTTGAGATGGAGTCTCGCTCTGTCACCCAAGCTGGAGTGCAGTGGCAGGATCTTGGCTTACTGCACCCTCTGCCTCCCAGGTTCAAGCGATTTTCCAGTCTCAGCCTCCCAAGTAGCTGGGACTACAGGTGTGCACCACTGCGTCTGGCTAATTTTTTTATATTTTTAGTAGAGTCAAGGTTTTACCATGTTGGCCAGGTTGGTCTCGAACTCCTGACCTTAAGTGATCTGCCCGCCTCAGCCTTCCAAAGTGCTGGGATTTCACACATGAGCCACCACACCCAGCCTTTAAATTTTTATTTTCCAATTCTTTTATATAGATGTACAATTGATTTGTATATCTTGGCTTTGTCTCCTATAACATTTACTTAGTGCTTCTAGTAGGGCTTTTGTTTTGGTATATTTCTTAGGATCTTCTATATATGCATGTCATCTGCAAATAAACAGTTTTACTTTTCCCTTTCAAATTTTTATTCCTTTCATTTTCCTGTTTTATTGTAGCGGCTCGGCAAGAGCTTTTGGTGGAATACTGAATAGAATTGGTGAACGTGGACATGTATTTCTTGTTGCTCATCTTAGAAGGAAGGCATTCAGTATTTTACTTATGCAAAATGTTAAGTTTTTCATGGATGTTTTTCATCAGATTGATGTTTCCTTTCATTCTTATTTTGCTGAGACCCACCCCCAACCCTAGTTTTTATATTTTTTTTAGCTCCAGAATGTCTATTTTGTTTTTTAATGATTTCTTTCTCTTTTTTGGTATTCTCTGTCTGGCAAAACATCATTCTTGTACTTTCTTTTTTTTCTTTCTCTCTTCTAGAGCAACTCTGTTGCTCAGGCTGGAGGGTAGGGGCACAGTCTTAGCTCACTGCAGCATCAGTCTCCTGGGCTCAAGCAATCCTCCTGCCTCAGCGTCCTGGGTAGCTGGAACTAGAGGCTTGCGCTACCATGCCAGGCTTTTTATTTTTATTTTTTGTTGAGACAGTCTTAATATATTATTAAGGCTGGTCTCAGGCTCTTAGCCTCAAGCGATCCTCCTGCCTGAGTTTCCCAAAGTGTAAGGATTAAAGAAGGCATGCCACTGCATCTGGCCTCCTTTACTTTAGGCATGGTTCATTTTAGTTCTTGGAATATATTTATAATATCTGATTTAAAGTCTTTAGTAAGCCCAAAGCTCAGGAATAGTTCCTGTTCATTGCTCTGTTTCATATGTACAGCTCACACTTTCATGTTTCTTTGAGTATCTTGTAGTTTTTAGTCAAAAACTGGACATTTTATATAACGTAGCAACTCTGGAACTTGGATTCCCCCCACTTTTCAGTGCTTGTTTCTGGGTTTTAAAATTTTTATTTTATTTTTGCTGTTATTATTTGCTTGGTGACTTTTCTTAACTAATTCAGAAAAGTTTGTATTACTTGTTATATGTGGCTACTGAAGTCTTGTTAACTTCAGCTAATGATTAGACAGAGATTTCCTTAAATGTCTAAAATCAGTAAAATCAGTCTTTGCTGAGGAGGCCTCTTTGTGTGTTGGGCACCTGATAGCTTTGCCTTAGTCTTCACTTTCTGGCATGCAGAGCCTTAAAGGCAGCCTGCATTAAGAGCATAGGGCCTTCCCATGTCTTTCCTAGGCATAACCATAGCCTTGCACATGCATGTATTGTTCTAGGTTCTCAGGAGTATGTTGGAGGTTTTCAGACCCCCATGAACATCTCATTCTCTGACTTCTAAGTGTTTTGGTTATCCTGTTGTTTACCCTGGCTGTTATCTACTGTCTTAGGCAGTGGAGAGGTTAATCACTTGCTTGTGTTTTTGACAAGTCTGTGCCTTCTCTCTCACTCTAGTCAGGTCAGATATAGACAGCTTTGTGAATGCAGTCTCCCAGAGAACCAGCAGATAAGTTAAACAATGACAGTTATTTGGGAATGAGACTTTTAAGGAGCTCCAACCTTGCTCTTTCCCTTCTAGTGGCTGCCAGGCAGATAGTTTGCACTATGATTGTGTGCTTTTGGTTTTCAACACTGCCATAGAGCTTGATGAGGAGAATGAGAATAGAATAAGTTAAAATGTCACAAAGACCACTGTTCTTAACCTAAATTCAGCTATATTTTTTTAGAATAAATGTTTCCAGATTTTTACAAGCCTTTGGCTAATTTCCAGTGTTCTTTAAAAGTTGATTCTTACATCACTTGAGCCTGGTAGGTGGTGGTTGCATTAAGCTGAGATTGCACCACTGCACTGTAGTCTGGGTGACAGAGCAAGGTTCTGTCTCAAAAAAAAAAGTTGATTCTTTTTTTTTTTTGAGACGGAGTTTCGCTCTTGTTTACCCAGGCTGGAGTGCAATGGCGTGATCTCTGCTCACCGCAACCTCTGCCTCCTGGGTTCAGGCAATTCTCCTGCCTCAGCCTCCCGAGTAGCTGGGATTACAGGCACGTGCCACTATGCTCGGCTAATTTTTTGTATTTTTAGTAGAGACGGGGTTTCACCATGTTGACCAGGATGGTCTCGATCTCTTGACCTCGTGATCCACCCGCCTCGGCCTCCCAAAGTGCTGGGATTACAGGCGTGAGCCACCGCGCACAGCCAAAAAGTTGATTCTTAACAGTTTTTCCATGTTTTCTTGTTGCTTTTATGGAAGAGAGTTTTTGGAAGTACTTATTACTTTGCGGTATTTGCTGATATCACTCTCCATAGCATTTTTAGTAGGAATGAATATTAATAATAGTAGCTTACATTTTGATTGCAATGCGTAAGTGCTTTACTTATGTAATTTATTAATAGCACATATTATCTACATGTAATGTATGGTAATTTTAGAAGACATATCCTACTCCCTTTAAAATTTTTTTACATTGGTCCAGGCACAGTGGCTCATGCCTGTAATCCCAGCACTTTGGGAGGCTGAGGCAGGTGGATCACAAGGTCAGGAGTCTGAGATCAGCCTGACCAACATGGTGAAACCCCGTCTCTACTAAAAATACAAAAATTAGCTGGGTGTGGTGGTGTGTAGCTGTAATCCCAGCTACTCAGGAGGCTGAGGCAGGAGAATCACTTGAACCGGGAGGTGGAGGTTGCAGTGAGCCAAGGTCATGCCACTGCACTCCAGTCTGGGTAACAGAGTAAGACTCCATCTCAAAAAAAAAAATAAGTAAATAAATTTTAAAAAATAAAATTTTTAAATTAAAGCAATCTACAATGAAGATTTTCTTGCTTTACAAAAACTATTCTTAGTTTTGGGTAGAGGGGATATACTTTTTTTTTTTTTTTTTGAGATGGGGTCTTGCTCTGTTGCCGAGGCTGGAGTGTAGTGGCATGATCTTGGCTCACTGCAACCTCCGTTTCTTGGGTTTAGGCAATTCTCTGCCTCAGCCTCTGGAGTAGCTGGGATTACAAGTGTGTGCCACCACTCCTGGCTAATTTTTTTTTTTTTTGTTTGTTTGTTTATTTATAGTAGAGACAGGATTTCACCCTGTTGGCCAGGCTGTTCTTGAACTCCTAACCTTGTGATCCACTTGCCTCAGCCTCCCAAAGTGCTGGGATTATAGGCATAAGCCACCGTACCTGGCCTGCGGTATACTTTTTTGAAAACAGAAATGGGAATGCTGACTTTGTGAAATTGACCTTGTGAGAAAACAATGTTTAATCTTTAAATTTTTTTTTTAGGGAACACCAGGCACTTATTTGACTTCTCATAATCAGGCTTCCTACACTCAAGAAACACCTAAACCCTCAGTGGGATCTATCTCTCTTGGACTGCCACGGCAACAGGAATCTGCTAAATCAGGTCAGTGAGTTAATACAGTCATAATGTGCATAATGTGTCTACGTTTGTAGCATCACAGCTAGTAATTTAGTACTGGGTTGCTTCATGTTTCTCTGCCTTTCCACAGCTACTTTGCCCTACATCAAGCAGGAAGAATTTTCTCCCCGAAGCCAAAACTCACAACCTGAGGGTCTGTTGGTCAGGGCCCAACATGAAGGTGTAGTCAGAGGTAAAATATCCTGTTTGGCAGAAATACTAAACTTTTGTCCCCAATAAATTTATTAAAGTAAGTTATTAAGATATTTTAATGATTAATATTTTTTTATTTTAATATTTTTTAACTATAGTCTTTAAATTCTAAATTTGTTTTATTTCCATGTAAAAGTTATTTTAAAACTTTGAAATTTCATGTTTCAGCAGTTCTTTAGTATCATTTTGGAAATACATTTTAATGAAACAAACATCATGGTTTTTGTGCTGCTTTTTCCTTTTCTTCTTATTTGAGTAAGAAAGTAGGGACTGTTTTTTTGTGTTTTGGGGCAGGGGCTGGAGGTGTAATTTGCTAATAGCTTTGTTTGTATTCGGGTACCACAGGAACCATACAAGAAGGAAGTATAACTCGGGGAACTCCAACCAGCAAAATTTCAGTGGAGAGCCTTCCCTCCCTACGGGGCTCCATCACTCAGGTTAGTTATTATTATCTCTGATATACTGAACAGAAGCTCAGAAAAAAATGAGAAGTAATTCTTAGCACTTGGCTATTAGTTTTGTGGCTTAAGCTCACTTTTCTGCATTATGGAACTGGATCTCAGTGGTAGTAAAACCTAGATCTAAAAACTATCAACACAGAGATGTTAATTGTGATTATTTTGACTGCAAGCTATATTGTGTATATTTTGGTTCATTTGAAAAGGTCACTTATTTGCAAATTGGAGGAAGAAGTATGTTCTAATTGATGCAGCTCTTATTGTCTTCCTAGAAAAGCTTTTACCATGTGTTTAGCCTAAATAGAAATAGAGAAGAAAAGCATTACAAATTATTTGTTTACTTTTGCCCTTGTGGAGAGGTAGTTCTAAAATATCAGTATGTGACCTGCCTTATTAGAATCTCATGTTAAACCAGGAAATGTGGATGGCAATAACAAAAGCACCAAAAATCTTCCAATTTTAGGCTAAATAAATCACCAATTTTGATTAATAAAATTTCTCTCAGTTAATTTTAACTTGAAATATAAAAAGTTCTTTATTTTTAATTTTTATATCGTTTTAAAAAGTTCTTTATGTATAGGCACAAGAGGGAAGATTCTGTTTTAGGAAATCATTGTGAACAGAAACTTGTGTCTTGCATTTTCTAAAGTGTTCGTTCATTATCACTACGTTTTTCTTTGACTTGTTCCTATTCTCTAGGACAGTTGTTCTCAAAGTGTGATCCCCAGACCAGTAACATCAGAATCACCTAGAAAATGTCTAGCAATTTTCTAGGTGATTCTGATGCTACTGGCAGAAAAGTGCTGGCAGCAGGCATTGCAGCTTTCAGACATATAAATTCTCAGGGCTTACATCAGATTTGCTGAAACTCAACCCTTGTTGTTGGGGCCTGGCAGTCTGTTTCCCAAGCCCTTCAGTTATTCTGCTAGGGCCTTACTGGCCAAGTGTTGTTTGTGTAGCAGAGCATTGGCATCTCTGGGAAGCTTGCTAGAGTAATCCAGAAATGTCAATCCCCATACTAGAGTATGTGAATCAAAATCCCCATTTTAACAAGATTCCCAGGTGATTTCTTTCTGAGATGTAGTTCAGATACAGCTTCCTTGAAGGTTAAGTTAAAAACAGAAGAAAAGGGCCAGGCGCAGTGGCTCATGCCTGTAATCCTAGCACTTTGGGAGGCAGAGGTGGGTGGATTATGAGATGAAGAGATCGAGACCATCCTGGCCAACATTATGAAACCCCTTCTCTACTAAAAATAGAAAAATTAGCTAGACGTGGTAGCAGGCACCTGTAGTCCCAGCTACTCGGGAGGATGAGGCAGGAGAATCGCTCAGACCCGGGAGGCAGAGGTTGCAGTGAGTCAAGATTGTGCCACTGTACTCCAGCCCGGTGACAGAGCGAGACTCTATCTCAAAAAAAAAAAAAAAAAGAAGAAGAAAGTTACATACTGGTTTGTAAAATCTCTCCTTTTACAGTTGGTCAGATGTTTTTGTTTTTACAAGCTAATGCTTTAATATGGACAGAGGAAAATAAATGGGCCTATAGTATTATTTTTGTCTCTTCACACTAGTATCCAAACTGGGAAGAGAGACAGGATGAACTAGGCCAAAGGGGACTAAATTTTATCTGTTTGTTTTAAAATCTGTGCATTTGACATGAGTACTTCTGATATGGGTATTAGGGATTTCTAGATGTTTATTAATGAGTTCACTTAATGACTGGACAAGTAAATGTATGTCTCTTACCATTTTTCTTAAGCATATAGTATCAGATCATGCTCTCTAGGATTTTAGCAGTCCTCAGAGTATAGTGGTGACCCCAAATGTGGGAGTAAACTCAGTCTAGGTTTCTAACTCCTACTTTATTTTGCCAAGCTGCTCTCTCTTGCAAAATGCTCTACATGTTAGGTTCTATGAACTATTTTCCTTGAAGGAAGGGCTTGCTGCATAAAAGAAGAATAAAAAGAAGCGTGGTCACTGGCAACGCAGAGGAGGATTGATGATGGTGAAAATTTAGATAATCTGACCTAAACTGAATCAGTGTCACATCACGGAGGCATCCAAAGGCCTAACAACCTCATAGTCAGTTTGATATTTGAAAGTTATTTTTCCCTCATATCACAATTTGAGAGAAAGTTGTAGTACTCTAAATTTAAAACCTAATTTATCATCTTATTTTTATTAGGTCAGTGCAAAACTGGTTTCGTACTGTGAATTTTAAATCATTGTTACTAGTCTCAAACACATCTTTATCAAAATAGGAACTATTACAATCAACACATTTTTTGCCAACTAGAAATGTTTGTTTATTCCTATAGCATAAAAATCCATGCTTTGAGATTCGACAAACTGCATTTTCTTTCTCTTCTTTTTTTTTTTTTTGACAGTCTTGTTCTGTCAAAAAAAAAAAAAAAAAAAAGATTGTGGTGCGATCTCAGCTCACTGCAACCTCCGCCCCCCGGGCTCAAGTGATTCTCCTGCCTCAGCCACCCAGGTAGCTGGGATTACAGGTGTGTGCCGCCATGCCCAGCTAATTTTTGTATTTTTAGTAGAGATGGGGTTTTGCCATGCTGGGCAGGCTGGTCTTGAACTCCTGGCCTCAGGTGATCCACCCATCTCGACCTCCCAAAGTGCTGGGATTTCAGGTATGAGCCACTGCGCCAGGCCATGGAAAGCATTTTGCTGGTTGTGGAAGCATTTTCCCTGCATAAAGCTATTGAGATGCTTGAAGAAGTGGTAGTTGTTTGATGAGACAGACGTCAGATGAATATGGTAGATGAGGCAAAACTTCATAGCCCAATTTGTTCAACTTTTAAAGTTTTTGTTCTGTGATGTGTGGTCAGGTGTTGTTGTGGAGAAGAATTGGGCCCTTTCAGTTGCCCAGTGCTGGCAGCAGGCATTGCAGTTTTCAGTGCGTTTCATTGATTTGTTGAGCATACTTTTCACATGCAACGGTTATGCCAGGATTCAGAAAGCTGTAGTGGGTCAGACCGGCAGCAGACCACCTTTTTTTTGGTATAAGTTTGGCTTTGGGGAGTGCTTTGGAGTTTCTTAGTCCAGCCACTGAGCTAGTTGTCACCGGTTTTTGTGTAAAATCCACTTTTCATCACATGGCATGATTTGATTGAGAAATGGTTTGTTGCCTAGAATAAGGTTTGTTGCCTTCAAAAGGACGATTTTTAAAATTTCACTCAGCTCATGAGGTGCTCACTTATTGGAGCTTTTTCACCTTTCCAATTTGCTTCCAATGCCAAACAACCGTGGAATGATGGACATTGAGTTCTTTGGCAACTTCTTGTGTAGTTATAAGAGGATCAGCTTCAATGATTGCTCTCAGTTGGTCATTGTCAAATTCTGATGGCCGATCACTACACTCCTCATCTTCAAGTCTCTCGTTTCCTTTGCAGAACTTCTTGAACCACCATTGCACTGTATGCTCGTTAACAGTTTCTGGGCCAAATGTGTTGCTGATGTTGTGAATTGTCTCCGCTGCTTTATGACCCATTTTGAACTTGAATAAGAAAATCACTTGAATTTGCTTTTTGTCTAACATGATTTTCATTGTCTAAAATGAATATAAAATAAATAGCAAGTAATAAGTCATTAGCAAATAAAGTGAGAAATGTGCATCAAAATGATACATAGCATAACAACATTCAAAAGAGAAAAGAACATAACCACAGTTATTTAAGAATATATTCCAGTATCAAAAGGCAAATTTCAACAATGCAAAAACTGCAATTATGTTTGCACCAACCTAATAAAAGCTGTTACATTTTAAATGATTTTAGTCCTTAAGAGAAACTTTTGAGAGTTAAGTCCTGTAATAGAATCCTCACATGAAGGTGGGAGCAAAGTTGATTCACCTAATATACCTGTCATAATTTTAAGTGTTATGTGGCTGAGTTGAAGGATGAAGGTGCAGGATATCTTCATGTTTATAAAAATTCAGGCCGGGTGTGGTGGCTCACGTCTGTAATCCCAGCACTTTGGGAGGCCAAGGCAGGCAGATCACCTGAGGTCGAGAATTGGAGACCAGCCTGACCAACATGGAGAAACACCATCTCTACTAAAAATACAAAAATTAGCTGGGGATGATGGCACATGCCTGTAATCCCAGCTCCTCGGGAGGCTGAGGCAGGAGAATCACTTGAACTCAGGAGGTAGAGGTTGCAGTGAGCCGAGATTGCGCCATTGCACTCCAGCCCGGGCAACAAGAGTGAAACTCTATCTCAGACAAAACAAAACAAAATTCAGTGTCTTAATTTCCTTTCAGGTACATGTGCTTTTTTTGAAGCTATGGATTAGTCTGACTCTGTGATAAGTTTAATTTTCTGAGCATCTTGTGTTTCCCCTAAACTCGAGTGATTCTTCTACTTGTGCTTGATTTTATGGCAGGGAACCCCAGCTCTGCCCCAGCCTGGCATACCAACAGAGACTTTGGTGAAGGGGTCCATTTCTAGAATGCCCATTGAAGACAGCAGTCCTGAAAAAGGCAGAGAGGAAGCTGCATCCAAAGGCCATGTTATTTATGAAGGCAAAAGTGGACATATCTTGTCATATGATAGTAAGTATTGTATGTATACACCCATAGCCAGTATTACAATATGTGCTAAAAAGATAGGCTTGGTTTTCCCATATTTCTGCTATGGGGAAGTCAGTTTATCTTTGCTGAGCCTATGTTTTCTCTCAGTAAAAGGATTTAGTAATAATACTTGTCTCATGAGAATTTTGTGAATATTAGCTCAGTCAGTGAAAAGCAATTAACAATGCAGAGCCCAGACTAAATGTCCCATAGGTGGTACCTAAGATTATCAACTGTGGTCAGTTTCACTTAGGAAAAGAGCCTTTGTTGAACTTTAATGGAATACTTTTATTTTGAAGAGATCCATGTTTTATGAATTAAGAATTAGAGGGTAGGCCGGGTGTGGTGGCTCACACCTGTAATCCCAGCACTTTGGGAGGCTGAGGTGGACGGATCACTTGGTCAGAAGTTTGAGACTAGCCTGACCAACATGGTGAAACCCCTTCTCTACTAAAAATACAAAAAACATTAGCTGGACATGGTGGCATGCACCTGTAATCCCAGCTACTCAGAAGGCTAAGGCAGGAGAATCACTTGAACCCGGAAGGTGGAGATTGCAGTAAGCACTCCAGTCTGGGCGACCAAGGGAGATTCCATCTCAAAAAAAAAAAAAAAAAAAAGAATTAAAGGGTAGATAATCTGATGATATTGATAACAATATTTAAAATCTCTTTAATAAAACTATTTTAACATCTGTATGTATTTTTTATATGTATTATTAAGTTATATTTTCTCAGTAGTAATATTTTATAAGAATGACTCAAATGTGATAGCATTATTAGCCAAAGTTTTGACTGAGTTTGAGTTCTTATTTGGGCCTGGCTCTGTGACCTTGGAGTAGTCATTAGCTATGCTTTCTTTCTCTTCCAATACAAAAAAATAAAGTATGAGTGTACACAGTGCCAGGTGCTGCAGAATGCTTCATAGCATTCTTATTTCTCTCTCATTTACATGTCTGGCATACATTGATTAACATTTTGTTTCTGGGGTTAAGAAATTAATGTACGTTGTGCAAACCAGAAGTCTGCACACCTTTGTTTCTTTCCACATTCACCAAATCAATACATCATTTCTGTCCATTTTCCTAAAGTGTCTAAAATCCATCCATACTCTGTATTCACCACTGTCACCATCATCTTTAACCCAGCAGCCGCCTAACTCATCTCCCTACCTTCAGTCTCACTCATATTCGAAGTGTGTACCATATCACTCCTTGCTTGAATTTTCCATCACCCCTAAGATAACTGCAAGCCCCTACCTTAGCGTTGTGACCTCTCCAGGAGCTGCGTCCAGCTTAGCTCTTGAGATTCTTCCCTTCTTTCTTTTCCCCTTAGTCTCTCATGTTTACTTCCCCCACACTCTTTCTCCCAACTCCACTCTACACATTAGCCAGTTACCGAGTGTATGTTCTTTTAATGTACCATTCTCTGTCTTGCCTAAGGAGTCTTTGTGTTCACTGTTCCTTCTACCTGTCCTTTTTCCTCCTTTTACCTTTGACTTGAACAACTCTTACTCATCCTTCATTCTCAGCTTACACATTACTTCCTCTAAGCAGGCTTATCTGAACCTGAAGGTGTTAGGTTTCTCTCCTAGCATTTTCATAGCAGATTATACTTTCATAGCTTACTGCACTACGTAATCTGTACTGCACTACATAGTCTGTAAGTTTCATGCAGAAAAGGACTTAATTTGTAAATCTCATCTGCAAGCCTAGCTTATGTCTGGCATACAGCAGGCATCAATAAACATATGTGAATGAATGAAAATATTTTCATGAATCATCTACACAGATTTTATTATAGTTTAAGACAAGTTTTTATATTATTTTTATAAGATAGACTATGAAATTAAACTGTTAACTGTATATTGTACACCTTGTGCTCTGTCTGAGCAAATCTTGTTTGTGTATTCTGCAGACATTAAGAATGCCCGAGAAGGGACTAGGAGTCCGAGAACAGCTCATGAAATTAATTTAAAGAGAAGCTATGAATCAGTGGAAGGAAATATAAAGCAAGGGATGTCAATGAGGGAGTCTCCAGTATCAGCACCATTAGAGGGTAAAGCTTTGTTTCCAGAATGTTATTTTGATAAACATAATTTTATATAATAAGTTTACATTGTTGAATTAAGTGGTATGCAGTTTCTTGTCATTTCCACTTGAAATGTATGTTTATAATAATATTAACTGAAGTTTATATTCATATCTGTATGTAATTAAAGTGGCATGTAACAATGGAGGGAAATAAAATTAAGCATAATTGGTCATATCATAGGTTACTATTAGAATGTTCATATTTGAATGCTCATACAAATTGATTATTTTTGTTTCAGCTAAGTGAGTTAAAAAAGGTACCAGCTGGGCATGGTAGTTCATACCTGTAATCCCAGCACTTTGGGAGGCCAAGGCAGGTGAATGACAAGGTCAGGAGATTGAGACCATTCTGGCTAACACGGCGAAACCCCATCTCTACTAAAAAGTATAAAAATTAGCCGGGCATGGTGGCACACACCTGTAATCCCAGCTACTTGGAAGGCTGAGACAGGAGAATAGCTTGAACCCAGGAGGCAGAGATTGCAGTGAGCCGAGATCTCGCCATTGCACTCCAGCCTGGGCAACAGAGGGAGACTCTGTCTCAAAAAATAAAATAAAATAAGATAGAATAAAATAGGTAAAATTTGTTATGAGAACTTCATTTTGAATTTTGAGGCAGATGAAGTGATGTAATAGATAAAGACATGAATTTGAATTGCTGCTTCACCTTTCCCAGAATTCCTCTGAGCCTGTTTCTTCCTCTGTAAATTAAGGGGTCGTACCTAACATCGTGTGAGGATTGGAAGCAGTGTCTGAACTGGCATTACTCATGTGATATGCCTTCAGTACATAATCAGTATGATTTTGTTTTGTTAATCTCCCACTTTGTTTAAATCTTAACCTGCCTCAACCAATTTTAAACTAGATGAAATACTAAAAGCAGGGTAAGTCTTATATAATTTTCTAAGAGCTGTATTTTTCTCTATGTTAAAAAAAAATCACACCGCACTTTTACTGTAAATATGTGTGGTTATTTCTAACCCTTTATTTATATTTATCAGCAACAATAATGTGAAACTTCTTAGGAGGTTATTTACAACTCTTTCATTTTGATTTGCATGTTTTATTTAATATATTTTCCCTGTTTATAGGATATTTGTATTTCCCATTTTCCCTTTATCACAAGTATGTTTCATTTTTAAAAAACTTTTCTTCTTTATTTTTTATTTTATTTTTTAATAATCTTTTCTCTCTGTTTTTTTTAGAGACGGGGTTTCACCATATTGGTCAGGCTGGTCTTGAACTCCGAACCTCAGGTGATCCACCCGCCTCAGCCTCCCAAAGTGCTGGGATTACAGGTGTGAGCCACTGCGCCTGGCCCCTATCACAAGTATATTTCAAAGCTAAGCAATGATTTCCAATCCTGTATCTTCTTTCCTTTTGATAAAAAAGTATTGGGATTTTAGATTTAACTTTGAAAGTATCTTTCCTTTTCAACCTTTCATTAGATGCCTTTGATGACCATTTTTTATTTAGGAAAATATTTACAAAGGACCGTGTGATGTCATATTAGATACTTCTGGATAGTTCACAAACTTAAATTGACATTCCTTCCTTCATAGAGCATTTATCATAAACATATACTTTAAGAACAACATTCAATATATATGAGTTGACATACATGTTATGTTGAATAATTGAGTTGCGTTCTTGTTTTAAAAGGGCTGATATGCCGAGCATTACCCAGGGGGAGTCCTCATTCTGACCTCAAAGAAAGAACTGTATTGTCTGGCTCCATAATGCAGGGTAAACTTTCTGCTTGTTTTGCTTTTTTATTTATAACTGCCTCCCTGGCAAAATAGTTTGACATTAATTTACAGTGCATTTCTGCTTTTCAAGATATTTTCCCTTTTGAAATACTAAATATTAAAGTCTTGGTTATTACTTTTCTGCCTTTGGGCAACATAATTTATTGGGAGGTGACAGTTTCTTAATCTTTTAATATAGAGACATGTTTATTATGCAAGAACCATTCTGTGACTATTGTGAATGATGTATTAATATTATATCTTGAGCAACCCTAAAGAAATAATGATTGATGAATACTGATTTGAGGATCTGTTGTAAACAGAAAATTAATTAGAGACTACCAGATGCCAAGGCATTCATTATTTTAAATTATGTTAAAATATATGTAACAAAATTTATCATTTTAACCATTTTTAAGTACACAGTTCAATGGCATTGTTGTGCAGCCACCATTATTTTAATGTTTCCTGAACTGTTTTTCAAGGCACACCAAGAGCAACAACTGAAAGCTTTGAAGATGGCCTTAAATATCCCAAACAAATTAAAAGGGAAAGTCCTCCCATACGAGCATTTGAAGGTGCCATTACCAAAGGAAAACCATATGATGGCATCACCACCATCAAAGAAATGGGGCGTTCCATTCATGAGATTCCAAGGCAAGATATTTTAACTCAGGAAAGTCGGAAAACTCCAGAAGTGGTCCAGAGCACAAGGCCGATAATTGAGGGTTCCATTTCCCAGGTAACTAAGTTTTGGCTCTTTTTGTCAGTAACTGGTATTTATTGGAACATTTTTAAAAGTGTGACTTAATAATTATAAGTGGTTCTTATGATGTCAGACTTCCTGGAAATAAACATGAAAGTTTCCTGTACTTTCTTTCTTTCTTTTTTTTTTCCCCCCTCTGTGGGTCAGGCTGGAGTGCAGTGGTAGATCACAGCTCTGTAGCCTTGACCTCCTGGACTCAAGCGATCCTCCCACCTCAGCCTCCCAAGTAGCTAGGACTACAGGCATGTACCAGCACACCCAGAATTTCTGTATTTTTTTTGTAGAGACAGGGCTTTGCCATGTTGCCCAGGCTGGTCTCGAGCTTATGAGCTCAAGTGATCTGCCCACCTCAGCATCCCAAAGTGTTGGGATCACAGGCGTGAGCCACTGCACCTGGCCTTTGTGTACTTCTTATCATCAGGTTTTCTTGTGTCCATAGCCTGGAGTGTGGAATGTGGGAAAGTAGGCAGCTCAGGGGATCACTGGGGTTGTGATTGAGATGTCCAAACAGACAAAAAGGTCACTCCAGTGAACTGTAACTGCCATGGGCCAGACAGACCTGAGATAGAAAAATAGGCAGATGACTTTGCCACCATAATGTTTGTTTCCTTCCCCTTAGGGCACACCAATAAAGTTTGACAGCAACTCAGGTCAATCTGCCATCAAACACAATGTCAAATCCTTAATCACGGGGCCTAGCAAACTATCCCGTGGAATGCCTCCGCTGGAAATTGTGCCAGAGAACATAAAAGTGGTAGAACGGGGAAAATATGAAGATGTGAAAGCAGGCGAGCCCGTGCGTTCCCGACACACATCAGTGGTAAGCTCTGGCCCCTCCGTTCTTAGGTCCACACTACATGAAGCTCCCAAAGCACAACTGAGCCCTGGGATTTATGATGACACCAGTGCACGGAGGACCCCTGTGAGTTATCAAAACACCATGTCCAGAGGCTCACCCATGATGAACAGAACTTCTGATGGTATGTTGTTTTTGAGGCTTGGTCTGATCCTTTTTATTGCATTAAAAAAAAAAAAAGAAACCTCTGTCAAGTAGTAAATACCGAATTGTTAGCTTTAGAGTATCCCAAGATCTGCAGGTCGTGCTTACTTCTAGGAGTATGAAAGGCTACCAATTCGAAAGTAGGAATAATTTAAGTAAAATACCTAATATTTAAATCAAGTGCAGATTATGCTATAGAGTAAGTGTATTTTAAAGGTGGATTTTCAGCCAATTACATAATGTTTTCTGGAAGTCAGTTTTGACATTGTTCCTTCAGTGGCAGTGTGGTGTGGAAGCTGAAAGTAGGCTCTGCAATAAGACTGTGTAAGCTTGAATTAACATTATTACTGCATAAACTCAGATGAGTACTTAGCTTTTTTCTGGCTGTTTTCTGATTTGTAAAATCATAATGTAACATTAAGACCTACCTCTCTGGACTGTTAGGAAGATAGGGTAGTATTAGTAAAGAACTTAAAATGGTGCTTAGTATTTACGAAGGGCTCAGTCAATGTGAATTTATTACTGTTGTTGTTACTGTTGTTACTGTTATCACTATATCCCCATGCTGCTGGCAGCTACATCAATTGAGAAGTAATTTTTACTACATGATTTTTACCAAGTGGTCCCTGAAACAACATGAGGCCCTTAAAAATGCATCTACATAGCATTTTTTATTATAATACAAATTTATCAAAGACTCACATGCTAGGTCCTAGGCTAGACACTTCGAGCTGTAAGAAGAGTGTTTTGGCAGATGTGAGAGGCATAGCACAGAGTGAGGAGAAGGGGAAGTCCTTGTTAGGGATAGGGTGGTGAATCCAAAGTTTTTAGCTTTAGTTCTGATGGAGAATTGCCCTGCAGAGGGAAGAGCACTCCATATTTGAGCACATTGCACCTTGGAAGGGGATGTGATAAACCAGTGTGTTTTCTTTCTTTGGGGAGGCAGATTTGTCTGATTGTGGTAAAGTTTATATCAAAATATTAGTAATTAGATGTGAGGTTGTACAACCATCATCTTGTACTTAATGCCATTGTGAATTGTACCCTTTAAAATGGCTAAAATTACAAATTTTATGTTAGATATGTTTCACCACAGTTAAAAAAATTGAGGGTGGCTGGGCATGGTGGCTCACGCCTGTTATCTCAGCACTTTGGAAGGCCAAGGCGAGTAGGTCAAAAGGTCAGGAGATGGAGACCATCCTGGCCAGTATGGTGAAACCCCATCTCTACTAAAGATACAAAAAAAAATTAGCCAGGTGCCTGTAGTTCCAGCTACTCAGGAGGCTGAAGCAGGAGAATCGCTTGAACTTGGGAGGCAGAGGCTACAGTGAGCTGAGATTGCATCACTGCACTCCGGCCTGGGCGACAGAGGGAGACTCCGTCTCAAAAAAAAAAATTAAAAATGATAGCTAATAAGTGCTTGAATATACAGGTATTGGTGGGACAGTCTGACTACTCTGAATAACATCATTTAGAAGAGGAGAAGCTGGGGTAGGGAGGACATAGACTTTGGTGAAGGAATGAGAAATTAGTCAAACCTAGTGGTTAATGGGTGGGAAGGAGGTTGCATAACACTGGCAATGAGAGAAAGTTGAAGTTACTACATGGGGGGACAAAATAATTTAGAATGTTAAAGTCATACAAAAAAACAAAATCATTCATAATGAGATTTAAAGAAGAGTTGAATTTTATTTTTAATGCAAAATCCTGGTGCTATGATCCAAAAGGTGGCAGTACCTTCCAGATCTCAGTTTCTACTAGTTTTTTACATTTTCGTATTTTACAATATTAAATATTAAATGTTGAGGGGAAAGAGAAGATCAAAATACACGAATTTAGTCTGTATTTGAATGGTTGAGAAATGGACAAATATTATCATACTTTGCAAGTTTAAGAACTTGTGGGATTGGCTCTTTTTTTCCAGTTACAATTTCTTCCAACAAGTCTACCAATCATGAAAGGAAATCGACACTGACCCCTACCCAAAGGGAAAGTATACCAGCGAAGTCTCCAGTGCCTGGGGTGGATCCTGTCGTGAGCCACAGTCCGTTTGATCCCCATCACAGAGGCAGCGCTGCAGGAGAGGTTTATCGGAGCCACCTGCCCACGCACTTAGATCCAGCCATGCCTTTTCACAGGGCTTTGGATCCTGGTAAACACAAAATATAGTGATAATCTATGGCAAAGAAATATGCCACCTGTATAACTTTTCAGCTTTCTATGATAGTGCAATGGCATGTGTATCATTGATGTACAGCTCAATGATTTTTCACAAACTAAATGCCCCTGTGCTACCAGTACCCAGAACAAGAAATAAAATCTTATCAGCACCCATTAAAGAGCTAAAACTAATAGTATATGAAAAGCTCTCTGATCTGATGGCACTTGGCAAGGCTAATTGAAAAAGTGGGTTAATGTGAATAATTATTTTAAAATGACAGAGGCATACCTTAAACATGTTAACTTACAGCATAAATAGACATTCATCTACCAGTACTCTGATCTAAGGCCAAGGCTTTTTCTCATCCAAGTACTAACCAGGCCCGACCCTGCTTTAGCTTCCAAAATCAGACGAGATCGGGCGCATTCTGGGTGGTATGGCCGTAGACAGGCCATGGCTTTTTCATAAACAATTGATTAAACCTCACTGTCTTTCTTATATAAAAGAAATTCACATTTCCAGGTTTTTCTTTTCTTAAGTAAACTAGAATTTCCAAGTAAAGACACTTCCAAGCAATAAAAATCCTTCTAGATTTTTTTTCAGTCTTATAAATTTGAGTAAGATTCAACACCTGATTCAGCTTCTGTATCAAGATGAAGGGAAAGCAGATATTCCAGAAAACATGTTATTTGTTTTTCTAGGGAGAACATATACATATAAAATAGGTCACTCAGGTTCTCAGACACAATGAAATGTTTCTAGTTTCTATTTATTGTTTATCACAGTCTTCATTTTGTAGTGGTTTCATTTGCTTGTTTTTGAGCCTGAACTGGATTATATTTCAAGGATAGAGACATTATCTTCTCCTTTTTTCCCACCCACACCTAAACCTTCCTTGTGTCTTGTGTCATTCTCTCATGAAAAACTACAACTTTTTGGCAAAATCCTGTTGCCACTCGTGTTCGTAAATAAAATTTTATGAGGACACAGCCACACCATTTATTCCTTTTCTCTTTAGCTCTCTTTGTGCCACAGTGATGAAGTTGAGCAGCTTTGACAGATGCGAAATGGCCCACAAAGCCTAAAGTATTTACTATTTGGCTCTTTATGTCAAAAGTTTGCCATTCTCTGCTCCATACACATGGGCTAATTAAATCCTGTAGTCTAATCATTTATACCCCCTGGAGAGTAAAGTTGCTGATTGATTGCCACAAAGTGTTTCGTATACATTTCATTGGTTATATTAGAAGATCAGTACTATAAAAATAATTTTAGTTTCAAAGGCAACTCTTGCAGATGACAGATAAAAATGTAATAAAATTACATGTCAAAGATTGAAAGTAAAACTACTTTAGAAGTTTTTAGCTACTGTTACCCTTCCCCTTTTCCATTACATCTTAGACAGTAGAATGAATTAGAATTGATATTACTAATATATCAAGGTCTAAAATAAATCCACCTTAATCCTTGTAGCTAAGTAAAAGTTCCATGTGCACTAGCTCAGCACAAGATTTTTGCAGATGGTGTTTAGCAAATGCATTTCAGCCAGGACAAAACTCACTGCCTTTCTCTCATTCTCTCAATCAGCAGCAGCTGCTTACCTGTTTCAGAGACAGCTTTCACCAACTCCAGGTTACCCAAGTCAGTATCAGCTTTACGCAATGGAGAACACAAGACAGACAATCTTAAATGATTACATTACCTCACAACAGATGCAAGTGAACTTGCGTCCAGATGTGGCCAGAGGACTATCCCCAAGAGAGCAGCCACTGGGTCTCCCATACCCAGCAACAAGAGGTATGTGTCTTTGCATTTCAGAATTCATAGAATTTATGTTCGCCCAGTGTTTTTTATGTACTCAGTAAATACTTGTTGAATGAGGCTGGGCACGATGGCGCACGCCTATAATCCCATCACTTTGGGAGGCCGAGGTGGGTGGATCACCTGAGGTCGGGAGTTCAATACCAGCCCTACCAACATGGAGAAAGTCCATTGCTACTAAAAATACAAAATTAGCTGGGCATGGTGGTGCATGCCTGTGATCCCAGCTACTTGAGAGGCTGAGGCAAGAGAATCACTTGAACCCAGGAGGCAGAGATTGCAGTGAGCTGAGATTGCGCTATTGCACTCCAGCCTGGGCAACAAGAACAAAACTCCGTCTCAAAAAAAGAAAAAAAAATACTTGTTGAATGAATGATGTAAAGAAAGAAAAGAACTTTATATCCTTCTTCCCATAGACTTTTTAGCCCAGAGTCATACATTGAAACAAGGAGTTTTAATGAATACTGAAATTACCAAATCCTTGTGCTGAGTATTTGTAATCCATGTCTTACAAGTTTGTTCTGTCTCTTCAATCTGCGCCTACTTTGAGGTTACTGATGTGGAGTAGAGTATTTAACATCCTTTTCTAGAGTTAAAGAATGTCTTTAAAAAATGATAGTAAACATTTTTGTTTCTATTAAATTATTCTTGATTCATAGAGATAGACAAAATCCAAAAGTCCCATATGGTTCTGTACCTATAGAATAACACTTACCATAAACTGTATTTGTCTTTGGATAGGAATCATTGACCTGACCAATATGCCTCCAACAATTTTAGTGCCTCATCCAGGGGGAACAAGTACTCCTCCCATGGACAGAATCACATATATTCCTGGTACACAGATTACTTTCCCTCCCAGGCCGTACAACTCTGCTTCCATGTCTCCAGGTAAGATTCTGCAGTCACACATCTCTCTAATAGAACAAATGTGTTCATGTTTTTACAACATAGCCTTTTAAGGTATTTTGGGCAGTTTTTCCTCATTTTTATTTTCATTTTTTTTTCGACAGAGTCTTTCTCTGTCACCCAGGCTGGAGTGCAGTGGTGCAATCTTGGCTCACCACAACCTCTGCCTCCCAGGTTTAAGCGATTCTCCTGCCTCAGCCTCCCGAATAGCTGGAACTATAGGCATGTGCATACCTGGCTAATTTTTTGTATTTTTAGTAGAGATGGGGTTTCACCATGTTAGCAGGATGGTCTTGATCTCCTGACCTCATGATCTGCCTACCTCGTCCTCCTAAAAGTGCTGGGATTACAGTCATGAGCCACTGTGCCCAGCTGGTTTCTTGTTTTTCATTTCACGTTTAGTAGTTCCTATGTGCCAACTGTCACTAGAAACCTTAGACATGCCCTAAAAGCTTATGTTATGCTACAGTTGTTATCCAGGACTCTTAATAATAACAAACTTTTTCTTTTTTCTTGGTTTTTTTTTTTGTGTGTGTTTGTTTTGTTTTTGTTGTTTGTTTGTTTGTTTTTGGAGATAGAGTCTGGCTCTGTTGCCCAGGCTGGAGTGCAGTGGTGTGATCTCAACTCACTGCAACCTCCATCTCCCAGGTTGAAGAGATTCTCGTGCCTCAGCCTCTGGAGTAGCTGGGATTACAGGCACATACCACCACACCTGACTAAGTTTTTTGTGTTTTTAGTAGAGTCAGGGTCTCACTATGTTGCCCAGGCTGGTCTCAAACTCCTGGCTTCCAGTGATCCACCTGCCTTGGCCTCCCAAAGTGCTGAGATTACAGGTGTGAGCCACTGCACCCAACCAAAACAAACTTCTCCTATCCCAAATTTGAAGCTTTTTGAAAAATTTTCAGTCACTTAGAATTTCAAAATTATTTGATATACTCAGTGAGTTGACATTTTTATCTTTAAGCTGCAGGTGTATGTTTTACAGGACACCCAACACACCTTGCAGCTGCTGCAAGTGCTGAGAGGGAACGGGAGCGGGAGAAGGAGCGTGAGCGGGAGCGGATTGCTGCAGCTTCCTCCGATCTCTACCTTCGGCCAGGTCAGTGAAAGACATTGCTCTTCCATCCTCTGGACACATCTTGGCAGTTCTGTGTGCTGTACTTAATGCTGCACACAAAAAATTTTGATGCGGCCGGGCGCGGTGGCTCAAGCCTATAATCCCAGCACTTTGGGAGGCCGAGACGGGTGGATCACGAGGTCAAGAGATTGAGACCATCCTGGTCAGCATGGTGAAACCCCGTCTCTACTAAAAATACAAAAAATTAGATGGGCATGGTGGCGCGTGCCTGTAATCCCAGCTACTCGGGAGGCTGAGGCAGGAGAATCGCCTGAACCCAGGAGGCGGAGGTTGCGGTGAGCCGAGATTGCGCCATTGCACTCCAGCCTGGGTAACGAGCAAAACTCCATCTCAAAAAAAAAAAAAAATTTTGATGCAAACAAAAATTCTAAGACAACATCATTACAGGCCCCAAGTGAAAAACAGGTAAAAATGCTGTAGAAGTTGAGATGGTAGAGACATGAATTTTACACGGAAAAATGTTTTCATGATGAAGGTATCATTTTTATTTGCTGCAAACAGTGGACTGCAGTTGGACCTGAAGATAGTGGTCACAGAGCTTTGAAGGCTGAAAGAACAGCCCTAGCAAAAATTCCTAGATATAAACATGTTGTTGAGCTTGAATTTAGAGGTAGAATGGAAAATACAGTTAGCAGCTTGTGTAGCATCTTGAATTACAATGAAATGTTGTGTTCAGGAGGCAGGTGACATGATCAGAGGGCCATTTACACAGGAGTGGAATAGGTGGATTAAAACCATGAAGGGTATGGCTGGTCCAAGAAGGCCAGTGAGACTGTCAGTAGTTATGTGTGCTAATGGCAGCCTGGAATACTTTACACTGGGAATGGCCAGAAAAGAACTGCTGGGAAGAATATCACTATAGACTCAAAGGGACTTACCTAGATATGGGGAGTGAGAAAGAGATGAGAAACAAGATTAGTCTGCAATAAAGATACAGCATGATGAGAGACAGCAAAGAGATAATGATTTTAGATCTACAGGTTGAATATCCCAAATGCTTAGAACCGGGATTTTTTTGAGATTTTGGAATATTGGCATTATGTCAGTCGGACATCCCTAATCCAAAAATAATAAACTTTGAAATGCTCCAGTGAGCGTTTACTTTGAGTGTCATGTCAGCTCAAAAAGTTTCAGATATTGGAGCATTTCTTACTCAGATTTGGGATGCCCAACCTATACTTAGTCTCATGTGTCCATGGGCAATCTTTTTATCCATGGTATACTTACTTGCCTTTTTCAGTTCTTTTAATTAAATCAAATTAGTGACTATGTCTGTATTGTTAGATACTCTGATCTGGTACTCGGTCTAAGACACAGAGCTTGGAGATGCTTATTTAGGAGTCAACTTGCAAGAGCTGAAGATCTGGCTTGAATGAGATTTCTGAGCAGCAAGAGTGTGAAGAGTAGATCAGTCTTTAGATATTACAAGGACAGTTGATCTAGGTCAAGGCAAAAGGAAGCAGAGATGTGATCAGAGGGATAGAGGCAGAAGCAAAGGGCACAGTGGCAGGAGGTTGTCACATTGATATTGTCATAGGAAACAAACCTTTGAAGTCAATATAAATGGCAATATATGGATGGAGCCCAAAAATGAGTCACTATACTTGGTCTGGTAATATCATTTCTGAGGTGTTATCTTAAATAATTCGATGGTTGTAAAGCTCAGACACATTTAGATACAACTACTTCACCCAGAGGATCTTATATAATCTATGTATAGTAAGATTATCTATGTATCTTTATCTGTGTACAAAAAAATCACTTAAGAATCTGACCAAAGGAAATGCTTTAATGAATTGTAAGGCAGAACTGTAATATTGATTCCATGTTAATTGCATAAAACATGGAAAATTGATTTAATTAAGAAATCCTCAAACAATGATGCATAACTTTGGTAGAGATAGATTTTTTAAATGTTTGTGATCCTATAGATGAAAAAAATTTATATTTAAGGCACAAAGATAACATTTTTCTGTGTCAGACATGTAAGAAAGTTGATAAATATTGTGTTGGAGTTTCTATAGAAACAGACACTCATATGTTGGCAATGGCAGCATAAATTGATGTAGCCTCTAAGGAGATAAAAATTTTAAATACTCTGGTCTAGTAATTCCGCGTCTAGGAAAATATCCCATAGACGTACTCAGATAAGCTGGCCATGGTGGCTCATGCCTATAATCCCAGCTACTCAGGAGGCCAAGGTAGGAAGATTGCTTGAGGCCAGGAATTCAAGACTAGCCTCAGCAACATAGTGAGACCCTGTCTCTAAAAAAAAAAAAAAAAAAAAAAAAAAATATATATATATATATACACACACACACACACATATACATATACACAAAATTAGCCAGGAGTAGTGGTGCACACCTGTAGTCCTAGCTACTCAGGAGGCTGAAGTGGGATGACCCCTTGAGCCCAGGAGTTTGAGGCTGCAGTGAACTATAGAGTGCCACTGCACTCCATCCTGATGACAGAGTGTGATGCTGTCTCTTAAACATTTTAAAATTTAATTTAAAAAACAAATATTCATATGAACTGATGAATGGATCAGAAGGGAGAAAACTGCTGAGAATCCTGGCTGAGGTGGTGGTGTCTATGAGAAGGAGAGGTGTGTGCTAAAACTGCTAGCTGTTAGGAGGCTAGGGAGTGTGTTAGAAGGTTGGAGTGAGGTCACAGAACAAGACGAGGTTGAGAAGAAAGTCATTCATGAGGGATTGAAGAATTCAAGATCCCTACATGAAGTAGTTCTGACCAAGTCCAAGCTCTGATTTTGTTATGGGGGAGTTAAGAGAGTTAAGTGAACAAAAATATATCAAACATTGAAGAAGTGTAGTTGTTGGAGCCAAGTTTTGTGAGAGGATAATGTGAATGATTTCATGTCAAAAGAGAGCTTGCTGAGAGAAAGAGTCACCTGTGAAGGGGACAGTGAAGAAGTGAAGCAGGGTGAACTGTGGTTGAATGAAACAGTCTCAAACCCTAGTGTAGCAGTGGTATATTATTTTCATTATGATGCTTAGAAAGTTGTGCCTGATTTGGTTTTGGAAGTATATACACACTAGAGTTTGAGGAAATGATTTGTAGTAGTACTTCTTGTTGGTGCTGTTTTATTTTTGAAATCAAGATTGAAATTTATCAGAGAAATGGAGATGACAGTAAACGATAGCTGATGTTTTGTTTCAAGTTACTGCTGTAGTTTTATTGTATCTTTTTTTTGAGATGGAGTCTCACTCTGTCACCAGGCTGGAGTGCAGTAGTGCAATCTTGGTTCACTGCAACCTCTACCTCTTGGGTTTAAGCAATTCTCCTGCCTCAGCTTCCAGAGTAGCTGGGACTACAGGCACATGCCACCGTGCCCAGCTAATTTTTGTATTTTTAATTTAGACGGGGTTTCACCATGTTGGCCAGGATGGTCTCAATCTCTTCACCTCGTGATCCACCTGCCTTGGCCTCCCAAAGTGTTGGGATTACAGGCGTGAGCCACTGTGCCTGGTCTTATTGTATCTTTATTGGGAAACTTTTAGAACATATTTCTGGAAAGGCCAGAAAGTAGACTATCAAGTTTCATGTCTTGTTTTCCTTTTTTCTGTTTAGGTATATTAGGAAATAAACAATCCATAAATATTGCTTCCTTATGTCTCTAGCTTCCTCTTTATGTCTTTCTTCCTTTTTCTTTTTGCCCCTGCAGGCTCAGAACAGCCTGGCCGACCTGGCAGTCATGGATATGTTCGCTCCCCTTCCCCTTCAGTAAGAACTCAGGAGACCATGTTGCAACAGAGACCCAGTGTTTTCCAAGGAACCAATGGAACCAGTGTAATCACACCTTTGGATCCAACTGCTCAGCTACGAATCATGTCAGTCTCTTGTACACATTTTGACGAAAGTCTCTTGCATATACATTTCAAAATTTGTGACTGCAGTAGTCTAAGTATAGTCATACTTTTCTCCCTGTGCCACAAAGCCTTTTTTTGTTATTGCAGTTTGTCCTTCCATCTCCCCACCACATTCCCAGTAAATGGTCTTCCTTTCACAGAGCTGTGATTTGGTTTTATTTATAGGCCACTACCTGCTGCCGGCCCTTCAATAAGCCAAGGTCTGCCAGCCTCCCGTTACAACACTGCTGCGGATGCCCTGGCCGCTCTTGTGGATGCTGCAGCTTCTGCACCCCAGATGGATGTGTCCAAAACAAAAGAGAGTAAGCTTGAAGCTGCCAGGTTAGAAGAAAATTTGAGAAGCAGGTCAGCAGCAGTTAGTGAACAGCAGCAGCTAGAGCAGAAAACCCTGGAGGTGGAGAAGAGATCTGTTCAGTGTTTATACACTTCTTCAGCCTTTCCAAGTGGCAAGCCCCAGCCTCATTCTTCAGTAGTTTATTCTGAGGCTGGGAAAGATAAAGGGCCTCCTCCAAAATCCAGATATGAGGAAGAGCTAAGGACCCGAGGGAAGACTACCATTACTGCAGCTAACTTCATAGACGTGATCATCACCCGGCAAATTGCCTCGGACAAGGATGCAAGGGAACGTGGCTCTCAAAGTTCAGACTCTTCTAGTAGCTGTATGTATCTCAATCTGAGTTTCACAATGTGATGTCTGAGTAAAGAATTACTTTTTTCTTTAGGTCAAGTAAACTATATGGTATTTAAAAATCCTAATGCTTGATAGTAAATGTAATGCAAAAATGTATCTTTTGCTGTTTTTATGATTAAATATCACCGGTTTCCTACATATAAGCATATCAATGTATTTTCCACAAGAAAACTGTACCATTTATGTAATTAAATTTGGAAAGTAGAAAGCAGACCTTATTAACATATTTAGGCATTTGAAAGGTAATGGATATATTGCCAGGCTCTGTGCTACTGAGGTGTAATTTCTCAGGAAGCATTTGCTAGGACATGGTTTTATATTTATGCCAATACCCCAAAGCCTCGAATATCCTTTTTCTAAGGCACAGATTTTTAAAAGTGAGACTACCTTATTATTGGTGTTGGGTATTTATATTGCATCTTTCTTGCAAGTTGGATTTTGTTCAAATCTGGTTAGTCATTGTGATGGCTACCCTGCAAATCTGATAGTGTATTAAAATGCTGGAAAAGTTATATTTTAAATTTTCTTTAAACTATTGCTTCAGTCCTATGTAGAACTGCAGAAAGAACAAGCAGGTTTTTATATAAGCATCTGCTAATACTAGAAGTAATTTAATCCTATATAGTCATGTTTCTGTTATCTCCATTGAATAAATTTAGTAGAGTTAGATATCATGAAAAAAAAATTATTTCTTATGCTCCAGAATGCAATGTGCAGTTCTTTTTAAAAGTATCCACTAGCTTAATTGTAATTTGTTTGGGTCACATATACCCCATTGGTGAGGCTTTTAGAGAGAGAGGGTAGTAGTGTGTAGACAAAAGACTTCTTTTAGCCTGAGATTAGGAAAATCTGCAGTATAGATTTTCTGCTTGCAGAAAATTGCCAACTGAGAAAGAAATATTCTGTAGTTGTATGAATAGGGTTTTTGAAGGGAAGTCACCAGCACACTGGGAGATCTCACCCAGGCTCATTGAATGGTATAACACACGGATTCCTTAATCACTGGATTAAACATTTCTTTTCAGTTTGCATCAGAAACCAAATCTTGCTCTAAAAATTTGGTTTTCAGAAGGTGTGAAAACAGAAAGTTCATCTTTTCTGAGTGTCCATGTCTCTGTATGTGGTAATCTTTTTTATCACTGGTTAGTGAATTCCATGATGACCACAGGCTATGTACAGTTCTTCAGTGAGGTTTTCAGTTTGACTCTTGAGAGCCTCCCTCATCCTGAAGGTGAAGTTCATTTTCATAGTCTTGCCCCTTAAGGCTTCAAGAGCAATGTGAACACGGTTTGGAATCAGACTTAGTGAATATTGAAAGTTGTAAGCAGAATTAGGATGTTGTATACATAAATAGTGACGAGTAACAGTGGACACAAAAGTCACAAATTACTGTAAACTACTTAGAATATAGATATTTTGGTTTCTCAATGATCATTTCTAACCCATTTATCAAGTTTCCAATCTCCTAGGTGTACCAAAACCCAGGTAGTGGCAGTTTCCATGACCTGATGGGGTAGGAAGGACTGTTGAGTATTAGAGGAGCAGGTGGTGGCTAGGGAGCAGAGTTCATCCCCACCTGCTACATCTGTGTCCAGCCAGGCCCATGTACCTTTTGGAGTCCTGACAGTGCTCTCAGATTCTGCAGTGTAGTTTGAGGATGTGAAGAGCCCTCTGAATGTAGAAGTTCCTGAGCAGGTGGTTACATCTGCCGCTTTCCAACTGTCAGCTATGAGGCCATAGCAGGACTGTGAGAAGCTGCCTGTCATCCCCACCACATAGCCCCTCTGCGTCTTAGAGGACTCTGATGTTAACATCTTCCCTTTCTGGGAATATACTTCACCTCAGATACTCTCTACCATTTCTGGTTATTTTCACAATATAACAGAGTTATAAAACATTATTACTATTTGGAGTAACTGTTAGCAAATAACTGTTAGCAATATTGCAGTTATTTCAGAAAATCATTATATGGTGTTATATAATCCTAGCTTTAAAATCATGGTAGTGAATGAAACAGCTTTATAGCCTCAGTGTTTTTCTAAGAACAGAATGTCCCACAGAACTGGAATTACTGGAATCAGTTATTGAGATCTACTCCCTCATTTGTTAATTAATTTCTTTTCATAAATGTTTCCCTGGTGATTTCTTTTCCAGCTCCCACGAAAATAGCATAAATCTGTTCTCTGTTCCAACTCATTTCAGTGTTTATTATTGGGTGTTAAAATATGTCTTAAAGCCCATAAGACTTCAGAAAACCGTCATTAACCTGGAATACCAATGAACATGGTTGATCAGAATTGAAAATATGCTATAGGTTTGAGGAACTTAGACTTTAGAAACTTTCCCTAGGATTAGTTTTAAAATAAGATTTTCTTTTCTTAAAGTATCTTCTCACAGGTATGAAACACCTAGCGATGCTATTGAGGTGATAAGTCCTGCCAGCTCGCCTGCACCACCCCAGGAAAAGCTGCAGACCTATCAGCCAGAGGTTGTTAAGTCAAATCAAGCTGAAAGTATGTCTTTTTAAGCCACCATTTACATGTTTTCTTATTTGCATTTATCATTTGCTTCTAATTATCTGTCTAGACCATGTTAAGAAATAACTTGTTTTGTTTAAGGTAATCTTTTACGAGCCTGCTTTAGAAACATTTAACATTGCACTAGTGAAAAACAACTTTTCAGCTATCAATTCTTTATTTTTTAATGATACAGAAAATAGTTTATATTAAATTTGTTTGCATACTTCTGCATTTGTATTTTATTCTGTTAGTCCTCAGACTTCTGTCAGTGGATAATTTTTTTTCCAAAATTAAGATAAGTTCTTTGGAGCTGTGTACCACATCCTTTCATGTGTTCTTCTGAATTACATTTAACCTTTGATAATGAGTGAAAGGCATGGGCATTCCTGGAGTAAGACATCTATATGTTCTCTATTAGATGATCCTACCAGACAATATGAAGGACCATTAGCTCACTATCGACCACAGCAGGAATCACCATCTCCCCAACAACAGTTGCCCCCTTCTTCACAGGCAGAGGGAATGGGGCAAGTGCCTAGGACCCATCGGCTGATCACACTTGCTGATCACATCTGTGTAAGTTTTTCATTATTCTAATTAATTTTTCTTTTTTGATCATGCAGAAAGCAAATTTCATGTAGAAGAAGAAAATTACAATAAAGATACCTAGATTTCTTAATACTTTTTTGTAAGTACTCAGTGAGTTTTACCACTTCCTTCTTTTCTCATTCACAGCAAATTATCACACAAGATTTTGCTAGAAATCAAGTTTCCTCACAGACTCCCCAGCAGCCTCCTAATTCTACATTCCAGAACTCACCATCCTCTTTGGTGTCTACACCTGTGAGGACTAAAACGTCAAACCGTTACAGCCCAGAATCCCAGGTTCAGTCTGTCCATCATCAAAGAGCAGGTTCAAGAGTCTCTCCAGAAAATCTTGTGGACAAATCCAGGGGAAGGTATGATCTTTATTTCAAATTATATATAAATTTCCTAACAGTAAAACAAATAGAATATATCTACAGGATAAGGAATGTGTTTCTCACAACTAAAGTTCGTTTGCCTTTATTCCTGGGAAACTGTAAATGAGGTTTTTTCCTTTTTACTGTTATTCATTATTCTTAGAATGTCCGCTGTCTTGGCATTTGGTACTGTGTCTTTTTAATGTATATTCAGAAGTTGATGATTATATTCTGTTTGTTGGTTTGTAAAGACAGTTAAGAAGAATGCGTACTTTGGTAGTGGTTTAGGGACACTTGAGTGATCCTTCTGAATAATACCTCTCATATTTATCTGTCTCAGTGGTTTCTACTGGATCAGCATCAGTAGAGGTTTAAGAAGGTGATATAATGCCAGCACTTTGGGAGGCCGAGGTAGGAGGATTGCTTGAGCCCAGGAATTTGAGACCAGCCTGGGCAACACAGTGAGATCTCACCTCTACAAAAAAAACTTAAAAAAAAAAAAAAAAGATGACATTAAATAAAGGAAAGGGAAGCCAGTAGTGGCATCATGGGTGGAAACAAGTTATATGGCAGGGTTCTCTGATAAAGAGCATATCTTCTTATATTCTGTGATTGGTTAAAATTAAGTGGACACAGGATATTTACTTCAAAGTGGTAGACTAAATATTAGCATGTGTTACATTATCACTGCCAAGCACAAACGGAAGTAAATTTAAGAATGCTGAGAAGGCCAGGCACAGTGGCTCATGCCTGTAATCCCAGCACTTTGGGAGGGTGAAGCAGACAAATTACCTGAGGTCAGGAGTTCAAGACCAGCCTGGTCAACATGCTGAAACCCCATCTCTACAAAAATACAAAAAAATTAGCTGGGCATAATAGCGAGTGCCTGTAATCTCAGCTACTCTGGAGGCTGAGGTGGAAGAATCGCTTGAACTTGAGAGGGGAGGCAGAGGTTACATTGAGCTGAGATTGTGCCACTGCACTCCATCCTGGGTGACAGAGCTGAAAAATGCTGAGAACAAGACAGATATTAGCAGATCAAAGATCTGGCAGATGCCTGGAAGATATAGAGGACAGGTGAGCCAGAGTAGTGGAAGCCATGGCTCAGAGCCTGAAAAACAGAAATTTGTAGCAGAAATATTCTCCGGCCTACCTACCAACCTATCAAAGTAAGCAAAGAGCAGAAAGAAAAATATAGATAAGAAGCTAGATGATCTTCTTTTTTAAGAAAACATTTTGTTGTGGAAGTTTTCAAATACATTGAAAACTTTCAAAAGTAGAGAGAACAATATAATACACCTCTAAGTTTCCATCACCCAATTTTGGTAATCATCAGTGTATGGCGAGTTTTGTTTCATTTTTATCCCCACTTGGCCTAACCCCCAAACTGGATAATTTTGAAGCAAATTTCAGACTTAGTCATTAGAAAAAGTTGGATAACTTTAATAAGATGAAAGCACATTTATTCTCTTTTAGCCAAAACAAAACCAAAAAAAAAAAAGAAGAAGGAATGTAATTATCAAGGAAAAATTGAAAACTCTGTAGTAGTGTCATGGTCCATTCCTGATGAAAATGTTTACATAATCTGTGGTGTTTGAAAATAGCATCAACTGATTTTCATTTTATTTATTTATTTAACTTTCATTTTCAGTTCAGGAGCACATGTGCAGGTTTATTATATAGGTAAACTTGTGTCATGACAGTTTGTTGTAAAGATTATTTTGTCACCCAGGTATTAAGCCTGAACTCATGTTATTTTTTCCTGAGCCACCGCCTCCTCCCAACCTCCACCCTCCGATAGGCCTCAGTGAGTGTTTATATTCTCTGTGTGTCTGCATGTTCTCATCATTTAGCTCCCACTTATAAGTGAGAACATGTGGTATTTGGTTTTCTGTTCCTGCGTTAGTTTGCTAAGGATAAGGGCCTCCAGCTCCATCCATGTCCCTTAAAAGGACAGGAGCTCATTCTTTTTAATGGCTCCATGGTATTCCATGATGTATATGTACCACATTTTCTTTATCCAATCAGTCACTGATGGGCATTTGAGTTGATTCCATGTCTTTGCTATTGTGAATAGTGAGTGCTACAGTGAACATACACACACATGTATCTTTATAATAGAACCATTTATATTTCTTTGGGTGTATACCCAGTAATGGGATTGTGGGTTGAATGGTAGTTCTGTATTTAGGTCTTTGAGGAATCACCACAGTGCCTTTCACGGTGGCTGAACTAATTTACACTCCCACCAACAGTGTATAAGTGTTCCATTTCTCCACAACCTTTCCAGGATCTATTTTTTTTTACTTTTTAATAGCCATTCTGACTGGTGTGAGATGGTGTCTCATTGAGGTTTTGATTTGCACTTCTCTCTCTCTTTTTTTTTTTTGAGATAGAGTCTTGCTGTGTCACCAAAGCTGGAGTGCAGTGGTGCAATATTAACTCACTGTAACCTCTGCCTCCTGGGTTCAAGCTATTCTCCTGCCTCAAACTCCCAAGTAGCTGGGATTACAGGTGCCTGCCACCATACCTGGCTAATTTTTGTATTTTTAGTAGAGATAGGATTTCACTATATTGGCCAAGCTGGTCTTGAACTCTCACCTCAGCTGATCCACCTGCCTCAGCTTCCCAAAGTGGTGGGATTACAGGCGTGAGCCCCTGCGCCTGGCTTGATTTGCACTTCTCTAATGGTCAGTGATACTGAGCTTTTTTTTTTTTTTCCCCACATGCTTCTTGGCTGCATATATGTCTTCTTTTGGAAAGTATCTGTTCATGTCCTTTGCCTACTCTTTTTTGTTTGCTTTGAGACAGAGTTTCATTCTTGTTGCCCAGGCTGGATTTCAGTGGTGCAGCCTCAACCTCCCAGGTAACAGGTGATTCTCTTACCTCAGCCTCCTGAGTAGCTGGGATTACAGGCACATGCCACCACCCTCACTTTGCCCACTCTTTAATGGAGTTGTTTTTTTTTCTTAAATTTGTTTAAGCTCTTTATACATTGCTGAATATTAATTAGACCTTGTCAGAGGCATAGTTTGCAAAATTTTTCTCCCATTCTGTAGGTTGTCTGTTCACTCTGTTGTTAGTTTCCTTTGCTGTGCAGAAGCTCTTTAGTTTAATTAGATTCCACTTGTCAATTTTTGCTTTCGTTGCAGTTGTTTTCGTTACAAATCTTTGTCTGTGCCTATGTCCCGAAAGGTATTTCCTAGGTTGTCTTCCAAGGTTTTTATAGTTTTTTTTTTTATATTTAAGTCTTTAATCCATCTTGAGTCAATTTTAAAATATGGTATAAAGAAGGGGTACTTTTTTTTTTTTGAACGGAGTTTAGTCCTGTTGTCCAGGCTGGAATGTAATAGCGCGATCTCGGTTCACTGAAACCTCTGCCTCCAGGATCAAGTGATTCTCCTGCCTCAGCCTCCTGAGTAGCTGGGGTTACAGGCACCCACCACCATGTCCAGCTAATTTTTGTATTTATAGTAGAGACAGGGTTTCACCAGGTTGGCCAGGCTGGTCTCAAACTCCTGACCTCAGGTGATCCACCCACCTCGGCCTCCCAAAGTGCTGGGATTATAGGCATGAGCCACCCCACCCAGCAAGAAGTGGCTCAGTTTTAATCTTCTGCATGTGATATCCAGTTATCCCAGCACCATTTATTGATAAGGAATCCTTTCTTCATTGCTTGTTTTGGTCAGGTTTGTAAAAAATCAGATAGTTGTAGGTGTGAGGCCTTATTTCTGGGTTCTCTATTCTGTTCCATTGATCTGTGTGTCTTATTTTTGTACCAGTACCATGCTGTTTTGGTTACTATAGTCCCGTATTATAGTTTGAAGTCAGGTAGTGTGACGCCTACAGCTTTGTTCTTTTTGTTTAGTATTGCCTTGGCTATCTGGGCTCTTTTTTTGGATCTATATGAATTTTTAAATTTTTTTTTTTTTTTTTTTTTTAGTTTTGTGAAGAATGTCATTGGTAGTTTAATAGAAATAGCATTGAATCTGTAAACTGCTTTGGTCAGTGTGGCCATTTTAACGATATTGATTATTCCTATCCATGAGCATGGAATGTTTGTTCATTTGTATATGTCAACTCTTATTTTTTTGAGAAGTGTTTTGTAGTTCTCCTTGCAGAGATCTTTCACCTCCCTGGTTAGCTGTATTCCTAGGTATTTTATTCTTTTTGTGGCAGTTGTGAATCAAATTGCATTCCTTACTTGGCTGTCGGCTTGACTCGTGTTGGTGTATAGCAATGCTAGTGCTTTTTTGCACATTGATGTTGTACCCTGAGACTTTGCTGAAGTTGTTTATCAGCTTTAGGAGCTTTGGGGCTGAGTCTGTGGAGTTTTCTAGATAGAGGATTATGTCCTCTGCAAACAGAGATAGTTTGACTTCCTTTCTTCCTATTTGGATGCTGTTTCTTTCTCTTGCCTGATCACCTTGGCCATGACTTCCAATAGGATGCTGAATAAAAGTGGTGACAGAGGGCATCCTTGTCTTGTGCTGACTTTCAAGAGGAACACTTCCAGCTTTTCCCCATTCAGTATGATGTAAGCTGTGGGTTTTTATTTATGACTCTTTTATTATGTTGAGGCATCCTTCTTTAATACCTAGTTTACTGAGAGTTTTTAACAATAAAGGGTATTGAATTTTATTGAAAGCCTTTTCTGAATCTGTTGAGATCTGTGTATATTGAAACAACCTTGCATATTAGGGATAAAACTACTTGATTGCGGTGGATAGCTTTTTTGTTTGTTTATCATTTTTTTTCTTAGAGGCAGAGTCTCGTTCTGTTGCCCAGGCTGGAGTGCAGTGGTGCTATCTCGGCTTGCCACAACCTCTGCCTCCTGGGTGCAAGCAATTCTCCTGCTTCAGCCTCGCAAGTAGCTGGGATTACAGGTACATACCACCATTCCTGGCTAATTTTTAAATTTTTTGTAGAGACGGGGTTTCACTATGTTGGCCAGGCTGGACTCAAACTCCTGACCTCGTGATCCACCCGCCTCGGCCTCCCAAAGTGCTGGGATTACAGGTATGAGCCACCATGCCCAGCGGATAAGTTTTTAATGTCCTGCTGCTGGATTTGGTTTGCCAGTACTTTGTTGAGGATTTTTGCTTCGATGTTCATCAAGGATATTGGCCTGAAGTTTTCATTTTGTTGTTGTGTCTCTGCCACGTTTTGATATCAGCCTCAGAATGAGATAGGAAGGGTCCTTCCTCAAGTCCCAGCTACTTGGGAACCCGAGGTTAGGAGGATCGCCTGAGCCTGGAAGTCAAGGCTGCAGTAAGCAGTGATCGTACTACTGCACTCTAGCCTGGGTGACAGAGGGAGACCCTGTCTCAAAAAAATAAAAATAAAATGGCTCAAGCCTGTAATCCCAGCACTTTGGGAGGCCGAGGCGGGTGGATCACAAGGTCAAGAGATCGAGACCACCTGGTCAGCATGGTGAAACCCCGTCTCTACTAAAGATACAAAAAATAATTAGCTGGGCATGGTGGCGTGTGCCCGTAATCCCAGCTACTCAGGAGGCTGAGGCAGGAGAATTGCCTGAACCCAGGAGGCAGAGGTTGTGATTGCGCCATTGCACTCCAGCCTGGGTAACAAGAGCGAAACTCCGTCTCAAAAAAAAAAAGGCTGGTCACGGTGGCTCATTCCTGTAATCCCAGCCTGGCCAACATAGTAAAATCCTGTTTCTACTAAAAATACAAAAAAAATTAGCTGGGCATGGTAGCGCACTCTTGTAATCCCGGCTACTTGGGAGGCTGAGGCAAGGAGAAGCTCTTGAAACTGGGAGGCAAAGGTTGCAGTGAGCCACTGCACTGCAGCCCGGGTGACACTGTAAGACTCCATCTCAAATAAAAATTAAAATAGGCAACTAGAGAGAAGATAAATTCTTCATTATTCATGGAAGAGAGTTGACAGATACTGTTTCAAGTTGGATAAAAAAATTACATATTTAAGATTATTTAAAGAGTTTTGGAGGTAAATACCAAAGCAACTAAAAAAAATGTGGCTATCTTGAACAACTGGAAGGGGCTGATTGGGAAGGGCCATAACAAATCATATTATAATTTTGCTTAAGTATAACTGTCATAATTCCAGATATTGAAAGTCACAGGTGGCTTTAATATGCATAATCACTATATCAAAAAATTTTAGGGGGCTGGCCATGGTGGCTCACGCCTGTGATCCCAGTACTTTAGGAGGCTGAGGCGGGTGGATCACTTGAGGTCAAGAGTTTGAGACCAGCCTGGCCAACATGGTGAAACCCTGTCCCTAATAAAAATACAAAAATCAATCAACCTGTAATCTAAGCTGCTCAGAAGGCTGAGATAGTAGAATCCCTTTAGCCTGGGAGGCGGACATTGTAGTGAGCCAGGATTATGCCACTGCACTCCAGCCAGGATGACAGAGGGAGACTCTGTCTTAAAAAAAAAAAAAAAAAAAAAAGAGGATGTCAGGGGAAGGAGTGGTGGGACCAGGTGCTTGTAATTCCCAATACTTTTGCATCCTGAGGTGGGAGGATTGCTTGAGTCCAGGAATTTGAGGCCAGCAACATAGTGAGACCCCCTGTCTCTACAAAAAATTAAAAAGGAGCCACACTGACATAATAAAACATATAATAAAAACATTAGCTAGGCATGGTGGCGCATGCCTGTAATCCCAGTACTTGGGAGACGGAAGTGAGAGGATTACTTGAGCTCAGGAATTTGAGGCTGCAGTGAGCCATGATTGTTTGCATACCTGTACTCCAGTCTGGGCAACAGAGTAGGACCCTGTCTCTAAAAAAATAAAAATAGTAATAATAAGATAAACGGGCCAGGCAGAGTGGCTCATGCCTATAATCCCAGCACTTTGGGAGGCTGAGGTGGGCAGATCACCTGAAGTCAGGAGGCCTGACCAACATAGTGAAACCCTGTCTCTACTAAAAATACAAAAATGTTGCTGAGCAGTAGCCAATAAGAAAAAGAAAGAAAAAAAGGAAATTAAAAAAAAAAAAATAGAGAAATTAGCCAGCATGGTGGCACTTGCCTGTAATCCTAGCTACTTGGAAGGCTGAGGCAGGAGAATTGCTTGAACCTGGGAGGCAGAGATTGCAATGAGCCAAGATCACGCCACTGCACTCCAGCCTGTGTGACAAAGCCAGACTTTGTCAAATAAAATAAAATAAAAATAAATGGTGGGAGCTAAACAGTGTGTCTGTCATATATTGTTCTTATCAAATGATATCCAGAGAAAAAAATGTAAAATTGCAGAGAACCCCTCTGCCGTAATATAGTGTAACTAGAACCTGTGTTGACTTATCTGATAAAACTTCTTGGGTATCCTTTTAGTACTGAAGTCCTTTATCTTTAACTTGATGATGAAAAAACTAGTCAGTCATGACTCAAAATAGGAAAACTCTTGAGGGTTCACCTGGACTAAGGAGCAAAGGGTGGATGGCGTCTGACGTTGAAACACACGTGGAGCCTCAGGACACAGCTTCTGCTGCTGCTGCTGCCCAGGCAGCCCTATCTGATGCCGTGGGCACTCGTGGGTCAAGTGGCAGTAACAGAGTGTTTTATTTTTTTTTATAACTATGTATATAGTGAATACCTGAAGCAACTTTTTACTGACAGAAATTGGCAGCTTTTGCTCTTTCTTCTGAATGAAGTCATAAGTTAACCAGTTTCTGTTTAGGTAAGTCCTAGGTACGCCTTTGAAACAGAATCTAATATTTTACATATTACAATAGTAGGCCTGGAAAATCCCCAGAGAGGAGTCACATCTCTTCAGAGCCCTACGAGCCCATCTCCCCACCCCAGGTTCCAGTTGTACATGAGAAACAGGACAACTTGCTGCTCTTGTCTCAGAGGGGCTCAGAGCCTACAGAGCAGAGGTAAGTGTACTTCCTAGTGACAGCACTGATTCATGGCGTGGGTGCCCAGGCTTTAACATTTCCTTAAGTTAGTGCCATTTTTCTACTTTGGGCTTTTATGTCTGGATGGGATTCTCAGAGTATCATTTGTCTCTGTTTTCCTAGTGATCTAATGCTAGTGGATTTTAGCAAAAAGAAAATATTCACAATATCATAATATTTAAATATGTTAGAAAATATTTGTTCATTATTCTTCTTGAAATTAAATCTTTCTAGATAGTTTTTTTTGTTTTGTTTTTTGTCTGGGGGAAGTGTCACTCATTGATTCAGCCAACATTTGAATGCTTATTGTACACCAAGCACTGTGGACTCTGAATGGATTTTATTTTATTTTATTACTTTTTTTTTTGAGAAGGAGTTTCGCTCTTGTTACCCAGGCTGGAGTGCAATGGCGCGATCTTTGCTCACTGCAACCTCTGCCTCCTGGGTTCAGGCAATTCTCCTGCCTCAGCCTCCTGAGTAGCTGAGATTACAGGCACACGCCACCATGCCCAGCTAATTTTTTGTATTTTTAGTAGAGACAGGGTTTCACCATGTTGACCAGGATGGTCTCGATCTCTTGATCCACCCGCCTCGGCCTCCCAAAGTGCTGGGATTACAGGTGTGAGCCACTGCACCCGGCTTGAATGGGTTTTATCTTACATCTTTGTAACCCTGACCCCAATCCTATTAATTATTAAATTATTATCCCCATTTGGATTACATGCCTTTGAGTTGGCTCCTTTCCAGTAAGTCTCCATACCTCCACCTGAGTGATTTGTCTAAAACCCCTGCAGAATCCAGCAGCCAGTCTTTAGCGCGGCATCTGAGTTCTTGCGTGACCAGGTTTATGCTGCCTACTCAGTTTTACTTCCCACCGCCTCACCCCTACACTGGAGTCTCTGTCCATATCATTTTGCTTATTATTCCCTGAATTCCTTTCTGTCAATACTTGTGCAGTTTGCCTAGCACAGAACACCCTCTGGTGATGTGCCAAGTGCCAGACATGTCCCTTGCTCATGGTCATACTGATACTAATGGGGAAAGGCCAGTTTTAAACTAAGGTCTTTCTAACTCCAAATTGCTAGTGCATTTCTTACAATGTGTTGCTATTAATTTACTGCATTTATTCTTAGGCAACTAAACAGATACTGCTACTTTTCAATGAAATGAAGAAAATCCATTTTTGGAGAGGGAGTGATATTCAATTTAATTATGCGTTTATATTTTTCCTCCTATGTTTGTGAGTTTTTTTTGAGGACAGGGACCATGTCTTGTTCCTGTTCCTGTCACCTTAATTGTCTTTCTTGGCATAAAGTAAGTGTTCTTATGTTTGAATGATGAATGAATCCACATGACTGGATTAGTTTGTCGGTAACCTGTATTCTTTGTTCTCATCTCTGGCTCTACCTAGATCCTTGGTGGCCTCGAGCTGTTAGGGGAAAGTTGTTTTTTAAACTGTGTATAAAATATAAAACTATTCTTGTTAAACTCAGCTCATTTGTTAGGTGTCTTGAAGTGACTGTAACAAATAGGCAGTCTTATTCCTCTACTATCCCTGTTGCATTCCATTCCAGCTGTCGATTGCTTAGATCTGAGTTCTTGCTATTTTATAGGCAAGCATGCTATTATAATTTTAGTGTACTTAAAACTAATTCTAGTAAGATAGTTTGCAATTTATGTGGCAACCATGAATATATCAGTGTTTGTGCTGTTAAGCAGAGAGAATAATGATAAGCTGTTTGAATTTTCCTATTAATATTCATTTGCTGCTGCTTCATTCCTTCCTAAGAATTTCTAGATTATCTCCATTCTAATTCTAATTTTATGATTTCATTTTGAGAGCTAAATCATTTGACTGTCCTCAAATGATGTACTAAATGGCTTTTGATTACATATGGTTTCTTAGGGCTGTAACCACAGACACAGGATGAGGAGGCAGTAGTTTCCTAAGTACTCTCTGACTGTTGTTATCATTGATAGGAATGTCCCAGGATTAGGAGTACATGGTTGTAATATACTTAACTTTGGCCCTAACAGGAATGATTCCCGCTCACCAGGGAGTATAAGCTACTTGCCTTCATTTTTCACCAAGCTTGAAAACACATCACCCATGGTTAAATCAAAGAAGCAGGAGATTTTTCGTAAGTTGAACTCCTCTGGTGGAGGTGACTCTGATATGGGTAAGTGGGATTTCTTTCATGAACCTCAAATAAAACATGCGTTAATAGTGATATCTCTAGTGTTGCCTTTCCTATAATGCTTGACTTGGAAGGCTCTTTACCAGGCATCTGTCCAACACATCTGATCCTAGCATTCCTTCTCAAGTGCCTGCCAGCCCATGAAGAGTTCTCATGAGGAAGCAGGAGCTCGCTCCTTTCTGAAGTTGTGCTGTTTTTCTTTGAACAAATGCTGTGTCTAGGTTACCTTTCCTTATAGGGTACTGGATAAACTCTCCATAGTTTTTCTTTCTCCCCTACCTATGAGCCTTAGTTTTGTCCATTTGGGCCCATCCTCACAGATATTTGAAGACATGTCCTTCAGGAGTCCTCTCAATCAGTGTCCCCGGTTTCATCATCTGTTTATCACATGACCTCATTATGAGTACCCCTACCATCTCAATTATTCTCCACCAAAAACGTTTAGCCTAGCCTTTCACTAGGTTCCAAGTAATACAGAATAGAGTAGTGTAATATGATATATGCTAAATTCACCTTTTTTTTTTTTTTTTTTGGGAGACAGTCTGACTCTGTTGCCAGGCTGGAGTGTACTGTTGCAATCTCAGCTCACTGCAACCTCTGCCTCCTGGGTTCAAGCGATTCTCCTGCCTCAGCTTCCCTGAGTAGCTGGGACTACAGGTGGTGCACCACCATGCCCAGCTAATTTTTTTGTATTTTTATTAGAGACAGGGTTTCACCATGTTGACCAGGATGATCTTGATCTCCTGACCTCATGATCCCCCTGCCTCGGCCTCCCAAAGTGCTGGAGTCACAGGTGTGACATCATTTTTAAAGTAGCCTAAAACTGTATTAGCTTTTTTGGTTACACCATTAAGTTATAGCGTAGTTTGAATGTTGATGTCAAGGTCTTGGGCTACTATTAATCCACACTTTGCCCTTGCTCTACTTTTGCAATAACTAGCTCCATGTATAGGACAAATCCAGGTCTGTCTGTGCTTCCTGCAGTCCAACTACTTTTCTACCTTACCAGTGTCTTTCTGTACTTCAGTTGAGTCATTCACTATTCATATGCAACTCTGATAAACTCACAGTAAAAATAGAACATTGGCCAGGCACGGTGGCTCACACCTGGAATCACAGCACTTTGGGAGGCCAAGATAGGAGGATTGATTCGGCCCAGGAGTTCAAGACTAGCCTGGACAACACAGGGAGACCCTGTCTCTACAAAAAAAAAAAAAAAATCAGCTGGGCGTGGTGGTGTATGCCCCTGTGGTCCCATTTACATGGGAAGCTGAGGTGGGAGGATCGCTTGAGCCTGGGAAGTTGAGGCTACAATGAGCCATGATTGGGTCACTGCATTCCAGCCTAGGCCATAGAGCGAGATGTCTCAAAAAAAAAAAAAAAAAAAAAAATTGGCCAGGCACGGTGGCTCATGCCTGTAATCACAGCACTTTGGGAGGCCCAGGCGGGCAGATCACCAGGTTTGAGACCAGCCCGACCAACATGGTGAAACCCTGTCTCTACTGAAAATACAAAAAAAAAATTAGCTGGGTGTGGTTGTGTGTGCCTACCAGTAATCCCAGCTACTCAAGAGGCTGAGGCAGGAGAATCACTTGAACTTGGGAGGTGGAGGTTGCAGTGAGCCGAGATCATGCCACTGCACTCCAGCCTGGGCAACAGAATGCGACTCTGTCTTTAAAAAAAAAAAAAAAAATTAAAAATAAAGATTGGTTGGATGTGTGGTGGCTCATGTCTGTAATCCCAGCAGTTTGGGAGGCTGAGGCAGGCAGATCACTTAAGGGCAGGAGTTTGAGACCAGCTGGGTAACATGGTGAAACCCCATCTCTACTAAAAATACATAAATCAGGTGGTCATGATGGTGTGTGCCTATAATCCCAGCTACTCAGGAGCCTGAAGTATGAGAATCGCTTGAACCTGGGAGGCAGAGGTTGCAGTGAGCCAAGATTGTGCTACTGCACTGCAGCCTGGGTAACAGAGTGAGTCTCCATCTCAAAAAAATAATAAAATAAAATACAAATATAAAAATAATAATGGTAGCAAAAGGTTATCTAGCACTTACTATGTGCTAAGCTCTATTCAAAGCATGTGGAGATATAATCTCATTTAATCCTCACGGCAACCCTACATGTTACACATTGTAATTATCTCCACTTTTTGGCTGAGGAAGCTGAGACTCAGGGTTAAGAGCTGGCACAGTTAAGATAGTAATGAGGCTGCAGTTCAAACCCAGGCATTCCAGCACCAGAATCCATGTTGCTAATGATGGACCAAGGGGCTTGTGACAGTTCCATACTCAGCATCCTAGCCAGACTGTTAGTAAGACACCCTAGCTAATGCTCTGTGGCAGAACCTTTCCTCTGGGTTTACATCCAAGTATGAATCAAAACCTCCTCTTACTCTGTCAGCACACTCACTTTTACTGCCTCTCTGGTCTTATTAATCTTTTCCTAGGTTAGTCTTCGTGATAGAGAGACTTTGGGTATACCACAGTCTGCTTTATTCTTTATTTTTATTTGTTTAAAGTTCAGCTTTGTATTAAACATATTATAAGAGACTTAGTCAAAACGACCAAAGCTCATGTCATCATCAGACCCCCTCAGATTCTTGTTTCTTTGCTTCCACTTTCTTCTTAGCTGGAGCAGCAGCAGTGGAGGGGGCAGGACCTCCTGCTGGTGCAGCACAGCTGCTGGAGGAGGTTCACCAGCTCCTACATTGCAGATGAGGCTCTCAATGTTGACACTGCCCAGGGCCTTTGCAAACAAGCGGGCCAAAAAGGTTCAACATTTACACCAGCTACTTTAATGAGGGCATTGATCTTATCCTCCGAGATGGTCGTCACATCTTCATGCAGAGTGAGGGCCAAGTAGATGCCGGCATGCTCAGAGTTGGGGGCCATGGCATGGGCGACTGTGGGGCTGGCGCTGCTGGACACAGTGCTAGTTGCGTGATGAAATGAGGGCCTCACCCCAACACGGCTCAGCTTCCTCAGAAAGACCAAGCACTGTGACAGCAGCTGAGGAAAGGGTAATCTGCTTTATTTCTATAATTTACCATGTACTAGTCTTCTGTCCCTGTCAAAAGAAAGGGAAGTGGGGGCCTTGCACTGTGAACTGCCTGATGGATATATGTTTAGATCTGTCACTCTGTGCGACTGATAAATGTTGAACGCTAAGGAGAAAAGGATGAGCCAGTGTCACCAGTTTGTGAACCTTTTGATGGCCTTTCTTTTTTTGTCCTTGCTCTTAATTACTAGATTCTCTGTTTAGATGGCAAGAAAATCATCTGAAAGACAAATATTTTAGAATGCTGACCAGAATTGTTATCAGGCTTATAGATTGCCTTTCTTTTTGTGGGGGGACCTGAGTCTTACTCTGTCATCCAGGCTGGAGTGCAGTGGTACAATCTGGGCTCACCACAGCCTCTGCTTCCAGGGTTCAAGTGATTCTCCTGCTTCAGCCTCCTGAGTAGCTGAGATTACAGGCGCCTGCCACCACACCTGGCTAATTTTGTATTTTTAGTAGAGATGGGGTTTCTCCATGTTGGCCAGGCTGATCTTGAACTCATGACGTCACGTGATCCACCTGCCTTGGCCTCCCAAAGTGCGGGGATTACAGAATTGAACCACCATGCCCGGCCGCCCTTCTTTTAAAAAAATACCGTTACTAGTATTTTCTATCACCAGTCTTCAACAGTTTATTATTTACAGCTCCTCAAGTGTCATCAACAAAAATATGCCCTCGTTTTCAAATGCTCTCGGAACTCAGAGATGAATTTGTGTGAGCATGGAGAGCTAGAGATACCAGAGCAGCCAGGAACTGAGGTTCAAATCATTTCACCATTGTATGGTTTACTCTCATCCTCTCGTCTGTCTTGCCCTTGAAGTGGGAAACTCTTGACAGGGAAATGCCCTGTATGAACTAAGAAGCCTACTTTATAGTTTTTCCTTTCTGCCTAATGTTTTGAGTAGGATACTGCTGTATTGGGTATTTTAGTATGATGGATGGTCCCTATTCTCTGAAAATGATGATGAAATGAATACCTAACTTTAATAGGAGATAATCATGTCTTAAGGGAAGTACTAACAGAATTGCTTTCAGGTCTGGGATTTTTTTTTTTTTGCAAGAACAGTTTTTCATGGTGGAAAGGAAAATTTATATTAAAGAACCAGTGGGCACATTTAGCCCTTACTGGGAAGTAAAACTAAATGAAACCCATCAGCAACCAGCACAGCTTCACTTCACCTCATTGTATCTGAACTCAGTGTTCCCAAGGACATCAATGACTTTATTTTTTTTGAAAACCTTAATGTTTTAAAATTTACTTTATTGGATCTCTTTGCAGCTTTTAACAGTGAATGACTTTCCTTTTCCCGAAATGCTTTCTTCTCTTGGTTTTCTGATACCATGTTCTCTTTCTACTTCTCTGGCCATTTCCATCTCCTTAGAAGCTCAGTCTTGCTTTGCCTGGCCCCTGATTGTTGGTTTTCCCCAGGGCTCACTTCTTAGTCCCTTTCTCCTCATGCTTTATAATCTGAGTCATCTTATCTACTCTGGGATTTGAATGGTCACTTGTATGCTGAAAACTCCCAAATTTGTATCTGCAGTCCAGCTTTTCCTGCTAAGCTCTACCTACATACCTTTGCAGACCTCATTACTTCTTGACTAACTTACTGGCTCCCTAAGCATCTAAAATTGAATTCATAGTCTACCTCCCCATACAAAAAGTTCCTCCTTCCCTACCGCAGTTGCCCTCACTCTGGCCATCACTATCCTGGCCTCTCTGCCTCCTGATGGTAGTTACTTCCTCCTGTCAAGTTGGCCTCCACTGGACGTGGCTTTCACATGTCTACCTTCCCTTCTGCTAATTTCTGAGCAGTTACCACATTTTTGCTCAACAGTAGGTACCAGTCACCTGGATTGCTTATTAAATAGTTGAATTATAGGGCCCTAGGAATGTAGAAAATTTACTAAGCTACCCCAGGTGATTCTGATTTGTATGGCCTCAGCAAGTACCACACTGCACTGTAAGCTCCATAAGCAAAGGAAGGGGTGTTCTGCAAATGTAGTATCTAAGGATTATCATTGGTTAACTATAGGAAATTGTATTCATCTGACCATTTTTGATCAATAAGAAGGTAATCTTATGATTCATCAAAATAACTGCTTAATTAAATATCTAATGAATGAATGACTCCCCTTCCACGTACTTTATGATAACAAGGCTCTGTTATTTCAGGCTCAGTTTATTTACCTTGTCACCTGGCTCATAAGTAAGACTATCATCCATGGCCATTGTTTCCTAGTTCTTCTGAAGACTTTTCTCTTCTCTTTGTCAGTTTAAAGCCTCCCTGATCAACCAAGTTTGTTTCTAGGCACATGCACTCTTCCCTCTTCTTTAATGTGCTCACCCCTTGGTTAAGAGTCCATCTTTCTTTGGTGTCATTACAAATTTCATATTCTGGCTGAGCACAGTGGCCTATGCCTATAATCCCAGCACTTTGGAAGGCAGATGGATCACCTGAGGTCAAGAGTTTGAGACCAGCTTGGCCAACATGGTGAAACCCCGTTTCTACTAAAAATACAAAACTTAGCTGGACATGGTGGTAGAGGCCTGTCATCCCAGCTACTTGGGAGGCTGAGGCAGGAGAATTGCTTGAACCTGGGCGGCAGAGGCTGCAGTGAGCCTAGATCACACCATTGTACTCCAGCCTGGGTGACAAGAACAAAACTGTGTCTCAAAACAAAGAAAAAATTTTCACATTTTTTGGGACATCATTTGCCCACCCACTTGCTTCCTGAATTCCTTTTTTCTCTCTGAAATTCTCAGCATCAAATCAGGAATGACAGAAACACCATTTATGTCCTAAATTCTTCCCCTATAATAAAGGCACACTGCTTTATTATAGGTGGTTCACAGGTCTTATGCTGTTTTTCAAACTGCAGGTTACAAGTTGCACAGTCAGCAGAAATGACAAGGATTAACAGTCTTTTTTTCCCAGCACAGATCCTGAGTTTCTAGTTAGCCATACAGGGAAGTACACAGTCATTTTCGCAGCACACACTGAGGCACCTTTCCTCTGGATCGAATCCCAGGCTGCCTGGGTACTTGTTGCGGTCATCTCAGAGTCCGCGGTTTCTTCTTCGTTAGAAAGTCTTGATTCCTGTTCTAAGCACAGCATTTTCATATTTGTTTCTCCAGCAGTGCAAACTTTCTTCCCCTTTTTCTGGGTTACATTGCTCCTTTATTTATTTACTTTTTTTCCCCCTTTTTTGTTAACAGATGGGATAGTCTCACTGTGTTGCCCAGGCTGGCCTCAAATTCCTGAGCTCAAGCAGTCTTACTGCCTCAGCCTCCTGCGTAGCTGGGGGACCGGAAGCGCGCCACCGCACCCAGCTTACTAATCCCCTTTTGATGTTCCTACTTACCTATTTCATGATTTCCTTTTAAAAAACTAAGCCTGGGCAACAGAGCGAGATGCCATCTCAAAAAAATGTTCTTCCATTTTATTCACTCAATGAGTGAAAAACAAAGGTGGGGATCATGAAAAATTAAAAGATTTTATTATAGGAATTTTTTGAGACTTTAGTTTGGTATATATGATTATCACATCTTAATTAACTTAAATGTTTGCTTAAATATAGCAGCTGCTCAGCCAGGAACTGAGATCTTTAATCTGCCAGCAGTTACGACATCAGGTAAGATTGAAAAGACATTATTTACCAATACAAAATTAGTACAGCAGTAGTCAGTCCAACAAGTGTACTGAGTAGCAACTCAGTACACTGGGGAGTGACTGCTCCAATATGAAAAATGAATAATTTAGTGAAGGAAGGTTTAGTCAGTAGCACAGAAAGGAACTGAGATCCAATAAATCCCTATTGAAAAAATAAATGAACAAAAAGAATGGAAACTATTAAAGAATAGTGTTAGGAACTAGGGAAACTGTTGAGTAACTTTAATAGAAGTGTGGGTGACTGATTCACTTCGGAAAGAAATTTCCTTAAGGAGGTATTTGTGGATTAAGATTATCTCTGGGCCAGGCATGGTGGCTCCCAACTCTTTGGGAGGCCAAGGTGGGCGGATCACCTGAGGTTGGGAGTTTAAGATCACCCTGACCAATATGGTGAAATGCCATCTCTACTAAAATTACAAAATTTTAACTGGGTGTGGTGGCGGGTACCTGTAATCCCAGCTACTTGGAAGACTGAGGCGGAAAAACCCCTTGAACCTGGGGGTGGAGGTTGCAGTGAGCCGAGATCGTGCCACTGCACTCCAGCCTGAGTGCGACAGAGTGAGACTTCATCTCAAAAAAAAAAAAGATGGTCTGTGTGGTGGGCCCTGGTGTTCTAGGCGACTTGCCAAGTGCTATATGTATTCCGTGGGCTGAAGGGACTGTTCATGTTTGTTTCCTGATTGGCCTTTCAGAAATAATATGGAAATGCTTTTGATTCCCTTTAGGCTCAGTTAGCTCTAGAGGCCATTCTTTTGCTGATCCTGCCAGTAATCTCGGGCTGGAAGACATTATCAGGAAGGCTCTCATGGGAAGCTTTGATGACAAAGTTGAGGATCATGGAGTTGTCATGTCCCAGCCTATGGGAGTAGTGTCTGGTACTGCCAACACCTCAGTTGTGACCAGTGGTGAGACACGGAGAGAGGAAGGGGACCCATCACCTCATTCAGGTACAGCTTTCATTTTAGTGCTTTTCTGCTGCTTTTCCCCCCTCAAAGCCAGTTTATTTCCCAAGTTCCAGTGTATCACTGAGAGATTTCCTTTATGTCTTTATGTGCTCAGAGTCACCTCTTAGGGTTTCAGTTACTTAAAAAATGTTTTTAAAAACTTACCAAGACATTATAATGACATGAACAGAAATAAAAAGGAAGAAAATTACACAAAGTGTCACCCTCCTGGGATGTCCATTTTTTTATTTGTTTGCATCTAGTCCTCATCTATACATATTACATTGTAATTGTAACACAAATATAATGTTTTTGAATAAAAATGATTTAACTGCAAAAATTAGGCTCAGTATAAAACAATTGTAAGCTGGTGGGGCGTGGTGGCTCACACCTGTAATCCCAGCACTCTGGGAAGCTGAGATGGGCAGATCCCGAGATCAAGAGATGGAGACCATTCTGGCCAACATACTGAAACCTGTCTCTACTAAAAATACAAAAATTACTGGGTGTGGTGGTGCAGGCCTGTAGTCCCAGCTACTCAGGAGGCTGAGGCAAGAGAATTGCTTGAACCCAGGAGACAGAGGTTGCAGTGAGCTGAGATCACACCACTGCACTCCAGCCTGGCGACGAGACCCCACTCTAAATAAATACATTAATAAATTAAAATTAAATAATCGTATGCCAAAGAAAAGATTAGGAAAAAAGATGTAATCCTAGCACTTTTGGAGGCCAAGGTGGGTAGATCACTTGAGCTCGAGTTCAAGACCAGCCTGGGCAACATGGTGAAAACCCCATCTCTACAAAAAATACAAAAATTAGCTGGGCCTAGTGGCTTGTGCCTGTAATCCCAGCTACTTGTGGAAGGATCACTTGAGCCCGAGGAGGCAGAGGTTTCATTGAGTTGGGATTGTGCCACTGCACTCCAGCCCAGGTGACAAAGTAAGACCCTGTCTGAAAAAAGGGAATAAAAAACCCAACTCTTCAAGTTACACCATGCAGAATGCTAGTGCTTCTATCTGATAAGCATTGTTTCAGACATGTCTCTGTATAAAATTGTATACGTTCGGTTAAAAACAAGCACAGAAAAAAAAATCCTAAGTTTTAATCTTACAATGCTTTTCTTAATATTTTGAGAACTAGTATCTCTTGTGCTTTTGAAAATTACTTGAAATTCAGCAGTTTGTTTTAGCTTAGATACTGTGGTTAAGAAAAAGAATAAAAAGATTAGAGGTCTTAAAAAACCACCAAAAAACCTATATATGTTAACTTTAAGACCTTATCAGTTTACTTCCTGCTCTGAAAAATAAGCATCATCTTCCTCTTTCTGTTTTTACCTTCCAATTTTTATTGGCTTTAAGTGTGTGTGTGTGTGTTTTAAGGTTATAAGACTGGTGACTTAGGCAATTACACTGTACGGGTTGTATGGGAATTTGGGGCAGTGTGAAATTGTTCAGCTGGGTCTGAGGAAAGTATTTGCTGGTGACCTGGGCTCTGATCTCCTCTGAGATCTTTTTCACGTTTTCTTCTAGAGCACAGTCAGAAGTGTCTCACTTATGTGAATTTCTTCTGAGTTCATCAGCTGCAAAGTCTGAGAAAATAGAAAGGGCTACCAACACTTGCTGAGCCTCTGCTCAAGTCCTGTAGTAGCATGAAGAAGCTTTGTTTTGCACTTTTTCCTTTACACACTGTTTCTTTGTGTGGTGTGTTGTTAACTCCAGTTGGAAAGGGGGGTTGGTCATTATAAGGTATGATTTTTGTCACCCTGCCTTCTTTCTTTAGTTGTTTCTGTACTCTGAGGCCAGTAAAGAAGCCTTGAAGTTCCAGAAATTTCAGTTCCTTAATTACCACATTTTAAAATTAATGGCAGGAAGACGACCCTTGTTTTTTGTTTTGATTGCTACAAGTGAAATTCTGGCTTGCTTTTAAATACAAGCATACCTCGTTTTAGTGTGTGTGTGTGTGTGTGTGTGTGTGTGTATGTCTGTGTTTTAACTGTAGGTTTGCGACAACCCTGCAAGTCTGTCGGCACTATTTTTCTAATAATATGCATTCTCCTTTTTGTCTCTGTCACATTTTGGTAATTCTCATAATATTTCAAATTTGTTCATGATTATTACCTGTGACTGATCAATGATCTTTGATACTGTAATTGTTTTGGGGCACCATAAGCAGCACCCATATAAGATGGCAAACTTGGCTGGGGCGTAGTGGCTCATGCCTGTAATCCCAGCATTTTGGGAGGCTAAGGCAGTAATCACCTGAGGTCAGGAATTCGAGACCAGCCACGGAGAAACCCCATCTCTACTAAAAATACTAAATAAGCCTGGCTTGCTGGCACATGCCTGTAATCCCAGCTACTCGGAGGCTGAGGCAGGAGAATCACTTGAACCCAGGAGGTGGAGGTTGTGGTGAGCCAAGATCGTGCCATTGCACTTCAGCCTGGACAAGAGCAAAACTCCATCTTAAAAAAAAAAAATGGCGGTGTGAGTCCTGACTGCTCCACTGAGTTGTTCCCTGTCTCTCACCTCCTCTGGCTTCCTTATTCTGACACACAACAATACTGAAATTAAGCCAGTTAATAAGCCTATGATGGCTTCTGAGTGTTCAAGTGAAGAGTCACAAGTCTCTCACTTGAAATCAAAAGTTAGAAATGATTAAGCTTAGTGAGAAAGGCATGTTGAAAGCCAAGACAGGCAGAAATTGTAAATGCAAAGGAAAAGTTTTTGAAGGAAATTAAAAGTGTTATTCCAGTGAACACACAAATGGCAAGAAAGCAAAACAGTGTTTTGTGATACACAGAAAGTTTTAGTGGTCTGGATAGAAGACCACACACCAGCCACAACATTCCCTTAAGACAAAACCTAATCCTGTTCCAAGCCCTAACTCCTCAGTTCTATGAAGGTTGAGAGAGGTGAGGAAGCCACAGACGAGAGGATTGAAGCTAGCAGAGGCTGGCTGAGAGGGTGAAGCTGTCTCCCTAACATAAAATGCAAGGTGAGGGAGAAAGTACTGATGAAGACTCTGCAGCAAGTTACTCAGAAGACCTAGGTAAGAACATTGATAAAGGTGACTACATTAAACAACAGATCTTCCATACAGACAAAACAGCCTTCTACTGGAACAGTCCAAAACTTCAAAAGACAGGCCGACTCTTGTTAGGGGCTAATGCAGGTGTTGATTTTAAGTTGAAGCCAGTGCTCCTTTACCATTCTGAAAATCCTAAGGCACTTAAGAATTATGCTCGGTCTACTCACCTGTGCTCTAGAAATGGAGCAAAGCCTAGACAGCATGTGTTTACAGAATGGCTTGCTGAATATTTTAAGCCCACTGTTCAGACCTACTACTTAGGAAAAAAGTATGACTTTCAAAATATTACTGCTCATTAACAATGACCTTAATCACCCAAGAGCTCTGTTGGAAAGGTTCAAGGAGATGTTGTTTTCATGCCTGCTAACACAGCATCCATTCTGTAGCCCATGGATCAAGGAGTAGTTTCTACTTCTAGGTCTTATTATTTAAGAAATACATTTTATAAGGCTATAGCTGCCACAGTGATTACTCTCATGGATCTGAGTAAACTGAAAACCTTCTGAAAAGGATTCACCATTTTAGATGCTTTTAAAGACATTTGTAATGCATGGGAGAAGGTCAGAGTATCAACATTAACAGGAGTTTGGAAGATGATCCCAACTCCCGTGGATAACCTGGGGAGGGGAGGTCAAGACGTCAGTGGAGGGAGTCACTGCAGGTGTGGTAGAAATAGCAAGAGAGGCTATGTGTGATGGCTCATACCTGTAATCCCAGCACTTTGGGTGGCTGAGGCAGTAGACTCACTTGAATCCAGGAGTTTGACACTGGCCTGAGCAACATACTGAGAACTCATCTCTGCAAAAATTTTAAAAAGTAGCCGAGTGTGGTGGTGTGCACCTGTCGTCCCAGCTACTTAGTTCTGAGGTGGGAGGATTGCTAGAGCCCAAGAAGTTGAGGCTTTCGTGAACTGGTATGCTGTGATTGTGCCACTGCAGTCCAGCCTGGGCAGCAGAGGTGAGACCCTGTCTTAAAAAAGAAAAAAGAAATATCAAGAGAACTAGAACTAGTAGTGGAGCCTGAAGATGTAACTGAATTGCTGCGATCTCATGATTAAACTTGAAATCAATGAGGAGTTGCTTCTTAGGAATAAGCAAAGAAAGTGGTTTCTTAGATTGACTCTGTCTCTGAAGTTGCTGTGAACATTGTTGAAATGACAACAAAGGATTTAGAATATTACATAAACCCAGTTAATAAAGCAGGGTTAAGGATTGACTCCAATTTTGAAAGTTCTACTGTGGGTAAAATGCTATCATTGAATGCTACAAATAAATCTTTCATAAAATTAACCAGAAATTGCCACAGCCACCTCTAGCCTTCGGCAGCTATCATGTGGATTAGTCAGCAGCCATCCACATGGAGGCAAGACCATCCATCAGCAAAATGATTCTGACTTACTGAACCCTCAGTTTCTCTGAGGTATCCCTGTAGAGTTTTATTTCATTGTGTACTAGGGTCTGGATTCTTCATGTTACCATTCTGCTTTTTTATGTAGCACTATATAATCATTAGCATTTGGGTGACTTTTGAGAATTTTAATATATTAATACTTTAACTTGAATTTCACTTTTAGGAGGAGTTTGCAAACCAAAGCTGATCAGCAAGTCAAACAGCAGGAAATCTAAATCTCCTATTCCTGGGCAAGGCTACTTAGGAACCGAACGGCCGTCTTCAGTCTCCTCTGTACATTCAGAAGGGGATTACCATAGGCAGACGCCAGGGTGGGCCTGGGAAGACAGGCCCTCTTCAACAGGTAAGGAGCCTGCTTTAACTTAGAAAACGAGACAAAGCAACTTACATAAATGTCTTGGTTATTAGTTCTTCAAAATTCAGCAATTTTTCTAATTTGGAAACCTATATTCCCATTTCTGTTTAATTCATAGGTTCCATTTTCCAGAATAGAAATTATTTTGGGGTGGTCTTGCTCTGTCACCTAGGCTGGAGTGTAATGGCATGATCATGGCTCACTGCAGCCTCAGCCTCCAAGGTTCAGGTGATCCTCCCACCTGAGCCACCCAAGTAGCTGGGAGTACAGGTGTGCACCACCATGCCAGGCTAATTTTTTTTTTTTGTAGGGATGAGATCTCACTGTTACCCAGGCTGGCGTCGAACTCCTGAACTCATTCCTCCTACCTTGGCCTCCCAAAGTGTTAGTATTACAGACATCAACCAGTGCACACACCCAGAATAGAAACTGAATGCACATATAACCTGAAACATTTTTAGAATTCAAAACCCAATTATCGTAAACAAAAGAAGAGCTATGAAAAAATAATCTCATCCATTCTCACTTCTGTATTACACTGGTAGTGAACATTTACTATCTGCAAAGCAAACAATGCAGTTTTAGTTCTTTTGAGAACTGTACCCGAATGTGCCACTTCTAAGAGAACTTCACCTTTCCTATTGGCATTCTTAGAAAAAGTTCTTAGGGAAATACTGAGAAATCAAAATTAGAAATGAGAAGACTAGCTTAAAAAGCCACCATCTGGTCTGGTGTGGTGGCTCATGCCTGTTATCCCAGCACTTTGGGAGGCTGAGGCAGTAGTTAAGATCACTTGAGGTCAGTAGTTAAGACCAGCCTGGCCAACATGGTGAAACTGTCTCTACCAAAAATACAAAAATTAGCCAGGTGCAGTGGTGGGCTCCTATAATCCCAGCAACTTGGGAGGCTGAGGCGGGAGAATTGCTTGAACCTGGGAGGCAGAGATTGCACCACTGCACCCGCTTGGGCGACAGAGTGAGACTCCCAACTTAAAAACAAAAAAGCTGTCATTTGTCTTTATGTTCACTACATTTACACAGACTGATGAAAAATAATACTCCAGGACACTATTTTCTATTTTGTGCCTATTTGTAAACTTTAAAAAACGTAAAATAACTATCATCATGGTAGCTTTAAAAAGTAACAGACTTTCTAAATAAAACTGGGATATTATGGATTTTAAAGTTTCAGAGAATTATAATCTTTTCCTTAGGATTAAATACATGTCACTGAAAAAAATCTGAAATGTGCCCTCTCCCTTAAGGCATACATAAATTATATCAGGCTTTTGCATTATAAAACTCATGCCACATGCAAAGTGGTTGTGTTTGAATTTGAAAGCTTTCAGCCTAGACCAGTGATTGCTGCTTCTCAAATCTCTCTTAGGGAAGTATTATTAGACCATACATGAGATTTACTTTTTGATGAAATGGTTATGATTTATGTTTTTGGGGTTTCTTAAGCTGTAGGAAGCTTTCTGGGGACAGGTAAACATCTAGAAACTAATGAAGGGTAGCAGTGTTCATTAATTAACTCATTTCCATCTTTATACTTTAAAATCTGCTTAGTGAGAGTCAGCAGATGACATGCATTCTGCTGCCCCTCAGTCTGCTCACATTCCTGGCTACTTACTTATCCTTTGATACTTTTGTATTTCTTTTGAAGGGTTAAGAAAGCTCTTGGTATAACCTGAACCCGTTTCAATTAGAGCTTAATACTTAATAGTTAATAGTTCCACTTGGATTCTCCATGGAAACACCTGATAGTTACAGACTTAACTAAAAATCTATCCTGGGCTTTCTCTTCTGGGCTAAGCAGTTCTCACCCATATGTTCCTTGTGTTACTCTTCTTTTTTGGACTCGAACTGATTGCTACATATCATTGGCTAGGATTTAAGTGGTGAGACTTTGGCCCTTCTGTGTTGTATTCATGGTGTCACATGACCATTTTAGAGTAATCCTGTTCTATTCTGTCCTACAAAAGTTGGATTGGATGAAATAGAAGGTATGCTCATGACAATGAAAACCTTATTTTTCTTTTGTCAGGCTCAACTCAGTTTCCCTATAACCCTCTGACTATGCGGATGCTAAGCAGTACACCACCAACACCGATTGCATGTGCTCCCTCTGCTGTGAACCAAGCAGCTCCTCACCAACAGAACAGGATCTGGGAGCGAGAGCCTGCCCCGCTCCTCTCAGCACAGTACGAGACCCTGTCGGATAGTGATGACTGAACTGCACAGAGTGAGAGGAACAGGGTGCAGGAAAGGGATCTCCAGTTTTTGATGGTTTAATTTTTAGTAGCAGGTCAAAAACCTGCCCTCCTATGACTTATGCCCTGAGACTTTTCAGGACAGCCAGCCCACAGATGATGAAGAAATGATGGAAATTTATTTGGAGAGTCAACAAAGAAAACAAAAAACTGCCTTTGATACAAGCAATTCAGTGGACTATAATAGTGGAGGGTTGAAATGTAGAGTTTTTAAAAAGTGGACAGTTCCTGTTCTTACATCTGTTTGTAAAGAAAACCATAATGTCTTTAAATCACTCTTCTGTAAATAGATTATCTTTTTGCAGTGTATATCCCCTTGCTGTAGTATCTGGTGTACTTATGTTCAAATCAGCGCATCAACTTTGGGGGTGATTTTTAAAAATCTTTTTGTCTATCTTTTTAACCCTAGCCTTCTAAACAACCTCATACAGCCCAGTTACATAATGTTGGCTGTTACGGGCATTGTACTTTTATCTGATTTTGTTTCCTCTAAATTCAGCTTTCCAGTGATGTTTAAAATCTTGTGGAAATGTTTAGATTTTTAACACAGACCCTGTCATAAAATCTGTACATTAGAGTCAAAAGGTAGAAGTAAGAAATTCTGCCATATTGTAAATTTCCAGTGCAGGCTTTAAATTTTTTTTTTCCATTAGTAGCACTGAAAAAAATATTACTGCATGGGTATGTTCTAGTTCAGTTTATAAAGTTTTAAAAGCTTATTTGAGGCATACCTCACTGTTATGCACACTGGTAATTTAACCATGCCCCTAAGTATTCCTTTTCTCCTGCATTTGATGCAGCCCAACAAAGCTTTCGTTTTGAAATAAATTTGACTACCCTGTCCATAGCTACAGTAGATTATTTGTGGTTTAAGGCTCCTGGTGTCTCAGGTTCCAAAGAAAAAGCTTACGTCTTTTTCCCTTAGTCTGCTATGATTGGTCCGAGTTAAAAGATAATGATCTATGTAGTATTTAGATGTGCTTTGTGCTGCATCCTGAAAAACTCATGGTGAACACAGCCCTTTTCCACATTGCTCCGGATCAGCACTTACGCTCACTCTGCTTCCTTGGGACAAGTTTACTGCTAATATGTTTCATTTCACAGATTCTCAAGGTGCAAATAATTTAAAAAGATGGAATTCTAAACTAATTATGGTACTAGAGGGCCAGTTTTAAGAATTCCTTGCTGAATTTTAAAGTTTTTATCATACAATTTATCATAGCATTTAAGTATCTTTCCATAACACACAGATACTAACAGTTTTGGGAGAATGCCACTGGCAACTGGAAAGGGGAGAAACAGATCTCTCAGGATGATAAAAATTAGCACTTTATAGACTTTCAAGTAGACCTAAACTTTTAAACGAAAGTACTCAAGGCTTTTAAGGAAGCAGCTCTATGATTAGCTGCTGACCAAGACCCTCCTATCACTGGTGTCTGATCCCTATGTTGGGATGAAGACACAGGTTTAGTACTTTGCCCATGTAGTTAAATTAGTGACAGAGATAGGCCATAAGCCCACATTTGTCTCCAGTGAAATCTTTCATTTCTGTCCCTGTTCCACTCCGGTATACCTGAGTTCTCCAACATAAACTTTAGATCAGGCTTAGTAGTCAGCATTCCTATTACTTGGAAAGTTGGTATTTTTACAATAGATATATGTAAACACATAAAAATTTCAATATGAATGAAAAGCAATGACTAAATGTTCTACTTCAGTTTTCTGGTGAATTTTTTTTAGGTACTGGTAATATTTTAGAGTTTGTTAATAATTTACATTGCCAGCCTACCATAAAAGAGATTATGATGTTATTTTTCTATGACCCTGAGGGTCTTAAGCTATTCGGAGTCAGAATACAGTTGACCCTTGAACGACATGGGTTTGAACTGTGTGGGTCCACTTATACATGGATTTTCTTCCATCTCTGCCACCTAAGAGAGCAAGACCAACCCCTTCTCTTCCTCGGCCTACTCAACATGAAGATGATGAGGATGAAGACCTTCATGATGATCTACTTCCACTTAATGAAGAGTAAATATACTTTCTTCCTTATAATCTTCTTAACATTTTCTCTTCTCTAGCTCACTTTATTGTAAGAATATAGTATATCATACATACACAAAATATGTGTCAATTGACTATGTTATCCATAAGACTTCTGTTCAACAGGAGGCATTCAGTTTTGGAGAAGACAAACTTAGATGTGGATTTCTGACTACTTAGGGGGTCCATGCCCCTAATTCCTGCATTGTTTGAAGATCAACTGTATAGTTTCTGAGAACATGTCAGATCAGAGCCTAACTTGTTACTCTTGCAGTTCCACTTGAGGACCCGAAGGTGAGCTGCTGTGAACCACTCACTCCATCCTCATCATAATGCCTGTGCGTATTACTTCACTTACCATCATCTGGTGAAGAAATCTCAGAATGAGAGTTAAAATCCAATAACAGTTCTTGGTTCCAAAAAAAAAAAATCAAAGGACCGAATTCTCACATGGCTTACCTGTGGAGGTTCACCTTATCATGATTTAAGTGGTAAGCACAGCATGGAGCAGTACTGACGACTTACTGAGGTTCACTGCAAACCAAGGCCTGATATTTGTAGGCTTGGATTTCAGTGTTGTGACACTATACCCTTACACGTGAGTTTTTTTAACACTGAGAACTAAAGCCCTCCAAATACACTTCATAGATATTCTGACAGCCAATTTTACAGTGCATGTTTATGATTTGAAATTTCATAATGCTTCAATTTTTGTACACTGATTCTATTTTAAAAATATTTATGCCCTGAAAAACTCCACTGACCATTGGACAGTCCAAAAATTTTGTCATATAATTTTAACCAATTCACTTTTGAATTTGGACCAGTCAGTAAAGGAGATCAGTCCTCCTTTTGCTTCAGTACCTTATTTTACAACAGTGCAAATGAACTGTAATGAGAACACCCACATGAAGAGACTGTCCTGAAAACTCCTAGTGTTTCCAACAACCAGACCATGAACTTAATTACTGTGGATGATTTAAAATTAATAAATAAACACTTGCAATGAAAAACCTTTCAGTAACCCCTGCCAAGTTGTGAAAAGGTAAAAACATTCTCAATGCAAAAGGTAAGTGGTTGACATTAATTTTTTAAAGAAATCACCATATATGTTAATACTGGGTTCTACTGACACTGTCTGATTTATATTGTATTTACCTCTCTGAGCTAGACTTGATTAACGACATTATCTGGGTGGTAAATAATATGAGATTAGACAGAACAAAATTCTAGTTTTAGTCTAATCCCTCAGGGTTTCCAGTGTTTTCATTAATTCTTCGGGAAGTTTTGTTTTGCTTTTTGAGAAATGCAAAGATTACTGGGATACATACAATATTGTTGTGTAGTCTCGTTTATTACAAAAAGATTGTTCCAGTATGTACATACGAACCAAAAATTGCAGTTTATCGGGCCCACTCACATCCCACCCACACAGGCATACCAACAGTTTCAGTATTCCTTCATGATGCCTAGAAAAACTGTCTTTTCCCTTAGGTAAATGGCTCAAGATATTTGTACAACTGCTGAGGTAAGAGCATCCACCTCCGTATCTTTACATACTTTGAGGCAATGTGATAAGCTCTTTTAGCACAGCAGTCTATTCATTCAAAGTCATCTAACCAAATACCTTCTCCCACGGCTAAGAAAGAATCTCAGTGTTTCCCTACTTCACAGATGAAGATACTGAAATCACAAAAGCAAAAAGGCTAGGACTAAGATCCAGGTCAGTAATTCAACTATACCAGCAGTACACATCAGAATTACGGGAAGTTCTGAAATACACCTGCAGCGCCCTATTCTGACTCGGCCCTGGGTGTGTGTGTCCTTCAAGAGAACTTGAGATGACTCAGTTGTGTGACTAAGGCTGGGAAGTAGAGTGCTCAGATAACATCGACAAAAGGTTACATCATTCATTCTAGCCCACCCCTATTTTTAAGTAGTTTTATATATCCAGATACATTATGGTTCACTTTTATTTAAATTCAAATAAAATTTGGGTGCTTTTGTCACATGCCCAATTTCCACTTTAAAACTTCGTGCTGGATACTGGTAGGAAACTATTACTTTTTCTCTTTTATGCATTAAATTCCACATTGTGCTTCATGAAACAGATTATAAGAAAAACTCACCATAATCTCCCTTTGCCATGATAAAGGTAATTCTGGTCAGTTTGCCAGATATTGACAAAGTAAGAGAAGAGAGGGCAGCAAATCAGTAGACCACAAACTGATGATAGAAATGCCATGCTGAATTACCACACCCACAGCCCACAGCCAAGCCAGCCCATATTAATCTATAGTTCTACTTAGACCAGCAGGGACAGCACCTAGTCATATGTTACAACTGAAACCATTACTTAACAGCAGTCCTGAAAGATCATAATCATTGGGAATGAAAGTCATTTTTCTTTTAAAATACAAAAATGGCAGTGTATATAACTCGTCCTTCACTAAGGCGAAATTGAGGAAACCTGAATATCAAAAACGACAGATTTAAGCCACTGATTTGGGTGCCACAGAGACAGGAATAATAGCTATTCTTCTGCATTACTAGACATTATTCTCCCTACACAAAAATGGATTTAGAGCTTGACAGAATTTAAGTCAAAGGTATACTTTTCCTTGACAGCTCAGCCAACTCTTCCCTGATGTGTTGTATAGAAATTTCATCTCTTTTCAGCTCTGCTTGCTTCAGTGCTTCCTGGTAGATCTCTTTTGCTTGTGTATATCGTTCTAAAACAACCCAGAGAGAAGGGATAGTAAGAAAGTGTATGTTTTCAAGGTGATTCTGAAGAGAGAGCACTAATGAGGATATAGGGATAATTTACTGTGTGCTTATGAAGTGACAGGCTGGTTCTGCCTCCTCTCATCCCCATCTGACAGGCTGGAACTCCACTGAATTCCAGTATATTCTGGGGTCCTCAATTAGCCAAAGATTTCATGAATGGTGGTATGTGTAATACACCTGTCATCCCAGGCTTCTGAAAATGATAAGAGACTATCATTGCAAAGTTTTCTGCAGCTTGATGGGATTCGACAGGCTAGTGCAGGACTGTAGAAGTTTTGTGAATTGACCACAATCGTACTTCAACCTAATACCTTGGTTTTTTTCTGCCATTATTCAACCAGCCTTTTAATGTACGAGTTTCTTCATTGGCCCTTGCTTTCCCTACACACCATTTCACAAATTTACCAATTCAGTGACGTCCCTCCCTTAAAGCAAGTCAGTCAAGTTTCCATTGCTACCTACCTCTGTGCATCAAAACTGCAGCTAGATTACTGAGTACCATGTGTAGCTCAGGATGATTGATCTGTCTTGCCAGATCTGATGCCCTCTGCATATAAATATAGGCCTCATCAAAGCGGCCCTGTGCATCCAGGGTAGTAGCCAGGTCACTCATCAGCACAATCGTCTATATGTAAAAGAAAAAAGTTTTTTCTTTAAAAACATGCCTGCATAGAATGTTAATGTGGAGTTCATCCAACTGTGAATATATAAGATTCAATCTCTCCTAGCATTCCACAAAAGATGAGGGGAGGGATATCAGCCTTTAACAAATTTGTGGGCCTTTGTTAATCACATTGTACAGTGGACAATGTTAGTTTGACCTTTTGGGAAATTCAAATCTGGAAATTAGGGAATGGATATACCTTATTCCAACTAATTACCCAATTAGAAGCACCAAATGAAAAACTACAGCAAGAAGCTATATATATGATCCCAGTTAAGGCTGAGCAATTTGGGGAAGCCAGCCCCTTATGGTTTGTCTGCCTCTGGAGCTCCACTGTATTCTGTTGTTCCTGCTGATAACCCTAAGGCTCATCAAAAACAAGAAATACACGATCTATTTTAGGAGGATGCCCAGTAAGAGTTTGTTTAATCTGGCTACTATAAGAGGTAGATTTCCATATCTTCTTCCTCACTGATGCCATGCTTTAAGCCCCTTGACTCTAGTACTTGGAGATCTGAATTCTGTGCTTCCTTGCTTATTATTCCTCACTCCATTAGGAGACTCTTCATAATAAGTCGTAAATCCCTTTCATGGAGATAATTCACAGCTCAACTTCCCTCTTCTTCCAAAACGTATTACTTACCCTACCCATATACCCCAGCCTAGGGACACATTCAGTTAAAGCTGTCTTACATCGGGAGTAGCGAGCATTCAGAGCCAAAGCGATGCACTCCTTACATCTAAGAACTTATTTTGATGGAGGAGAGACCCAAAAAGATGATTTCAATTCAATGTGTTTAGTGTTCTAACACAGGCCTTTACACATTATACCTAAATTCTATAATATGCCAATGATTTAAAAGTGTTTTTAATGTGGTCCCTGATTCCCTCCCTAACCTCCTGCCATTTTAACTGTGGGGAAAGGAAGGCAAGGATATTTGTGTATTAAAATGTTCCTCATAAAGATTCTAATGGGGATACATACAGACCCCACTCTGAAATACTGTGCTGTGTCCTTTGAAGCCTGACCAGTCCTGCCTTGTAGAAAGCTTGCTCTGTTGTGCAAGCCATGGCTCATGCACATATTCTGGACAGACCTAGTAACTGATAACTAGTCCCAAATCTTTTCTGAAACAAGTGGTTGGGGTGAGGGTACTGGTGGTAAGAAAATGAGTAGACTGGGGAGCAAGGAGGATCTAGGACCATCTGCTGATTCTGTTCTCAATGAGTGTGACATTTCACACCCGTCAATTTGAAGCCTTTGTTTTATATTCCCTCCTGTTTTCCTCCCTTACCTGTGGGTGTCTTTCTCCATGTATTTCTTCAGAAATCTGCAGAGCTTTTTCATACATCCTTTGTGCCTGTGATGGCTGCTTGGAGAACAGAAGGTAGCGAGCACAGGCGTCTAAGCACATACCCAGGAGGAGGTGGGTATTGGCTTTCTCTTCCACTAAGGAGAGAAGAGGAATCAGCAAGTCTACCCAGATCGTTGTTACCAGGACCCACAAATATGTCAGGAGACTGGGACCCACATGTCACTTAGGGAACAATGTAGGTGGAGTAACATCCAGTTAAATGACATATTCCAGACTAGCTGGAATCATGGAACTTCACCCTGCATTTTAGGCAGATTAAGAGTCCACACATCAGCCGGGCGCAGTGGCTCACGCCTGTAGTCCCAGCACTTTGGGAGGCCGAGGCGGGTGGATCACAAGGTCAAGAGATCGAGACCACCCTGGTCAACATGGTGAAACCCCGTCTCTACTAAAAATACAAAAATTAGCTGGGCGTGGTGGTGCACACCTGTAGTCCCAGCTGCTCGGGAGGCTGAGGCAGGAGAATTGCTTGAACCCAAGAGGCGGAGGCTGCAGTGAGCCAAGATCATGCCATTGTACTCCAGCCTGGGTAACAAGAGTGAAACTCCGTCTCAAAAAAAAAAAAGAGTCCACACATCAATTAAAATGTGGAATGTTATTTTTAGTTTGAAACAATATTCAGCAGAAACAAATGAAGATAAAGAAGAATGAGTTAACAAAGTCTAAGGCTAATGAAAAATCTGCAGGGTATAAAAAAAGCAATGCAGTAAGAAAACAGAGTCACAAGCTGAATTTGAAGAATGTAAGGTAAAATTTTAAAAAGCTAATCCATTCAGAAAAGAAGAATAAAGCTTACAATGACACAGCATCTCTCAACACATTCAAGAATTGACTATACAGTGTCCGAAAAAGAACAAGCTTAAAACACCTAATGCCACATTAAAAGAATTGGAAAACACAGATCTAGAGCACAGTAACCTATATCAACCTGGGTAAGACTTCTAATAGATGATACAAATAATGCAGAAATGGTCATAAGATTATATGGAAGTTCTGCAAACACTCAGCAGAAGGCAAATGTTCACACAATAAAAGACTAGAAAAACAGGTCACCTTACATAATCTTAGGTAACAAATTAGTAGACACCCAAGCCAATATGTTCAGTTGGGTTTATTTACCAGCAAAGCTGTTGTTCATATCAAACCCTTTTCCTTCCATGTTTTCAGTTTTCAGAAGTCTTACAAATGGCATACAGAGTTTAAGGAAGACTATGTTACTAAAATGAGACTTTTCTTTTTTAATACCTTCCCATTTAGAAAAAAAAGTACAGCTTATTTCTATTGCTTAATTTTACATAAATATGCTCTTTGAGACTAAGCAAATCTGATTTTCAATGTGAAAATAAATATTAAAAGTGTTCTTAGAGTTATTTCTATACAGAACTAACACCAGAATCATCTGAATCATCAGACTCATCTATTTTGGAAAAATCGGATTCATCAAATGAATCTTCAACCAACAACCGTTCAAGAAGGATGTTAACATCACGCATAGGCATGCTAATGTTTTCTAGGATTTGACATTTTCAGCAATCAAGAATTACTGTATTTTGTAAATGGAAATACCACTACTAAAAACAGAATGCTATAATTAGAATGATGTCTTTTGTTTCCAAAGTTGATATACTAGAGCGATGTGAAAATGGTAAAAGCGAGATATTTTGTGGCAATGATTAAAAAAGATGTTCAGTAGTATAACAAAGTACACTAATAAAGTGACAAGCGATTCTAGTGGAAAATTGTTACCCCTGTTCTCACTAAGTAGTGGAGTGGAAGCAAAACTAGTGAAGCTTTTTAGAGAAAACAATGAGGTACAATTTAGCTACTTAAAATTCATAGCACATTCTGACAACAATAAAAATGAAAACACTTTTTGAAAAGCAAACTTTTCTAAAAATAAGTGTTACCTAACTTTTAGAAAACACAAAACCTTTAACAACTGCCAAGAGAAAATTTCATAGATTTAATAAAGTTCCCCCAAGAGTCCCTTTTCTAGTAATTTACTTAAACATGGTTCTTTGAAATATTAATATAAAAATTGCTGGAAGTTAGACAAAAAAAAGGTAGTTTAATAACCGAGAAATATTTTGGAATCGTTTATATACAACTCCTAAAAGAACATTTGAAACTGAGGCATATTTACTTATTTAAACATGATTCTCTTTCAGAAAAAGATATACTACTACCTATACTCAGTCCATGAAGCAAACAGGATTCACTATATAATTATTTACTCAAAATATTATCAAATGGAACAATCATATATATTAAGGAGATGGCCAAACAGCATTTATTCCAGGAATATAAGAATGGCTCAACATACTTAATGTATCAGAGTATCAAACTAGGTTTACATAGATATAGACTAAAAGGGAATTTGATAAAGTACTGGAGCAATTATGTGCATTTATTAACAATAGCAAAAGAGCATAAACCTCTAACTCTCCCATACCCCTCACCATCAAGAGCAATCTAGGAAGTCTACAAGGGTCTTTGAAACTAGAGATATTTGTTGCCCAAATTCCAGGAACACCCTGAAATTTCTGCTAAACTAAATCTCTTATTAGTCAACTGACTAGCACTTCCTAATTAGTCTTAATGGTTTTAGTGGAGGAAATAAAGCAGGATCTAACCTAATGCTATACATGAAACTCATCTGCTTCAAACACCTAGAAATCTTAGAAAAAATAAAACACACATCCTATGCATGCACAGCTGAGCTCCCAAGAGAAGGAACCCCCAAAAGCCAGAAATCAGGAGTAAGCTAAAACCCAAAGTGGAGAGCCTGTGAGTTGACACAGCAAAAGCCAAGTTTTTGTTGGTTTTGTAGGATAGTTTGAGTGTCTCTGTAATCCAAGAATTAAAGCTGTTGACTTGTACTAAACAGAAAACTTGATCTGAAGCCAATGCATAAAACCAGGATAATTACCATTAAGACCACAACCCCAGGAAAAGATGTGAAAAAAACTGCAGCACTCCATCCTTCACAACCCCAACCCCCAACCACAGGCACAAGGAGGCCTGAATGGCCAAGTCTGGGATCTAGATGAGAAAAATGACTACCATGAAAATTTGATGTCTAATTTGTAACATCCATTTAGGCCAGGAGCTGAGTGCCTGGATGACACAAAACTATTCTGAAATCTCACTGTATAGCTAAAATCTTGCTGAAGATGAATGTATAATCCAATATTAGTAAACATGACAATTCATCATAAATGAGAATCAGCAGACAGTAAAAAAGCAGGCCTCATCCTCAAGAATTTTAGAAAATCAGAACAACTTCAGTAGTTCTCTTTACTTCTAGTAAGTCAAGCATATTCCACCCTCAGAGTCTTATACCTGTAATTGCCCTTTGCCTGTAATTTCCTTCCCTCAAATAGCCACTTGGCCTATTCTCTCCCATTCACCAGGTTTTCTTACTAACAAGGCCTTCCCTACCCCCTCTATAAGAGCATATAATCCCCCAACATATTCCTGGTACACATATTCCTTCATAAATATCTACATAACACTTAATTCATCTTTGTACACACCAACTTGCAGGATAGTGCTTACTATGCATCCTTCCCCCACCAGAAATGTAGCTCCATGAGGCAGTGACTTTGTCTTATTTATATCTGTATCTCAGCACCTAGCAGCATATCTTACATGTAATGGGCACTCAGTATTTCTGACTGAATCGTTGAATAAATGAACAAATAGAAGGAATTAAACACATAAAAGGGCTGGGCGTGGTGGCTTACACCTGCAATCCTGTAGTTTGGGAGGCTGAGGCAGAAGGAACACTTCAGCCCAGGAGGTCAAGACCAACCTGGGTAACAGCACAACCTCATCTCTACCAAAAAAAAGAAAGAAAAAGAAAAATTAGCCACATTGCCACGTGCCTGTAGTCCTAATTCTTTTGGAGGCTGAGGTGGGAGGATCTTGAGATCAGGAGTTTGAGGCAACAGAGAGCTGTGATGGTGTCACTGCACTCATTCCAGCCTGGGCAACAAAGGAAGACCCTGTCTCTTGGGAAAAAACCCATAAAGGTACTGAACTCAATAGGGAAAAATAATGAAACTAAAACTTAATGATAATTACAGATTTAAACATTAGCACCCCATGAATCCAGGAAAATTCAATATAGAGATGTCACTACAAATCAAGACATAAGAAGTACAAACTATGAAGGTAAATATCAAGATTCTGTTAATATCCAAATTTTTAATCTATGCCAAATGCCCTAATGTGAAAAGACAAGCTACAGGGAGATATGTAACCCACAAAAATATAAAATGATTGAATACGTATCTCTTACAAATCATTAAGAAAGACAACCCCTCAAAAAAATAAGCAAAGGATATGAAAAGCTAAGTTTCAGAGCAGGTAATCTGGATAGCCTATAAATACATAAAAAGATATCTATTTTACTAGTAATCAGAAACATATAGCGAAGCGACAATGATATTCCTTTTCAAACACAGCAATTATAAAAAAAAAATCTGATAACAAAAATATACAGAGAGCATCAAGAATACTAACATACCGCTAGTCAAAATGTAAACGTAAAACCACTTTGACAAGCAATTTGGTTTCTGCTGCTGCTATTTTTGAGATGGAGTCTTGCTCTGTTGCCTAGGCTGGAGTGATCTCAGCTCACTGCAACCTCTACCTTACCGGGTTTAGGTGATTCTTGTGCCTCAGCTTCCCAAGTAGTTGGGATTACAGGTACCCACCAACACACTAATTTTTGTATTATTACTATTTTTTAAGTAGAGATGGGTTTTCACCATGTTGGCCAAGCTGGTCTCCAACTCCTGAACTCCAGTGATCTGCCCGCCTCAGCCTCCCAAAGTGCTGGGATTACAGGCATGAGCCACTGTGCCAAGCCTGAGAAGCAGTTTGGTATATGCACCCCAGCAACTCCACTTTTATATATATATTCTATGAAATATCTTACAGGTGTGCACAAAGACACAGGTCCAAAAATGTTCAATGAAGTATGACTTTTAATAGCAAAACATATAGAATAACCCAACAGGTCCCTCAATAGAAGAACTGTGGTATACTTCTACAGTGGACTCTATACCATGGTTGTACTGAGGAAACAGGGCCACCTTTAGCTTGTACCATCCCTTGTGAGAAAAGAAAAAAGGTTCAACTTACCCCTCACACCAGTGGATTAATTAGAGGAAGTCACCCTTTAAAGACAGATGCAGCCCAGCAGACATGCAGTTTGGCAAACAGGGACTGTGCTAAGAAAACTGCTTTAAATATCAGCCTGATGTATCTCAACAACAAAATGTTGAGTGACAAAAGCAAACTACAGAAACAACTGTACAGTATGATACCATTTATATTGTTTAAAAATATATTAGCCCTATTGTATATTTTTGTTTTTGAGATAAGAATCTTTGCTCTGTCACCCAGGCTGGATTTCAGTGGCGCAATCTCGGCTGACTGTAACCTCTGCTTCCCGGGTTCAAGTGCTTCTCCTGCCTCAGCCTCCCAAGTAGCTAGAATTACAGGTGCTTACCACCATGCCAGGCTAATTTTTTTTTTTTGAGATGGAGAATTTACCAAATATCTTTATACTTTCAGCCTTGGCCAAATTTCAGTATTTTACCATATTTGCTTTGGAATGATGTTTAAACCCCTGTATACCCCTCTGTGCATAGGGGTAGCTATTATTCTGAATTTGGTCTTGTTTGCCTACTTATTGCACTTGGTATATATCAATCAATAAACAATATACTGCTGAGTGTGATGACTCACACTTGTAATCCCAGCAATTTAGGGGGCTGAGGCAGGCAGATCAAGACCATCCTGGCCAACACGGTGAAACTCCGTCTCTACTAAAAATAGAAAAATTAGCTGGGCATGGTGGCATGCACCTGTAGTCCGTTCCAGCTACTGGGGAGGCTGAGGTAGAAGAATCGCTTGAACCCAGGAGGCAGAGGTTGCAGTGGGCCAAGATTAGGCCACTACACTCCAGCCTGGGTGACACAGTGAGACCCTATCTCAAAAAACAAAAAAACAAATCAGAAGAAAAGCACAGAAGTGACTTTTTCTTTTTGAGACAGAGTCTCTGTCTGGCACAATCTTGACTCACTGCAACCACCACTCGCCAGATCCAAGGGATTCTCTTGCCTCAGCCTCCCAAGTAGCTGGGGTTACAGGTGCCTGCCACCGTGCCTGGCTAATTTTTGTATTTTTAGTAGAGACAGGGTTTCACCAGCTTAGCCAGGTTGGTCTTGAACTCCTGACCTCATGATCTGCCTGCCTCAGCCTCCCAAAGTGCTGGGGTTACAGGCGTGAGCCACCGCAGCTGGTCCAGAACTGACTTTTCTTAATAATAAATGGGTAATGTGGAATATAAGCTGAAAAACCTCCCAAAATATGAAAAAAACTGATGGAAGAGGGGATAATGTGAAGGACAGAGAAGAGAGAGGTCAACATACAGGTAAATGACATTCCAGACAAAGAGGCCAGAGCATGTGAAACAGAAGCACTGAGCCAGGTCAGACTACAAAGCTCCAGAGAACTGAATTGTAAAAATCAAGGTTCACAATGGACTAAGCAAGCTTCATAAACAGACAACTCCCTAACCTCAAAATAAACTACTTAAAAAGCAAGGCAAGTATGCAGGCTTTACAATTCCCCTCTGCAATAAATTCCTAAGTCTAAAATTCCAGATCACAGAGAAAAAACAAGGAAGGGAAAGGCAGGACAATGTTAAAATGTAGTCAGGTCATTTTAGAGAAGTAACGGAAGACAGTATTTTTTCCTCTGAGTCGAATATGTCTAAGAAATGTTTAGGTCACTCCTTATAGAACTGAAAATCATATATATACCTTCCCTACAAAATACAAATACAGATCCATGAGGGAAAAGTTCCTATAACAGGAACAAAAATGGAAAGCACTTTTTAAAATGCAGTAATTAGACCAATTATCCCTTTTAATAATATTTTAAAAGGTTTTCAGATTCTATATCACAAGACAATAATACTCAGGTTTTTAAAAAATCCAACCATAGCCTTCTACAAAAGACACACTGAGGCTGGGCGTGGTGGCTCACGCCTGTAATCCCAGCACTGTGGAAGGACAGGCAGGACAGACTGCCTGAGGTCGGGAGTTCCAGACCAGCCTAACCAACAGAGAGAAACCCTGTGTCTACTAAAAAAAATTAGCCAGGTGTGGTGGCGGATGCCTGTAATGCCAGCTACTCAGGAGACTGAGACAGGAGAATCACTTGAACCCAGGAGGCAGAAGTGAGCCAAGATGGCGCCATTGTACTCCAGCCTGGGCAAGAAGAGTGAAACTTGGTTTCCAAAAAAAAAAAAAAGGCAATGTCAAGATACATACACAGAAAAAAAAAACACACACACTGAAAAATGACACAGAAAAGGCTGGGTGTGGTGGTTCACACCTGTAATCCCAACACTTTGGGACGCTGAGGCAGGCGGATCACGACGTCAGGAGTTCAAGACCAGACTGGCCAACGTGGTGAAACCCCGTCTCTACTAAAAAAAAAAAAAAAAAAAAATACAAAAATTAGCTGGGCATGGTGGCTCATGCCTGTAATCCCAGCTGAGGTAGGAGAACTACTTGAACCAGCACCTGGGAGGCAGAGGTTGCAGTGAGCTGAGATCACGCCACTGCACCCCAATCTGGGCTACAGAGCAGGACTCCATCTCAAAAAAAAAAAAAAAAAAAAGACTCAGAAAAGTTTTAGGGTAAGACATAGTAGATAATATAAAACTAGAATTTGTAACAAATACCTTAAATAGGGAAAAAGAAATCATTTTCCTGATGAAGGGATAATTCATAACAGAGATACACATTTGAGACTGTCTAAACAGAGCACAGAAACATGAATAAAGAAAAAAGATTTTAAAAAAATTATTGGCTGGGCACAATAGCTCAGGCCTGTAGTCCCAGGAGTTTGGGAGGCTGCTGGGATTACAGTTTGGGAGGCTGAGGCAGGCAGATCACCTGAGGTCAGGAGTTCAGGAACAGCCTAGCAATTATGGTGAAACCTCACCTCTAATAAAAATATAAAAAATTGACAAGGTGCAGTGGCTCACGCCTATAATCCCAGCATTTTGGGAAGCCAAGGTGGGCGGATCACCTGAGGTCAGGAGTTTGAGACCAGACTGGCCAACATGGTAAAACCTTGTCTCAACTAAAGATACAAAACTTAGCTGGATGTGGTGGTATGTGCCTGTAATCCCAGCTACTAGGGAGGCTGAGGCACAAGAATCACTTGAAACTGGGAGGCAGGGGTTGCAATGAGCCAAGATCATGCCACTGCACTCCAGCCTGAGCGACAGAGAGACTATCTCAAAAAAAAAAAAAAAGGTCCATGCCCGCCTGGCACAGACCTGGCACTATAGCTACTTGGGAGGCTGAGGCAGGAAAATGGCCTGAACCTGAGAGACAGAGGAGCCAAGATCATGCCACTGCACTCCAGCCTGGGCCACAGAGAGACTATCTCAAAAAAAAAAAAAAAAAAAGGTCCATGCCCTCCTGGCACAGACTTGGGACTACAGCTACTTGGGAGGCTGAGGCAGGAGAATGGCCTGAACCTGGGAGACAGAGGAGCCAAGATCATGCCACTGCACTCCAGCCTGGATGACAGGGTAAGAATCCATCTCAAGGAAAAAAAAATACCTAGAACAACTAGACAAAATCACTAAGGACACAAAAGACTTGAATAACACTATAAACCAATTAAACCTAACAGACATTCATAGGAAACGCCAACAACAGAATACACACAATTCTCAAATGCAACATTCTCCAGGATAAGCCATATGTGAGGCCATAAAACATCTCAATAAATAAAATCATGCACAGTTGTTCTATGAACACAATGGAATGAAACTGGATCCAACAGAAGGAAATTTGAGAAATTCACTAATATGTGAAAATTAATCAATATACTCCTAAATATCCAAAGGGTCAAAGAAGAAATCACACACACAAAAAAGGAAAGTACTTGAGACACATGAAAATTAATTAATGAGATGTTTAAATTAATAGTTATAAGTGGCAATTATGTCAGAAGAAAAACCTTAAGTCAATAACCTAATCTCCCACCTAAGAAACCAAAAAAAAAAAAAAAAAGAAAAAAGAAAACAAAACAAACTAGAGAGATGTAATAAAGACAGAGTAAAAATAAGTGAAATGGAAAATAGAAAAATAAAGAAAACTAATGAAACCAAAATTTGGCTCTTTGAATGAATCAGCAAAATTAAAACCAAGGAGAAGTTATAAATACAATAGCCAGAAAAGTCCTTCATAAAATTGAGAGTGGTAAAATATAGGTGCCAAATCATATAATAAATTAGTAAATATATCACATTCCACAAACTTTTGTATAGTGCCTGATGAGTACTGATCACAGACCCAGAGCATCTGATTCTCATAACTCTATGAGGTAAGTTCTATTATTATTTTCATTTTATTGATAAGGAAGCTAAGAACAGAGTAGTTAAATAGCTTGTCCATTGCTAATATGTGGCAGAACCAGAATCTGAACTCGGGCTCCAGACTTCAAACACTCATGGTACCAAATATTATGTCATCAAAAATAACTTTTCAGAAACGTTTTGAGTATTTAAAATATGAAAAGGAATAAAATCTTTCAAGGAAAGGAGGAGGAAGAAATCTACTAGTTAAAAAAATATGTATCATAAAATTAGGAAATAGAAAAGGGAGACGATCTCAGACATGTAAGAGTAGTGTAAAATATGCTTTAAAAATATAATTCCTTAAAAGTTTCTTCTAGGAAATTAATAGGTTTATAAAATTTGTTCACCCATATGTTCATTTATTCAACAGATATTTATTAATGCTTTTCATGTATTTAGCACTGTCCTATGTACTGACATTAAATCAAGAAAATGGAAGAAATACACGACTAATCAAGAAGGAAGGAAAAAGCTGCCAGAGAATGAACTCAGGAGTTCTGGTCCATCTGGCATCATAGACTCTACAACTTTTCAAGAAACAGATCATTGCAATGCAATATCCCATACTTATTTCAGAACAGAAAATACAGAAACCATCCCAATTCATTTTATTATAATACAACCCTGTGATGACAAATAGTACAAACACAATAATACAAACAATACAATAAGAAATATACTGTGGATCTCTTAAGAAACACAAAAGTTACATATCAGCATTAAATATTATTCAGCAGTACACAGGTACTGAGCAATTAACCTACAAGCAAGCTTGGTCTGCTCTAGATATATAATAGTAATAAATATATTCATATAGTTTGGTACCAAATTGTATATAAGACTAAGTTGCCTATTACTACTATTGCTTAATGTTCTAAAGGTACAGCCAATGAACTAATTTATAAAGGGAGTGGAGGGAAAGAGTAGTATAACTTTCTGGAAGGAAACAATTACAGGTTGAGTATTCCTTATGTGAAATGTTTAGGATCAAAAGTGTTTCAGGTTTCAGATTTTTTCAGAATTTGGAATATTTGCTTTGGATACTGCCAGCATGCCAAAACCGAAAATCCAAATTCAAATGCTCCAATGAGCACTTGGAGCATCATGTTGGCACTCAGAAAGCTTTGGATCTGGGGGATGCTCAACCTGTATCATGATTTCCGGAATGTATAATTATAAATCTGGAATTAGTGTGAGTATCTTTTTACATTATTTTCTTCTTTTACTTTTTTCCGACTTCATTTTTCTCAGAATTAGTGTGAATATCAACCGAAAAGCAAAGAGTACGGGAGTCAGAATCAAATGTAACAAATAGCTGTCATCTGTATGAAGAAAACTAGAATATAATTCCTCAGTGAGACAGCTCACTATTACAAAGACCTTCCTTTGTTAGCAGAGCAGCTGTTTGTCCCAGTATCCATTCTTTTCTCACATGACTCACATCCTCAGGAAAGGATATCAGTCAGTTTTAGCCAATCATGATAATCCACTTTTCTTGCCAAGGACTGGGTTAGAAATGGCATGTGACCCAATTCTAGCCAATGAGAAGTAAGGATAAATCTACTTGGAGACTTCTAGGAAAGATTACCTTGATCCTATGAGAAACATCAAAGAAGTCTCCTTTTTCTCTGGACACTGTCTTTTCTGGATGAGATTCCTGGGAATTGCTATAGTCACGTTTCAACCACCAGGGGAGCATAGGAAAAAAGCCAACACATTGAGAATGAGTGAGGAAAGATGGAAAGAGCCTGTTCCTTCATGATTTCAATGAATCACATGATCAACTAACTCAACAGCCTGCTCCCTATCGCTGACTGCCAGTTACTTGACGTAAGTGTCCTTACTGTTAAACCTCATTTAGCTGAAATTTCTGCTCTTTACAGTCAAAGGTATGCTAAATTTAACTCAGATGGCAATCTCCCCAAACTAATTTGTAAATATAATGCAAATCCAATAATTCAGTCTCAAGGCACTTTGGGAAGTTGACAATTCTAAAATTCAGGTGAAAAGTGAAAAGTAGGAAGGAATTTTGCAAAGGAAGCATGTGTCAGCTGTCCTATCGTATTAACTCAAATATTTAATTCAAACAATGTATACTGTTATAACAGTCCTCAAATACATTAGAATGGAAAACCCCAAAAGAAACCCAAGTATATACTACTTAGTACATAAAGATTGATTACTGTCTGTAAAAAAAGTTACCAGCTTCACACCAAAATAAATTCCAGATATACTAAAAAGTTAAACTGTTTAGAAATAAAGAGGAAAAAATATAAGATTGTAAGGAAAGATGAGTGAGAATTCATATGATTTCAAAGCGTGAAAAATACCTCTCTAAGCATTAAGCTCCAGAAGGGCAGAGACCTTTTGCCTTCCTTGCTGCTATTCAAATTCTAGAATACCTGGCACAGAACAGCTACTTAGTATTTATTAAAAATTAATAAAAGCAAAGGAAATTAGAAATGAATTCTGATCTAATTCTAAAAAGATTACTCAGACAAGTCATAAAAATGCCCTAAAATACGTATTATGATTCATTTATGTAATTTTTTTTTTTTTTTGAGACAGGGTCTCTCTCTGTTGCCTATGCTGAAGTGCACTGACACTATGACAGCTCACTGCAGCCTCAACCTCTTGGGCTCGAATTATCCTCCTGCCTCAGTCTCCTAAGTATCTGAGACCACAGGCATGTGTCACTGTGTCCAACTCATGTTTTTATTTTTTGAAGAGCCAGGATCTCACCATGTTGTCCAGTCTGATCTCAAACTCTTGGGCTCAAGTGATCCTCCCACCTTGGCCTCCCAAAGTGTTGGGATTACAGGTATGAGTCACTGCACTCAGCCTACTTAAATTTTTAAAAGCAATATGCAAAAACTAAATGACATCTTCTTAAGGGACACAGAGTAAAACTAAAGAAAAGCAAATGAATGATAGTGACAAGATTAAGGAGAGCAGTATCTCAGGCAGAAAGAGCTCCAAAGGTACTTGTAATGCTGGGCCACTTGTCTATTTTCACAATCCCCTTTTTTTTCCCCCAAGACAGGGTCTTGCTCTGTCATCCAGGCTAGAGTGCAGAGGTGCAATCTCAGCTCACTGCAACCTTCATCTCCCAGGCTCAAAGGATTCTCACCTCAACCTCCCAAGTGGCTGGGACTACAGGGATGCACAACCACGCTCAGCTAATTTTTGTACATATGGGGTTTTGCCATATTGCCAGGGCTGGTCTTGAACACCTGACCTCAAGTGATCCGCCCACCTCCGCCTTCCAAAGTGCTGGGATTACAGGTGTGACCCACTGTGCCTGGCCGATTTTCATAATTTTTTATACAAATGTTAATTTTATATTCCCTATTGATTAGGTAAAAAAAAACCCACTCTATAAATACAAATCAGGAGGAAAACTCAAGAGACAAAGGATTATTATTTTTACAATAAAGCTCCAATAAAAGAAAAAACCTCTCAGCACCCTAAGACACGGTAAGAAAAGAAAAAGATACACTTCACCGCTTATCAAAGAAATGCTAGATAATGCACCAAGGCCATATCATCAAGCTAACAAAGATTATAAAAATTAATGAGTTTTGGGGAGGAGGACATAGCCTTACCACAATAATACAAACCACTAACAAACACTTTTTGAGCAGCTACAATGTATTATTCTAAGTGCTTTTTATGTATTAACTCATTCAACCTTCCTAAAGGTCCCATGAGTACTACTCTTCTTCAGTACACACTGAAGAAAAAGCACACAGGGATTAAGTAATTTCATCAAAGTCACAAAGTAAATAAATAACAGAACCAGGAAATATAAGGTAACACAGCCCTTTCAAAGGCAAGTTGGCAACAGTCATCAACAACCTTAAAATGTGCTGCTACTCTTGACTTCGAAATCTCATTGCTAAGAATCCACTTTAAAGAAACAGATTTGGACACTATCTTGATGCCCAATGACAGATTTACTATTCTGAACTGAACACATATGTTTCTCTCCACTCTTTCCCCAAATACCACTAAAATGAAAGTTATAGGAGGAAAAAGATGTAACACGGCCAGGAGCAGTGGCTCATGCCTGTAATTCCAACAATTTGGGAGGCTGAGGCAGGTGGATCACCTGAGGTCGAGTTTGAGACCAGCCTGGCCAACACTGTGAAACCCTGTCTTTACTAAAAATACAAAATTAGCTGGGCATGGTGGCTCACGCCTGTAGTCCCAGCTACTTGGAAGGCAGAGCTTAGAGTGAGCCAAGATCACGCCACTGCACTCCAGCCTGGGTGAAAGAGTGAGACACCTGTTTCAAAAACAACAACAAAAAAAGGTGAAGACTGAATGACTATGGCCACCCATGCCAATGAAAAGTGAGCCAACATGAACTCTAGAATACTGGAAAAGCTTATAAATTGAAGAAAGCAAGTAATATGGTTAAGTGAAGAATCTGACACATACATAATAGAACCACACAAAAAAACCTAGTTAACTGCAAAGGAAGCAAAATGTACACAAAAGGAAATGTAATTCTGTATCATGTTACTTGGCTCAGCAGCTAACAGTATTCATACACTCATAATGCAGACATAGCCAGAAACTGCACTAAATCTTCACTTTTCCATAAGTCAGCAGATTCTGAAAATAATGGATTAGGAAATAACAATTTTATGTTATTGAGAAATGTAAAGGTAAATACCAGAAGAAATTGGTTAAGAGTAGAAAACAGATGGGGTGGGGTGAGGTAGCAAGAAAATGCTATCTTAAATTAAGCTTTGTACTATTAATATCATTTGACTTTTTATACTAACAGGTAACAACGGAAATCAATTTTAAAAAGAAAAATGTAAATTTGTTGTAAAAAATTATAGAATACTCAGAGAAACACAAATATAAATTCCCTATAAATCAACCAAAGAGAATCACTGCCTATATTTTGATATTTATCATTCAGCCTTTGTTTCATGCCTATCTTTAGTCTACATATTAACTATACTGTTTTGCAACCAAAGTTTTCATTTAATATTTTATGAGCATTTCCTCAGTAAGTACATATATTTACATGGGGAACAAGATAATTACGCTAGAGCAAGTTTTTATGTGATCTTAAGTAATGTTCTCTTAGGATAGAGTTAGATGTGTCAATAAAAAGCACATAAATTTGATAATAGATTTGCTTTGTACAAAACTGAATAGGTAGGAATTTCTTTCTTTTCCCAAAAAAAATAAGATGAAGAATCATGTAACACATTTTCTATACTGCACAACTAGTAAAATGTAAAAATAATGTTTATAATACAAATTAGCTTGCTCTATCCAACAAGAATTCCTTTGTCTAGAAAAAAAAGAAGCGTTTTCACAATGTTACTAAATTTTTAAAACTCAGGTTACAAATATACAGTATCATCCCAAATTTATTATTTCTTAAAATGTAACCCAAAAAGACATACTAAAAAATTAACAGTAGCTCCTTCTTAGCAGTATGATTATAGATGATCTTTACTTCTTAGTGCTTTTCTAAATTTTCTTCAGTGTTTACTGATACTACTTTTTGAGTCAGAAAATATGGCTTTACATTCCTGAAGAAACTGCAGTCAACACTACGAATGAAAGATAGCAAGGGTGTGAATAGTTCAAAAGTGACTTGCTTGACAGCTAGACTTGTTTTTACACCTCTTGTGGATTTCCTCAAAGCACTTCCACACTGTACTGAAACTGGATTTACTTGTTGGTCTTTCTTGGGTCTTTTGTTCTTTCATTCAGTAATTATTGAGCCTCTAATATGTGCCAGGCCCTGTTCTAGGCACCAACGATTTAGCAGTGAGCATAACGGATGAAGTCTCTATTCTTCTTTGATAAGGAAGATAAAGACTAAAAATTTTTTAACAAAAACATATTTTTAGTGGAGAAACAAACACAAGCACACAACACACACACCTCTACTTTTAAATGTGATGAAGAAAAGTAAAGGAAAGAGGAGTAGATCAATAGTAAGGTTGGAAGAGATGACTGTTTTAGTGAGAGGGGAGGACTCCAAGGAAGTGATATTTGAGCAGCAACCTGAGTGAAGCATGGGAGAAGGCAGAATAATCTAGGTAGAGGGAATATCAAACAAAAGGGCCTTAAAGCAGCACTGAGCTTGGAATGTAAGACCAGTGTGGACAGACTGGAACCAGCAAGGGGAGAGCAGCAGATGGCATGAAAAAGGTGGGTGGGCCCAGGTCATAAGAGCCTTACAGGTCCACGCAGGGACTCTTAAGTTTTTTCTAAAGGTGATCAGAGGTACTGAGGTCTTGAAACAGTGATGGCCTGGACCAACACAGTAGGGTAAGGGGATGAGACATAGTCAGATATGGATATGTTTTGATGGCTGATCCAATACAACTTGCTAATGGATTAGATAGGAAGAATGAAGAAGAAATCATAGACAATTCTCAGATTCTTGGTCAAAGCAACTAAATGAGTGAGTGCTGTGCCATTTATAAAACTGGGAGTGACTAGTGGAGAAAAGTTGTGAGTGGCAAAACTGAGGAGACCCATTTTGGACATGTTAAGCATGAGATGACCATTAGACATCAAGTCAAGATGTCACGTAAACAATCATAATCCTAAGTCTGCCATTTGGGGGCAAGTTGGGGCTGAAGGTTTAAATCTAATATTTAAAGGTATGGAATTAAAGGATATCTGCTAGGTGTGGGGGCAGAAAGAAAAGAAAATAGGTCTGAAGACAGCCCCACAGCCTGCCAACACTCACCTCACTGGAGACCAGTGAAGCATCCCAGAAGCCAAGTGAAAGTATTTTCAGTAAAAGACAGTGATCTGCTAAGTTAAAGCTGCTGATGAGTAAGTTAACTAACCACGGGATTTGATGACTCGGATAAAGGCAGCTTCAGTGGAGTGGTGAAGACAAAAAATTGGCATACAGTGACCCCTCCTAATGCAGTTTCACTTTCTGGGGTTTCTGTTATCTGCAGCTAATCATGGTCCAAAAAATATTAAATGAAAAATTTCCAGAAATAAATAATTCATACGTTTCTAAATTGCATGCCGTTCTGGGTAGCATGATGAAATCTTGGACTGCCCCACTCCATCCAGACATGTAATTATCTCTTTGTCCAGCATACCCATGCTTCATACAGCACCTGGCCTCAGTCACTTAGCCACAGTCTCAGTTATCAGATCAACCCACCGTGTCACAGTACTTGTGCTCAAGCGATCCATATTTTACATGATGGCCCCAAAGTGCAATAGTGACACTGGTAATTTGAATATGACAAAGAGAAGTCAGAAAGTGCTTCCTTTTAATAAAAAGATGAAAGTTCTCGACTTAGTAAGAAAAAAAAATTGTATGCTGAAGTTGCTAAGATCTACAAAAGAATGAATCTTCTGTCTGTGACACTGTTAACACTATACTGTTATAACTGTTCTAAGTTATTGTTATTAATTTCTTACTGTGCCTAATATAAATTAAATTTTATCATAGGTACGTATGTATTGAAAAAACAGTATTAGAATTTGTTTCAGGCCATCTACTGGGGGAACTACTGTATGTTCAGAAGAGAGAAGACAATTAGGTCCAGTAGAGTTGACTGCTGTATCCCTACCATCTCAATAGGTCTTGGCATAGAGTAGGTATTGAATAAATGTCAAATATGAAAATTCTCAATACTTCAACCCCAATTAAGAAACCCAAAATGGAGAGCTACAGAGCTTCCTGCTCATCGTTCTATTCCTAGCCTCCATAATGAGTGATGATGAATTGTAAAAACATGAGCTTTTTTCTCTTTTCTTAACTTGCTGTTTATCTAGGGCAAAAACATAATAAGCATTTTGACTGGTAGCCGAACTAAAAGATGAAAGACCTCCTTCTGCTCCCTGATTTTCCATAAGTTGTATGTAACTAAAAGTTAACAGATAAATTATGAACGTGTCACCAACAGGGTTAAAAAAAAAAAACCCACCAAAACAGCAGTCAAATATTTTAAACAAAACATCTTATTCCAAAACTTCTGCTGATACCTTAAAGATAGCCACTTATTTTACAAAATAGTTAACTTTCCCTCTTCCCAATTTAGATCTCTTTCCATTTCTCAAAGTGTAAAATAAAGCCTTTTGTGGAAAAAAGGCAATGCCCAGATAACAGGTTTCCTACCTGATATAATGTCTTCTGCTAATTCCTTTTCTCTTTCAATTTTTTCCTCTAGAGTTGAAATGCAGAATTCATAGCCAGCAAGAGCAAATTCCTGTCTGTAAAGCAAAATCAATAATCAGTCATTTACCTTTTCTTCTTCTTCTTTTTTTTCTTTCTTTAAAGCATAATCATTTATCTTTTCTTTTTTTTTTTCTTTGAAACGAAGTTTCACTCTTCGGCCAGGCTGGAGTGCAATGCTGCAACCTCCACCTCCTGGGTTCAAGCGATTCTCCTGCCTCATCCTACCAAGTAGCTGGAATTACACACACCTGCCACCACACCCAGCTAATTTTTGTATTTTTAGTAGAGACAGGGTTTCACCAGGTTGGCCAGGCTGGTCTTGAACTCTGGGCCTTAGGTGATCTGCCTACCTTGGCCTCTCAAAGTGCTGGGATTACAGGCATCAGCCACTTTGCCTGGTCCATTTACCTTTTCATAAATTCCTTTTTTATTCATTCTTCCAGCTCAATTTAAACATTATCAGTAAAGGAAGTGTAAAATAGGAAGAAGGAACTTTGCTTAAAGTCTAAAGAGTGTCAAATTTGCCATTTCTCAGAAGTATTTTTTTAAGTCATCCATTTAATATAATTTAAGACATAAAGAGCTAGGAATGCTACCATAATTTTAATAACTGACATAGCCAGTAGTCTTCATCATCTCCCACGAACAAATGGTATCCAGTGAATCAGTTTCTCCATGTGTGAAAGCCTTACCCCGTTCAAGTAATACTACCCTGAAGTAGGTGGCTCAGGCCACACTGCAGTTGAGGATTCCAACTGTTGACCTTATATAGCTTCTGAGGAGTTTAGTCATTTTATATTTCTTTCAAGCTGTAGGTCTTTGATCAAAGTTTCTTTTACAGGACCACATGCAGTGGTTCAAGCCTGTAATCCCCACACTTTGGGAGTCCAAGGCCGGTGGATCACCTGAGGTCAGGAGTTTCGAGATCAGCCTGGCTAATATGGCGAAACTCTGTCTCTACTAAAAATACAAAAATTAGCCAGGCATTGTGGCAGGTGCCTGTAATCCCAGCTACTCAGGAGGCTGAGACAGGAGAATCATTTGAGCCCAGGAGGCAGAGGTTACAGTCAGCTGAGATCATGCCATTGCACTCCAGCGTGGGTGATGAAAGTGAAACTCCATCCCCTCCAAAAAAAAATTTCTTTTACAGAAATGGAACTCCTAGCTATGACAACAGAAGTCATTTAACGCAACTCTGCAGCCCCCGACCCTCAATCATCTGGAGAGGGTTCAGTCAACCCAAGCAGGCAGACAGACTGCTACTTTTCAGAGATGCAGAGGAAATGTGACAGAAATCCCTTCTCCATTTAGGAGCTCAGCTTTGGTTCTTGTTCTTCAGTTTTGTTAGTTTCTTACAGAAGTGGCACTAAAAAGCTCATCTTCTCTAGGGCTTTGCCAGTGGAGAATTTATGACCCTACTATTCTGCTCTGTTCTCAGAAGAACAGAAGCAACCCCTTCCTTCAAACCTTGGCAAGAGGGCCCTCTGTAGCCATAATACAGGGCAAGTGGATGCTGCCCACAAGAGGCTCCCAGTCAGAGCCAAGAGATCTACAAACAATTCCCCTCCTAACTTATATCAGCCTTTCTAAGCCCCAGATCTGGCCATGTCTTTTCTGGTCTCATGTTTCTCTTAATAAAACAAAATGAAAAGTACAAAGTACCAAGTAACTTAGAGGCTAATTATTACTAGCTTTCACCTCTACAAGACTATAAGTTTGTCTCACTCAACAATGTTTATTAGCTCTGGGCTTCTTCTTACCCTAGGAGTTCATTCCCAATCAAGAACTAGGCATGTTTGTTACAACTCCAAGGAAGACTGATCAAGACGCAGGGTTCCCTGGCATGGGCCAAGCTCAAAGCTCCTCAAAAAGACTTGGGGTCAAAGGCTTCAGGAAGCTCTAGCCTCTCTAGTGTCCAATCAGAATGCAAGCAGACTATGCAGGTCCTGATGAAAACAAAGGAGCTGAAGAGTAGGACAGCAGGGACCAATGCCAGGGCCTGGCCTCGGTGAGTACCCTTCCTACAGCATCAGGCTCCATGTCACTCCAAACCGCTCACACCAACTTCTGCATCACTAAAACCCTAAGGGAAGCTAATCTTAGGTCTCTCCCTAAATTCACCCGAAAATACAACACTCTAGAGAAGTTCTCTGCTTACATCCTATATGCTTCATCTTTGCACTCTATTTATACCAGCCAAGTGGCTTCTTCAAAGTATTAATATATCATCCCCAGCAGCTTTCACATTGCTCTTTCCTCTTCTAGGAAAAGCTAAACTAACGTTCTAACTCTAACTTCCCTTCCCACTTCAAGCAGCAACAGAACACTTGATTAGCTTTGTCACAGGACAGAGATGTTGTATGCCCCACTAGGCAGGCTAACGGAAACAGCAGGGGCAAACTGGAAAAGACTGACAATTTTAAAGATGAGGGATAGAACACTTTCTGAGTGTGACACCCAATTTCTGGGAGACCCAGATGACCAGAAGGCAATGAATATTATGTTATATCCCAGAGACAGTTTTCTGCCCACAGTCCTACTCCCTGGCTGTTATACTTACCTATTCTGCGCAGCATAGATACTGGCCAACTTTAGGGAGATTTCAATTATTGCATTGTCCTCCTGTGAGAGAAAGAGAAATGAAGGGAATTCATAACAAGTAAAATTTTCTCATGCAATATTTCAGATCAACTTCCAGACTGACGGTGGCCTCAAAGCCATAGTCTTTATTCTTTTAGAGTGATTAGCCAACTGTCAATTCCTTGGTGACCATACTGTTGCATTTAGTGAAAGAATGGCAATTTCTATACAGATCTTGGGAGGGAATCTCCACCTTTCCTGACCAAAGCGTATGGTGGGGGCTGGGCAGAGTTTTCAGGAAACAAGAATGTTTTGAAAACTGCTTCAGTGAGGGGCCAATACTAAGCAATGTCCTTACCTGCTTCATTCCCCCTCCAAGGAGGTAACTCATAGTTGCTTTAAAAAGTTGTTCAGCCTAAAAGCATAAGGAAAAGATTTTTCTTTTAATTGGGCCTCACTATATAGAAGACTCTGGATTCTCAGTACCAGTCTGATGCCTCATTCCTTGTAACACACATATACTCACAGACACACTCACACACACACAGGAAAATACCCTTTTGAAAGGAAAGCAGATCAAAATATCAGGACCCCCAACATCCTCTATATATGTTAAACTACTCTGTGATAAGTAGAAAACAACCTTGGAGATTAACTTCTTATCCAAACCCACTGTGGCACAGACTACAAATAGTCTCCTAATAGTCACTGTTTCCTAATAGTCACTCTCCTTCTCCAGCTTTTTGATTACAGAATCCCCTCAATTTAGCCTGGGAAACATGGTGAAACCCTGCCTCTACAAAAAAAAAGAAAATTAGCCAGGTGTTGTGGCACACGCCTGGAGTCCCAGCAACTCAGGAGGCTGAGGTGGGAGGATCAACCGAGCCTCGGAGGTCGAGGTTGCAGTCAGCTATGATCAAGCCTGGGCAAAAGAGCAACACCTTATCTTGAAAAAAAAAAAAAATACAGTCAATTTTAGCAGATTGGCCCCCTGAAATTAGATATGGTCATATGATAAGATTTAGGCCAATTTAGGTCATATGATAAGATTTAGGGATGCAGACAGAAACAATGTGAACTTCTAAATCATATAAGGAAGCTGCTCACAGTCCATCGTCTCCCTTCCTGGAGGTCTGAGGTGAGTCAGCTCACCCAGGCAGATGAGGGCTTATCTTAGAAGGAATCTGGACTTCTGGATCAGAGAGCAATGGTGCCTGTTCATCTATCTGCCTTCAGTCTTTAGCCTATCTCTGGACTAACACAACAAAGAGAAATACACCTTTATCTTGTTCAAGCCACTATGTTGGGGTCTCTTTGTTATAGCAGCTTAGGCTGTACCCTTACTATTACGGTTCCCTTGAGGCTACTCCTTTACAAATTCAAGGTATTACAAAGTAATTTACTTACATTTTCAAGCTGACCCCGTATAAATGCTAAGTTGGCCATCTGAAAGCAAATTACAAATTGTTTTTAAGTTTAGAGCACGGTTCCTATTTATTTCAACCTTTAAAATTCCCTTTTGCTTTCACCCTCAAAATTGAAAAAATATTTTAAAATGAAAAGCATATCACCAATTAATCTGCTAGAGCACAGAACTGCAATCGTGTTTGAAGTAAATACTTGCACATACTTTGTTGATAACGAACCAAATCTAGGTCCACTCATCATTAAAGAAACATGCTAACAACTGGACACGGTGGCTCACGCCTGTAATCCCAGCACTCTGGGGGGCCGAGGCAGGCTAATACAAAAATTAGTAGGATGTGGTGGCACATGCCTGTAATCCCAGCTACTTGGGAGGCTGAGGCAGAGAATCACTTTAACTCGGGAGGCGGAGGTTATGGTGAGCCAAGATCGCACTGTAGTACTCCAGACTGGGCAACAACAGTAAAAGTCTGTCTCAAAAAGAAAAAGAAACATGCTAATGATACTGGTTTCTTTTTGGTCTGGAACTGAGAGGTCTTATGTCACCCCAAGGGCAAAAAAACTGAAGCCAGGCATGGTGGCTCACACCCATAATTCCAGCACTTTGGGAGACCAAGGCGGGTAGATCACCTGATGTCTGGAGTTGGGAGACCAGCCTGGCCAATATGATGAAACCTTGTCTCTACTACAATACAAAAATTAGCCAGGCATAGTGGTGCACGTCTGTAATCCCAGCTACTCATGAGGCTGAGGCACATGAATTGTTTGAGCTCACAAGGCGGAGTTTGCTGTGAGTCAAGATCGTGCCACTGAAATGCAGCCTGGGTAACAGAGTAAGACTCCATCTCAAAAACAAAAACAAAAGAAAATTCAGTAAAAAAGTAAAAGAGCTTCGGCTGGGTGCAATGGCTCAAGCCTGTAATCCCAGCACTTTGGGAGGCCGAGGTGGGCAGATCACGAGGTCAAGAGATCGAGACCATCTGGCCAACATGGTGAAACCCCATCTCTACTAAAAATACAAAAAAATTTAGCTGGGTGTGGTGGCATGGGCCTGTAGTCCCAGCTACCCAGGAGGCTGAGGCAGGAGAATTGCTTGGAAGTGGGAGGCGGAGGTTGCAGTGAGCCGAGATCGCGCCATTGCACTCCAGCCTGGTGCCTGGCGACAGAGCAAGACTGTCTCGGGTGGGTGGGGGGGGGAACGTGCCTTAGAACATCATGAAAGTCAGGAATATAAATCAGGAGAACTAACAACCCTCCTCTTCCATCCAACTTTTCTCCTCAGTGGTTCAGACTGGTGATAAGAGTTACCAGATCATAAGTGTAAGTGATAGCCTTCTTGTTATCAGTCTGATAGGCGAGACGAAGAGCGTCATGCAAAATTAACTCAGCCTCTTCTGGCTCATCTTTCATGATGCTCAACTGAAAAGAGAAGACAAACAAAATAACAGAAAATGAAACATAAAGTAGATGCATATGCTACCAGACAAAAGTGTATGTAACTATGCATTCCAACTGATAGAAGGAAGCTACTCATTCATCAGACATTTACTGCATTCCTACTATGTACAAGGCATTGTCTACAGAGGTGACAGGGAGGTAAGCCTCCCTTGCAGCTAGGTGTGGCCATCTGACGAAGTTTTGGCCAAGAGACTCGGGCAGAAGAAATGTGATCTTACAACAAATTTTATAAGGAAGTTGCTTGTCCTTCATCCTCTAATTTCCTACAGGCTGGAGGTGACCACATAGAGCAAGTAAGGTTAATTAAAACTAATAAGAGCTATAAAGATGACAGAAAGAAATGATAGGGGCCTCCTCTAAATGGGAATTAGATTAGCCTTCCAAGAACATGACAGCTAAACTGAGGTAGGAAAGATGAGAATGAGTCAACCAAATAAGGAACTGGGGAGAATAACTCAAACAGAGAGGGTAGAGAATGAATGAAGTCCCTATAAGCTGAAGAGAATGGTTTTAGGGGAGAAATGGAAAGAACCAAATGCGAAGGGAGGATGGTGAGCCAGAGGATTATTGCCAAACTGGTGGGCAAGGTATGTGGTTTAGATAATGTGGGGTGTTGCAAGCCATGGCAAGGAGTTTGTATTTTATCATATATGCAGTGAGTAGCCATTTAGAGCTCTCAGGCAAGGAGATGATATGATACAATTTACTTTTTTTTTTTTTTGGTCACTCTGGTTTCTGCAAGAATACAATGCAGGGAGACAAGAGGGCAGGGAAGACTACTGGAGCATAGGTGGTGGCAGTGATGGTTTGCACTAAGGTGATAGCAGGGGAGATAGAGAAATAGGGAGATTTGAGAAATATTTAGAAATATTTTGCGTTTGTTGGAAACAGGACCTGTTGCTGGTCTGTAAGAGTACTGGAAGGCAATGGTAAGATAACATACGTTTTAAGAATGACTATGAGGTTTCTAGGCTGAAAAATTGATGGTAGTAAAGAGATGGTGAAAGCATATGTTGAGGAGGCATTAAAGATGGAGTTTAGTTTGGGACATTGTTAAATCTGAGGTAGGTAAGGTCCCAAAATGCAGATGACATGTCAGTAACACACTACTGGGAATACAAATTTGGACGTGGTTGGCATCGAGTAGATATTTAGCTCAATGAAAGAGATGAGATAACTTGGAGAAAATAAAATAGAAAAGCATGTGGAGAAAAGGAAAAATTCAAAAGAGAACTGAATCGCATAACCAACACTAAGCTGCCATTTTCAGGCCGCTATATGCGTGCGAAATTATGTCATTTCAGCTAGGCTGGTTAATCGATAAAAACATTTACAAAACGTTCCCGATATTTCGTTTGCATAAAAAGATGACGCCTGGGGCGCCATCTCCATTTGCACTTGACACTGCAGAGGTATTACTGCAGGCCTTAGAGTCGGAAAAGCCTGGAAGAATTCCAGTCCTCTCTCGGATGACCCAACTGATTCTCAGCAATTCTACCCGTGGAGCCTCCATCCACTCTTCGGCGAGGCGGAGAGAGTAATGCGCAGCGACAAGGCCGCCGGACCCCGCTCACAAAGGCTACCGCGCTCAGCCGGGCCAAGCCGCCTCACCTTGGCTCGCTTCAGCAGCTGAATGATCTCGGCCTCAGCCTCGTCCGCCCCGTCGGTTCCCTGCTGCTCCTCCTCTTCTGTCGCAGCGGGGCTCGAAAACCCGGTGAGCGCTGCGGGAAGGGGCTCTGAGGTCATCGGGCCCGGCCCGCGCCCCTGTCCCCGCCCGGCAGGCCCCGCCCGGCCCGCGCCCCTCACCTGCCAGCAGCGGCAGCAGGCCCGAGCCCCGGCCGTGCGGCGCAACTCGGGATAGCGGCACCTGGACCTCGAGTCCCGGGCCTCCTGCCAGACCCGGGAGTAGGCGCGCGGAGCAGCCCCGGCACCGCAGCGCCGCGGCCCGCAGGAGGCCTCGGCCCAAGCTCCGGCTCAGGAGCCGGTACATACTCCAGCCGCTTCCTCTGCGCACTGCAGGCCGAGCGTGATCCTAGCCCCCGCCCCCGCGCCGAGCGCCCTCCGGATTGGCCGAACCATAACGACTGAGCAAGACATCGTTGCGTCCGCACGCGCGATGACGCACGCCGACGTCACTCGGTCTCGCCGGCCCCGGTGGGCGAGCGGCCGGGATCCTCCGCATGTCGGCGCTGTCCGCTGGCGCTTTGTTGCGGTCTGCCTGTTGAGGACGGTGTGTCCTGCGGAGCGATGGCCGTTGTGTTGCCGGCGGTCGTGGAGGAGCTCTTGAGCGAAATGGCCGCGGCGGTGCAGGAGAGTGCGCGAAGTACGGGACGGAGGTTGTATGTGGCTGCGCCGTGGGCTCAGGCCGGGCATCCGGGCACCGCCGGGCCGGGAGGCAGAAGGCGGGGCGTCCGGGCCTGACCCTGCCTTTTCTGCGTGTGGTTCTGTAAACCTTATGTTCTTGAAAAAAAAAAAAAAGCGAAATTGGAACAAGTAAAGGACAAATCGATTCAGCAAATGTTTAGGGTACAGCGCAGTTACAGGAGCCCCTCCGTCGGAGCGAGCAGGCCAGTGGGGACTGAAGTATCAAAACCTGGCTGGGTCCTTGAGACGGGTCCCTGCCCTGGGCTGGAAGGGACAGGAGCCTACCGTGAGTGATAGAAACGTGGAGTTCTGTATTATTTTACTCGAAATTTTGAGTTACTAAATTTTCTTTTTTTTTGAGGCGGAGTTTCGCTCTTGTTACCCAGGCTGGAGTGCAATGGCGCGATCTCGGCCTCTGGGTTCAAGCAATTCTCCTGTCTCAGCCACCCGAGTAGTTGGGACTACAGGGACGCACCACCATGCCCAGCTAATTTTTGTATTTTTAGTAGAGACGGGGGTTTCACCATGTTGACCAAGATGGTCTCGAGCTCTTGACCTCGTGATCCACCCGCCTCGGCCTCCCAAAGTGCTGGGATTATAGGCCTGAGCCACTGCGCCCAGCCTAAACTTTTTCTCAAATTCTGATGTTAACATTAAAGTTAATGCTTTCATACACTTTGTTTAGAAAGTAGGCCCGGTGCGGTGGCTCACGCCTGTAATCCCAACAATTTGGGAGGCCGAGGCAGGTGGGTCACCTGAGGTCAGGAGTTCAACACCAGCCTGGCCAACATGGTGAAACCTCATCTGTACTAAAAATACAAAAAATTAGCTCGGCGTGGCGGCGGGCGCTTGTAATCTCAGCTACTCAAGAAACTGAGATCGAGACCATCCTGGCTAACACGGTGAAACCCCATGTCTACTAAACATACGATAAAATTAGCCCGGCATGGTGGTGCGCGCCTGTAATCCCAGCTTCTTGGGAGGCTGAGGCAAGAGAATCATTTGAACCCAGGAGGCAGAGGTTGCAGGGAGCTGAGATCACACCACTGCACTCCAACCTGGCGACAGAGTGAGATTCTGCCTTGCGGGGGAAAAAAAGAGTCTTATTTTCATATCCCTGCTTCATCCCCAATGAAGCTGTTTGGTGCCACCACCAGTTTCTTAGGGTTTGGGGAAGGGAAGAGGTGGATTTCGGAGTGTAACTCAGGCTGGTGCTTGACTTCCCCCATTGCTAGCCTAGGATTCAGTATTCTTAGGCCTTATAAATCATTTTTTACTCTATCAGCTTCCAATGTACCATAGCTGTTGTTTCTCTCTGTCTTTCTTATCCTTTGGAATTCATGCTTTTAAAAAAGAAATCCAGCCCAGAATGGTAGCTCACACCTGTAATCCCAGCACTTTGGGAGGCTGAGGTGAGCAGATCACATGAGGTCAGGAGTTCAAGACCAGCCCAGTCAGCATGGTAAAACCTCATCTCTACTAAAAATACAAAAACAATTAGCCAGGTTTGGTGGTACATGCCTGTAGTCCCAACTACCTGGGAGGCTGAGGCAGGAGAATGACTTGAACCCATGAGGCAGAAGTTAGAGTGAGCCGAGATTGCACCATTGCACTCCAGCCTGGGCAACAGAGCAAGACTGTCTCAAAAAAAAAAAGAAGAAGCCTTTTTATTATGGTTTTAATGGGGTTTGGGGAAGGACTAAAACTAGATGCATAGGTTCAGTCAGTTATCTATAACACATAGAAGTGTTTGTGGTTTTAGTATTTTTTAAGATTTTTACATCAGTGGTCACTGGCTTAACATAATTAACTTTTTCCATTCTCATTTTACAGTTCCTGATGAATATCTGTTATCGTAAGTACATATACTGTTGTGTTTGATATTTTTTTAACCATTAATGTTAAAATCCTTTCAACATCAACTCTTGATTTTTAAAAATATTCTTACTACCAGGCACAGTAACTCACACGTGTAATTCCAGCAAAGGCAGGAGGATCGCTGGAGCCCAGGAGTTCTACACCAGCCTGAGCAAAATAGGGAGACATCCCCCATCTCTACAAAAGAAATTTGAAAATAGAATAAAACGCCAGGCGCTGTGGCTTACACCTGTAATCCCAGCACTTTGAGAAGCCGAGGCAGGTGGATCATTTGAGGTCCAGAGTTCAAGACCAGCCTGACCAACATGGTGAAACCCTGTCTCTACTAAAATACAAAATTAGCGGGGCATAGTGACACACACCTGTAATCTTAGCTACTTGTGAGGCTGAGGCAGGAGAATTGCTTAAACCCGGGAGGTGGAGGTTGCATATCTTGCTGAGATATTGCCATTGCACTCCAGCCTTGGTAAGAGTGAAACTCCATCTCAAAAAAAAATTTAAAAAGTAGAAAATAGAATAAAAAATATTCTGGCCAGGCATGGTGGCTCACACCTGTAAACCCAGCACTTTGGGAGGCCAAGGTAGGCAGATCACGAGGTCAGGAGATCAAGAACATCCAGGCTAATATGGTGAAACCTCGACTCTACTAAAAATACAAAAAAATTAGCTGGGCATGGTGGCACCCACCTGAAGTCCCACCCTCCTGAAGTACTTGGGAGGCTGAGGCAGGAGAATTTTTGAACCCGGGAGGTGGAGGTTACGGTAAGCCAAGATCACACCCTTGCACTTCAGCCTGGGAAATGAGTGAAAAGCCGTCTCAAAAAAAAAATCTTACTAAATTAGGAACAATATTTTCTTGACATGATTCTTAAAAATTTGTCTGAATTGAATAACCAACACCACACCATGTCAGACAGTACAAAGCATTACAATATTGTCCTATTTGCCACTCTTATTTAACATTGTTTTAAAAATTGTAATTATTAAGCTAACACATGAAAAAGAAATGAGAAGTGTACCTATCTGCAAGGAAAGACAATTATCATTATTTGCAGATGACACAACTACTTAAATGAGGCCAGGTGTGGTGGCTTACACCTGTAATCCCAGCACTTTGGGAGGCTGAGGCGGGTGGATCACAAGGTCAGGAGTTCAAGACCAGCCTGGCCAAGATGGTGAAACCCCGTCTTTACTAAAAATACAAAAGTTAGCCAGGCATAGTGGCAGGCACCTATAATCCCAATTACCTGGGAGGCTGAGGCAGGGAATTGCTTGAACCCGGGAGTTGGAGGTTGCAGTGAACCAAGATCATCCGACTGCACTCCAGCTTGGGTGACAGAGTGAGGCTTTGTCTCAAAAAAAAAGAGAAAAGAAAATAGAGTGGTCAGTTATTTTAAGAATGCAGAGATAAAATGAAAGCTACCTAGAAATAAGTGACACTTAATTGCTGTTGTAACTTATATTTAAAAGTCCTGGCCAGGCTCAGTGGCTCACACCTGTAACCCCAGCACTTTGGGAGGCCGACATGGGTAGATACCTGAGGTCAGGAGTTTGAGACCAGCCTGACCAACATGGTGAAACCCCATCTCTACTAAAAATACAAAAATTAGCCGGGCATGGTGGTGGGCGCCTGTAATCCCAGCTACTCAGGGGGCTGAGGCAGGAATCACTTGAACCTGGGAGTGGAGGTTGCAGTAAGCCAAAATCACACCATTGTACACCAGCCTGGGTGACAGAGCAAGACTGTCTCCAAACAAAAAAGTCCTGGGAGGATTGCTTGAGCCAAGAAGTTCGAGGCTGCAGTGAGCTATGATTGTGCCACTACAATCCAGCCTGGATGATGTGAGACCTTGTCTCTAAAAAAATAAAAGTTCTGACGAATATATACCAAGCTCTACCAGTGTCTTTTCTTTGGGCAAGGAAGGAGGTTGAATTGAGGGAAGGGCCTTAACCTTTTCTGTATTTCTTAAATACAGAAATAAAATACTGTATTTCTGAAATAAAGAGGGACGGAGTTTCCCTCAGTTTTCCCAAGCTGGAGTGCAATGGCACAGTCTCAGCTCACTGCAACCTCTGCCTCCCGGGTTCAAGCAATTCGCCTGCCTCAACCTTCTAAGTAGCTGGGATTACAGGCGTGTACCACCACGCACAGCTATTTTTGTATTTTTAATAGAGACAGGGTTTCTCCATGTTGGTCAGGCTGGTCTTGAACTCCTGACCTCAAGTGATCTGCCTGCCTCAGCTTCCCAAAATCCTGGGATTACAGACGTGAGCCACTGCACCTGGCTGTGTATTTCTTAAATTTTTAATAAGAATTATATATTACTGGAAAAAATGTACTACTTTTTTAAAAAAAAAAAGGGCAAAGAATAAAAGATGCAAATAGCCAAATACTTTGGGAGGAAAAAGGTAAATCTTACTAGTGACCACAAAAATACAAATTAAAATAATGTAACTTTTCATCTAGAAAATTAGTGACCATAGAAAAGAAGTTGACACAAATATTGGGAAAGGGATCGTTTATACCCTGCTGGCAGGAATGTAAATTCAGGATAACAGACATATTCTTTGACCCAGAAATTCTATGTAGAAGAACATATACCCAGGAAGTAATTATGGACGTTCATAAAGATTTTACAGTGAGGATAGTCATCCAATATTGTTTATGGTAGCAATACAACCTAGAAACAATCTAATAATTTATGGAGTTTGAGGAGAATAAAAATGATTCATCTTTACAGTAGAGTTCTTTGTAACCATTAAAAGTGAAAAAAAGTGATATGGAAAATTTTTTTTCTGGAAAAATTTTTAATGCATTCAAGAGATATTCAGAATAGGTCATAAAGTGGGCAGAGCAGGTTAAAAATTTTCTTTGTTTTTTTTTTTTTGTCTCGCTCTGTTGCCCAGGCTGGAATACAGTGGTGTGATCTGGCTCACTGCAACCTCTGCCTCCCAGGATCCAGCAATTCTCCTATCTCAACCTCCTGAGTAGCTGGGACCACAGGAACTTGCCACCACACCTGGCTAATTTTTGTATTTTTTAGTAGAGACGGGGTTTTACCACATTGGCCAGGCTGGTCTTGATCTCCTGACCTCATGATCCACTCACCTTGGCCTCCCAAAGTGCTGGAATTACAGGTGTGAGCCACTCTACCTGGCCTTAAAAAAATTCTTAAAGGTAACTGCTATGATTGATTGGTAAGGTTCCCACCAAATTTTATTTTATTATTTTTTTGTATTTTGTTATTTTGTAAACTAAATTTTAATATGTTTAAGAATTCAAAGCACTCTTTTCTAATCCCCCCAATAGTGTGTTGTATATGTGGCTGGTTTGTTGGAAAATGAAATAAGAATTTGGACGTTTTAAGCCTAAAGCATTACTAGGTTTGTCTTACTTTGTGTCAAGTCATATAAGTTCTTTAAAACATTAACTTTTCCATTTGAGTTTAACTATGCCATTTTATTTTCCAGTTTATAAAAATAACCCACACTTAGACCAGGTGCAATGACTCACGTATGTAATTCCAGCACTTTGGGTAGCTGGGGTGGGCGGATCACGAGGTCCAGAGTTCAAGACTAGCCTGGCCGATATGGTGCAACCTCATCCCTACTAAAATTACAAAAATTAGCTGGGCATGGTGGCGCACACCTGTAGTCTCTACAAAAGTTTTTTTTTTTTTTACAAGTTTGGGGTTTTGTTTTGTTTTGAGACAGAGTCTCACTCTGTCGCCCAGGCTGGAGTACAGTGGTACAGTCTCTGCTCATTGCAACCTCTGCCTCTTGGGTTCAAGTGATTCTCCTGCCTCAGCCTCCCAAGTAGCTAAATCTTTTAAAAATTACCCAGGCATGGTGTTGCAGGCCTGTAATCCTTGCTACTCTGGAGGCTGAGGCAGAACAGCTTGAACCCAGGAGGCGAAGGTTGAAGTGAGCCAGGATCGTGTCAGTCCACTCCAGCATGGGCAACACAGTAAAAATCATGTCAAAAAAAAAAATAAACTTTTAATTTTGACATTTGACATTGTACTTTAGTCTACAAAATAAAAAACATTAGCTGGGTGTGGTGGCATGTACCTGTAGTCCCAGCTGCTAGGGAGGCTTAGGTGGGAGCATCACTTGAGCCTGGAGGTTTAGGCTGCAGTGACCCATGATTGCACCACTGCAAGCTAGCCTGCCTGGATGACAGAGAGAAACCTTGCCTCAAAAAAAAGGCCGGGTTCAGTGGCTCACACCTGTAATCCCAACACCTTGGGGGGTTGAGAAGGGGGATTACCTGAGGTCAGGAGTTCAAGACCAGCCTGGCCAACATGGTGAAACCCCATCTCCACTAAAAAATACAAAAATTACTCAGGCATGGTGTTGTGCACCTGTAATCCCAGCTACTCAGGAGGCTGAAGCAGGAGACGCTTGAACCCAGGAAGTAAAGGTTGCAGTGAGCTGAGATTGTGCCATTCCACCCCAGCCTGGGCAACAGAGTGAGATTCCATCTCAAAAAAAAAAAAAATTAAACTTTTAATTTTGACATAATTGTAGATTTCCTTTAAAAAAGTTAACATGCTTGAGACTAGCTAAAATATAATTTTGTCTCCTACCTTTCTCACCTAATATTGTAAGAATTTTTCGATATATCAGAATTTTTTCCTTTATATCGTTTAACAGTTGGATAACCTTAGTACTAATCCAAAAAGTATACATTTAATGTTTTCCGACGGGCAAACATAAAAAAGCTTGATAATACCGGTGTTAGTGGGGACATGGTGAAAATAGAAATCTCATTCAGTGTTGGTGGGGGTGCCATTTTCACTTTTTTGTGTGTTTTAATTTTTTTTTTCTTGACAGATGGGCTGTCACTGCATTGCTCAGAATGGTCTCGAACTCCTGAACTCAAGCACTCCTCCTGTTTCAGCCTTCCAAAATGCTGGGATTACATACATAAGCCACCATGCCTGGCCCAAAATACCTATTAAAGTTGAAAAATGAACATATCCTTTAGTTACATAAACTAAAGGAGGATTTTCAAGAGATGTATGCCAAGAGACACATATGGGGATAATTGAGTATTATTTATAATAGTATAAAATGGAAACAGAATGTCCATACATAGGGTACTCAGATAAAATTCAGTGTGTACATGTAATGGAATATTATTCAAAACTAAAGTAAAAATATATGTATGTCAACATGCTTCATTTTCAAAAATGCATTGAGTAGAAAAATGCAAGTTGCCAAAATAAGTCTACAGTATTTTTAATTTTCATTTACTTTTTAATGAGCCATTTCAAAAACAGCAAAAAGAACCTACAATATACCTTTTATGTTTTAAAACAATACCATATGTATATGTGTACATATATGCACATTTGTTTGTTATGTATGTGTGCATATGTACTATGTATAATATTTAATAAAATGAACACATTAACAGGAAGAAAACCAACAAATGCATGTGGTTGCCTCATAGGCAAGGGGGAGGTAGGAAGAAGTACAGGAAGCACTAAAAGAAGCGTAAACAGGGCTTCTTTATCACCAACAGTGATAAAGGGAGTACCTTCCTTTATTAAACATAATACAAGAATATCTGAAATAAGTACACAAGATGATAATAATTCTGGGGAATGAGTGAGTGAGTTGCTGTATTATTTTCCTTTCTTCCAAATGAAATGAATTTTTTAAAAATGCTAAGGCTAGTGATCCTTTGGGTCAAGTCACTGAGATGACTTTGAGTATCAGACCTTCTAATCTGAAGCCTTTTTATTTCGCAGGCTGAAGTTTCTCTTTGGCTCATCAGCCACCCAGGCTTTGGACCTAGTTGATCGACAATCCATCACCTTAATCGCATCACCCAGTGGAAGGCGTGTTTACCAGGTAGAAGTCTAGAGATGGGGGTGATCCCTACAGAAATCCCTGAGGACAAAATATTTTCTTCATCTTTGTGGAAGCTGGTGACCAGCTTTAAATCATTTCCTGGACTGGGCGGGGCACGGTGGCTCATGCCTGTAATCCCAGCATTTGGGAGGCTGAGGCAGGCAGGTCAAGAGATCAAGACCATCCTGGCCAACATGGTGAAACCCCGTCCCTACTAAAAATACACAAATTAGCCAGGCTGGTGGCACAAACCTATAGTCCCGGCTACTCAGGAGGCTGAGGCAGGAGAATCGCTTGAACTTGGGAGGCAGAGGTTGTAGTGAGCGGAGATCAGGCCACTAATTGGGCCACTTCACTCCAGCCTTGTCACAGAGGAGACTGTCTCAAAAAAAAAAAAAAATTCCTGGACTGTTAAAAAGTTTTTGACCTAACTTGGTAAAATTAACAAATTGGTAATTTTTTAAAAATTTTATTTACTTTGATAGAAATTGTCTTTATTCATGGCATATAACATGATGTTTTGATATATGGATACCTTATAGAATAACTGAATCAAATTAATTAACATATCCAGTACCTTACATACTTATTTTTTGTGGTAAGAACACTTAAAATCCACTATCTTAGCAATTTTCAAGTATACAATACTTCAGTCTTTTTATTTCTTTGTTTTTAGAGAGATAAAGTCTCACCAGGCTGGTCTCAAACTCCTAGGCTCAAGCGATCCTCCCACCTTGGCCTCTCAAAGTACAGGCATGAGCACCACCCCTCGCTAATATGTTGTTTATAGTCACCATATTGTACCATGGTTATCCTGAACTTACTTCTCCTGTCTAACTGAAATTTGTACCCTTTGACCAATATCTCCCTATCTTCCTTGCCAACCCCAAGGCCCCTGGTAACCACTGTTCTTTCTTCTTCTATGAGTCAACTTTTTTGTTTTTTTGGAGACAGAGTCTCGCTCTGTCACCAGGCATCAGGCTGGAGTGCAGTGGCCCAATCTTGACTCACTGCACCCTCTGACTCCTGGGCTCAAGCAATTCTCCTGCCTCAGCCTCCCGCGTTTGTTTGTTTTAAACAAAGACAGGGTCTCACTATGTTGTCCAGGCTGGTCTTGAACTCCTGGCCTCAAGCAGTCCTCCCTCCTCAGCCTCCCAAAGTTCTGGGATTACTGGCATGAGCCATTGCACCCAGCCTATGAATTCAGCTTTTTGTAGATTCCATATATAAGTGAGATCATCTGGTATTTGTCATTCTATACCTGGCTTATTTCGCTTAGCATAGCTACACTTAACAGAATCCTCAGACATTTTTGTAATTAAGATGGCCGGGCGTGGTGGCTCATGCCTGTAATCCCAGCACTTCAGGAGGTTGAGGTGGGAGGATCACCTGAGGTCAGGAGTTTGAGACCAGCCTAGCTAACATAATGAAACCCTGTTTCTACTAAAAATACAAAAAATTAGCCAGGCATAGTGGCCCATGCCTATAATCCCAGCTACTCAGAAGGCTGAGGCAGGAGAATTGCTTGAACCTGGGAGGCAGAGGTTGCAGTGAGCCGAGATCACACCATTGCACTACAGCTTGGGGAACAAGAGCAGAACTCTTGTCTCAAAAAATTAGAAAATAAAATAAAATCCTACTGGCTTTACCTAAAAGCATTGTGCAGAAGTCTGCTCATGGGCCCGGCTTGGTGGCTCATGCCTGTAATCTCAGCCCTCTGTTGGCCTGGGCAACGTAGTAAGACCCATCTCTGCAAAAACCCAGCAAGGTATTTCTTTTGCAGGAAACGGAAATGCAGAAGAGTAAAGTAACAGTCACCTCTGGTTACCCCACATTGCCTGTCTTATGAGACATGAATAAAGATCATATAAAGAGGGAGCCAGACTCCAACCACCTGACCCTTCTCCCTGCACAACCCCACCCCATTTTAGCTATATGAGACACAGGGTAAGTGCAGCTGGATTGATGGAAGTAAATCATGAATGAAAAGAAAATACTGGCAGTGGTGTGCAAAATTTTGTCAGCTCTTGTATGTAATCCAGGCCTTACTGAGACCAGAAAAGGGTAAATTTTTCAGAGTTTGAATTCTGGTTTATTTACTGTGAATTTCTCAGAGCTGAGACCATATCAGTTAACTCTCATTAAAAGGCCATGTCAATTCTTAGGGAGTAAATGGCTTGAGCAAAGCCTGCTTGGGCAGATAGATGCCTTCGCTTAGTGAATTAACTTGCCCTTCCTCACGCTGATCTGGTAAAATCTTTATGCATTTCTGCATTAAGGAAAATGTGGTAATTAGCATTGGTTGCTGTGGTTAAAACTTTTGGATGGTATTTTCTTACTCAAAAGAGACCACCTATTAGATGAATTTTCTCATGGTGAACTTAGAGATTAATAATCAGTCACTGAACTTGCAGTTTGTACCTGAGGAGGTGTGTCTGTCCTCTTTTCCTGGTGTTTTTATTTTTGGTTTTCCCAGTGCTTTTAGTTCTGAATTTTCGATCTTGGTTCCGTTATGGGCACAACACTTGACCTGGGCAAGCAGACTTTTGTTTGAAATACTTAAATTACTGTTGACTTTTTGTTCCTCCCGGTGGTCAACAGTGACTTGTTTAAGTCACTTGTTTAGTTTTTGTTTTTCCCATCTGGTATATATTAAATTGGTTTATGAATAATGAAATGCTAACTTCTAAGAATTGTGGCCATCATCTTGGACTTTGAATTAAATGAGGCTGTAGAAATCTTATATATCTTCAAATTAACCTTAATCGTTGCATTGTATGGTCATATAGTAAAAATTTGGCTGAATTCAGGAGTTGTATGAGATTATAAAAGTTGAGTCACATACTGCCTCAATGTCCAACTAATTATCTTTTCATAGGTCAATCTTTATTCCATAGGTCAACTCTAATATTCTTAGTGTTCTCCAAATGTAATGTGAAATAATTCTAAAGTCATCATTATGTTGCTGACACCTGAGTTGCTTTTTGTACCTTTTTTTTTTTTTTTTTTTGAGACAGAATCTTATTCTGTTGCCCAGACTGGAGTGCAGCAGCACCATCTCAGCTCACTGCAACCTCTGCCTCCTGGTTTCAAGTGATTCTCCTGCCTCAGCCTCCTGAGTAGCTGGGATTTCAGGTGTGGACCACCATGCCCGGCTAATTTTTGTATTCTTAGTAGAAGTGGCCAGGCTGGTTTGGAACTCCTGACCTCAGGTGATCCACCACCTTTGCTTTCTAAAATGCTGGGATTAACAGATATTAATGCTGGTATTAACAGTCCAGGCCACACCTGGCCACTTTTTATACTTTTTTTGTTCACTTAGGAAGGGGGATATTTCAAGTCAGGAGAGGCTAAGTTATGCTGTGGTGGCAGTGACCCCAGATCTGAAAGGCTCACAAAAATAAAGTTATTTTTGTTTTGTTTTATTTTTTTTTGAGACGGAGGTTTGCTCTTGTCACCCAGGCTGGAGTGCAGTGGCACGATCATAGCTCATTGCAACCTACATCTCCTCGGTTCAAGCGATTCTCCTACCTCAGCTTCCCAGGTAGCTGGAATTACAGGCATGCGCCACCATGCCCAGCAATGTTTTAAATTTTATTTTTAGTAGAGACAGGGTTTCACCGTTTTTGCCAGATTGGTCTCAAACTTCTGACCTCATGTGGTCCACCTGCCTCTGCCTCCCAGAGTGCTGGGATTATAGGCGTGAGCCACCACGCCCAGCCAAAAACAAAGTTTTATATCTCATTCATGCTCTGTATCCATCAGGAGCCAGTTGTAGCTCTCTGTCCAGAACATCTTCATTCAGGGATTACAGCTGGTGAAGCAGCTCATATCTGGAACATTGTAAATCTCAAACAGAAAAAAGAGGACATGGACACAGTTTTTAACATTTTTCTGCTTGGCTACTCAGATTTTACTAAAGCAGATCACATGGCCAGCCTGTATTTAACAGGACGAGAATGTGTAATCCTATTTTCAGAGAGAAGCACCAAACTCAGGGAACAATAACTAAGACACTGTGAAGTATCTTAAGAGGCTTGGAGCAGTCATAAAATAAAACTACCCATGAATGGATGACCATCTAAATGGGTCAAGTCTCCTTGTAGCCTAACTGAAACCACAGTAGAACCACCGTAGAAACCACCTCCAAGTGAGGTTCTTGCAAGTCCAGTCAGCCATGATCTGAGCATCCTCTTTTTAGCATGTTCCTATTTTAAAAAGCTCTCTCCTTCTGGGGATAAACATTCCAGACCATGAGCAGGAAAACTAGGAGCAATTCCTGTAAGAGGAAGTTGTTTTCTCACTGAAGGGTAAAGGAATTGAATTATGTTATCCTTAAGGTCAGTTTCCAGTTCTAAATTTTCTAACTCAGATTTTGTCTGATAATTGGGTTCATTAGCTGTCCACTGCCAGATAAGCAAAAAGCAAATACAAAATTTAACCTCTTTTAGTATTTATTGCTTTAGGCAGTTGAACATTTTACTTTGAGTCTTAGCCCTTGAAAGGCTCAGGCAAGGAAACCTCTGTAGAATTTCTGCCCATCCCAAGTCACCAGACATTTATTAGCATGATCCAGGGAGCATTATGATGGATGAGGGACTCACAATAAGAAGGAAGCAGTGAATCATTCTAGTCAGTGTAGAATCCCAGAGGCTTCTGCCTGCTTATGTTTAAATCTAGAGAGAAGAGATGCAGGAGTAACTAAAGGGAGAAGAAACCTAAAGGTTTATTCATTGGTAATAGTTTGGACACCCAAGAATTATAGGCCGGGCGTGGTGGCTCACTCAAACCTGGAATCCTAGCAGTTTGGGAGGCTGAGGTGGGTGGATCACCTGAGGTCAGGAGTTCAAGACCAGCCTGGCCAACATGGCAAAACCTTAACTCTATAAAAATACAAAAGTTAGGGGTGGGAAAAAAAAAAAAAAGTTATCCGGGCGTGGTGGCACATGCCTGTAATCCTAGCTACTCAAGAGGCTGAGGTAGAATTGCTTGAACCCAGGAGGCGGAGGTTGCAATGAGCCAAGATCACACCACTGCACTCCGGCCTGGGCAACAAAGTGAGACTCCATCTCAAAAAAAGAAAAAAGAATTCTACATGTCACTGCCGGATGTTGTGTAAAACAATCTGCTTTAATGCTCTTCCTTCGTTTAAGTTTCCACACATGCTAGGGAATTCTTTTCATTGATACTGAGTGGTCTAGATGATACGTTTGTAACATGTCCAAGCCTTGCAGTAGGTAATATGCAAGGTGTGGTTTTTCAACACCTAATTTGTAACTGGGCTGAAATCTTTTTTTTTTTTTTTGAGACAGAGTCTCTGTCACCCAGCCTGGAGTACAATGGCACAATCTCAGCTCACTGCATCCTCCGCCTCCTGGGTTCAAATGATTCTCCTGTCTCAGCCTCCTGAGTAGCTGGGACTATAGGTGCCCACCACCACTCCCAGCTAATTTTTGTATTTTTAGTAGAGACAGGGTTTCACTATATTGACCAGGCTGGTCTCGAACTCCTGACCTCGTGATCTGCCCACCTTGGCCTCTCTAAGTCCTGGGATTACAGACATGAGCCACCGTGCCCGGCTTGATGAAATCTTGAATGGGTTCAGTAGGCATCTTCTTACCTAATCATTGGCCATTTCTGGTAACCTAAAAACCCCCAAGGAATTCTAACTGCATCAAAAAAACATACTGAGGCTGGGTATGGTAGCTCATGCCTGTAATCCCCACTCTGGGAGGCCAAGGTGGGAGGATCACTTAAGCCCAGCAGTTCAAGCTGGACAACATTGCAAGACCCCATCTCTACAGAATCTTTTTAAATTAGCATAGTGTGGTGGCACACACCAGTACTCCTAGCTACTCAGGAGGCTGAGGTGGGAGGATCACTTTAGCCAAGCAATTCAATACTGCAGTGAGCTATGATCATACCACTGCACTGCAGCTTGGATGACAGAGCAAGACCTTGTCTTAAAGAAATAAAAAGTTAATAGAAACTGTATGGAGATAACTGCATTAATTGAACCACTGAAAACGTGACAAACACAGCACTGGAATCTGCTGTTTGTTCTTGCCGTAAAACCTTACCTGTAGCTTTATTCTCTGCGGGTAGGAACGATTAAAGAATCCTAGGAGTGCTAATATTGTAATAAAAAAATAAAAGTTCTTGCTTTTTCATTTAGATTGCCACCGGAGAGCCTAAAAGTGCTTTGAAGGCCCTGTGGCAAATTCCTAAGTGGCAGTTTATTATAAAATCACCCTTAGGATATTTCTGCTTCCCTCAAATACCAATAATAAATCTTATGACTCCAGTTTGGAAGTTAACTCTAGGAATGAAGACCTCAACAAAAAGTTTTTGGCTGCTTGGTGGTAGAGACTTAAATGAATGATTTCTCCAACAAATTTGTGCAATAATAATACAATTGTATTTTTTTTCCTGTACCTCTCCTTTTTGCTTCTCTTGACTGCCACCAAGACTATTAGACTGGGCCTCTTACCAACCCACTATATATCAGTGTCCCCCTTCCATCCTGCTAGATGAGTAGGCAGATCTGGGCTTGCCTCTTTTCCTGAGACCTCCATTCTGAACAGCTGAGTCATTCCTTTTGCAAGGTTCTTTGCTTTATTTATTCTCTCTGTTCTCATGCTCTCAAATGCTTTTCAAAAGCTCTTCCCACTTTCTTCTTTTCTTCTGTGACCTATCTTTTTTTTTTTTTTTTTGATGGGTCTCACTTTATCACCCAGGCTGCAGTACAGTGGTGCAATCACAGCCTTGACCTCCCAGGCTCAATCATTCCTCCTGCCTCAGCCTCCCAAGTAGCTGTGACTACTGGCATGTGCCACCACTCCTGGCTTTTAAAAACAATTTTTTTTTTTCTGAGACGGAGTTTCGCTCTTTTTACCCAGTTGCTAGAGTGCAATGGCGCAATCTCAGCTCACTGCAACCTCCCATCTCCTGGGTTCAAGCAATTCTCTTGCCTCAGCCTCCTGAGTAGCTGGGACTACAGGCATGTGCCACCATGCCCAGCTAATTTTTGTATTTTTAGTAGAGACGGGGTTTCACCATGTTGACCAGGATGGTCTCGATCTCTTGACCTTGTGATCCACCCGTCTCGGCCTCCCAAAGTGCTGGGATTATAGGCATGAGCCACCACGCGCGGCTAAAAACAATTTTTATAGAGACAAGGGCTAACCATGTTGCCCAGGCTGGTCTCGAACTCTGGGACTCAAGTGATCCTCCCACCTCAGCCTCCCAAAGTGCTGGGATTACACACATGAACCACACCCAGCTTCAGACGTATCTTACTCCTGCCCTGCTACTGACCTTTTACCTGTTTTTACTCTGTCTTTAGATATGTAGGAAGCTTTAGAAATATACACACCTGTGGCAAAATACCAAAGGTTAAGAACCCCCACAATAAAATGTAGATGAGAGATTTCCCCTCCACTTCCTTCTAATTACAGTCAGCCCATAGAGTGGGCCCTGTGAATCACTAGGCACAGAAACTTGAACTAACCTGATACTCTTCAATTTCTTTTTTTTTTTTGAGACGGAGTTTCGCTCTTGTTACCCAAGCTGGAGTGCAATGGCGCGATCTCGGCTCACTGCAACCTCCGCCTCCTGGATTCAGGCAATTCTCCTGCCTCAGCCTCCTGAGTAGCTGGGACTACAGGCACGTGCCACCATGCCCAGCTAATTTTTTGTATTTTTAGTAGAGACAGGGTTTCACCATGTTGACCAGGATGGTCTTGATCTCTTGACCTCATGATCCAGTCGCCTCGGCCTCCCAAAGTGCTGGGATTACAGGCGTGAGCCACCACGCCCAACCTCTTCAATTTCTTTATGAAGTCCTAACTGCACACTGAAGGGAAGAGAAGTTGCTTCCTCTTATTTTTTTTTTTTTTTTGAGATGGAGTCTTGCTCTTGTTACCCAGGGTGGAGTTCAATTGCACGATCTCAGCTCACCACAACCTCCACCTCCTGGGTTCAAGCAATTCTCCTGCCTCAGCCTCCCAAGTAGCTGGGACTACAGGCGCCACCACTACTAAAAATACAAAAATTAGGCAGCTAATTTTTGTATTTTTAGTAGAGACGGGGTTTCACCATGTTAACCAGGATGGTCTCGATCTCTTGACCTCGTGATCCACCTGCCTTGGCCTCTCAAAGTGCTGGGATTACAGGCATGAGCCATCGCACCCGGCCCATTGCTTCCTCTTTTATGTAAAACATTAACTGCAGTTCTTCTCAGTGCAATTTGCAGAGCAACTCTGGGTCTTTAAATAGATAAAAAGGGAAAGAGGTGGTTTTTCCAGCACATCTTCTGAGGTCTGATCCCATCTATCCTTTTCTTCCTAGGTACTTGGAAGTTCTGGGAAAACATACACATGTTTGGCTTCTTGTCATTACTGTTCATGTCCTGCATTTGCCTTCAAGGTGCTACGGAAGAGTGACAGCATCCTGGTGAGGATGGGGAAGGCTCTTCCCACTGTAATTGAATGTAGAGAGAAATCATCCTTACTTTGTGGTTTAACTATTCTATAAAATGGGAATCTTACTACTTGTTGAAACAGATAGTAGTTTTTTGTCCTTGACTTCAGTTAGTCATTTCTTAGGGGTTTAGCCTCCCAAATGCAATATATTTTTAGAACTACATCAATTTCCTGAATTTTTATTTAAAGGATCATGAGTGAAGCTTTGAGAAGGACAAAAAGGGAATCCCAGAAGTGGGCATTGGGGAATTAGATGGCCCAATGAAAATGTGAACTAAATTTGATGTTGGCAGTCTCTTCACATTAACTGTAAGACAGCGTGGCACCACACTTGACCTTCACATGGCATATAAGTACCTTCCCCTATTCCCTTAAGCCTTTGCCAATTTCATCAGAGTCCAGTGCATGAAGCAGAAACAGGACATATTCACACACACCTTATTCCAAAGGGGAAAACGCTACCTTCCTGAAAGCAGGCATTTATTTTTAAGTCTTGCCAAAGAAGAAAATAATGGTATCCACTCCGTTCTTCCCCTTTCTTTTACACTGTTAACTTCTTAAACATCTTCGGACCTGGGTGGCAAGTTGGGTACACCATTGTACAAGAGGCCACATTCATAACTGATGTGCTGTAAGTTTATTTCACCTGCCAGTGACAGGATTGAACCAGGGCCCCTTCAAGATCTAAAGCTGCTTTCTCTGACATCAGATTCAACATAGTCCTCTCCCCAGAGGTGTGTACAGGCCAATATATATGAGAGTTTTGCTGCTATTCCCTGCCCTCCCAACCCTAGAAGTATAGCACAGTAGTTAAGAGAGTAGCCTATAGACTCTGATGAGCATGTGGTTATAATACCTGTCTTCCTAGGGTAGCTGTCAGATTTAAGTGAGATACTTTATGAGAAGCACTTAACAGCATAGTGCCCCAAGGAATGTTAAAACATTGCTGTGACAGCTTTCTGAAGGCAAGGAAAAAAGATAACTTAGGACTAAAGTGAGGAGCAGAGCTAGTCTTGGTTTTCACCATGGGTTACATACCCTGTGCCCGATATATCTAAGCCGTTTCCCAAAGCAGCAGGTAAAAGAAGTCTTTGTCCACTCTGATTTCTAAAGAGAATACGCTTGTCTCACCATCTTTATCTGCAGTTTTTATTTATTTTTTTGAGACGGAGTCTGGCTCTGTCACCCAGGCTGTAGTGCAGTAGCATGATCTCAGCTCACTGCAACGTCCACCTCCTGGGTTCAAGTGATTCTCATGCCTCAGCCTCCCTAGTAGGTGTAATTACAGGTGTGCGCCACCACACCCAGCTAATTTTTGTATTTTTGGTAGAGACCGGGTTTTGCTTTGTCGGCCAGGCTGGTCTTGAACTCCTGACCTCAAGTGATCTGCCCACCTTGGCTTCCCAGAGTGATGGGATTACAGGTGTGAGCCACCATACCAAGTCTGTCTGCACTTTTTAGACAATCAGCTAGAGACCCCGTAATGTGTGTGTCCTAGTTCTTTCCTGCCAAGTAAGATGGTAATGAGAAATCTTGGTTAGACTGGCCATCCCCAGCTCTGCCTGTTTCTTTCTTTTCCTTCTTTCCTTTTTTTTTTTTTGAGACAGAGTTTCGCTCTTGTTACCGGCTGGAGTGCAATGGCACAATCTCGGCTCACTGCAACCTCTGCCTCCTGGGTTCAGGCGATTCTCCTGCCTCAGCCTCCTGAGTAGCTGGGATTACAGGCATGCACCACCATGCCCAGCTAATTTTTGTATTTTTAGTAGAGACGGGGTTTCACCATGTTGACCAGGATGGTCTCAATCTCTTGACCTCGTGATCCACCCGCCTCGGCCTCCCAAAGTGCTGGGATTACATGCATGAGCCACCGCGCCCGGCCTGCCTGTTTCTAATAGGTGTGTGTGTTTTATATTTCAGTGCAAGCATCTCCTGGCAGTTTACCTTAGTCAGGTTATGAGGACCTGTCAGCAGCTAAGTGTCTCCGACAAGCAGTTGACTGACATATTATTGATGGAGAAGAAACAAGAACCATAAAAGGTACAGATTGAGCATCATTCTTTCAAAATATAGTCCTGTCAAGAAATGCATTTAATATGTCATGATTCACATGGAAAAGAGGTGAAATACATCTTCAGAGACTTCTTGTTACTGTCCCTTTTCCCTCTGTGACTGCAGGAGGTGCTCTGGGTTGGAGCCGTGGGCTGTGGAGGGTTTGCATATGGTTATAAGCCCTGTGCAGACTTCTCAAGAAAAACCTAAGCCAGTCTCTGAGGCACTTGGGTAAAAAATGTCCCCGATGGAATCAAGATTTTAAATTCAAATAAAGCTTAATATCATGTTGTGTCCACATTATTTAGTCTTAAGTAACTGAATTAGTAGTAATTTTTAAAAAGTTGGAATGGTGGGCTAAACAGAGTAAGATGAAGTTGAGATGAGTAGGTAGTTCTTTTCCTTATGTCCAGAAAACTATTGAGCATCAACTGTAGATCATAGCAGAGATGTGGCTAAACAGCAGCAGGTATGAAAAGACTTAGCGGTTCTGGTTTCTGTAAGCTTCAAATATCTGTGATATTGGTAGCAAAACAGCTTAAGTAGGCTGTATTGTTTGAGAGGTAGTATCAAGATCAAGGGAAGAACTGGTTTCACTCTGCGTGCATTTCTGATCTTTGTAACAGGGCAAATGAAGGACCAGATGAAAAATCCTGTCCTAGAAGGAAACTACAGGTACTACCAGGGATTTTCAGTCTGAAGAAGAAAAGACAAAATAGGTAACAAGAGTATTAGAAGAGAGAGCAAAGAAAAGAATTCATGAAGAAGAAAATAAAATCAATTTCATCATAAGACAAGAACTTATGGTAAAGCTGCCCACAGCCAGAAGAGGATCCTAGAAGGACAGGAACTCCCTGTCTGCAGCATTTCATAAGCATGTAATATCCTTGCGGGGATACAGCAGAAGGAATTGATGCAATGGACAAACAAATGATATTGGTGATTTTACAGCCTAAGAAAGGCCCATGCTTTTGCCCCCAGAACATGAAGTGCTAGTGAATAAATGCTGGGTGAAAAGCCCAGGGCCCAGATGTTGTAATGTTCTGTGGTTGGCAGATGTTTTTTGTTTTGTTAAAGTGTGACAAATAAAATCTATCAAGACTTTTCTGCTACTCGGAAAACTTGGACTCAGTATAACTTACTTTTTTTTCCAGCAGCCTTCAGGGTAAAAAGTTTAGAAGGTAGATCTAACAAGCCAATGCAGCACCCTAAGCTTGTCTTTTTAAGTTTTATTTTTATTTAACCTCCTATACACACAGAGTTAAATAATTTTGCTTAGTAAAATTTTCACACTTTGGGTTCCAAGAACTTAACCAAACTTGAACTTTGGAGCGAAGCAAAATTTCCTACCTAGCTCTAGATGGCAGAATTTGGTAGAGGAGGGAATCCCATTTCACCAGCTTTTTTCCCTCGGGTAGTTTTCTGTATATGGAAAAGAATGGAGCTTAAAATTATGTGATCAAAATTTGACTTAACTTATGAGACTATCATTTCCTTAAATTAATACAGCAGTTTCTTGATTGAATATACTTCTTTTTTTGAGATGGTGTCTCACTCTGTTGCCTGCTGGAGTGCTCTTGGCTCGGTGCAACCTCTGCTTCTCAGGTTCAAGCAATTTCTCCTGCCTCAGCCTCCTGAGTAGCTGGGATTACAGGTGCACACCACCACACCCAGCTGATTTTTGTATTTTTTAGTAGAGATGGGTTTTCACCACATTGGACAGGCTGGTTTCGAACTCCTGACCTTGTAATCCACCTGCCTTGGCCTCCCAAAGTGCTGGGATTACAGGCATGAGCCACCACACCTGGCCAAAGAATTATACTTTTAATTTTTGAGGTCACCTTCCTGGGAGCAAGTATACATTTTTAGTACAGCCAACTTTTATTTTTCCATTGCTTCTAAGTTAAAAAAATATTTGCATTATAATAGTTCACAGTGTTTCACAGTAAAATAATTTCAGAATTTTCCACCATAAACAAGGCAGACTTTTAAAAACAAAACAGTCTGTTAGAATCCATTCAAGCTATCAGCATCATCCACACAGTAAAAGCAGCTTAATAGATCATAAATATATTTTTCAACTCTTGGAGCCTACTAGTGACACATACATATTAGCTAGATATGTGGTAGCTCCAGGGAAGTGTCCAAGAGAGGCAGTCCATTTCCTTGTGAGGTGTAGCTATCTTTAACAGTGAGAATCAGCCAGCCGTGTCCTCTTTGTTTACTGTGGATTTGTATCTTCTTGAAGAGGCCAGAGCCTAGATCATAGGCCCACACCGAGAGCAGGCTGTGCCCTAGCCTGACCATTCCCACTCTTGACATCTGTTTGGCAGAGAAGATACCTGGAGATAATTTTGTGAAAAGTATAGCGGAAGTCTCGGTTCCGGTAAGCATAGACAATGGGATTGACAACTGAATTGGCATGTGACAGAAGAATGGCCATATTCATTGCCCACTTGGGCTTACTTTTACCCTGAGCTGGCTGGAAAAGAGTGACACAGTTAACAGCATGCACTGGTAGCCAGCACAAGGCAAAAATCCCCACAATCATGGCCAGTGATTTGGCTGCATGGATCTCCCGCTGGAGGGTAGTCCTCGAGTGGTCCATCAGCTCAGTGCGCTGAAGCTGCCTGCAGGCCACCATGAAGATCTTGATGTAGATCACCAGCATTATAAGCAGTGGGGGCAGAACACACCCAAAGAAATTGAAATATACCATGTAGCTCATGGGGACCACATTTTCAAAGAGACACTTCACAAGGCAGCAGCTTTCATTCATGGTTCCATCCCAGGGCTCTGTGCAGTTGTTGGTGGCACTGTCTTTACTGTTCCACCCCAGGAATGGAGTCAATCCGATGCCAAAGGCAAGGACCCAGAGGACAGCAATGACCCCTCTTGCTCGAGTCCCAGTGACCAAACTTTTATACCTGTTTAAAAGAACACCATCTGTTATGGTCAGTTTATAGTGCTCTGCAATCAGAATCTAAGACCCCACCTCCTCTTTATTTCCATGACCCTTAAGTTCACCTTCCAGGGTACCATGCTCTTTATCCTCAATACTAAAGACATGCAAGCAGGGATGAGCAGCTTGTAGCAAGCTCAATAAGATCTTCATTCTTGACTTAGTAACTCCTTTCCGTTTAGTGACAAAGGATGGCCAATGACAAGAGGTAGAAAAGCCTTAAGGGAGTGCTGTTAAGTCCTTACTTAACTTCCTCGGTAGGTTCTTGCAAACTGTGACTTGAAGTGAAATCACATACTATATGTGCCATAGGAAGTTAACTCTTGTTTATATTGTTAAATAAATTTTAGCTGCCTCCTTACATATTTTAAAGTCAGCCTAAAGGTTTCTCTGTATGTACATCAAGAACTGTAACAAGTGGAGGTGTATACAGACTGCAGCCTACTCTTGTGCCAATCCTCGACTTCTGGCCAATCAGATGTGGCCAACTGTCAAACCGTGTTCAAATAGGGCAAATGCCGAGCTATAACCAATCCAGCTGTTTCTGTACCTCACTTCCATTTTCTGTACATCACTTTCCTTTTTCTGTCCATAAATTCTCTTAAACCACGCTACTGCACTGGAGTCTCTGAGCCTACTCTGGCTCAGCAGGCTGTGCAATTTGTGAATCATTCTTTGCTAAATTAAGCTCTTTTAAATTGAATTCAGCTGAAGTTTTTTTTTTTAAACAATATCAACTGTGGTAGAATTGGCTTTGTTATACAGTGCATCATTTTGCTTCAAGTCACAAGTTTCCAAGAACTGACTGACTGCCTTTCTTTGCCAGATAAAAGAATTCAGGAGACTTCCTATACTTCCTAATTACCGAGGTACTGCCTTTTGAATCTAGGTCTTCTGTAAAGCATTGGTCTAGGTCAGTGGTCCCCAACCTTTTTGGCACCCAGGGACCAGTTTCATGGAAGACAATTTTTCCACAGACTGGGGGTGGAGGGGATACATTAGATTCTCACAAGGAGCACACAACCCAGATGTGCTGTGTGCATACTTCACAATAGGGTTCAGCTCCAATGAGAATCTAATGCCGCTGATCTGCAGAAGGCTGAGCTCAGGTAGTAATGCTTGCCTCCCTGCTCATCTTCTGCCATGTGTGGCCTGCTTCCTAACAGGCCATGGACCAGTACTAGTCTGTGGCCCAGGGGTTGAGGAACCCTGTTCTAGGTGCTTGAGATACACCAGGGAACAGAACGCACAAAGATCCCTACTAAATTTTAAGAGACTTAGAGTCTAGCAGGGATAAACAAATACAAGTTAGTAAACAGTATGGAGATGTGTGTGGTATGAAAAATGAAAAAGCAGAGTAAGAACTATCAGGACGGGCAGAACTGGATCAGGTGACACTTGTACAAAGGCCTTAGGCAGGGGCTCCAGGCAAGGATCTTTTTGGCTTCCTACAAGCAACATAAGAGATTTGCCTAGGACTATGAGCAGAATCATTTCTGAATCCCTCTGCAGACTGCTCTCCAGCAGTTTCGGCAATGTCCATGTCTACTGAGAAATGCTCATAGTAGCATAGTCGATAAAAATTAGGAAATAGCAAATATTAAATGTTTTGGTCATTTTTAAGCCATTGGATCCAGGAGTTTGAGACCAGCTTGGGCAGTAATGCTCCATCTCTACAAAAAAAATACAAAACTTAGCCGGGCAGGGTGGTATACATCTGTGGTTCCACAAAACTTAGCCGGGCAGGGTGGTGTACATCCGTGGTTCCACAAAACTTAGCCGGGCAGGGTGGTGTACATCTGTGGTTCCACAAAACTTAGCCGGGCAGGGTGGTGTACATCCGTGGTTCCACAAAACTTAGCCGGGCAGGGTGGTGTACATCTGTGGTTCCACAAAACTTAGCCGGGCAGGGTGGTGTACATCCGTGGTTCCACAAAACTTAGCCGGGCAGGGTGGTGTACATCTGTGGTTCCACCTACTCAGGAGAATGAAGTGGGAGAGTCAGGATTACTTGAGCCTAGGAAGTTGAGGCTGCAGTGAGCTGTGATTGCAGCACTGCACTCCAGCCTGGGTGACACAGCGAGACGTTGTCTCAAAAAAACAAAAATACCGGTGGCTCACACCTGTAATCCCAGCACTTTGGGAGGCTGAGGCAGATGGATCACGAGGTCAGAAGTTCAAGACCAGCCTGGCCAAGATAGTGAAACCCCGTCTCTATTAAAAATATAAAAATTAGCTGGGCACGGTGGCAGGTGCCTGTAAGCCCAGCTACTCTTGAGGCTGAGGCAGAAGAATTGCTTGAACCCAGGCGGCAGAGGTTGCAGTGAGCCGAGATCATGCCACTGCACTCCTTCCTGGGTGATACAGTAAGATTCCGTCTCAAAAAAAAAAAAAAATACTAGAAATCACTATTGGGGATACCAATATTGGGGATACCAATACAAAGGGACAAGGTCCTAGTCCTTGACATTTCAGTTGAGGGATATGACATGTATCAGATAAGCCAGCTTATCTTATAAAAGCAACAGATACCATAATATGTATACCTTTTAGACATTTTTCTATAGTCTATCCATGGTTTATAGCAACGGTATAAATTTTGTTAACAACTGGTCCATAATATATATCTAATGTATAAATGAACATAATCAATGTAATGTATTAAGTAAATGAAATAAAATCCTTCTCAGATTTTATTTCTCTGGGAGAAAAGTGGGAAATAATTTGATTGACATTACCTGAAGACTTGCCAATAGGAAGTGTTTGTTTCCTTTGCCTGCAGGGTAAGGTGTGCACTTGCCAGCAAGGCTGCAGAGCCTTCCAGCCTCAGCTCCACATGGCCAGGGCCTGTTATTCTTGACCAATGGCTCCCTCTCTGGCTCATGCTGTTCTCAACATCAGACAAAGCTGTTGCTCTTACCAGTTAATTTCCTTTCTTGGTTACCTCTTAGGTAGACGTGGCCACTCCCATTCTCCTGCCCCATAGAGCTGACTTATCTGATGCATGTGGTAGCCCTAAACTGGAATGTCAGCCTCTTAAGGACTAGGACCTTGTACCCTTGTACTGGTATCCCCAGGACCTCGCATAGTGCCTGGCACATAGTATGTTCTTAATATAGCCATTATAGGCTAGGCATGGTGGCTCACACCTGTAATCCT